AGGTGTCGTCAGGGCTAGACTGGGTCTGAGTAGGGCTGTCGAAAGAGTCATCTTGGGGTGTGCTTGTCATCTGGCTCGAACGATGTTGCTGCCCAGCTGGGGTGTCGGGTACATCGCTGAGCTCGCTTGACACATCGTCATCTTCTTCGTCGCTGTAGTCGTCGTAGTCAAGACCGTAGGATGAAAAGTGAGGGACGGAGAAGGTCCATTCGCCAGTAGACTGGTTGTACGCGATGAAGGTAGTTCCGGCCACGCGCTTGAGACGCTCGAGATGCTTGACATCCTTCTTGCCGGCCCTGTTGCGAGGCCAGGAGTTAGCAAGAACAATCTCGGAAGGCTGGTTCAGAGCAGTGCCTAGCGGTGGCTTTGGCAGACAGGTGCAGCTCTCTCCATACACGGTAGCATTGCGCGCACTGAGCTGGACAATGTCACCGAACAGCTTGTCGAGATCAACTTCAGACAGATCAACAGGCTTGCCGTGGTGGAATTTAATCTGTCCGATGTTGTGGCGACCGACGATGAAGTCGGGTACGCTCCTGAGCTCCTGCTTGCTCATCTTCTTCAGCTGATCCATTGAGGGGCTAGACCAGTACTCTCCTGGCTTGGGGTCCTGTCCAGGTTGGACGTTGACGGATGCGTCAGACTTGGATGAGAGCACATGGTTCTCGGACACGCGGGCAAGTTCATTTCCATTGACCTGCTGCATCGGCGGGCGAGGCGCTTCGTTGCCAGCGTTGTGGCCGTTAGCCCGTGGTGAGGCATCTTCCTCGTCTTGTCGAACGACTAGTGCAGTCTCTCCGTTAGTCTCTCCGTTTGGGCTGTCACCGCCCACAAAGCTGACACGCTTCTGCGCGGGCTCATCAAACAATGGCGCCCTGTTGGTGATGTTACGGTTGATGTTGAGTCGCTTGAGACTGCCGTTGCCGAAGTTGCGTCCGGTGTTAGAGAACGCACCCGGTGCCAGTATACTGGTTTCGGGAGTGAAGCTGTTGCGAAGATTACTCGTAGACAAGCTCTTGCCCAGAGATCGTGAAAGGCTGCCTGCAAAGAGGCTACCACCAAGGGTTTGGCCGCCGTTTTGGCTTGCTCCGCCAGCTGGACTGCCGTAAGTGGAGTAAGTGAATCCGTAACCGCGGCTCTTGTTCTGCGGAGTAAGTAGGCGCGTCGATGCGGCGGGGTTGAGCTTGTGCTGAGGCAGGATGGCGTTCTTCTTGTTCTTCTGGCTGCTGGACAAGGGCGTGGCAAGCGGGCCAGGGCTCTGAGTTGGGGTAGAAAGACCAGCAAAGAGGGCATCGTTGCCGTAGGGGTTGGTGTTCATGGATGTGTTCAACAAAGAGCTTCCAGAGGCACCAAACAGGCTGTTGTTGAGGCTAGGTTGCTGCTGCTGTTGTTGCTGCGGGAAGAGCATAGAGCTGCCCATGTTCGATTGGCCGTTGTTCGATTGACCAAGCCCACCACCAAAGAGACCGCCTCCAGTGCTGTTGTTCGTGGAGCCGCCAAACAGGCCGCCAGGCTTCTGTTGGTTGTTGTTCTGGCCACCGCCGAAGAGGCCACCACTTCCCGTGTTTTGCTGGTTGTTGTTGTTACCAAGGCCACCAAACAAGCCTCCGCCAGTCGATCCAGTGTTGGTGTTGTTGCCGCCAAACAGGGAGCCACCGCCAGTAGCAGGCTTCTGACCGAACAAGCCGCCTCCAGTGTTGTTATTGGTGTTGTTGGCAGCAGAACCACCGAACAGACCACCAGTAGCCGGCTGACTCTGGTTTGCTCCGCCAAAGAGACCGCCACCTGTAGTACCGGTACCAGTGCTTGCGCCGCCAAAGAGGCCACCGGGCTTTTGTTGGTTGTTGTTGTTCTGGCCGAATCCACCACCACCGCCAAACAGACCGCCAGAGGTCGTGTTTTGAGTCGTGGATGTGTTGTTTTGCCCGAAGCCTCCACCCGTAGCGCCGCCACCGCCAAAGAGACCACCGCCAGTGTTTGTGGATGTGTTGTTGGCACCGAATGCTGGGGTCGAGGAGGTTTGGTTATTGTTTTGACCAAAGAGACCGCCACCGCCAGTGTTTGACTGGCCGAACGCGCTGCCGGTGTTAGTTGCTCCACCTCCGAATGGTGTTGAGGTGTTGGTGGTCGCGGCACCGCCTCCGAAAAGACCGCCGCCTGTAGCAGGCTTGTTCTGACCAAAGAGACCGCCACCGGTAGTCGTAGACGAGCCGAAAGCTCCACCTCCAGAGCCAAATCCACCTGTGGTGTTGTTCGTTGCAGCAGCACCACCTCCGAAGAGACCACCAGTAGTACCAGTCGTGGTGTTGTTGTTCGAGCCGAAGAGCCCGCCAGTTGCAGGCTTGGCCTGACCGAAGAGTCCTCCGCTTGAGGTGTTGTTGTTTGCCCCGAACGCGGAACCTGTGCTCTGACCAAATCCTCCTGTAGCAGCAGTGCTTGTGTTACCACCACCGAAGAGACTTCCACCAGTGTTGTTGGATGCGCCAAAGCCTGTGGATGCGGTGGTGTTGTTGTTGTTGTTGGCACCAAAACCGCCAAATCCGGTGCTCTGTCCAAACGCTCCAGCTTGTCCGTTTTGGTTGCCATACCGCCTGCCCTGGTTGTAGTCGGCTACGCGCAACTCCTCGAGGGAGTAGTTCGTGTACGGTTGTTGGAAGGTGATGGTCTGGTACTGCGATTGGGCATTGCCTGTACCGTCCTTCTCCTGGAATGGCTGGAACGGAGTGTTGGCGGTTCCATTGTTGGGTGGTGGGTTGTTGCCTCCGCCGAAAGCGCTGCCAGTACCGCTACCGAAGCCACCCGTTGTGGTGTTGGTGCTGGTAGAACCGAATGCACCGCCAGTACTGCCGCCTCCAAACAGACCTCCACCAGTGGTTGTCGACGCGCCGAAGCCTGTCGCCGGCTTGCTCTGGCCAAAGAGACCGCCTCCAGTGTTTGCAGTGCTGGAACCGAAGGCAGAGGTAGTAGTGTTGTTGTTCGTTGATCCAAAGCCACCAAACGTGCTGCCACCTGTAGCGCCACCGCCACCGAAGAGGCCACCGCCCGTTGTCGAAGCGCCAAAGGGTTTCGAGCCGAAAGCGTTGTTGTTTGTGTTGCTGGCACCGAAGCCACCTGAAGGTAAAAGTTAGTTCCAGATCGGGGTAAACTAAAAATCATGGATCCGCGCAAAATTGCGTGCCGTCGCAAAAGAGCGCCTAGGAGCATGTCGTCGTGGGCGGCCTCAATACGACGTTGAAAGCGACTTTGACCAAGGCACAGTGGTCCAACTAGCGACGCGATAGTGAAGCGCAACCGTTCCACATACCTGAGCCCCCGAAAGGCGAGCTCGAGCTGGCGTTGTTACCGCCCCCGAACATTGTGCTGCCCGTGTTGTTTGCGCCGCCACCAAATATGCTCGTACCGGTATTCGCGTTTGAGCCAAAGCCTGAGGCGGAGGGCAAGTTAGACACGGTTCGTCGAGGAGGCCGTGGCGATGTCGCAGGGCACATCGGAGCGGTCGCGCGCAAAGGGATCCAGAAATTCACGCAAGAGTGTGTACATACCAGTCGATGTGTTGTTGTTAGATGAGCCAAATCCACCAAAGCCAGTGGACTGGTTGTTGTTGTTGGAGCCGAAGCCCCCGAAACCACCGCCGAAGGACATTTTGAATTTGTCCGACGGGTTGCGCGTGTATCGATTACTAGGCGGCTAGCAATGCGCCGTACAGTCGTATGGACGGGTGGTGGTTGATAGAATCGAAGTGCAGGAGCTCTCGGAGAGGCAGGTGTTGATGAGAGCTTCGCGGAAAACGCGCCAAGGAATAGGCGGACCGTACAAGGCGCGGTGGGGGTTTGCTGCGAGCGAGCAAAAGAGTAAAGAGTGGAATTAGTAAGAAGAGGTCAGACACGGCTCTGATTAAGTAGTGAAATGGCCGTCATGGAAGGGAAAGAGCGACGGGCGCGAGAGTCTGGAGAGACAAGCAAAGGTGAGGTTGCACTTAGGAGGAAGGCACGTCAAAATTGCGCTAAGCCATCGCCGGGGCGTCACGTGTACCTCTTCCGCACCCACTTCCCAGCACACGCTCCTTGATACGGTTGCGGCCGCTGCACATATGACAAAGCAAGATAGGGATTGACGAATGATACGACACGTTTTCTGGGCGCGACTTGAGTGTAGAGATGCCTGAGAGACACCTGGTGCTACCTACGGTTGCCTGGCGGTTAGAGGGCACTTCGCCACCAAGAACGCTCCTACACAGCCGACTCGAGTCGCTCTACCGGTAATAGACTGGTCTAGCCATAGATGGATGACTACGGGCTTGAGGAAAAACGAGGTGTGTGAGACAAAGAGTACGTTGATTTTGTGACTGGTGAGACTGTTTGCAAGCCACGCTCCCTGGACTGACGCTCGCCACCACGTCACTCATCATGTGATCCTCAGAAGTCCGATCAAAACGAAGGTCTGGTGGCCCACATGCATCGCGCATATTGTCTGCATACGAGAGGCCTTGGCTGATGTTTTATTGGCAGTTTTGATAGATACAGCGAAATTGTCCCAGTCTTCTGTCTACCGATGCAGGTCGGTGAAGCAAGTTCCATGAGTTCCCTTTGTCGAAAGGATATGAGGACACCCGATCAAAATCCTCTATAGCGATAGTGCAATAACAGTCAGTCTTATTGAATGCATGGAGACATCGTGTTCGTATTCCTGCCCTGCTCTCAGCCCTACCCATCACAATTCCCCACCAGAACCAAAATCGCGCTAGAGCTGCAGCTAAGCATCCACGCCCAAACGCGCCTCGCGTCCCAAACAACTGCACATCCTCGTATCCTCCGAACCGAGAGTTACCAACAGCGACGACCGTGTTAACGCGACCACAGACGCTCCTATCCTAGCGCTCGTGAATTGGCAGAAGCTTTCTCGAGTCCATCTGTCTCCCACCAAACCGCGCTCAACACTACTTCGCGCACCCCACCAATCCTGCAACACCACAACGCTCAACCACTCCAAAAGACACCCTAATGGCTACATCCTCCAACCCTCTCGGGCCCGGCCCCCGCTACGGCCTTGGTCGCACTGCACCACCACAACAAACACAACCACAAGCCGCCTTCAGCAACACGCCCGCCTTTCCACCCAACCCCAAAAACGCCCAACGCATCGAGTCTGAGCGCCTAGAACGCGAGCGCTCCGCCCGCGAAACAGCACAGCGCATGGAGGCCAGCGGCGCCGCCTCCCTCGCCGAACTCACAGAAGAGCAAAGAGAGGAAATCGGCGAAGCCTTCAACCTCTTCGACCTAGACAAGGACGGCTACATCGACTACCACGAGCTGAAAGTCGCCATGAAAGCACTGGGCTTTGATCTCCCGAAACAAGAAATTCTCGGAATACTGCAACAACACGGAACGTCGCAGCAGCAGAACACCAAGCAGAGTTCGAGACAGCAGCAGCAGTACACGCCTGGTCGCCAGTTGTTGAGTTTCCAGGCTTTCCAGACGCTCATGGCACAGAGGATATTGAGTCGCGATCCGAGGGACGAGATTCTTAGGGCATTTGAACTCTTCGATGAGGGTGGGAAGGGGACGATTACCCTGCAGGATCTCACGCGTGTTGCGAGAGAGTTGGGCGAGGCGCTTTCGCATGATGAGCTGGTAGCCATGATTGAGGAGTTTGACATGGACAATGATAATGCCATCTCCAGGGAGGAGTTTATCCAGATTTGCATGGGGACTTGAGTTTTACAGGACGAATGACATTGTTTCTAGTACCTTATCTCGCAAGGCGTTTTCGGAGTAGCAGGATCTTTCACGCAGGGGGACAGCATGTGCGGTCAATTTCAATCTTGCTTTATTTGCGCCGAGAAACTATTTACAGCTCAGCTCTTCAAGTAATTGCACGCCGAAATCAAAACTCAAACACAGAAAATATGCATAGTACAAATCTCCCGGCTCCTTCTCTACTGGCCAGGGGAGACGAGAAGACCCTTCTTGGCGGCATCGTGTGCCCATCCACCCGCCAACGCCTCACCACCGTTCTTCAGGCCGTAATCCTTTATCCTGGCCTCAAGCTCAGGCCTGAAATGCCTGATGAGACCCTGGAGAGGCCATGCGAAAGCCTCGCCCAACGCGCAGATGGTGTGGCCCTCAACCTGCTTGGTCAACTCCTGGAGCATGTCGATCTCACGCTCGCGGGCCTGGCCCTTGTAGAAGCGGTCCATGATCTGATGGGTCCACTTTGATCCCTCACGGCAAGGTGTGCACTGGCCGCAAGACTCATGGTGGTAGAACTTGGCAAGACGGGTAATGGCGCGGACAACGTCGGTCGACTTGTCCATGACGATAACGGCAGCGGTACCGAAACCAGACTGCGAGTCCTTGAGCGCGTCAAAGTCCATCAGCTGGTCGTCGCAGATGTGCTTGGGAAGGATGGGGGTCGAAGAGCCACCGGGAATGACAGCCTTGAGGTTGTCCCAGCCGCCCTTGACACCACCGCAGTGCTTGTCGATGAGCTCGCGGAGAGGGATGGACATCTCCTCCTCGACAGTGCAAGGGTGGTTGACGTGACCAGAGATGGCGAAGAGCTTGGTACCCTGGTTGCGCTCACGACCGAAGCCTGCGAACCAGCTGCCTCCTCGGCGGCAGATTGTGGGCGCGACGGCAATGGTCTCGACGTTGGCGACAGTGGAAGGGCATCCGAACAGACCGACGGCAGCGGGGAACGGGGGCTTCAAGCGGGGCTTTCCGGGCTTGCCCTCTAGCGACTCGATGAGCGAGGTCTCTTCACCGCAGACGTAGGCGCCCATTCCTCGGTGGATGTAGACATCGAAGTCGTATCCGGAGCCACAGGCGTTCTTGCCGATCAGGCCGGCCTGGTATGCCTCCTGGATAGCGCGCTGGAGTACGGTAGCCTCGTGGTAGAACTCTCCTCGGATGTAGATGTAGGCGGCGGTAGCGTTCATGGCACGGCCAGCAACGAGACAGCCCTCAATGAGCTTGTGGGGGTCCTTGCGCATAATCTCGCGGTCCTTGCAGGTTCCGGGCTCTCCCTCATCGGCGTTGACGACCAAGTAACGGGGCTTGGTGTCCTTGTCCCAGTCCTTGAAGTTCATGAACGACTTTGCAAGTCAGTAGCCGTCTCATTGAGTTTGATTCGATAGCATAGCATACCCATTTCAGACCAGAGGGGAAACCAGCACCACCTCGGCCACGGAGACCGGAAGCCTTGATCTCAGAAATGATCTGTGTCCGTCAGCGTTGATTCATGTGCCCTGTACATATGCCTCTACACACCCATTCGTGACCCTTGAGAAGGATCTCCTTCGTCTTGTGCCAGTCACCGTACTTCTGCGCGCTCTTCAAGTCCGCACCGTGGTGTCCGTACAAGTTCTGGAAGATCCTGTCCTGGTCCCTCAGGCCACCGTACGTCCTCTTTGGTGGCGCATCCTGTACTGTCGCGAGCGTCCTCTTCTGTGTGCGGTTCTGGGGGGCGGCAGTCGAAAGGCGGGTAGCTGCCGAAGCTGCGGGCAGCGCTCGGTGGGCGGCCGCGCTGAGCGTCGACGCAGGTGCGTGTCGTGCGAGCATCGTGATTGCTGTGTTTGTGTTGTCGAGCGCAATTGATGCTCGGGTGTCCGGCGAGCGTGGGTTATTGGCGATGCAAGTGGTGGCGGTCGTGAAGTTCAATCTGGATGACCTACCCTTTTCTTGGCGTTTTTTATTGGTCCGCGCAACATCGTTGACATCAATCCGCCAGAAGGTCCGACTCGACCACCACCACCATCAACAACCTTTACGATTTGCCGGCAGACTTGCTCTATTCTGCGGACGATTCAATGGGAGTGACTGGCACGGTTTTGAGGATTCACAATGTTCACCTGCTATAGATTGGACAATGATATGGATCCGGTATCCGATCACGGCATACTATCGCCATGCAAGGAGGCTTGTTTTGGATAACGTGCACCATACAAGTCAAATGGCACCCTGAAGGTATATACTATGGATCATAGAATAATTCTTGCAGGGTTTTGTAGGTGTATACCTTTAGGGTGTATTTGCTCAATCGATACGTATTGCTATCCTTCTCCAGCCTCGTGGCAGTGGGTATGGGGTACTCCTCACGTCCACGTGGCCACCGACTCTCATCCCCGCTATCGGTATGGCACCTTGTAGTCTATTTAGTCAGGCTGTCTCACTACACTACTCTTCCTTTGTCCCACTCTGCTATCTCCTTCCATCCGTCAACTCCTTTTCATCAGTTCTCCATCCAGTCTATCAAGTCTACTCACGGATGTTCATTTCCTCTGCTTCGCTTTCCTCCGACTGTGCATGTCATCTCTGGGGTAAGAATCGGTAAGTCAAGGAGTGTAGATGCGTAAAAGCCCACGCACCAGCATTATCCCTTTCTTCAAGTCAACCTCCGAGCACCAACATGGCTATCAAAGCTGGAGATCTGGTAGCTACTGTACCTGGTAGCTCACCCACAATGATCTCAGATGGGAAGAGAATGCGAGTGCTCTGGGCGAATGGCCATGGTGATGGTGATTCAACCAAAAGCTTCATTGATCGTTCCAAGACGACTGTCAGAGGCCATCCAACCTGGAAGTTGTTCGCTGGAGACGTTCCAAGTCCAATCTTCCGAGGCAGAAGAGAGCCGCCCAAGTATGTGTACCTAGACGACCGAGCATGTTATGCCATCTACAGCTCAAGGTTCTACGACGAGAAGGAATTGAAGACGTTTTGGCCATACGACTTTGACAATCTCGGCAATATCAAGGCGAGCAGGCCTAACAGGGGCCGGCCGGCTTATTTAGACACTGCCTGTACCAAATATGCCAAAGGGCCATTACGTGGTGGAAAGACTGGAGGGTACGAGTTTTGTGGTGCAGCCTCGTCGCGTGGAGAAAAGACTTCTCAACGGCGGGTGAAGAAAGAAGCCGAACAAGCGTACGCAAAGGAGGTTGAGGATAGCGCTAAGATCTCGCTGAGTGGTGCAATCCCGGTCACGCCCTCACCTTACACGAACGAACGAGTCATCGACCCTAGAGGCTACCCTATCGGCAGTAACGTCGACACCTATCCCGTACGGTTGGTATGGAAACAGGAAGATTCTATCGGCATCGACCGCATCAAGTTCGAGCGCCGCACGCCCCCAAAACACTACGAGCCTGACCCTGTCGACGGCGATCTGAAGCCACCGGGCATTCCAGACAAGGTGATCCAAGGCTCGCCGTTGCTCGATATCCCAGCGGCAAGTGTTCGGAAGCGATCCAGGCACATGTCTGGCGATATGGCTGGAATTAACGCACGCTTCAACTCCGAGGACAATGCCGAGGAGAGGGATACCGAGGTCACCACGAAGCAGAAAAGAGTTAAAGTCAAACAAGAGGAGGGCGATCTGGTTGAGTCCATGGTATAGAGATGGAATGTTTCAGAGCAAGGTGAGCGATTGAGAGTGTCTAAAAGTCTATGTTTCCTTTGTTTTTCGTGTGTGGACGTTGACGGGAAGTCAGACGTTCAAGGTAGTTTGTTTAACTTGGAGGATTCAGTTCAAGGGCACTCACAGTACTCTTGTTAACAAGTCTGATTTGAATACATTGCGAAGACCTCCAAACTCTACCTAGTCAAAGCCTCCACTAGATCTGGGGGGCTGTTCATGACATCACGCGTTTGTGCTTATCATCGCCAGTCTCCACAGCTTTCCACGCATCCTCTTCCTATCGTCGCATCGCAAAACCGACAAGCGGAGAGAAGAGTAATAATGCACGTATCCGAGACTGGCGCTGCGCCACTATATGGGAACTTACTTTGGCAGCAAGATACAGCGCCAGTGTTTCCGAACAGGCGAGGACTAGTATGAGCTGGACCATGCTGGTGGTGTCTTACCGAGACATCGGGCTTGTTGCCATGGTGCAATCTGGAGGCTTCTTTTGTTCATCTGAGACATGCCGATAAGGACCTCTGCGTGTACGATGCTGCCACTTACGAAGAAAGTCGTTGTTTCTAAGTTGCACCCGACTTTGGCCTTCTGGCCCCTGTAAGGATTGTCTTCCTTGTGCGCCTCATGATCTAAATGTCTAAAATGTCTTACAAATGAAAGTTCGGTAAAGACAAAACACTCGGTTGGTTGAAACATCGCAGAAGGTGGACAGATCGCAACATCGGGAAGACTCTGGGCCTGAACAGAATAGCAGCGTCGCTACGGCGACTCAGTGGGACCCTATTAACCTTTTCAAACACTGAATAGGCCTACACTCTATACACTTGTTAAACATCGCTGTTAGACAGTAACTACATTTTATAAATCAAAGATCTCCTCAAACTCCAACCGAGGTGCACACCGGTCCGAAATCGGAATTCGAGCGCCAACTGCTTGATTCCACCACACCCGAAGCTCGAGCGTTTTCCTACACTAACCGTTTGGGTTTTAGGGAAAGCCCAACCAGACCAGATACGAATCGCGGTCGCCCGAAGTTCCTGGGCATAGTTGGAAACTTCCACAACGCTACTCAAGCTGTTGTGGACCAGATCGCGGTCAAGTACAAATCACATATAGATTTCAAAGAAACGGTAAGTGGAGAATTAGCAAGGACTTCAGATTTACTCGCTGACAACGATCGAAAGACAGCAAACTCGCCCTCAGGCTTCAAAGATGAGGACATAGAGGCGTGTCTAAAGGAATGGGGCCCTGATATCTGGACTAATGGTCGCGACGGGACGCCGTTCGTGACTTCCATCGACACGAAGGACGGCAATTATCCCAATCACCTCGAATACGTAAATAAGCACGACCGCAAGCTGTTAGTAATTGACGAGCCAGAAGCTTCATCCGCTGACATATCGTTCACAGAATCAAAATGTTGGTCTATTGCTGGATTATCTTCCGCGCATATAAGAAGATGGAGCTGAAGCCTGCCCTGAAAACAACCAACGCAACTAGCCTGGCGCAAGCTGGCAGCAAAGACGAAACTTCCGAACGACCACTTTCGCTTGCCCATCTGTGCGTTGAACTCACAATAGTTGGGTTCGCAATATTCGGATTCGCGATGTTTGTGTTCGCGATATTGGTCATCTCTGTTTGACTAGAAAGACGCATCGAATGGCGATCAGACAGCTTCCTCATAGTATGCTCGATGATGTAGTAGGTCTGAGAGTACCCTTCTGAATATTCATAAATAGCAATTCGTCACAGCAGCTTATCTATCTTCTTCGATGGACGAACATTCATGGCTGCACAAGTAGACGTACTTCTCAATCATTGCCTCCCACAACTGGAGTTCACTGCATTCTTTGAGGTATGAAGCTTGCTCACCTCCTCATTCTCATCGGAAATCGAATCGAAAACTTCCTGTCTTGGGTCCTCAGGTCGCTTACGACGCCACCAAATTGAGCAGTCTCATCCCTGATTTCACTATCTCTGCTCGGCACCGGCAATGTGTGCCGCCAACAGGATGTTATTCCATAAGCCGACCCGAGTTGCAAACGTGCCGAAGGGAACGAGCCGTCAGATATTGTTGGTTGATCGGCCGGCTGGGTCAGTATGAAGGATTGCGGCGTGGTTGCATCTAGAGCTTGTACGGTTAGCTTGGTGGTGATCGTCTCAGCCACATGCACCCTTAAGGAGCAATTCCAGTCTCACCGGTGGTCGTAACGGCCGTCACATCACGCAATATTGTTAGTTAGCGTGTGATCGAGGTGTGGCTCCGCTTTCGTCACATCCGCGATCTCATTTCAACATGCCATGATGCCGCGCTAGGATGGTACGACTTGCATATGTTAAATGCCCGTGTTTTTGCTTTTTATTCTTGCTAGGGGGTCCGCCGTGCCCAGATTGCTGCCTATTCTTCCGTATCTTCCTAATCCAGTTTGGAAATGGTTTGTACGAAGTGGCCTATTTGTTGCTATAGTGCGAGAATCATCCACGGTTCCTCGACCTGGCGTGTCTACGCAGGATATAGCAGATTCCGACAGCTTGTGAGATCATACCGAAGGCATGGGAATGCCGCAGCGGCCTGGATATACCCGCGCGGCGTAGCCAACATGCATGAAGAGCAGCGGAACTTCAGCAGATTTTCCGCTTGTCAAGCGAAGATAGGAAATAGTGCAAGGAACGACAGGGACTCCACGTGACAGGGGGAAGAGGTTCTTAGACCAGATCTGGGTCTGGTGCGTAGTGCACGGCCAACTTCTTGCAGCTGAACGTCATTTCAACCAGTATCGCCGAACGGTAAGTGAGTTTGGAGGACCTCTTGACAGTAGTACACTTCGAGTAATCCCCTTGCTGGGCTACATTCCCTAAGATTAGATCTCCCAGCTAAGTACCCAATTCCCACACCCAAACAGCTCAAGATTCAAGGCAAACTAGCTGATGCTAGGATGTGTGATCAAAGCTTACCCCAAGAGTTGCTATTCCAGCACCGCTTACGCTAATGATTGAGGTGACCGGGGAGGCGGACCATACGACGAGAGGGTAAGAAACTTCAAGGTTTGTGTATGCCCCGACCACCTCGTCAGGGTGCCTCTTCCGGACCCCTCGGTGTAAACGTCTAACGGCCCTTCTTGGCATGCAAGGCGTAGTAGCCTGGGGCTTTTATCATGTCCTTATAAGCCGTTGGAGATGCTTCCGTTTTTGTACATTGGCCTTGTAGCACGACACTGAAACTTACTCCAGTCAATATCTTATTGTACAGTACCTGTACTGTCTTTCTGATCTTTGTTGTTCTCAATGCAACTTAGCCTCACTAGAAGCGGTGGAAACGAAAGGTAAATCTTCCTGTATCTTGTTGGTAACTGCCAGTGTGTGCACAAGCGGAGAAAGCGTTATCTGACTAACGTGTGAAACTAGAAGCAACAGGATATTGCTACAACTGTACGATGTCGGTAGGTGATTCTCTGATCGAGGAGTGCACCAATGGAACGACCAAGGCTGGATTATACTTGTCCCGCCTGGGACTGGAGAAGAATTTCAAGAACCCGAACAAACCAGGCAAGCCGAATTTTGAGTCAGTACCCGCGCTTTGTAAGTTGTGGGACGCGACAAACCAGAAGGTCAACGCGATTGCGGCGACATATAACTCAAGGAGAGCCATACGCGAGGCACTGAGACGACGGGACATCTGCCTGGACGAAATCGCAAGAGACTGTCTCGTCAGCTATGGTCCGGAGATCTGGAACAACGGAAGAGAGGTACCCTTCGTTCTTTCTCTCGACACAACAACCGCACCTTCCAAAATCAAGGGGCATGCTCAGGTCGCAGAGGACAAGTATCTGAGGCACCTGATCTACGAACATCCAAGTGATGAACGCAAGTATGTTAATCTAAGTCATTATCGTTTATAGATGTTAACGTTGTTGGTTGCAGAATAAGGCTGCTAGTGTCTGCATGGACCGTCCAGCGCGCCTGTCGGAAGGCCGAAGATAATCTTCGTGAAGGAAAGACTTCCCAGAAAGAAGTTGTGAAGTCGTCAACAGATTTTTCTAGCGTTATGGAGGCAATCCGTGTGAAACCGGCTAAGCGTACTCGCAATACCGTCTTGGCTTCGTCGTATGGTTCCCCAGGTTCCGATGAGCTCAATGCGTTGGTCTTTGACGACCCAGCCAAACGTCGGAGAAGATCCAAGCCTGCTGTACAACTTGACACTGCTCGTAAACTACAGTCAAAGAAACCGAAAAAGACTCATGATCCACAGTGTATTCCGGAAAGTCGGCACAAGATGCGGACTGCTGTCGCGGTTGTGATACCCGCACGAAAGCCTCAGCATACTGAGCCAATCAAGATGACCAACCGAACACGAAGTCAACCGCTAGACAAGAGAAAAACAGTGCCACGTCCTGCACAGGGTAGAAAGAAAGGATTGGCTAGGGAGACCACGCGATTGACAACTGAATCCCGCACAACTCCGCCCCGCACAAGAACGGGAACTCGTAGTGAACGGTCGGTTCAAAGCAGTGCTGACGCAAACACGAACTTATTGATGGCTCAGCTAGACCATGACCGAAATGCTATGGGCATAGAACTCGACGATCTTTTATTGCCGCACAACCCTGGATGTCACAACCTTGCGGCTATCAAGCGGACTATCGGACTCATTGACACCATAGCCATCAATGATGTTCAGGGCCTCCGTAGAAAGCTTGGAGACTCCTATGAAAAGCACAGGATCGCTTTAGATAGATGGCTGGGATGCGTCAAAGCACTTGTCGAGTTCCGCGAGATTACTGATCTTGAGGGAAATGAAGATGCGATAGAAGCCGAGTTCTCAAGTTTACCACTGCCCATTAAGAGGAAGGCACGGTTGCTTCGGCAGAGAAAGCACCAGGAAATTGTGTCATGGTTCAAAAGGCCTGCTGTCAAGGAGCTTGATTTCACCATCGCCAGTTTCTCCAGAGACGTGGCCTCCATACTTTCGAAAATGACTAGCTGGAGTGGCTTGCCGGACATGGGTGTGGATGAAATCCTTCACCCCATGGTACCTTTTACAGAACAGCTCCTGGGATGGTTCAGGGGCGTGCCGATTAGCTCCACGACAAGGAATTGAAGGGTTTTATCCATGCTCATCTCGGTTTGTAATGGTTGCAGGTTTCTAGAGTCAGGTCAGGGGAATAGAGGAATTCTTATGTACGTATAGACTAACCAAACAAAGCTCAATAGAAATAGACTTCACCTACCTAAAAGTAGCCTCCAATTGCGTCCGTGGGCATGAAGAGCTTGTTTGTGCGATACATAACTGCGAAAGCCTGTCGGGTTGCTCTATTGGACTCAAGGCATGTGAAAACGAGCACCTTCTGGGCAGACTGCAAAGACGTTCCCTTGCCGACACACTCCTGAGCCAGCTGCTGCTACGCCACGTTTCGCACCTTGAAGCAATGCTTGTAACCACCCGTGACAGCTCCAGCAGAGTTGACAATCTTCGGAAATCGCCAACCATCCAGTGACTGTCTCACTTCACTTGTGCCAATCTTCAGTCGCTCTAGAATCTCTATAACGGCAGCATACAGGACATCGAGATTACCATCTTCAACCTTGACAGCAATACCAATAGCTCCATGACTTGCCTCAGTCATGTCAGCGTCGTTTGGTGCGCGGACAGCGACGCCATAACATGCGTCCGCTCCAATCTTTCCCACGATCTGTCCACCATAAGCTGCCATGAGCGCCGTATCGAATCGACCTTCACCGGCGACCAGTCCATGGTAACCAGCCATCGATTTATGGATACGAGCTAACTGTTGCGTTCGTTGAACGACTGGTTTCGTCTTGGTATCGAAGCAATCAGCGGCATCAGCAAGTCTCGCGAACATGAGCGCAAAGTTTGGAAGAGGCATTGCTGGGGTTGGAAGGTTACATCCATCCACAGTCCAAAGCACTTCGTTTTCTCCAAGCCCGCTCAGGTCTTCTACGGCTCGATATACGCGTTGCTGCATTGGATGTCTGGGAAAATAGTAGTCGTGAGCCGAAGCGCCCAGAGATAGAGCGCCTGCTACCATGCCAACATGTTTCCCAGAGCAGTTGTTGTCGAGGGCAGTTGGCGTATAGTCTTTCTTGATCCATGCACGATTGACCACAGGGTTCTGAGCTGGGTGTCCGCCGCATGTAAGAATCTCTTCCTTTTCTCCAGTCTTTTCCAGCATCGCACGTGCTCGTTCAACGTGTCGCGGTTCGCTACTGTGTGAAGCACACATGAGTGCTACATCGGCATCGTCGTAGTTGAATCGTTCTGCAGCCCCGGTTTCCAGAATGGCGAGTGTCTGAATTGGTTTGGTAGAAGATCGTGCTAGTGTCATCCTCTGATGGTTGCCGACGGTGTAAATGAGCTTGCCAGATGCGTCAACAACGGCGGCGTGTACATCGTGCGTGTTCTCGATGATACCACCACGGTAGCTGATGACTACATCGTTGCCATGGGATCCGACAGAGCTGTGCACTTGGTCATCGATAGCGGCGCCTTGGGTCAGAGGACTAGCCGTCGCTTGTGGCTCCTGGTCCTTGGTCGCATGCACCATGGCTTGGTTTGTCTAATTGCGACTCGCCCGAGTCGAATGGATGGTCGATGTTCAACACACGATATGGCAGCAACTTTGCTCAATCAGGATTGATAAGGGAACAGTCTTGAGGTAGGACCTTCGTTGTTGAAGGCATACGTGATGCACGAAGAAAATCGTTAGTGTACGATGTTGTTGCTTCCGACATACACCTGCCTTTCAATGTCTAGCGTCGAAGATTTGATTACCTAAAGATAGCTCGATCGAGCGTGGCATCGCCAACAAGAGGGCTGAAGAGGCATCGCATCGTCATGGTCATCGTTATGCGCCCTATACGTTGCTGATAAGGCGTGCGATAAGGTATCGGATGAGGGGGTCACAGTTACGACGACGCTAGGAAGTCTGAACACGTTCTTGTTGTAATGTGAACTACTGAGAATTGTTGGAGGCAGCTCTGCGCTCTCAGCCTGTTGGACATGATATAGATCAATGACGTTGTGGGTTGCAGAGATGCCAGAAGCCGGAAGACCGCACCGCGGGAAGGAGCGTGTCGCGCTACAGTGCCCGTGCGTCAGTTGAGCACCAACGCCAGTTGAGCACCCCCAACAACTCAATATAGTCAATAAAATGAGGTTGTAGAGCTACCACAAATCGTGATAAAATTGCGCAAAAGTAGATTTATACTATATATAGGCCTACGAAACTTTTGGCTTATTTAGATATTTTTTTAGATGGCGTTATGGGGCGGTCTTGTCGACTACGCGGCGGAGCAGCTGGTGCAACCCGTGCGGCTCCTACTACAGTTGTAGCAACACTACTACGCTTTTGACGCTTTGTAGCTGGCTTGTGAGCTTTTGAAGCTTTACGCTTACCCGATTTGGGTAATTGTATAGCTTTGGCAGCGTCGCGGAGGCTTCTATGATGCTTCTTTTTGGCTTTCTCTGCGGCCTTCCGCTTTCTGGTCTTCTTCTAACTCTTCTCCCGCTCTATACGCCTCGCAGCTTTGAGCTTTGCCTTATAATCGCGAGCCGCTTTACTTGTCTTGGCTTGCTCGGCTTTTTGAAGCTTTTTAAGCTCGGCTTGTTGTTGTTGTTGTATCTTGTTATCCTGAACTCGTTTGACGCTTGTTGGTGACTACTAAATAGCTCCACTATGATACTTAGGATGATCCTTAAGCTGTAGGGTATAGGATTTGGTTTCCCGCCTCTTCTTGATGGCTAGGGACTGCCTGAGGCCTTGGAGTTTGCTGTGGAGGAGTGTATTTTGAGCTGTAAGGTGGTGTAAACTTCGTTGAAGCTTCTTGACCCCTTTACTGCTTTGATCCCTTACCTCCCGACGTATAATTGACTTTAGCTTGAGCTAATCTTTAGCGGAGAGTACAGAGCTTGAACTGGCTTCTGAATCTGACCCCTCTTTGGCAAACTTGTTGAGTACAACTGCTGGGTTGGGTGGGTGTATACTAGTTGCTTTAAAGGACCTCTTGATAAGGAGAGGTTTGAAAACCTTGACCTAGGACCTCTAGAAGAGCGGGAAGAAGTCTCCTTTGGTTATATTGAGTAATCCTTGGCAGTTTTGAAGGTATTGGGTTAGCTCTTTTGAGTAAGCGTTTGCTAAAGGTTTGAATATTACTATATTAAGTGGTTGAAGCGTATGGGTAGCGTGAGGCGGGTATACAGCTAACAGGATCTTGTGATCGTGACAATAATTGATAAAGTCCATTGTAACATGAGATCTATGGCCGTCAAGGAGTAGTAATTGATACCTAGTTGAAGCATGCCGCCGGGTTTCTCTTTCGAACACCTCCTTGAGCTAATGTAATCCGATATCGTTGTTGCTCCAGCCGGAGGGCGACGACGTAGTAAAGACTGAGTGGTTTCCTGCTTGTACAGCATCAACCTAGCTGGTTTGTATAGCTCCGTTGGCTGCCTTGAAGATGAGAGAAGGACTTAAAACGCTCCTATCCGAATAAATACAAGCTATAACAGTAATCTACTTACTTGAGCCATCCTTAAGCGGTTGGCGTACCCCCTTTTTTATATAACGTGCCTTGGAGAAGATACGCTTTGTTCTGCCAATCTTTCTAAGTTGAAACCCCTTTTCGTCTATATTGAATATATGGGACGGCTGGACGTCGTACTCCTCTATCTTTTCAATTAAAAGCTTGAAGTACAAGCTGTACTTGGCTTCTGAATTAGCGTTGCAACGAAGTTTGCTTAACCTCTTGCTGTACGCTGAGATAAGAGAGTTGGGATGACGCTGGAGAAACTGGGTAACCTAGGTTTCTGAAACCTCTTTTCTAGCTAAGTCTGTAGCAAAGCGTTGTATCATCTCCCTTGAAGGTGGCAAACGTCGTTTAGTAAGCGTATTAACGTATCGTAGAAGCTCTTTTTCGTGTTGTGGATGGAGGGAGAGGTGGCGTACGCTATAGGCCTTAGTTTCGCCGCGGTGTCGTCTTATTAACGTCATCCGTGCTACACTATACTTTTTCGCGATTGCTTGGTACGAGAAATTATCTCCTGGTTCTCGCGATTTGATTTCTGCAATCGCTTCTTGAATTGGATCTATATTGGTTGAGTTATGACGCGTTGAAGTTTTGTTGTTGAGCTGGTGGGGGTGCTCAACTGGCGTTGGTGCTCAACTGACGCACGGGCACTGTAGTGGCTAGCGCGTTTTTTTACTAAGAGTAATTCTACGCGTCAGGAACGGTGTCTCCAAACCGCAAAGCAACCGTAAGCCACGTTCACCCTGCCGACGTGTCATTCGATGAAGAGATCAATTTCAACCAGTACGCCCCACACGATTCATATTAGGCGATCGTTCTAGATCTTGACAGCTTCAGAAACGCAAGATTAGACAGCAGATCGCAAACGGCATACTTGAGGTTGCAGGAAATTCTTGATAAATTGTGGATGAAAAGTATGTACATGTAATGCAATGAAAGGAAATGGGTATCTGAGTTCTTGCGCAGCAAGAGACGGCAATCACCGCCGTTTAAACGCTGAAGCTGACAGCAGGAGTCTTCCAGTTAACCAGCTCAGGCCCAATCTTCTTCAGGTCTGCTACACCGATGTTGGCCGCGTCGTTGATGAGCTCGTACTTGAGCATCTCGGTCGCCCTTGCGACACCCTCAGCACCGTAGATGTTGGCGTACATGAAGGGCCTTCCCAGACCGACAGCCTTGACACCCAAAGAAAGGAGCTTGAGAACATCAGTTCCATAGCGGATACCGCCGTCGGCGTAAACCTCGATCTGCTGGAAAATCTCGGGGTCTTCGTTGTAGATCTCCAGAGCAACTTCAAGAGATGATGGCGAAGTGTCGGTTTGGCGGCCGCCGTGGTTGGAGAGAAAGATGGCCTTTGCGCCCTGCTTGACGGCCTCGCGGGCGTCTTCAACAGTCTGGATACCCTTGGGGATGATAGGCAGGGAGGTCATGTTGGAAAGCTGCTGGAACAGATCCCAGGTCAGAAGGCTCAGGTTGACGTCTGCGGAACCGACACCGTAACGTGCAGCACGGTGCCTGACACCGTCACCAGGCGAGTCGACGGTTAGGACAATAGCCTTCGCACCAAGGCTCTCGATCCTCTTGAAGAGAACTTGTGTGTCGTTCATGTCACCATCAAGGTAGACTTGTTGGAACAGGACTTGCTCTGAACCGTTGGGACGAGCAGCGTAGATATCCTCTAGGCTCTTTGACGAGTAGAGCGAGGTCATGTAGAGGATGTTACCCTCGCCAGCACCCTTGACGAGACCGAGCTCGCCATCCTCGTTGGCGTATCCGCCACGCGCACACGGTGAGATGAAGAACGGCGCTGAAAAGTTGTGGCCAAGGATGGTCGTGGGCATGGAAGCCTCGATGTTGGTAATGTCACGTAGGACGCGTGGTCTCAATCGGTACCGGGAGAAGACTTCTAGGTTGTTGCGGTACGACCATTCGCCAGCCGCTCCGTTGCGGTAGTATGTGTAGGCTGAGGTGTTCATGTGTTGACGACCAACCCACTGGAAGTCTGGCAGACCAACCAGGGAGCTGAGAGGAGGCAGCGTACCATTGGCGACGAACCCAGCCAACTGGTCATCGATACCAGTGTCTGGTTCGTTCAGGAAAGGCCGGGCTGCGAGAGCGCAAGTAGCGAAAGCGAGGAGTGAGTAACGCATTTTGAGCGACTACTGGTATAGTATCTGAGAGGAGAAAAGATCGACTGTGGGTGAATGATAGTCGGGCGGACGCTCCCAAGACTCTTATACTTCGTCAACAAGCCTGGCATACATTGGAGCAGCACCTGGGCAAGACTGCGCCTAGTTTGCATGTAACCACTCTGGGGATAAAATCCTGCATGCCATCCAATCCTTGCCTGTACACCATCTGTGCAAAACCAGAGCGCACATGGCGTTGCTTGCCAAACTGGGTTTCGAAACCATTTGCGTCATCGGAGTAGGGCCGTGAAGGCCCTTCATCTGATAAACAAGCCTGTCAAGACGTCCAGAGTGGAGCACGGTTATCTCCTGCTGCGTTGCCAAGAGCTCCAGAGGCGGTTGCGACCAGGTTGTTGTTTAGCATGAATTGCACGCACTGGGCACAGTAACTGCATCGGGCCGATGTGGTTCATGTCAGGATTGTCAGTCCAGGCACGCGGGTGACCCACCGCGGAATTTCGAATCCATCGGTGTTGTTGTGGTAGCTTGATTGGTCAGGACATTGGTAATGGCTGCACAGTTCCTGAAATTGAGGTACCGGGACAAGACCGAAACGTGGAAGGTGGCTTTCGGTCACAGCCGTGGGATTCCTAGGTAGCTCGGCACATTGCCGGACCTGGAACGTCACTTATCCCACCGGCTTGTGTGAAACGGATTCCGCTCTATGGGCTCGATGACAAAGCCAGCAAAACATCATTCCGCTGCGCCTCCACTACGTTCTTTGGTACGCGTGTTGATGTCGTTGGCGGCTCTGCTGTTACTCGGCATGATTGTAACAGGCGAACGCGTTATCGCCGGAGAGGGATCACACAATAACGGACTAGAACGAGCAATGTGCATATTGGACTTCCTAAACAATACTCGTTGTCTTGGTATCTTAGCGATTTATCTGTATTGAAATTTGAAGGAAGGTCCTACCCCATCGGATCGCACCTCCGAGGGCACACATGGACTCTAGTGCGCTACGATACAAACTTTTGCATATCGTTGCGGTCGCACAGTGCTCTAGATTGCTGTTCAGTCAAATTTTCGTGCGACTACATGCACGAGTGGGGTGGTCGTGATGACAAGGAACGATGAAGGATGGAACAGTGGCCCAAACAGTTTGAAACCAGTTGACAGGTGGGTGACGCGAACGCGCTAGTGCTGTAGCGCGTAACGGTCGCGACGCCATTCCAAGGTTGTGTCCGATATTTGTTCTCTGTCGACACCGACCACGAATCCACAAGCCACCGTTGAGTGCCGGAGCTAATTCATACGACTAGTCGGAAGGACCGGTGTCGACACGGCAGCGTCCGCAAGGGAAGGAACACCAAAGAATGCGAATATGGCGGATCTCCGCCTCCCGTTATCACTTTCTGCGGAAGACCGTATTGACGTAGCCTGAACAGGAGGGCATGCACATATCCAGGAGCTGGAGCCCGCTCCTCTGATGAGTTCAATACAGGGGAGATTGCGTCAAGAGGCAGTGGCAAAGAGCCGACTAGTGACGCGACGACTACCCAGATATCCACGAGAAGAATTTGACAGCTCATGCTAAACGGTTAAGTATCTTAATTTTACTCGGCTTGGCACTGTTATAGGCTATCAGGGTGTTTAATGGGAGTTCTATACGACGCTATTGTCATAGTCATGCCTGACGCCCTTCCATGCAGTGGCACTCAATGGTACCTCGGTAGCGCCGGCCTCGATGTATACTTCAAGGCGCAGCAATGCTTAAGTTATTGATTAATCAGAGGAATTGGCGTATCCACTAGTGCAAAGCTGAAGAGCTTTACGACGGCAATGTCGACAGGGTATAAGGCTCCAAGAGGTGCGGGGGAGTCGCCGAAGACGCGGGGTCAGGCGCTCAGTCAAGAACACTATACTCTTATTTCGCTCGCGACCACGACCAGCCGTCCATCATGGCTAACGTTCTGCGCGTGGCAGCATGCCATGTATCGCCGATCTTTCTCAATGCACGCCGAACAACCGATAAAGCCATATCACTTATCAAGCAAGCGGGATCCAATAAGGCCAACCTTGTAGTGTTTCCCGAGACCTACATCTCTGCTTTTCCGATATGGAGTGCTCTACGTGCGCCCACGGAAAACCATACACTGTTCCAGCGCATGGTACAGGAGTCTATCTATGCTGATGGTGATGAAATGGAGGCGGTACGTGAAGCGGCACGATCGAATAACGTCCTTGTGAGCATCGGCTTCAGCGAACGATCCCGGCACAGTAACGGCTGCCTATACAACTCGAACATCCTCATTGGGAAGGAAGGAGAAGTCCTCGTCCACCATCGCAAGCTGGTCCCTACCTTCTTCGAGAAGCTTACGTGGAGTAGCGGTGACGGCCATGGGCTGCGTGTGGCTGACACGCAATTCGGTCGCATCGGCACATTGATTTGTGGCGAGAACACTAATGCGCTTGCAAGGTACTCGTTGATTGCGCAGGCTGAGCAGGTGCGTGATTCTCCTTCTGTCCATCGCGCTCGAGCCTTACGTAGTTAGGTACATATTTCGACCTGGCCCGCAATTTGGCCGACAAGAACTTCACACACCGCGCAATCCACCGACGATAGTAATGAGCAATCTAGTCCAAGCGTTGCGCGTGGGACGAATTACGACAATCTAGCGGCGAACAAGACCCGCGCCGCAGCACATTGCTTCGAAGCGAAGTGTTTTGGTGTAGCGTGCTCTGGCCATCTCGCTGAAGACGCTATCAAGACTATCATCGACGGGGCAAGCCAGCCGGATGTCGTGGCCGACACTTTACGCGCTATGCCCCGAGCTGCGACCTTCTTCCTGGATCCCACTGGCGCTCCGTTGCGTAGCTTTACCTACCGGGACGCGGAACAAGAGTACATGCACGCTTTACAAGATCAAGAAGGTATATTGTATGCCGACATGAACCTGGACGACTGCATTGAGGGAAAACAATATCACGATGTCGTAGGTGGGTATCAGCGACCGGATGTGTTCGATCTCAAAGTCGATCGATCAAGGAAAGAACCGGTACGCTTCACTTAAGAACTGGGCTATAGGATAGTCACCTATCGTCGTCATCAGCCCATGTGGCATCGTGTCAAGGCGGTTCACAAAACGCTCTTCGATCGTATGCATTATTTATACAAGAGCTCCGCGGTACTTCCGTATGCCAGCACCCTCACGTTCACCGTATCGAAAACTAGTGAGTCTCTTATGACGCTACCATGCTTCTCGTCAACCCTCGTCACAGTGCCTGCACCGATCCAATGGTCTTGAGCAATTTGAACCCAGTCGTATGATCCCGAGTCAACCGTTACCAAGCTTTTGCGGGGTGAGAGATTCCTTGGTTGTGGCTTTCGGGTCGGATGGCGTCCTACCGGGAGTGTACGCGGAAAGCGATGATCGAATGCATACCATCTATCGGAAAAATATCGGGGGTTCAGGCGCAATGTCAGGTTTCCAGGACAGGTAGGCCGGGCAAGTATACCTTTATCTACGATGTGCCTGTAGCATCTACAGGCAAGGGAAGCCTACTCAGCTATGCTGATGAACTCAGCCGAACACCTTCTTCCGTCCTAATCATAATCTCTTCAAGTCGACGCCGACGTTCTGTTCCTAATGTCTCGGTCTTGGCAACTCGAATCAGCTGTCTTGGTGATCGACGGCTGACCGCGCTGTCGGATTTAAGACGGAGGCATCTCCACTCCCAACACTGAGACCTTGGCAAGTCTTCCTCCAGGGCCAGACACAATAGCCAAGTAATGCATGGTGTTTTCAAGGTTTCGCAAGTATCTCATCCCTCTGCGTCATGGTTATCGTGGCACTGCGAGACCGAAACCGAGCCCAGGGATGGAATGCGGTATAACCCGTCGGCGCGTCGCGCCAGACTCATGATGAGTATTCAATAAGCATGGTACGTCACGCGTGGCACAGCCCATCACTAGCACCGGAGAAGCGACCAATTCGTCGAGAGAAAGATTCCCTTGTTCGTATCACATCTAACGTGGTATCTCAAAACTCTCGTAATCCTCCGAGCCCATGGAGCAGAATGTACACCGTCTTGTATCATTTGCACAGTCTCTGCTGCTGTTTCCTTAGCCGAATAGGTCGCCAAAGGCAGAACCGTCGTCCGAATCCGCGTCGATGCCGATGCCTTCATCTCCGTCTCTCTCGTCGTTTCCATCCTCTCCAGACACCTTGCCATCTTCCTTGGTATCGGTGACGGTGTTGCGGCCGGCTGGCGCAGCCGTGACCGCGGTCAAGACTTCCTTGACGTTCTTATCCTTGAGTGCGTTGGCGAAGAGTGTGGTCCAAATCGGCTCCACATCCTCAAGACCAGCAGCCTTCAGCAGTGTCTGGAGCTTTTCTGGTGTTATGGCGATGCTTTCGTCAGCGAGAATTAAGGCGGCGTAAGCGACGGCTTGCTCAGACTTGTTGGTAGTGGTAGACATTGAGGGGATTTAGCACCGTCCGAGTTGATATTCGTATCCGAGGGAGAATGGTATGTTGGCCGTAATCGGTCGCGATTAATTCCCAGAAGTTTGTTGTTACTCTTGAGGTAAGTGCAGCTTTGTTAGTATCGATATGGACTGTATCGCTCAGTTTGTTATGCTGGTCTGTTGGTGCGAGGCTTTTATGTATGTCTGGTAGAAGCACTGGTCGGTCGAGTCAGAGTATTTTCACATCGTATCTAGATCAACTTTGGTAGCGACATGGTCATGTTGTGGATCCTGCGACGATCGTATTACGGTGGCAACGAACAGCCCGCTCTCCACAACATCACCGTTTGGAATAATTACAGGCACAATCTGGAGGTATAGCTACGATTGGCGCGTTGAAAGCTCGTTCGAACAAGGTCCGTCTGTGAAGGGTTGGGTTGCGCGGAGTGAGTCAGCAAAAGGGCGTTGCGGCACCCGATCGAGCAGCTCGCCTTACCACATTGTGACTCACGGCCAACATGACCTGACAAGGTCACTCCAATATGCCTTATCCACGAAATCGAAGCGATTGGGCTTTAACCGACTTTGACACTTTTTCGATCCCGCGAGCTTCTTGTCCAGCGGCCGGACCTACGGACAAAGGGGCACGAAACACCGGAAATGAGCTTCCATACTTTCCTGCATCCGCATTTCTGGCCACATGAATAACACCATGTTTCTCCTCTGCAACTTGTACTACGACTTTCTGGTACTCGAATATCCCGTTTGCTCTGTCCGATAGTCATTCAATGGAACGACAAAGCTTCTCGTCTGGTATCGCATTTTCGTACAGGTGTCGTAAGAACCGCGCAGGTTGAAGACAGCTTGTGCCGCTACAGGTTACTGTCAAGCCAGCCCGTACCGTCACAAATCCGGTGCCTTCTTGTGCCTTCCTGGTGCGAACTGGCTCAGCATGGTCCTGCCTAGGTAGTATGAGCCTTCACGGGTAGCAACAGAGTGGCAAAACAGGCACTCGTCGCTGCTTGTGTGCTGTATCCTCAAGTATCTTGGAGTTACTGGAAAGGCGAGCTCATGACGCCTGTACGTCGCGCTGTGGTCACTGTTACTACGTGCATTCCGCGTCGCAGGGTCGCGGGGCCAAAGCTTACGCGTATATCGTATATCGTATAAGAGGGCTTCCCTAGTCGGCTTCACATCGCAGAGTCCATTTATAAAGCGGACACTGCATGGTTCACATTGCATCTCAGTTCGCTCAAGCCACTATTATGGCCAGAGTTACTGTTCGCACCATGTCGTTATTACATGTGTTTGCAGGTGCTGCAGCCTTAGGCGCCATTTTACCCCTGTCAAGCGGTCCAATCAACAGCCACCAACAAGCCGTCTTGAACGCCCCTCCAACTATCCCAGAACCTCCAAAGCCCGAAACAATCGATGTCATCGAACTCCCATTACCTCCAGTATCTGCAAGCAGAGACGTCGGTGCATGTACAGCGGCGCTTAACCCACATCGGACGGGTTGCATTGCACGAGAGCTTACGGAAAAGTTCCAAGCTGGAGATTTTACACCGGACGGCCAAAATGTGATTGTCACAGTGACCTTTGTTGGAGCGCCTGCGGCTCCAAGTTCAGCAAGCATTTACGAGGGGGTTCAGTTGATTCTCATTAGAACGGACGGTACAAACTTCAGCAATGGCGACCCGTGGAAATGTCTGACGTGTGGTGTACCGACCAAGAATGCGAAAGAACTGGATCCGCAGAGAGATTATCCACATGTGTTCAGAAGTGGCGACAAAGCAATCTGGGGCCATAATATCCTCGATTGCAATGGCAAGCAGTTGGCCAGCGATGCCTGCACGCCCGATGACATCCACATATATCCAATTTACTGGTCGAATGGAGCTCCTCGGGAGCTGCGCATACACCCCGACGATGTTCACATTGGCTGGAGTTCGTTCACGAACGGTGCTGGGCAGTTTTCTTACTTTGGTCGTCTGAAATTCAACGCGCATCCATCAGGGACAGGTCCTGCTGTGCCTCGGTACGATCTGGTCGATGTTGACCTGCTCGTCGATCCAAAGGGCGGGGCTTTCATAACAGCCGATGGGAGTGAATTGAAGCTCCAGCCTGAATCAATCACCGTTGGCGAGCTGAGAGGCTTCAGCGGATCCGGCGACGAAATACTGTACCTCGGTGCACCCACCGAGTCAACAAATATCGATCTATATGCAGTTCATATCGAGACTGGTATAGTTCGTCGCCTAACCAGTCACCCCGACTACGCTGATCCAATTGCCTTTTCTGCTGACGACCAATGGTTTGTCACCCAAGATACACGAGCGAGCGAGCGTCAGATGTGGATGTCCGGCATGCGAGGTATCCCGCCTCTCATCGACATTGTCGCGGTGGCAGTCGCAGCGTCTACACGAAACAATGGGAAGCGCCGTTTCTTTCAACCCATCTTGATAGACCACCATGGAGATCGTGGGTCGTATTACGGGCAGCAGGTCAACGGAAATGGCGACAAAAGCGATGGGGCCATCAATGACCCAAGTTGGAATGGGCGAGCGGATCCGGCCTTTTCTTTGGATAGTACATGCATTGTGTATTGGCAATCGATCGTCACCTCTCCGGCTTGTGGTGGCATCAACCCACTACCTTGCCCCGCCTCCACTGCGCAGGGTCGGCGTGAGTACCGTGTCATGCTCGCGCGTCTGAGCGATCGCCAGCCCTCACTGCCGGCCCCAGTTTATAAGGTGTCTACTCGCATACCGTGGGCAACATCATTCCCACCGGGGACTGACGTCCCTTCACTGCCTACGCTAAAGCCAGGTAACTATACCCTCCGTGGTAAGGTGTCTGGGTTTGTGGAGGTCAGCCTTATTGGAGACGCGGTTCATCCCGAACCAAACTCTATTAAGCGCGTCGTGGCCAATTATACAAATTTTTCTGATGACGGCGACCACACCATCAACGGCTCGGAGGACGTCGAGCTGACTGTCCTGTTTCCAAATGTCTGGAACCAGAGACTTGATTGGTATTCCGACATTGTGCAGACGGGATCGTCGACTGGAAGCAAGAAAACTGGTGCGCGCGGGCTCCAGTTGAGGATTGATGTGATGAAGAACATACTTGAAGCGAACGGGACGCTGACGACAACTATCGACGGCGTAGCTTATCATCAACCTGCCAACGGCACCTGAAAAAGACGTTCTTAGCTGTAGCTGGAGTACGAACAATTTTCATGTATTGTTTTCGGCGGCCTATCGGTCACATTAAGTCGTTAGTTACCCAGCTAGCTGATCACTACCGGTGAACCTGTCCATAGCTGGCAGTGTTTGCTTCGTGGCAGAACATCTTTGGGCGAAGGGCGTGGGGATATCGATAACACTATTTCTTTGGAGACATTTTAGTCAAACCTTCGAAGGTTTGAGCACGTTCCTGGTCCTAGCAAGGGTGGGACCCTTTTTGGCGTTTGTTACCCGCCCGGGCAGGACTAGGCCAAGCTGTCGCATGCCCTGACCAGCGCCTTTAGGCTAGTCGTTTATAATTGCTGGATGTTTGCATGCGCCGAGGTTGTAGCAATATCACATATCAACTCCAGACCTCATCTAAGCGGGAACGACTCTCTGCACCAGACGATGTGGTGATGTCATCAGGAGAGCAAGCCTCGGTGTCCCTAGGAACATTATTCGTCAGATGTACTGGCCATAATGCTAAGCCTCGCGTCGCTCGGTTGCTCTATCTTATTCCTGGAGGCATTTCTAAGCCGCCATGGATTTCCCGCTGCCAGATCGAACGCGTACGTCCTCGGGCCGCGCGCTAGCGCCACCCAACATGTTGACCCGCGCATTCGCACTGATCCTGCATCTGCAATCGCATCTAGAAGCCGCGTTTTCGGATTCGACCAATCTCAATGAAGTGCACTCCGAAGCTCGTGTTCATTGGTACTATACATAAAAAAAATGCAATGGACTTGATGTCTTTCCTAAAGTGTACCGTTCACCGCTTGTGGCTGAGTGAGTAAGCGGTATGATTAACAACCGGTTAACGGTAAATGTCTGAAGATCGATCTGACTCGGTAAGTAAACGGGATCGCCAGGATGGGTGGTGCTTACGCACTCGCATGGTTCACATAGTTGCTGTGCCACCCGTGTGACACATCACTTTAAGAACCTCACGTTGCTGATTCTACCTCTTGCTCATACAGGGTCCTCGATGCGAACGCCATGTGGAAAGACCCATGCAATTGGTTAAGATCCGCAGATTTACGCCCGTGCCTGCGGCAACGTGAACCCGAAGTCCCAAACGCTTGCACGGCTCGGTTTACAGCTGTTTGCCGTTCTCGTGGGGAGCGCTTGACAAGCCCTGCTCGATCCCGCCTTTCTCACCGTGAATCCAATGGCTCCTTACCTTGATTGGAGACTCTAGAACAATGATGGACGAGCATGCCCACTACTCCGGTAAGTACCATTCCACTCTCCTTGTGAACATGATTCATCAATTTCGTGTAATGATTCAAACGAAACTCCGAGGTGGGCTTGGTTGACGCAAGGAACGAAAGTATGGAGTCAGATACGCCATGGTTTGGTGGGCGCGTTGAGGCTTATGGGCAGCTCTGGTTCGATTTACTATCTAGTAGTCGGCGACCTACCCATGCACTCGACGACCCTGTATCGCTTACCACGCTGCTGGTGGAGTATGTGTGGAGATCTTGCATGATAACTAAGTCCGGAGGGTTCTAGCGGTTCAGTCGTCTGTCGTGTACACAAGCCGCTATGCGTGTCGGACTGCAACGCAATAACCAAGCAATGTACGCCTTCACCCTCACTCTGTTTAGTGATGACGTTCAATTGATCCTTCTGTCGCTCTCTCCAGTAGCGTGTCTCTAAGTTCAAATGAGTCAAACAATGAATCATAGCAATACAGCAGAACCTTGGCAATGGTTCGATCTGGTGGGACGACTAGATTGGCATAACGCGGGATCAAGGCCAAGCGAAGATGCGGTATATTGTCGCTACAGCTTCGAATTAGTTTATACGCATGCTAATCTACTAGACAGTCCAAGGTAGAACTTCCGGCTATCTCGGATTAGAGTAAGAATGAGACATACCTAGGTAGTCATGCAACTGCATGATCGAGATCGCTCCTCATGTCCATTCACATGCAGTTTTCTTTCGTAGGCTAGGATTCATTCCTCATACGTCAGCAAGCGACTCGATAACCGAAAGGATTGCGATCTGGATAGACAGTGCTTGCAAGGTGGTAGGGGTGGGTCAAACGGAAGGGCGCCCTTGCTGAAATCGACACGGAAGATTACGAATCCAGTAACAACCCATTCAGCAGGATGCTTTTGTATCATGCGGGTCTCTACTGCAGATGTGGGCCGCAAGCTTAGACTAGTAGGCTATGTTTGCGAAGGTCGCGGTGTGTATTGCCGCTCGGCATATGCCCGCAAAACAAGTTGTCAAGCGCGCGTCTTGAGTATTCCATTAGTATGAAAGCGCACCATCGTATGTGCAGAAAATAGTCTCCCAATTCTTCCTCTCTTCCAGTAGTGCTGATTCAACGCTATGGAACCGTATGCGTTACTCCAAAACATATCTGGTCTCTCAGTTGAGGACCAGACTTTCGTCTCTCGATTTGGGCGCGGCCCAATACTTCCCGTCTCCCATAACACAGTACATGAGGCCTTTGAGAGTATCGTGGATACTCATCCAGGTACTGTGGCTGCCATACATGGAGTCAAAAGCATCACGTACCTGCAATTGGATCTTGCTGCCAACCGTTTGGCACACTACCTCATCGCCTCAGGACTTCGACCCAGACAACGAGTATGTGTCGTAGTGCAACGATCAATAGAGATGCTCATTGGCTTCTTTGCCATCATGAAGGCTGGATGCCAGTACGTTCCAATCGATGGTGGCGTCGCATCTGACGAAGCTTTGCGACACATATTCGAGGACACTGAAGCCCGTTTCATTTTGTGTCTACCCCAGTACTGGGATAGAGTCAAGCAGTTCGCCAATCTTAATACTGTCGTCCTCGAACTAGGCATGAACACTGGAGCGTTCTACTCTCCTAGTAGACCAGGCATTCCTGTCACATCGGACGATGGTGTGTACGCAATGTACACTTCAGGTTTGTGTCCTCTATATCGACTATGAGCTTCGCTGATCAGTGACAGGAAGTACTGGTGTACCCAAAGGCGTAGATGTCAAGCATGGTGCTAAGACCAACGCTCTCCTTTCGGAGCCGGGTCGATTGGGAATGATCGTTGGCTCAAAGGTCGGCCAGGTTTTGAGTATATCCTTCGCTATGGGTAAGTGTTTGTATCTTCGATGGTACGCGGAATATGCTGATCGTTACTGCAGGAGCATGGGAGATGTTGGGGTGCTTGATGAATGGCGGGACGTTGTATCTACGAGGATCTGACTGGGATGCAACACTGAAACAGGTAACTAGAACTACATACTGCCACTGAAGAACCTCACTAACAATCTCGGTAGATTGACACTCTGATATGTACTCCTTCCATTCTCGCAAAGTATAACCAACAACACTATCCGAACGTCAAGACAATCGCTGTAGCAGGAGAAGCGTGTCCACAAGGGTAAGTACGTCGCAGGAGCTGACTTGAACTACCACTGACCATAACACAGTCTTGCTGATGACTGGGCTCAAGGTAGATCTTTCTGGAATCTACTAGGCTCTACGGAAACCTTTCTGCTTTCTGCACAAGAGCATGTCGTCGGCACGCCTTTGTCGATCGGTCGACCCCTACCCAATGTCTCTTGTTACGTTCTCGATGATGCAGGTAGACTTGCGCCAGTTGGGCAGAAGGGCACACTCTGGGTGGGCGGCGCAGGTCTCGCAAAGGGGTATATCAACCTGCCTCTGACGACTGCAGAAAAATTTCAGCCAGACGAATTCTCCAACGATGGGTAAGCGGAGATCTCGCAGTTCTTGACCTCGCTAACTACAAAGCAGCTCCAAGATGTACAACTTTGGGAATATCGTATGCTGGAAATCAGATGGCACTCTGGATTCATTCGGCCGAATGGACGATCAAGTGAAAATCAAGGTTGGCTCTCATAGGCGAAGACTTTTGATCGTTGTTCTGACCATTGCAGGGATTCCGCGTCGAGCTCGACGGTGTTACTGCTACTATCGAGGTACGTCTATTCGTGCTGGCCTTTCATCATCGCTAATCCCATATGCAGAGATTCATTGGTATTACGCGAGCTGCCGCTCTGGTCATCGACGGCATACTGCACGGATTCTATGCATCCTCCGCTTCCATCAATGAACAAGAGCTCAATGACTCTGTTCGAAAGCAACTTCCTTACTACTCCGTGCCTGAGCGATGGCTGCGCGTTGACGACATCCCTTTGAACTCCAACGGCAAGGTCGACAAGACACAACTAAAGACACTTGCAGCAGCATACAACATACCGACGTCGGAAGTGAAGCGTGTGAAACCGATGCATACAAGGGTAGATTCAGCTATGGACGCTTTAGTGCTGCCCGAGAAGGTTGCGATTCCTCAGGAGCCTATGCGACGTTTGTCAGATGTCGATCTCGAGAAGACTTCTGCACTGAAGAGTCTTACACAATGCTCCTTGATGGAAAAGGACCCGCCGCTCAACGTACCAGCCAGACTACCAGAGCCGAAGGGCTCAGAGGTGACGGCTTGGCTGCGGCATCGTGGTCTGATCGCATACCGCTGGTTCCTATTTCCGATCGTCTTTGTCAACATTGGTGTTGCGTGCTGGCTGCTCTATGAGGGCATCGAGAGCAGGGAGTACCCATTGTCATCCGTCGCAAACGCCACAGCATCGAATCTTTGTGCTGCGATCTTGATACGATCAGAACCGATCATCAATCTGCTCTTCTTTGTCTTCTCATCCGTGCCTACTTGGGTACCGCTTGGGATACGAAGAATCTGCGCAAACGTATTCCACATTGGCGGGATACATGTGGGATGCGCCATCGCTGCTGTCATCTGGTTCGTGATCTTCGTGGTCGGCGCGAGCCTTGAGATGGCGAAAGATGTCGATGAGAGAGTCATATCAGTAGCCCCGACAGTATTGTCTTATCTCATCCTGGTCTTGTTGCTCGCCATGACTTCGCTGTCGTACCCGGCTATCCGAAACCGACACCACGATATCTGGGAGGCTCTGCATCGTTTTGGTGGGTGGACGGTGCTCATTCTCTACTGGGTGCTCGTCGGACTATCTACCAGAGATTTAGCCCGTGGACGCATGCCATCGACCTCAGAAGCATATTTACGAAACCCCTCGATCTGGCTGATTGCCGCCGCGACCTGTGCGATCATTTTCCCGTGGCTGTTCCTCCGTCGCGTACCGGTTCGTTCTGAAGTGTTGTCCTCGCATGCCATCCGCCTGCACTTCGACTCCAAGATAGCACCAGGCAAGGGCGTTCGCCTTGCGCAACACCCGCTCCGTGACTGGTAAGAGATGTCCCTGTATGAGCTGCAATTGAGCGTTTTCCTAACTTAATACACCTACACATAGGCATGGATTTGCCACCATCACAAACGAGCCTCATGGAAAGGGCTACTCCGTGATCGTCAGTCGAGCCGGAGACTTCACGGGCCATCTCATCGATACCGCACCAAGATATATCTGGAGACGCGGCATCCCCACATCTGGTGTTTTGCGCATCGCAACACTGTTCAGGAGCGTCGTCGTAGTAGCCACCGGCTCCGGCATTGGCCCATGCCTGTCAATCTTTCCCTACCAACACATCGCCATGCGCATCCTATGGACTGCACCCAATCACGAGACGACGTTTGGGAAAGGCATGGTTGAAGCTGTCCGCGGAAGAGATCCACAAGCCGTGCTTTACAACACCCGGACGTCTGGTAAACCTGATATGAGTCTCTTAACATACGCGCTCTATAAAGAGAGTGGTGCAGAAGCGGTGTTGGTGATTAGCAACAAGCGGTTTACACAGCAAATTGTGTACGACATGGAGAAGCGGGGAATTCCGGCCTATGGTGCCATATTCGATTCTTGAAACATGATAGGGCAACTCAAGCATGGTGGTGTCCAGCAATACTGCTTTTTGTCGCCGTACGAGAACAGGCTTCTCACAATGACGAGCGCATCGCAGTTCTTTTCCAGCAAGCAATCGATGAAGATACATAGATGGTTTCGCAGACATCGCGTGATGCATTTGAGCGGGTGATTTCAAGCTTGTTGACGTAACGTCCGGACAATTACTCCCAGCCAAGCCCGAAGCACGTGGCCACTCTTGGCGACGGGTACGCGCATGTCCGCTCCACCACGTAGGCTTGGATGCTTGCATCACTAACAACGCGTCGCACGTCTGTGAAGTACAGTCCATCTCAGCAAAGGGTGCTTGGTATTCTTGTGATGCGGTCACGTCTGTCATGGCTTGCGCGACCGAACGCCCGGCCGTTCCCGACGCTACCCATTGCCTCGTAACCCAGGGACAACACCACAGCATCACTCGCATTGCCAGCACGTATGCTCGGTGAAGCCGCCCTGAAGACTTGTCCTGACACCTCCCTCCCCTGGAATGCCAAGATGCAAGTCAATAGTGATTGACCAGCCACGCTTAGCCTTTGCCCTAAAGGACTTGCTTTTCGAGACCAGTTAATCTATCTTATCTAGTGCTGCACATCACACAAGGCAGCTCGTTCCAGTGCCCATGCATCTCTGGATCTACTTGATCCTCCCGGGCAGGTGCATCAGGAGTTTCAGCGGAGACAAGACGAAAGGAGAAGGAGATCAAGTTAGCGCCCGGCGCAATTCGCGAAGTCGGCCAATGAGCGGTATGCCACACCATCACCGCCCCGGCGTGTTTATGCTAGAGTATCACCTGCCGGCCATTAGGAGAAGGTCGATCGTTGTACAGAAATGGAAGTCATGTATAAGATGAATGTTGTTTCACAGTATGCTGTAGTCACCAGCGGACCATTCCTTCGTTTCCCCATATTCCTTCGCTCCAAGCAGTCTCAAGATGAAGTACGCTCTTACCGCCGCTCTGGTCCTTCAGAGTACTACCGTCCTCGGTAGTCTTCTGCCTGTTCACTTCACAGCGCCTTCTCCAGCACATTTTCTCGACATTGTTAACAATGGCACGTACGATTTGGGCTGCAGGCCCAAGGCGGTTCCCTCTGAGCAAGGCCACTTCGAGCTTCATGCTCTGTTGACTGAGGATCAAATCGCGTATCTTTCCAAGGAGTACGAGAACTCTGAAGAGGTCAGCCTCCATCGCCGAGATCTTACTAAGAGGGCCGCCGACGCTCCAATCGGTAGTGGCGACCGCTGGCAGGGTGGTGCCGTTACACCGGCTGGTCTTGGTACCAAGGCTGCGGGCTCCACTTTCAGCAGCATCATGAATGTCAACGAGATCAACTCAGCCATCAAGGGTCTTGTCAACGGATATGGCATCAGCACCGTCACCCTCCCATACAAGACCTTTAACGGTGCTACACAAACCGCTGGATACGTCGGCGCTGGTACAGACAAGTCCAAGTACCGCCTCTATCTATCTGCTGGCATGCACGCACGCGAACGTGGAGGCCCTGATCAGCTCATCTACTGGATCTCTGACCTCTTGGCCGCAAACAAGGCAGGAACCGGCCTGAAGTACGGTAGCAAGACTTACACCAATGCCCAAGTCAAGAGCGTCCTGGCTGCTGGTATTGTCTTTTTCCCTCTCGTCAACCCAGATGGTGTCGCATACGACCAATCTTCTGGATCGTTATGGCGCAAGAACCGCAACACCCGATCTGGCAGCAGCGGCGCCTCTGTCGGTGTGGACATCAACCGTAACTTCGACTTCCTCTGGAACTTCAAGAAATACTTCGACCCCTCCACATCTCCTGCGTCCACCTCACCCAGCTCGGAAGCGTTTTACGGCTCGGCTGCTGCGTCCGAGTCGGAGACCAAGAACCACGTCAGTGTCTATGATTCATTCCCGGGCATCAGATGGTTCATGGATATCCACTCTGCTACCGGTGACATCCTTTACAACTGGGGTGATGATGAGCTGCAGAGCACTAGCACAACAATGAACTTCCTCAACAGCGCATACGATGGAAAGAGAGGTCGTATTGGTGACTCAACGTACAAGGAGTACATTCCCTCGGCTGATGCCACGAACATCAAGAACGTTGCTGCCAAGACCGCCGCTGCAAGTAAGTAACACTTGGCTGATTTCTGACATACGACATACTAACACTCCGCCCAGTGAAAGCAGTAGGTGGACGATCCTACACTTCGATGCAGTCCGTCGGCCTGTACGCTACTTCTGGTGCTTCAGACGACTATGCTGCTAGCCGCACCTACGCCAAGTCTGGTGCCAACAAGATTCACGGATTCACCATGGAATTTGGATACGCCACCAACTTCTACCCAACTCTGTCCGAGTTCAACACCAACATTCTCGACACGAACGCTGGATTCATGGACTGGGCACTTGCTGCGATTGCCGTTGGCCTTGTATAATTAAATCAGATAAGTAGCTAAGTGGTAACAGGGTGTACAGGAGTAGTGCGACGGCGTTTTTGAAAAAGTGTAATGCGGAGTTGTAGCGGTACGGATGGCTCTGGGGAAGCGTTCCTGGAGTAATTGGCGCTCGCGACATGACGGTTGATGACAGACGATGATGTGTTGTGACGGCCGATGTAGCACGTGTAGCAATTTCATATCGTTCAAACCCATTTGATTACTTCATGATATCACAAACGATCTCTCTACCCCAGCTTAAACCCTCCGCCACAGCCTCTCTGAAACAGGCCTTCAGGATCAACCTCCTTGCTCACACTGCGCAAGAACTTGAGATTCTCCTCTCCGTAGCCTTCAAAAGGATTTTGCCACGCTGCGCAGTAGTTCAAGTAACGGTACCGGTGGCCCGTTTCATGCTCCAGGGCAAAAGCATCAATCTGCTCAATCGCCTCCCTGGTGATAGTTCTCACCATCTCATCATGCTCCTCCAGCGCCCAATTTACTGTAAATTGAACGTTCACTAAAGGATCATCGGAACCTTCATCTAAGCCCAGCGGGTTTGCATCACCCTTCCTAGCCCAGGAGGGTAAACATGGCTGAAGGACCAGAGTCCAGCTCATACCCTTGATCGCCTGTTTCTTGATTTTCGGAATCGCATCACGATATGCTTTATGAGCGGCTTCCAAGGTTCCTCGGTCATTCTTGATGGTCGTAGTGGCAAACTCTTGTCGTCGTCCAGGTGGGTTCAAAACGCTCAACTCGTCTGTAGCACTGACCAGGCTGCGGGTCTTGAACGTGCTCCACAAACGCCATAGTTTGTTGAAATCAGAACTGCGCCAGGACTCTGGCCAACCTTTCTGCTGAGAGTCAGGGGTGGTATGTACGAGATTTACTGATATAGCTTGGATCCCAGGGGATTGGAGGTATGTGAAACATGTCAGCGGCCCAGCGGCATGAGGGTCGAATAGATGTTGCAGCTCGCCAGCCAAAGTTCGTCCGACGAAAGAATGGAATGCTGCAAGAACAGCTGGAGCTTTGTAAGGAAGTAGGTAGAGGAACCCGCTCCAGACATTCGTTGACGCGAAACTGCGAAGTGTGAAGCTGGTCACGACACCGAAGTTGTTACCTCCGCCTTTGAGTGCGCGCCATAGTTTAGGGTTATCTCTCTCAGAGGCGTTCACAATAGATCCATCTGCCAATACAACCTCATATGTGAGGACGTTATTACATACGAATCCGTATTGAGGTGAGAAGAACGAGAGACCTCCGCCAAGAGTCAGACCAGAAACACCAACGGCGGAGTTTCTTCCACCAGCCACTGCAAGACCTTCCTTCTCAAGAGCTGAGTACACGTCAATCCATTTGCAGCCGGCTCCGACGGTAACACTCTGTCTATCTTCGGCAGGGGTGACTTGATTGAAGAGCGATAGATCGATGACAACGCCACCTCTGATGCTTGAGGCACCAGCAACAGCAGAGTGACCGCCTCCTCTGATAGCAAAGATGGACTCCAAATCTTCTTTCGTCTCCTTAGCCCGGTCGTTCCTTATATCGAACTCGCGCTTGAGAATCTTGACGGCCTGCGCCAGCTCCCATACGTTGCGTGGCCGCACAATACATGCAGGCGACACCTCGCAAGCCTTTTGATCCCAATACACGTCCATCAAATTCTTAAATTCTGTCGCTTTCTCCGAAGTGGTAACAATGTGCGGGATGGCTGCGATCAGCTTGGCGTTCAATTGTCGTCCAGAAGCCGTCAGTCCATCGTCAAGCCTCGGACGACCAGGTTTCTCAGCTTCTGCGTCGCGCTCGACTTGAGATGAGCGGACACGAAGCCGTTGCCTGATGTATACCGTGGCAAGAAGGATAGCTATGCATGTGTACGACAACCACGATAGAGCCATGATCAAAAATGGAGGACTTGTGCCTGCTGGCGCTTAGAGACAGTACGACAGCTTTTATGCGGTTGGGAACAACAAAGTCATCAGCGGCTGTATGAGAAGCATTCGAAATAAGGGGGAACCGGAGGTTGCAACATGAGTTGCGTACGATGCGGGATGTGAGGGGCAGGGCGTAAAGACACGCCCAGCGCAGGCAATGTACACAGTCAGATGACGTAATCACTTGGCACTATCAACACATCTCCAGCAGTCATTGCTTATCATAAATCGATCGAATAGCGAGATCTAGTTCCCTCATCCTTCTCTCGGGCTATGAGTCGTGCGCCCAGAAAAGCATTACTCCTGACCTGCGATGGCTCATAGAAAATGCGCCCAGAAGGTATGCATCGCATTTTGAATCAACGGCCTGATAGAAACAAAGGGCGTGAAAGGTACATGACGCGTCTCTTGAGCGTACAGCAAGGAAACAGCATGTAATACGTGTATCCAAGTTGGCCTCCTGTAGTAGAGCACTCATGACGTCAGTGTGCGAAACCAACGAAAACTCGGCTCATGACTTCTAGATGCTAATGATGCTTCCACGAAGGATGATCGCGACTGGAGAGAGTGCAATCACAACCGCTTCGCTACTGGATGCCTACCTCCCCTCGCCAAGCTTGCGCTTCTGCAGCAGTCGCTGTCCAGAACAGCTGCGATGCTGTGCTCTTTGGAGTTGTATTCGCGGCATATTGTCGAGAAGCCATCCGTAGGTTCATTGGCGGGTAATATCTGCTCGTTGAACGGGACGATAATTGTTGCATCCGTCGGAGTAGTCGTACATTTCCAGAAAAGGCAAGATTGCGATACTTGAGTTATTAGATTATGTGTTTGAGACTTTCGGTTTCTAAAAGTCCGGTTTCGTAACAGAGCATTATGCACAGTACATTCATCATATGTTGAGATCGGGGTACCACTTCTTCACCCACTGGTCGAGGACCTTGGGTCCAACTGGCTTGGTCAGAAACTCATCTGCGCCAGCGTCCTCTGCAGCTTTGCGATCATTCGAAGAGTCTTGACCAGTGACAATGAACAAGACGCTTCTTTCGTGCTTATGCTGTTTTTCCAGCCGTCGTATCTGCTTTGTTGCATCGATGCCGTCACATACGGGCATCTGAAGATCCATGAGAATCAATTTGAAAGGCTGTGTGGGTAAATTTTGTCGTAGAAGTGAATCGTACTTGGGTACAAGGGCTTCTGCGAAGATGTTGACAGCTTGCTGTCCATCTTTTGCGCTCCGGAATGGAATGCTACGTCGAGTGCAGTACATCTCTAGTAGACGGAGGTTGACGGCGTTGTCATCGACAAGTAGGGTCAAGGGTTTGTCCGACGCCACCGGAGCCTGTGTCAGAGTGGGAGTAGGCTTGGTTTGTATGCGCAAGCTCCGTACTGACTGTACCAATTCAGTTTGTAACTTTTCAGGGAATATTGAGCCCCGCTCGACTGGAAGTCCCGGACGCCCGTTCGTGTGGGGTGTGGAGGGTGGGCTGAAAGGCTCAATGGCGACGCCGCCGGTTGCGTTGACCCCTGCATCTGGGGTGGACGATCGGAATTCAGCCGAGATTGCATCTGCGTGCTCCAGTGCTTGTTCAAGTGTCTCTGACAGAAAAGGACCTTGAACGTAGACCACGTTCCCTTGCCGTCGGACTCGTTCGGTATGGAAGTCAAGAAAGCACGCGCACTCTGGAACGAGGCAGATTGCAACTTGTTCTGTACCTATACTTGATGTGTGTCTATAGAGTTCAGCGAGATTTGGTGTATAGTCGACGATCACGAAACTGCCATGAAGCGTCCGGGACGTCGACCAGCCAGCACCTGAGAGATATTGGGTGAAGTAGTAGCCCAGAGATGATGTTGAAGACTCCGATGCGAGGTGATGGAACGTTGGCGGTAGTCGGGTGAACCTGTCCTTTGCTGCACGGGAAGATGGTAGTGAGCTAGCACAGATGGGCTCATTGAACGTGGCTTTGATATGTGAGCCCGGACCTTGGCTCGAGCGCACCAGTGTGATCTCGCCACCTAAAAGAGTCGCTGCTTTGCTCGCCAATGTCAAGCCCAAGGCAGTATCTGTGCCACTGAGGTCAATCTTTTCGTGAGCATCAAACACGCGGTCGTAATATCCCTTGGACGTCTTGTGCCCACTGTGCTCAACATCGACGATGAGAGACTGGCAGCCTTCCGTGACCGACAGTGTAACTGCTACTATGCCGCCAGCAGCATTCTGGGCAGCATTAACCATAAGTGGCTGAATACAATCTAGAAAAACGCGCTTGTCGACAGCGAGCAAGTCGCAGCTCGGCGGAAGGTGGTGTTGAATGATAAATGATGGCCTTGTTGAAAGATCGTCAGAGAGTCCTAGTAGGGTTTCCTTGAGCAGAGCGTCCTCGATCTCGGAGATCTTGTGCACAGTGAGAACGCGCTCCGCCTGGGCAATATCTGCCCATTGATTCAACTTGATAAGGCTGTTTACTGTGGAGATGAGCTCTCTCGCAGAAGTCTTGATGGTCTTGATATAAGTGTAAGGATCGAGCTGTTCGATATCCGGGCTGGCAGTAGGTGATGAGGCGGCTGTCGACGGAACCACGTTTCGAGATTTCAGCTCTTCCGTCAAAAGCTCGACTGAACCAAGGATGCCGTGAATGGGAGTTCGAAGCTGATGCGTAATACCGCGGAGGAAGGTTTCCTTAGCGCTGAGTGCTTCTTGTAGTGCGCGGCCTTGCCAATAACGACACAGGATATTCTGGACGCGAAGATGAGTTAGTGTGTATCCACTGAAGGGAGAGTACGAAGAAGTTCGCTTTCATCGACTTGTACCTCAAGCACGACCATGAAGATACTCGTCCAGTCTATAGACTAACGACGTCGTATCCTTTAGGCAGCAAACTTGGTTGTCATACAACTGATAGACACAAGCATCTTCGTATATGTCGTCACTTACCGCACACATGTGTACGAACCATGAATCGATGTCGTCAAACACCATCTTGAGATCATTGCTGGCTACAACCAGGAACATCGCCGCACGTTGACTGGTGCACTGCGCCGCAATTACTCGTACAGCCCGGGGCGCAGTCATATCCAAGTGATTAAGGTTCTCGATGGCATAATCAAAGTCTACGAGACGAGTAGGCACGAGGTCAGTGTATGTCGTAGAGAAACTCATATATTGCCACTCACAAGCAGTGTCTTCCCAGAGACCCTGTTCCAATTCACAAGTGCGAAAGCTTGTACCACCATTAAGGGTAGCTTGGCCATCTGTGATCAAATTGATACTCACTTCCGTGTTAGGATAGACATCTTGGAGCATCCGGGGTATCGCTTCCTCCATGTTGACGTGGTCGTCGCACTGCTGCTGAGCCTGGGAAAGCAGCTCAAGCATCCGTCTGCGCTCGCGTTGACGGCGAGCTCTCGCGCTGTGTACTATATCCGCAACTATCCAGTCGGCGAGTCTAGCAAGTGCCTGCTGTACAGTTTTGGAAAGAGGTTCCTGCGGAGAATTGGAAGCGACACATAGCGAGCCAAAAGCGACGTGCTCGCCAAATTCAGTCTCGAACCTCAACGGCACACCAGCATACGCGCGCAACCCACCCTGTTCGACATGGGGCGACTTTTCAAAGCGCCAGTCGATAGCCATGTTTTGCATAGCGAAGACCGTCTGTTCCAATTAGTCGCGGCCTAGACGTGGGAATAAGTGCTGACTTACGCCTGGTGGTTGATTTATGGTGTGGGCGCATGTACTCTCGCGACGGGGTAATATCGCTAGGGGAAGGTTCACAGTGACCATCCGAGTGTATGTAGCGTGGTTAAGAAGGCCAGCGATAACAAACTCCCAGCCTACTGTCTCATGCGCAAGATAGACTTTCTCCTGGAGGCGAGACATTAGCTCTACATCCTCAAGCGCCCCGCGCGTGTAATAGAAGAACAAGGTCAGTCTCAATCTCTCGTTCCGCGTCAACACGGGAAAGAGGTAGCGGTCTGCATGGATACTGGTGGGACATTGCGCTCTAGCAGGTATGGGCGCTGGAGACCAGATATCGTGGTTGTGTGGATATACAGCTGCGACTTGGCTTGCAGCCCATGAATCCAGAGGTTTATCGGCATGCTCAAGATCGAGTATTGGTGCGGTCGTGGTAGGACGCTCGGATATTGCCGGTGCAGCGTGTCTCGATGCGAGGACGGCTGCATCTGCTTTTGGGAAGAAAGCAACGCACGCGCCGCCCTTGGACTGCATCGAGATAGACGTATATCGAACTACTGCCCAGCATCAAAGGCAGAGGTTGCGCAGTGTATTATGCAGAGTTGTGGTATATCGCGGGAGCTAGAGGCTGTCAAAATGGCGCGCGACGGATTGACGTTCGAGGCCGGTCCAAAAGGCCGACTGATGGTGGCGATGGAGTAGGACGTGTGAACTGGTACGGCGATCGCGACCCTCTATGCAGTGCTGCACGCCGAACACTGGTACGTATGGTAGAGACAAGCTGTTCACATGCGTCAGGCGCCTTCAGCTGGCGAGATTTTGTTAGTCGCATGGTATCCCCGGCCTGGCGCGTTCCTCCGGGCCGAAGGTGATCGATCGATGCGATGCCTTAGCTGCAACATCAAAATACATGTTACAACGGATGCTCAAGCCTCGAGAAAGTATTGCCGAACTATGGTCGCGTGCAAGTCCACTGGCATTAGTTGAGCGTAGCTAGAGTGGCAAACCTCATCAAGAAGGATTTGAATGCGGGGCGGCCGCGCTTCCGGTGTCTCCCATTGGCTGTGTCAAGACCCACTTATTACCGGAAACCTCGTCTTCTCCGACAGCAGATACTTACTCAATTTCTTCGTTCTGCCATGCTTTCATCCTCATAACACGTACCTCGGTACCGCGATGTCGCTCGAATCTACCATCCATCAAAAGCTATGACCAGATATGGAAGACAGCAACTTGGTGAACATCAAGATGGCAGAAGACGTGCTCATAGGTAAGCTGGAAAAAGATACAGTTGACCGCATACCCTGGACATCCGAAATTGTTTCAGATGCCGAAATCGACACAGAGAATCGGGTTGCTGGTCTCGAATACGCCGTCACCCAAGAACATCCCGTCTTGACATTTGGAAGGCCTTTGCGACACTAATTGTACCTTCGTTGGCCAGCAGTCATTTGTCCACATGCTCGGAGCCATCCAACGGCGCATCACACAGCGCCTAAAGCGCTTGAAAGCATAACATGAAATGACGAGGTCAGGAGGAAGGAGGCCACTATTTGCACGCGGTACCACCGAGATTGTTCTGTCCTTACTGGGCGCTTGGCGTCTCAGGGCATCAAGCCGCTTCGCTCTGCCAAATCGCAGTCTGTGTCGCATCCCTAGTTGCTTCCACTGCGCGTCTAGGTTGCAAATCTCTATTGAACCGGACCGCTAATGACTGCTATTGTTAACTTCGCTCGTTATGGTCATCTAGCCGTCTCCAACTTTGAAGAGAACATATGTTGAAGCCTCCGCACAAAACACGTAGGTTGACAAGAGCGACGCTATGAGACCAGTATTCAAAGACATGCAGCATTTCTATGCATAATGGGGGTAGCCGTCAGCTCGATTGATGGTGGGCAAACAATGTCAATGACCTCAGTACGTACAAAGGTAGTATCAGCCGATATGGCCATCCACTTCAACATCCTTCACTATGTATTGCTCACCTCATCTTCCACAATAGCACTGTCAGAGCTTTCTTTGCGTCTTTCATCGTTATTGTTGTTTACTCAATATCATCGTCCGGTCGCTGCACAGCGTGGCGTTCAGACGACGTCAAAGAAAGACAACTTCACCTTCACTTTCACTTTCGCTCCCACTGCGCACATACCGCCCCGCATTTCTAATTCTCACTGCCCACCGTCTACGCGACTTTACAATATTGCAATCCCACTTCAGCATCTAATTTTGCTCACTCCGACCCACAAGACAGCACACTAGACTAACGAACATCCACTACTAATCTGCTATCGTGCGTGTATCCTACTCTGCAAGAAACCGGCTCGTGGCAGAAAAAGAAGCAGTGCAATCGCGGCTATACACAGACGCCAGAACGATGTGAGTACTCCGACCCTAGCAAAACCACTCCCCAGTAGCCCGCCGTTGAACCCATATCACGGCGATGTCAAAATCAGACTTCTGACATTGTCGCTACAGACTTATTTTCCTACAAGCGCCGTAGTAGCCCACATTCCTGTTCCATACGTCAGCTTCCAATCCGCCACAATGTCGTCTTCGCAGGGCCTATCATTCGAATTCCGCTTCGGACAGCCTGACGCAACAAACACACCCAAGCCCAGATTCATGCCCAAGCCGCTGCGTCCAAGAAAGCAGCGCGGTCAGGACTACGACCCTAGCCTGACTGCTAACATGGGCCCACCTGACATGAACACGTTAGCAGAGTCTTTCAACACGATCACCCAGCAACAACATCCCAGCACAGAAGAGAAGGGAGTCAGTGAAGCATACTCGAGGAAGATCAACTGTCAGCTCATCAAAGAACATATACAGGACATATGCACGTTCTTTGATCCCACGGATCAGATGTCAAATCTCAACGCCGATGCGCTTGCAGCTTCCTGGGAGATAAGACTTTGGGATGTCTCATTCGGGCACACTGACAGGGTCTCTGCATATATCAAGAGCGTCGACGCTGCCGACAAGGATCTGACAAAGTGGATCACGCACTGGGAATCAGCTGAAGACGACAGCTCAGACGAGCGGACTGGCCGACAGTTCTTTGTCGACCATATCGAAAAGTATCACGCGCACCAGCTCCAATACACCACGCACACCGGATCGTTGAGCAAACCTGTGTCTACCGAAGACGAGCATCGTCAAGCTTTGCGCAGACTCCTCGCTGACGAGCTTGAAACGATGAAAGCTATACTTCCCATGTCCCACCCGCTATCGAGCTTCGACATCGCACAGGTCGTTCACAAATGGGAGGGCGAGAACTGGATCGCGGCCTGCGAGCAAGTTTTCAATGTTTTCGAGCATGTTGAGCATACTGAAGGAGAATGCGAAACTCTACATCTTTGGGCTGAATATAGGAATGGTTACCCTGATGAGGACATCAATATGACCGGCGAAGCTAGATTTTCCGACTTCATACGACAACGTCTTGAAACAGGAGTTTCCGGTACATCCACCCAACACGATGACAGGCAAGAGACGCGCCGCTCCATTGATGAATCATACACCAGCGATAACGACAGTGATATCGGTTCGGAAGATGAGTATGAGGACGAGGAAGAAGGCTATGCGACGAAGAAGGCTTATCTCAAGGACTGTGTGGCCAAGTATCTGCCTTACTATACGAATAATCCGGATAACATCATCGATCGATGGCAGGAGAAGCTTCTTCTACAGGCAAGAGAGAAAGGTGGTGGCTTCGACAATTACAAAGAAAGCCTGTACGACGACTTGGATACCGTGGAAACCTGCCGTGATAGTTGGGACATGGTTGTTCAGAACACTGGAAAGACAGGCCACTCGTTATTCAGCGAGCTTATCGAAGAATGCTCAGAAGAGGCTATTGCTGAACTGAGAAATCGAGTGAAGCAAAAGGAAGAACAATGTAGACACGAGCGTCTACTGAACTCTGAAGAGTTCAACGAGTCCCTCGATGTCCAGGATCAGAAGCGAAGGGAACACCGGACGACACTTCGAACTTTAATCGATGACGCCAAAACGAATATGGGCAGCTCGCACGAGCTGTCAGACATTCAACTCACCACACTAGCGGCGCATTGGGAGACACGGCTCTGGACTGATGAATCCGATTACTACAAGTACCTTGACAAGCTGGATCACTTTGAGATGGATCTGATGGAGTGGACGACGAATTGGCAGCTTTTGCACGAGAATGATATGACTGGCGAGCAGAACTTTATTGGGTACGCTCATCGCAATCCCGATCGATCGGTTTTGCGGTGCGAACTACGTTGTGCCCTCGACTCAATTTCCGGCAAACTCTTACCAGAAGATCCATTGGCCGGCTTCTTTACTCGAACTGTAGCTGAAACCCGAGAAGAAGATATTTGGGTCATTGCTGAAGAATCTATGGTCGAACAAATTAGGCTTGTCCGGGAAGAGTGCACAATGTTGTACCGGTGGTGTAAACATTGGACCAACGTCTGCGACCAGGATCTCACCGGAGAGGAAAACTTCCGTCAATACTATGGTCAACATCTTGGAACGGATTGTCTACCTGATCGTAGCCCAGGTGATCATGGCCTCGATTCGCAAACCGCCGACGAGTTATTTGACCTGGCTGGAGGCAACGACACGGCATCGAATGACAGCGAAGACGACGCTAGAGGCAGCGGGCTGTCTGATGAGTTCCTCGAAGATGAAAACCAGGAGCTCGTATCTCCACGCTCCCCAAATTACGACGACAGTGGCGATGATGATGATGCCGGTGCAAGTATCTCATGCGACACTGAAGATCAGTCTGGCAATCAGTCCGCTGGTCCCAGTGTGCCTCACGGTTGTTCGTCACTTCCTTCGTCCCAATCTCAAGCAGCAGAATCTGTTGAAGAAACAGAGCCTATGCAGATAGATGATCCAGCTCACCAGCAAGATACGGACATCTCTCAAAAAACTTTAGTCAGCGCCAATCAGCCTTCGGTAGGCAACAACACCAGCACTTCTGGGGTCGCAACCGCTGCGGTAACGTATCCTGGATCCCTGCCGATTGCACCTTCCCCAGACTCCAAGGCTTCTCACGTACAAGACGATACGGCCATGGATGGTGTTTCTTATCACCTGCTGTCGCAAGAGGTGGAGATGTCGGATAATGATTCTAACTTGACTGTCCAAAAAGAGGCGGTGGACACAATGCCCGCCGGAGGACTCGCGACCAATCCTGCAGCACGAATGAAAGATACGGAAATGTCTGGAGCCGATTTCTCCCAAACATGGAAAGACATCAGCGAGCGGTCTGAGCCTCTTATTATGGTTTCCACCGGAAATCCCGCTGGCCCTTTTGACACATGTGCTACTGCATCGAACCAGTTCTGGTCTACTCCTCAGACTTCCAACCGCCCAGCGTTGCCTATTAAGAATGAGTCAACGTCTCATGGTTCCATATTTGATACGAAAGGCTTGAGCTTCCAGGCACCGACAACTACCAGTATCACCCCGCCTGGTGTTGCGATGAGCGAGCCGGATGTGCCTCGAACCACTCCACAGTGTCCATTGTTGTTGGCTCAGACTGTTGAAGGAAAGCTGGATGAGCCATTGATCACCCCCGTAGAGGTCGGATGTAAGACTGTATTCCCCAACGTTTCTCAAGACGACGTCGAAACGGACGGCAAAGCTCATGTAGCTAAGAAGCCGAAGTCTGCTGAAGCCAAGACCACGTTGTTAGCCCCTGCAGTATTAGCTGCACCCCAAGCAACTTCGGCTTTCACTTTCAAGCCCCCTAAGGGCAGCTTTGTACCAACGCTTCCGTCCGGTTTTGACGCTGGAAGCTGGAGTGGTGGTTTTGACTTTAACCCTCCAGCAGAAGATGACATTACTAGGGCTGTGTCTTCTTCGGGCGAGGTTAAAAGCATTCCAAAGACCACTCAAAATCAAGAGCCTGTGGTTGACGAGTCTATTGATCATGCTGGAGCTGACAACAGCGACGATGCCTTCGGCTCTGCCCTGATAGAAGTCAATGTCGATCCCACGAGCGATGCAGAAGAAACAGGGAAAGAGTCACTGGTCGCTCAGAATGAGTCTCCCAGCACCAAAAACCTCTTGGATGTTATGTGTACTCGCCTAGCCAAGCTTGCCGGCTTTGCTTCGCAGGCCGCGGAAGTGGACGCGATGAACGCGGAAGCCGACGAGCGCGAGCGGACTGAGCTACTACAGTCCACCGTCGAAGATGGTGAAGGGAAATTCGAAGAGAAACCCGAAAAGGAATCCGAAGATTGCTCTAACCAGATCAGGAAGATCAGTCTCGCTGTTCGAGCATGTGATGACTACTGGCTGGATGCGAACTCAAGCGACAATGCTCCTCCTGCCTTTGTCAAAGTAGCTGAAGGTCTTCGTACCATAGCTGCTCAGATCACAGACGAAGGTGACTGGAGTAGTCCGTCGGCTTTGAGCAAGATTGAAGCTCTGTCGGCGAAATGGCAAGCGTTTATCGATACTATCAAAGCCTTCATCAATATCACAACATACTTCCACCCCGACTACGATTACCGCTTCGAACGATCGGCAGAGCAATATCGCTCAGATGTCGAAATGGTATCGGAATACGAAACCTTGAGCCGATTGCCGGGTGCTCCAGACCTTTGGCGGAGGGAGGCCAACAAGCGGCGCGATTCAAGAGACAACAAAACAAAGTCCATCAAGAATGAGATCCATAAAATGAGAGATCTCTATCAAGGATACTACGATACTCTTGAGGCACTGCAGGTGAACATTGACAGCGAAGCGATGAAGAAGTTTGCAGATGAGACACTGGTTGACTTTCACGCGAAGATTGTGAGGGTTACTGAGGCATTCGACTTGCATTACATGGGGTTTCTTTCAACTCTCCAACCCGCTCAGATGCGGCGGAGGTGTTGAGACGATGCACGAGACCTCAGTGCATGTCAAGCAGCGTAAGAGCCTTCCCAACGTCATCACCAACGACGGGGAATGGTGAGAAATTCAGCGCATGACGAAACAGATTGTCATTACACCAGCAAGCGGTTGATTAACATATTTATGAGCTTTAGGCGATGCCATTGCACGCCATATCAAGCATGGCGTTATGAAGGGTACAATATACGGCGATATGAAACACGGGGGTTAATAGTGAAGCAGCGACACCATGTTGTCGTATGCTAGGGACCTTTAATGCGGAGAAGGAAAATCGCCAAATGCGAATCTTGACCGTGGACTGGGATGAGCGGACGGCGATCAGGGCATAGGAAAGAAACAACGTCATCATATTGACGGGTCGAAATAGAAGACAGCGATTAGATCGTAGTCAACAAAGGATGTCGTCATATCGATAGACTGGGACAGATGTATGCAATGATTATCGAATTGACTCATACTGATTATGGACTAAGTAAATCCCGTGCCCCTAAGCACTTGTGATATTGACAACCCCATAATTACACCCCATCGTTGTATATATCGAAGCTATTCAGACTCTCTTGCGCAGTTTCCTAGTGACGATGAGTCTAGCGACTAGAACACACAACGCGGAAATGGTCGCAGTTCCACCAGCGTAGAAAATGGCGGGTCGGTAAGCAGCAATGCCCACCCCTGATCCGCTTCCCCACCTACCACCTGCAGCTTGTAGTAGGTAACCGGCAATCGGCGCGCCCATAAGATAACCAACGCTCCAGCCTGTGACCGACATGCTCATAGCCACTGCAGCTCGTCCAGGACCGAATATACCAGCAACTACAGTCGGCTGAGTAGTGAAGTACGCGCCATTTGCGACACCGTTTATGATGGCGAAGAGTACGAGCGGGCCCAGCGTACTCGAGACTGGCCAGATTGCGAGCATACTCGCCGCGTTGAGAGCCATTGCGATGACGAACATATTGAGTGGCCCAATTTTGTCGCACAAGGGACCAGCAATAAACCGACCTAAAGCATTGCAGGCATTGAATGCTGCGACCAGACCAGCACCGGTACTTGGACTAAGGCCAATAGATTGTGCAAACAACGGTAGATAGTATGGTGGTACGAAGAGTGCGAAGACGCCAATCGCGCTTGCAACAAAAGTTGCAATAAAGGTGGCAGATCTGAACATGGAGAGATCGACGAACGGTGCCTTCCTAAGCGGAACACGGTCCTTCACCACCCAGGCGGCAGGAAGACCGATGGCCCAGGTCAGGAGTCCTTGGATCCGGAAGGTCCACTCGATGCCGACTCTTCGATTCAAAGCCTCCAAAGCAACGGCCATGACACAACCACCCACCCCACCGCCAAGCTTGATGAGACCATTTGCCAGACCAAGACGAGCGCTGAAATACTGTACAGGAACTGTGTTGTTGACAGTCCAGTTCAGTGACATTCCAATGCCACCAACGATACTGTATGTGCCAAAAAGACCCGGCAAATTTGTCGTACAAAAGCTTGCCCCAATGAGACTCAAGCCCATAAGAAAATTCCCTAGTACAATCGTTGCCCGGCAGCCTATCAGCCTCATTAGACTGACGGCACCCAGTCCATATAATGCACCACTAGCGAGTCCCAGAGAGCCGACGTAAGAAAGTGTAGCTGGCGCAACATGTTTCAGTGTTGAATTCAGTAAGGCAGCCTGCAGCACACCCCAGCAATTGATGATCGCGTTGTTGCAAAAGCTTGTCGTGAAGCCACCAGCGACGACAATCCACCCATATCCTCCATCCGGTACCGCCGTAACAGAGTAGGCTGAATTATCCGGCCCTTCATCTTGGATATGCCTGATAGATGTTGGGAGTGGGATGGAAGACGACGACTTGTTTGACGGGTGATGAGAGGTCTCCGGCAAGCACGTCAGCTCAATGCGGTCCTCTGTGATGGTAGTGGTAGTAGACATGTTCAAGAAGAGAACTTTATTGCATCTAATCGCAGACCGTACAAGGACTTATGAACCTCTGAGAAAGGGCATACTAGACGCTATAGACGCCCAAGTGGTTGTTAGTCAATGCTGTTCTCTAGCCACAGGACTGAATGGATTGATCTGACTCCGTGTTGGGAGATACTGATGTAAAACAAATGGAAAACCCAAGCAGATCGCACCTTAAATCAGCTGCAAAGGATTATACCTTTCCATTTGAAGACATGTGGGCGTCTCCAGCTCTCTATGAGTGGCCCCAGTCCATCTCTCGGGCCGGTGTCACGCCCCGCATTCTCCGCAGACGGTGCTGCATCGCAGTAATGCGTCGGAAAACTTCGCAAATTACCGATTGATTGGTGATTATCTGACCTATCTATGATGCACCGTCACTTATGCGATGACATGCAGGGGAGGCACAGAGCGGGGAAAGCTTCGAAGGGCGTGATGTCGTGCTTAGTCATTTGAGGTCCCCACTTCTCAGGGTCCAAGGGTCCACGAATTCATGATCGTCCATCATCCCAGTGTCCACGCCTTCAAGTCTCAGGAACCACATAATCAATGGGTTCAATCACAGCATGCATCTCAAAGATAGACGATCCTTTTGTAGACATACCCTTTGGCCCATGCAAGAACAAGTTCACGCCGTTGCACTTCCAAGTTTTGCAGGCTGGGCGCCCGACGCCGACTCGCTGAGACGCGACACGCCGCATCCAACATCGTATCCTTGACCAGTCCACGTCATGGCAAAAACCCTGGCAGCGCATAGGGCTGTGCCTCATCTGATGTTCTCCCAATCCCCATATCATCTCACTGATTATCTCTACCACTTACCTTAGCCACCCGCAAGCTACAAGTACAGTATCCAAGATGGCAACAGAAGAAACCGTCGACCTTAGCCCAGCGCACGCGCCCCAACCAGCATCTGTTGATGCCTTTACATCCGTCCTGGATACCGTAAAACAAGAGCTCATCAAGCTGCGGCGCGATCATGACAGTAAATCGCTTCCCGCACTCAATCGTAATCGACCATTTTAACAATCCTACTAGAGCATGAGCCAGAGTACTTTCGCGCCGTCAAACACCTTTCCGATGCCGATCTAGTATCCTTCACTGCCGAAGACCTCGAGTCGGTTCGCGCAGCTGTCACAGCGTATGGCCTGCATCTCTTCGGCCAGGTGAAGCTGCCTGCTTTGGACAATGGGTACATCCACATCCGCATATTTGGAGCTGCTAAGGACGGTACGGATGGAAGTAGTCTGGACGAGAGGGAGTATAGTTTACATAGTATACATACCGAGGAAGTTATTAAGGATGATGGGGATAGGGTATATAGAGCGATATTTGGCAAGGACGACGCGTTGGAGTGGTTCGAGACTTAGGCCCACGCGTCTGATGCGTGGAGGTCTCCTTGTAGCAAGACTCGGAAGTGCTGCTTTGCGTAGGATCCATTAGTCTTTCCTCTGTTTTGGGTCTCTTACAAATCCAACATGCGTATGCTCAATCCCAACACCAACTCTTTCCATGTCTTCCGTACTCGCGAACTTGCTCAAGTCCCTAATCGTTTCCCTATCCCTCTCTTGGAATCCCAATCTCTCATACAACCCCCGTGCCTTGTTATCGTCCGCAGTCTCCAGATACGTTACCACACCCCGTTCATCAGCCATGTCCAAGACGTCGCTTATCAATTTTGCCGCTAAACCACATCCTCGATGTTCAGGATGTGTAGCCAGATTCTCCAACAGGAAGTGCGGTTGTCCTTGTAGTATACGCTGCCTCAGATTCCGAAGACCTCTAGTAAATTGCATGATGAGAGCACGGTTGCTGGTCGAAGGCAAGGAATTGAAGTATATTTCATCTTCAAATGCCTCCCGCTCCTCGCTATCCTCCTTTTCTTGAATTGTTTGAGCTCGTTCTCTTGGCAGCTGTACATGTTCTGGCGTGGTAGCGGGAGAAGCAGGCACCGTCCATTGAGCCACGGAAACGACATGCCCGTTCCTCACATCGCGGACGAGCATGAAAAGCATGCTATTCTCCTCAATCTGCCGGGCGATGCGAGATGTCATAGCGTAGGCTAGGGCGTCTGGATGCACGTCACCAAATTGGAGGCGCGAGAACGGGGATTGCCATGATAGCGAGAACAGCAAAGATATTGCGTGGGCATCCGAGGTCAGTGCTCTTTGTGACGTGTATATATGCGACATGGCTGTCTGTGTATATTATAGACGTTGCGTGCATGGCGTATCTGTCTCGACGTGCCAAGAAATCAGACGTGTTGCTGACAATAGTGGGTTCAGGGTCTGTTTAGCCAGTAGCATCCTGCTAGACTGATGGGCAGCGGAAGAGTTCATTCTGTCTGACTTGTGGCCTCAGTCCAGGCAGGGTAGCCTAAAACTATGAACTTCTAATGTTCTACATGTATGATAACAAGAAGTACAGAGAATAATTCGAGGTGCTGTTTACCACACAACGGTGCAACTTGGATGATTCAAGCATCATCGTACATGAAATACACCAAAGGAGTACATAACAGCTCCAAACCATCGTATTCAATATCTAACAAACATCTACCTCGCAAGAAACACAAAGACATTTCAAACCTTCAACCATACACCTACAAATTCATACCAAGAAGTGAAAGCAAAGGGGGGAAATGAAGAAAGTTCATTGCGTCATTCAATCGTACCACCCGCCACCCTATAGTCTTCAACACAAGAAGAAGAGGAAGAAGTGAGAAAAAGAGTCGGCACCGCATACGAAGCAGTCTAGAAAACAACCGAACTCGTGTGGTATAGATATGATCTTTCAGCGCGCAAAATCTCGTCAACACGAACGGCAGACCGGCTGGGCTCCCACCAAGCCTGGTCCCGCATGTGGTGGTGGTGGATGATGATGTGTCGATAGAGGGGGATATTTGTGAGCAGCCTAACCCAAATGTTCGCCGGGGTAAATGTTTCGCCCTCCCATAGGATATAGTAGTCGATAACGCCATGTAAACGCCAGAATCAATGCCAAAGTATAGCGCCCGTAATGCCAAATGTGAAAAGAAGAACATGATTTACCGTTGACAGAAAAGTTCAATCTCGCCTAGTCCACCACCAGGGTTGAGATTGCTCTGCTGTTCTTTCCAGTTTTCAAACGCCTCTTGTACGTCGTCATCGCATTGGATGCTTACGTATGTGTTATCGCTATCCAGATACTTGAGTTTGACCTGGCCGGAGCCAAGTGATACAGACGTCGATCGCTGTAGTTTTGCATCAATGCGGTCCTTGAGCGACTGGTAGCTGATGTTTGTGCTGACCACCAAGACCATGGAACTCCCGGCTGATGGGCAATGCACCTTGACTTTGAGTTGTGTCGGTATATTGGGGTCTACACCAAGGGGAGGCGACATGTTCCGCGAGTCCATGGACGCTGGAGTCAAAGTGCCCTGGCTTCTCTCAAACGATGATGCAGGCGTCATTGTGCGCATTGGCGGATAGTTTGGATCGCGGCGCATAGCAGTGTTGTGGAACTCATTGTTCGCGTTGGCGAGCTCCGCGGCGGTTCGTTGCTGGATCAGGCGGTCTCGTTGGATTGCTGGTGACTGGGTTGCAGCGCGCGGCGGTGGGTTGTTGGGCGAGTTGCTGTTACTGCGATTCACGATTGCTGCGTTGTACGCATAGTGTGTGGGGAAGGGGGGCACATCTGGCACTGGCTGGGATGGCGGCGGCGCTCTTCGAGTTTGTCCTTGGAGATGTGAGTTGATATCGGGGCTACTAGCTGCCCGCAATCTACCTTGAGCTGAAAGAGTGGCATTGGCCGGAAGTGATGGACGTTGGGCACGGCTCTGTTGATGAACATTCTCCCCCCTGGATCCGTGGCGCGATTGGGCAGGAGCAGTGTGACGATTGTTCTCTTCGTGAGAATATCCATTTGGCGGTGCTTGACGTGGGAAGGGGAAGGTGCCGTTAGATGACTGGCTTGATCGTGCGTTAGAGTGAGTTGACATTGGGGTTTGCATCGGGGTCTCAGCCGTAGGAGAAAAATAGGATTCTTGGTTGGCGGCGTCCTGTATCTGCTGCGTGCGCAGGGTTAGTGGAGGCTGACCGTTGTAGCCCATAGGAAAACGTGGAGGTGGTACCCTTGAGTTTCCATCAGGGGGCCCGCTTTCGCCAGTCGTTGATCGCGAACGTATCGAGGGGGTGCCAGTATTCTGTCGTGAGTAGGGATAGCCTGTAACTGGATCGATGTCCTCGTCAGCGTCTTCTTCGTCTTCCTCCTGGTATGGGTTTTCCAAGACTTGGTCGCGCATGTATGCGAACTGAGTATCTGATGGCCTGGAGGCTGTGGTGCTGGCGCTTGTCCGCGCCTGGTCCTTCCACATCCGGCGCTGGGTATCGACCTGCATAGCCCATTTCTTCATGGTTTCCTCGGAGGTGAATTTGATGATGAAGTTCTCGATTCCCGGGTCGCCCTTCCAGAAGATTTGGCAGGTATATGAGCCTGCGTAGGTTAGCTGGGGTGTTATGAATAGAGGCTTTGGTGGTCGCACCTGGCTTCTGGAGAGAGATGGTCTCTGTGACGTTCTGCATGAAGATGCGGCCCTTGAGCTGCAACTTTGGCTTCCCGTCTTTGGTGACTAGGGATCGAGTGGACATTTTGTTCTTTGGCTTGTTGACATTGATCTCTTTACAGCAGAGGAGAATCATCTCGAAAAGGTAGATCTTGTACTATAGGAGGGTTAGCGATGCAGGGAAAGGTATCAGCATGGTAGAAAGCCTACTTCTCGCTCTTCGTTCTTTGAGCTCATGCTCTCACCCTTGAGCACAGTGTACTGGCCGTGTAGAAGAAGGTCACCAAAACCTTCAATCTTGTGGCCCTTCCAGTCTTCTACGAGCGTCTTGAGCTCTTCTACTGCTTCGACACGTTCTTCGCGCGCAATGGCGTCGTTGGTGCCCGCGAGCACGGAAGAGGCCGCTGCGATACCCCGGGAGATGTCTTCACGTCGTCCTTCGTCGAGGTCGCCCTTGTCGCGAAGTTGCTGTCTGTGTTAGCGAAGGGGTTGGGCAAGAGGCTGTTAAATCATACCTGAAGCAGTAGCGGGTATTTGGTGAGTCGTTGGAATGGTTTCAAAAGGAAAGACGCAAGCAAAGTCGGCGATTCGACCATCTGTCGCATCTCGGCTGGTCCACCGGTCTCCTTGAGCTTGTCGAACTCGCGCATGGCAATCTGCTCGCACTTCTTCTGGTTCGCGATGTACGGCTCGTAGACCTTGAAAGCATCTTTGTATAAGACGAACAAGTTACCCCAGTTTTGCTCGTCGGGGTGCTGTGCGTTGGTTTGTTCGACGCGGATCAGGAAGCGGCGCTGGAAGTCGAGGAGGGCGTTCAGGTTGAGGAAGATATCGTGCACTTGGTCACCACTAATGACGCCCCTTTCTTCTACCAGCTTCTTGAACTCCTGCAGCAGCTCCAGATGCTGTACGTAGGTACGCTCCGTCTTGACGAGCTCGTCGATGATGTGCTCGCGCTGGGTGCGCTTGGTGCCGGCGCCGCCAGCGTTGTCGAGGGATTCGGTGACGCCAGCAATCTTGCCCCGGGCGACGAGCTCGTCGAGCACTTTGTTGACGACGTTGGTGACCTGTGTGGATGTGTTAGCGCGGGCCTACCCCACAGTGTGCTGGATGCTCACTTTGACAAATCCGGTTGTGTCGTCACCGTACAGGTCGCCGAGGATGAAGCAGCTGTCCTGGGGGATGCCCAGCTCGGTGACGCAGCTCTGGATGAACTTGTAGCAGGCCATCTTCTCGTTCTTCTTCAGGCTCTTCTCGTCCTGCTTGGAGCTGGGGATGGTCAGGAGGGTGCGGGGCTCGAGGGCGTTGTACAGCTCCATCAGCGGGTAGCCCCTCCGGAAGGTGCGCCAGAGCAGCGTGACGGGGTCGGCGTCGTCGTCGGCCTTGCCCTCCTCCTCGGCGATCCAGCGGTTGAAGCCCGGGATGAAGCGCAGGCGCATCTGCAGCGTCAAGCAGCGCTGGAACAGCGAGGTGTCCTTGTCGGCCCGCTTGTTGAGGACATTGTCCGAGGCTTCGATGGGCCCGCCATTGACGGGCGTCGACGACGTCGGGAAGCTGGGCGGGGGGTTGAACAGCGTCGAGCTGCTCGTGGCCTGGGTGCTCTGCGTGTCGCGCGCGCTGCTGTGCGAGTAGCTCGAGTAGGTGCTCTGGAAGCTCTGGTGCGACATGAGGGCAGGCGGCCCGGTCGAGGTCATCCGGGCGTGTGCAGTTTGCTTTGAGGGCGACTTTGGTGGTGTATGGGAGACGGCAAAGGTGGTATGGGCTCTCACCAGACCCGAGTGAAACGATAGTCCGCCCTCCATGCTGCTTTCATCGATCTCCTTGCGCTCGCGCTAAGCCCTTAGGCGGTCAGGGTCGAAGCTGCTAAACCGAGCAGGGCGGCGAGACGTGGATCGTGCGGCGACAGACAACAATTTCACGGCCAGGCCTGCAGCACGCGGGTCGCAATAGCGGTCGGAAGCTCTCGAGGTTCGCTGATAGTCGTGCTATCGCGGGTGTGTCTGGGAGATGTCTGGACACGCTGCAGCGGGTAATGCTGAAAGGGGCACTCGTGCGTTTCACCCGCATGTGCGGCGCTGCCCATGTCATGTGACTGCGACGACTACAAAACTCAAAACATGTCACTGTTGCCCGTCTGCGTTGGGCTCGCATTCCCTACGAACGCGCACGTTTGCAGCCGTCGTGTCCGCGAGCGACGGCCTCGGTGACACCCCCACAGCCAGCCGGCGCGTCGCCGTTCCACTCGCTCAGAGCCCAGTCCTTTGATGAACCGCGAGTCTGCGATATATGACCGCTGACTCACTCTGCGAGCCGCCCTGCTCGTTCCCATGACTTGACCTTTTAGCAATGTGCCTATCGCATCATAGCACCCTCTTCGCCCTCTGCATCTGCCGCGTGCGTATTTGCTGTGTCGGCACAAGTGCTGCCTTGGGCCGCGATCGTCTCGACACTTGCCTCTCGCGGACCCATTTCTCCAGCCTTGTTGGCCGGGAACGTGACCCTTGGTACAGCGCGCGGCTCATGCGAGTATTGTTAGAGAGCGGTGTGAGAGAACATGTCCTGTTCTGTGGCCATGATGCCATTGGGGTAAACGGCATGGGCGCTGGCTAGCCGCCCGTTCTCACATGCCACACGACGACAAGACAGCATTGGTCCAGCTCCGAGCGCGTCGAGTGCATGAAATACCTGCCAAATACCTGGGCAAGATATCAAAAGCTTCAGTATCCCAAGGCTGCTTGCGTGTCTCAGACACTCGGGTGAATTGTCACCATCAAGCACGTCACCTTACCAAGCAATGGCTCAACAGTAAAATTCAAACTAAAATTCAACTAGTCGCTTCATGTACATTGCAAACCTTGCCAGGTGCATGTGAAGAGAGTAATGACATCGGGGAATTCTTCCAGTCTTCTAGACTGCATCCTTCCCACTTCTAGTGCATCAGCCGTTAAGCGGGCAGTCTAGCGTTGGCTCTCCTGGTGTGTCTCAGATGCGAGCGACTTGGCCGCACGAGTAGTAGTCCGCATGCCCTAGCCAGCTCGGCTAGCGGCAGATCTGGAGTGAATGGGTGCGGGTGCACGGGCGCAAAGGCGCGTGTGTTGCGGGAAGCAATGATGCACTGGGCACTTGTCGAGGCTCTGCGAAAGTTGGAGATTCCCATAGCAAAGCCCATGTGCACCCCGACAGCCACACAAGACAAGACCCGTCATAGCCCGTCCCTGCATCAGACACCACAACCGCCACCCGTTGCTTGCCGTGACTCCAGTGCCCTGATTACCAAGACCGCCAGGCAGCATCAGCCCGACCGCCCTGGGAGCGCATGTGCAGACAACATCACCTCACCCTTTCGCCGCAACAGAGCAGGAGAGTGCGCTGCAAACGGCACACGATTGCGTATCGACTAGCCACTTTTGTCTCCACCTACCCACCCAACTTGCGCGCACCGTCATGGCAGGCCCTCTAGGCACCCCGAATGCCCAATTTTCTGCCTCGCCCTACATGCATCCTTTCCGCCCGGCCTCTTCCATGAGTGCAAACCGCTTCGACGAAGGCTATTCCGAAGACACCAGGAGCCAGAATGAGAGCGACATGGTTATGCGCGGCGACGTGCAGCTGACCGACAGCGAGATGGGAGTCAGCTCGCCCTTCGTCCTGCCCGACTGGGTCATGGCTCTGAGCGAGAACGAACGGAGTGGTAAGTAGCAGCTGCGGTGTGGCAGGAACCTGCGCTGACATCATGTATAGAATTCGCCTATGCCATTCTTCGCTCGCTGCGGACCTCGTCCATAGCCGGCATCGTCGAAAAGCTCAACCCTCTCCTCCACCTCGACCCCGTAATACACCTGCCTCCCGAAATCACCTTCCAGATCCTCTCGTATCTGAACCCCGAGACGCTCTTGCGCGCATCGACACTGTCTCGGTCGTGGAGGGAGCGTGTGCTAGACAGCCCCCTGTGGAAGCTGCTTTTTAGACTAGAAGGCTGGAACTCCAACTTCCCCCAAGTTCGCGCATACGAAGAGGCGCAGAGACAGAAACGCGCAGAATTCAAGGAGAAGGAGCGAAAGACGCGACACAGAGCCGCCGAGGATACCGACTATGGCAAGCCGTCCCACAAGAAGCGCGTGCGGGAACGACAGCTGTTTGGCGACGGCGCCGCGTCAGAAAATGGCACACAGATAGCAGCAGGATCGGGCTCTACTAGCAACGTGTGGGGCGAGCAGCACGGGGCAGTTGAGGCTGATGACAGTCCGTCTGTCAAGTCGGAGGATAAGATGGAGGGCATCTCGTTCCATGGCGCATCACCTACAGCATCGCCTGCTGCTGTAGCACGCAAAGAAAGAAGACAAGACCTGTCATCTGAAGAGATATTGCCAGCGCTCGCCGCAACAGACACGAACGGACCTCCCATACACCCGTCCCTCCTGCTCCCTGGCCCGGAAGCCAGAATCAACTGGCAATACCTTTACAAGCAAAAGAGGAGGTTAGAAGAGAACTGGAGCACCGGCCGTTATTCGAACTTCCAGCTACCACACCCGAACCACCCAGAAGAAGCTCATACCGAATGCGTGTATACCATACAGTATTCCGGAAAGTACCTGGTCAGTGGCAGCAGAGACAAGAGCATCAGAATCTGGAACCTGGATACCCTTCGCTTGGTACATCCACCACTCACTGGTCACCAAGCTTCCGTTCTGTGCTTACAATTCGACGAACGCCCTGACCAGGATATCGTTGTGTCAGGTGGCAGCGACTGCAAAGTTATCCTTTGGAAGTTTTCGACCGGACGTATCATCAAGGAAATCGAAAGGGCGCATTCGGAGTCGGTCCTAAACCTAAGATTCGACGATCGCTACTTGGTCACATGCTCAAAAGACAAGACGATCAAAGTCTGGAATCGCAAGGAGATGATGCCAACGGACGACACGTACCCTTCATCTACCATGAAGTCGAGCGCTCGGTTCCCTTCCTACATCATTAACATGCAGGAACACGTTGAAAACCAACACCTTCACTTCAAACCCCTTCTTCCATACAGCCTCATCATGACGCTAGAAGGCCACGGCGCTGCAGTCAATGCCATCCAGATTCTTGACGGCCAAATCGTCTCAGCATCTGGAGATAGGAGCGTCAAATGCTGGGACGTCCGCACCGGCGCATGCACAAGGACATTCTCAGGTCACACCAAGGGCATTGCTTGTGTTCAGTTCGATGGACGACGCATCGTTAGTGGAAGCTCAGACGAAAGCGTACGCATCTTTGACCGCGCGACAGGAGCTGAAGTGGCCTGTCTGAACGGCCACAGTAATCTTGTGCGCACCGTACAAGCTCAGTTTGGCGACCTTCCTGGCAACGAAGAAGAGCTTGAAGCTGAAGCGCGGTCCGTTGATCGGAACTACTTTGCAGCACAGGCTAGTGGTCTGCTCGCTGACCGAAACCTTACCAGGGCTGAGCGACGTGCTCGCAACGCTGGTTCCCGCGACCCGTCCAAGATATTCGCCTATGGGGCTAAACTACCACCGGGTGGCGGAGGCAGCAAATGGGCGCGCATCGTCTCAGGCTCCTACGACGAAACCGTTATTATCTGGAAGAGAGGGCCTGACGGAACCTGGGAGAAATCCCAGACACTCCTACAGAACGATGCTGTCCGAGCTGCTGGCGGCCGCCCACGAAGACCAGTTAATCATGCTGCCAACGCGAACGCGAACCACGGTGCACAGCACCACAACCAACCAGCTAATGCCCAAGCTCCTGCGCAACAGAACAACTTCCAGGCTCTCGCACAGCAGGCTCAAGCTCAGGCTCAAGCAGCTCAGACCTTGGCCCTGCAAGCCAATGCCCTCCATGCAGCATCTCAAGCAATGCATGGTCCGGCTGCCAACAACGCAAATGCAAACGCAGCCACCCACAACGCGGCAGGAAACAACGCAAACGCTGCAAACGCAACAACAGCACAAGGCGCCGCAGGCCCAGCTAACGCCGCACCACACCACCACCATCACCATCATCACCACCCCCCTCACCCGCTCGCCGCACCCCTCAACGCCAACAACGGCACTAACTCGCGAGTCTTCAAACTCCAGTTCGACGCCCGCAGGATCATCTGCTGTAGTCAAGATCCGACGATCGTTGGGTGGGACTTTGCCAATGGGGATAAGGATATTATGCTTGCCAGTCAATTCTTTGGCGACTCTTACTAGGGGTGGGAGGACAAGAGGTATGGCTCGTATACATTCTGAGTGCTTTGAGTTTCTGTGAAAGGGCACGAGTGTGTTGAGAATATTGATGATGGGGTTAATGTTTGGTGTATTATGAGTTATGTACATAGCGTTGCATTTGGCATTGCATTGGGGAAATAGGCTCTCTTCGTATAGCGTTTCTTGTGGCTTGTTAATGACACATTAAATCACCTTCATGTTTTGGGCTTTAGCTGATCACTGAGTTTCATTGGTGCCACGATCGATCTCGATTGGCGCCGTACAAACGCCACCAAAGTGGCTGTGCTTGTTGTAGGCCTCGTCTACGTCCTTTAGACATCTCACCTCGCCAACGGGTGCATTCACGCTTGTAGACTCCGACCCAAATGTTAGTCTTCCTGCGACCATTCTTGAACAAGCTGACACAATCTCAATCCGTACCGGAGTGAACAACCACTGGGGTTCTCTCTCAAACAAGATGACTTACTGGACCCAGTTCTGGCGATGGACTTCCAGCCTTAGCACGCTCCCATTTCGTATGAACGAATGGTTGCTTTCGCTGCCGTCTGGATGGAAGATATCGTTCGGTATCTGGATAAGATATACAGTGGACAGTCCAGGGGCGCCACCCTCTATGGCTTTGGTATGTCACCTTGGGGTTTGACATGGCTACTAGCTGACTTTAACAGAATGGTGAACGGACAACATACATGCACACACCCATAGATAAGAGGCAAGGAGACATTCGTTTGCTTAAGCTCCATCCTGGAAATCCTGGTGACACGATAAGCACGTCTTTGGTCACATCGCATCTGAGTGATGGTCCTTCCTTCGAAGCAATGTCCTACGTCTGGGGTAATTATAGTGATCAAGCCCAAATATTAGTTGACGGCCAGCTCTACTGTATCAGCAAGAGTTTATACGACGCTCTTCACGATTTGAGACATCCAGATTCAGTAAGGACTTTCTGGACGGACCATGTGTGTATCAACCAAATGGACATGGAAGAAAGAGTGGATCAGGTTGAGAAGATGGGCCAAATCTACAAAACTGCAAGTAATGTTGTTGTTTACCTGGGTGGAGGCACAGATCATACCGAGACAGACATGCAGCACTTTCAGTCTTTCATACAACCATACGCCCGAGGGGAAGAAGCCCCGTGGTCCCATATACCGATACACGATTTAGGCCGAAGCATCAACAGTATTCTTACCGCACCTTGGTTCGAACGCATGTGGACAGTTCAGGAGGCAGTATTAGCCAAGAAGACTACGTTACAGTGGGGTAGCTACCAAGTTCAGTGGGCTGGTGACGTGCGGACCTTGCGGGCTTTAGTATTCCGAATTAAGTCAGCAGTTGTATCACCGGTTTACCATCTACAGGATACTGCCGAAGTCGATTGGACCCCTTTGCTTTACATCCTCGAATCACAGATGAGACAGGCTGCGCGGAGAGAAGGCGTGGTTCTGCAGCGGAATCTACTCGACATAGCCTTCGACTACCGGTATCGGAAATGTACTATGCCCCACGATAGGTACTTTGCGGTGCTTGGAATAATGGAAGATGATCGGGGAGGTTCGATGTGTTTCGAGCCAAACTATAACATAAGCGTGGAAGAGTTGCATCAACGATTCACCGCCGAGATCCAGCGCATCAGCGAGATAGAGGATGTTCCACTTGTGTAGAGTCTTGGGCTATTGACCAATGCTCTCTTCCTGGATGCCTGGGGGAAGTATGGGATTCGATGTTTGATACTAATACCCAAGAGTGCCATAAACGATACTGGTTGCAAATCGCATGCCGCTTGCTATAGTATGTAGAAATTGGCGAAGAACTTGTCAAGATAGCCACAGCTGCGCTCGGTATGCCGGAGAAGTTCCAAATACGATATATGAAGCTGGAAGATCGAGTTGGGAAAAGCCGTAGGGGCGAACAGTTTCCGGCACTGACACAGGTCCTCGTGAAGCATGAGCTACCACGGAGCTTGGTTCTTCCAAGTTTCACATCTGTTCGAATCTACCCTCAAGATACATACCATGGCCTGCTCAACTTATGATAGAGAATCCTGCGTGCATCTTCGGAGCAGGTTTTGTGCTCAATGGTCGAGATCAGAAAGAACAGCAAATTTTTGTATCGTTGCCTCGGTAGAGCTATTTTGTACACCGAGGCAGAGCAAAGAAATTCATCGTAATGCGATATGATGCAGAGTACTAAACTACTACCGGCCAGTCTGACTATGATAGATATCAGTTACATGTTGACATAGAAGGAGTGTCGCTTGGTATATATGAATCTCCCAGCTAAGAGAAAGAGAGAGGTCGAATAGCGCAGCCAAGAACTCTGGTTTCAGACCAACCTTTACCAAACCCTGACCTGTTAGGAAAACCCACCGTCGTGTAATGAAGATCAGATTATATGTGACGCGTCTGGATGCGCGTCATCGGAAGGATGTTAGGGTGCCAAGTCTGATCGGCACTAAGCACCCCTGCGGCTGAGTAGCGTGGGCGGACCTGGAGCATCGGAAGCCGCGCCTGCGCCAGGCTGACAGCACTCAAGATGGACTTCGTCTGCAGCTCTCGTTTGCCTTGTACATGTTCGACCTGTCATTCACAGTAATCTTCTGTTGATCTGCCAACTACCTTTCTGCGATATATTACTTGTCATGCGCGCCTAGCGATCTCCCGATTTACCCGCGAATCCAACGAGAGCTGAACCCACGATGGTTGTCAGAGCTGCTTCAGGAACCCTGGGCGGGGTGTCGATGAAGCACCTGTCCCTTGTGACGGTACGCATATCTTTGTGTCCTGGTTCGATGTACGCGCATGAGCTAATCTTTTCGTAGCTCACCTTCCAGAACTCCGCCCTCATCTTGGTACGGCCACCCTACTTGGCGAACGGCGACCCTCGCCCAATTGAAAAGCGCAAATAAGATGCAAATTGTGTATACGAAGGATCGAAGCGTGTCAGTGGCTGACGCGGCATCAGATTATGCATTACTCAAGGGTAATGCCTCTAGCTGGAGAGCAAAGATATCACGCAAGCACAAGCGTCTTTTTGAATGAAGTGATCAAGCTAGCTATAAGCTTGACTATGGTACGGCAGTGGTATGGAAAGGTATGGTTACTGTCAGGCTCACAGTACCCATAGGCATTATACGAGATGTCCGGCAACCTTCCTTCGAACACGACCGTCCCGACATTGTTCCGCACCATGACGACCGCCATGTTTACAAACGAGAGCTGGAAGCTTGCGATACCTGCGGTCTTATACACGATACAAAACTCTCTTCAATACGTTGCTGTCAGCAATCTGGATGCTGCAACCTTCCAAGTTACCTACCAACTCAAGATTCTGACGACGGCTATCTTCAGCGTTTTGATGCTAGGCCGACGCCTCTCGACACGCCAATGGTTATCTTTACTACTTCTCATCGTCGGCGTATCTATTATACAAGTACCGCAAGCGACCGCCCCTTCAGCCACACCAGGGTCAGGATCGTCGTCATGGACTAAGACACTGGAGCAACTACATGATTTAGGCGAGAATGTCGCTGGGCGGGTCTTGAAGCGGTCTGGCTCATATGAGGGTATTCACGAGGATCGTGCAGCTCAAGTACCTCGCATGAATAGTCGGGTTGGGCTCTTGGCAGTTCTGATCTCCTGCGCTCTCTCAGGCCTGGCTGGAGTCACCTTCGAAAAGATACTGAAGGAATCGTCGAGCGCAAAGCTGACACCGCTCTGGGTGCGTAACTGCCAGCTTTGTTTCTGGTCACTGTTCCCTTCGCTTTTCCTGGGCGTTATTTGGAAGGACGGAGAGGCGATAGCGAAGACTGGGTTCTTCGTTGGCTACAACTGGGTGGTGTGGACGGCCATTGGCTTTCAGGCAGCCGGCGGCGTCATTGTTGCGCTCGTCATCAACTATGCGGATAATATCGCGAAGAACTTTGCGACGTCGATTTCGATTCTGCTCAGTTGTATAGCAAGTGTGTATTTCTTCGATTTCGAGGTGACGCGATCGGTATGTTTGCAGCAACACAGTAATGGTGGTGATGATGATGCTGATGATTGGTAGTTCTTCCTGGGCACCTGTGTCGTGCTGCTCGCTACCTATCTCTACACCAAGCCTGAGCGGGGCTCGCAACTGCCACCAGTTAGAATCGCCGACTTCGAGAAGACCACAGTCGATCGCACGTATGATGCAGATATGCCTCGGAGTCCCACAGGCTATAGTAATGTTCCTAGATCGATGCCAGAATCACCTACGATAGAACGCCATTCCCATAAGCGAGAAGCTTGAGCGCCAATAATTCAGCAATATGCATCTATAGAGCAAACATGCTCCCCAGTGGTGACTAACAGATGCTCTCACATATCGGCCGATTGGGATGGCTGGTGGCTGAACATCGCCTGTGTCATACCGTGAGGTTCTACTATGACCCGTCAGGCTGCGACTTCCTCCATCGTGACTTCCCTTCACGTCCCGACTCTCACCTCACGCCCTGTTCAATACTCTCACTTTTCGTCCCGTGCATAAACTCACCCCTGCTTCACCTCTGACATGAATAGCTCTATCTAGCAGTCATGGGCGACAGGTATCATCCGTCTGATAACCCCCAGCGGCTAGGCGCTCCCCGTCGCGCATCAAAGCACAACGTCCTCCAGCCCCGATTCAAACAGCCAGAAAGACAAATCGCTCTTCGAGATCGCTATCGTGCCACTCAGTACGAGCATCCCATGTACGACGTGGTGGAGGATGATGATGATTTGTATGATCATGGTCCCCAACTTGATTCATTTGGTACGCGAGCGTCTTACTTCTGATCTTGCTTTGCTGAAATTGTATAGATAACAAGATGCTCCAACAACCGGTCCCCAATCGTCAGCAACAAGCTGTATTAGGCAGGACGCGGCTGTCTTTTGCACCTGGCCCGTCCACGTTCATTAGCAATGCAGCCATAATTCAACCGCAGCAGCCTTTCCGTGCTCATAGAAACACGACATATGATGAGGAAGGTACTTTTAACTCTGGCCCCAAAAATGCAGCTACTGATCGAGAAGCCGAATTTCACCTGCGCCCCAAGCAAATCGTGCAGGGTCAACTGAGTGAGTTCATGCCATCGTGTTGAAAGCAAATGTCACACTGACCGCCATTCAGGTCGTTTCGCCCACAATCCTGCGCCCTTCCCAGAAACAAGTTCAGATGTACCACTCGGCCGCTCATCCAGCCCGGCATTCAAGGCAAGCCAGAGGCGTGCTAAGCGAGTCATTCCCACCACAACCCAACGCGAAGCAGAACCTCAACTCCTCGAGGATGAATTCCAATCCCCTGACGAGGACTATCAACAGCAGTATCAGCGCCCTTGCAAACAGCTTGTCCAAAATGGCTTGCAACCGACAAAGGATGTTGACCTTCAATATCGTCAACATCGTTTTCCAAAGCCACAGCCAAACCCAGTGGATCTGTCTCATGCTCCTCCCACGTGCCAGGGTATTCGTCTCGTCCCTGTCACAACTCTACCCAATCGCCTCCGGACTGTGTTTCCCTATCCGGCCTTCAATGCCGTACAATCCAAATGTTTCGAAAGATTATTCAACACCGACGACAACTTTGTGCTTGCATCTCCTACGGGAAGTGGAAAGACTGTCATCCTTGAGCTTGCCGTGTGTCGCGCTGTTGCTACCAACGCAACGGGTCAATACAAGGTGGTATACCAAGCACCGACCAAGGCTTTATGCTCCGAGCGCCAACGTGATTGGGAAGCCAAGTTCAACCAGCTCGGGCTCAAGTGTGCTCAGCTGACCGGCGACAGCGACGCAGGGGATCTTCGCAATGTGCAGAGTGCCAACATCATCATAACCACACCCGAGAAGTGGGATAGCATGACTAGGAAGTGGAAAGATCATGAGAAGCTCATGAGATTGATACGAGTGTTTCTCATCGACGAAGTCCATATACTCAGAGAAGATCGCGGTGCCACACTTGAGGCGGTCGTGTCGCGGATGAAGTCCATAGGCACGGACGTTCGCTTTGTAGCTTTGTCGGCAACGGTGCCCAACTTTAATGACATCGCTGCATGGTTAGGGAAGAATTCTTCTGAGTCAGATACTCCGGCTGCCAACGAGAAATTTGGTGAAGAGTTCCGCCCGGTCAAACTGCAAAAATATGTTCGAGGTTACAATACCAGCTCCACCAACGATTTCGGCTTTGAGAAGGTGCTCGATGCCAGGATCCCTGAGATCATTGCTAGCTACTGTAAGCGGAAGCCAATAATGGTCTTTTGTGCGACCAGGAACTCTACGGCCAATACAGCAAAGCTCATTGCGAAATGGTGGGAATCGTCACCTGGCAGGAACCGCATGTGGGAACCTCCCTCCAAGCCGCCTGCGCTCTCTAACAAAGAGCTTCGGGAAACTGTGGCTTCAGGTGTCGCTTTCCACCACGCAGGGCTTGATCTGGACGATCGGATGCAGGTTGAGAAAGGTTTCATTGCTGGCGAAATCAATGTCATTTGCTGCACTTCAACGCTCGCAGTCGGTGTCAACTTACCCTGTCATCTCGTAATCATCAAGAACACGATGTCCTGGGGTGCAGAAGGACTTCAGGAGTATTCGGATTTGGAGATGATGCAAATGCTTGGCCGCGCAGGGCGACCTCAATATGACGACTCGGCAGTAGCGGTTATCATGACTCGACAAGCAAAAGTCCGCCGTTACGAGAAGTTGGTAACCGGCCAAGATCTTATCGAAAGCAAGCTCCATCTCAACTTGGTGGATCACATGAATGCCGAAATCGGACTGGGAACGATCAGCGACCTACAGTCGGCCAGAAAGTGGCTCAGAGGCACGTTTCTCTACGTCCGGCTCCAACAGAATCCCAACTTCTACAAGCTAGATGGCTCTCGAAGTGGTCAGAGTATCGAAGAACAGGTCGATGACATATGCTTTCGTGACATTACCCTCCTGCGCGAGACCAACCTCATATCTGGCGAAGAGTGCTTTCGATCTACAGAGTTTGGTCAAGCTATGGCACGATACTACGTTAACTTCGAGACTATGAAAACATTCATGGGACTTGGGTCAAAGTCCACGCCTTCTGAGATAGTAAGTAAGACCGCAGTGACGTAAATAGCATGTTCGCACTGACCATTTCGTACAGCTCTCAGCTATGGCTCAAGCTACCGAGTTTTCTACCATACGCTTCCGTCAAGGCGAAAAACCCTTTTACAAACTGTTAAACAAGTCGCCTTCAATCCGTTGGCCCATCCCTGTCAACCTTGATCTCCCGGCCCAAAAGGTATCCCTCATCATCCAGTCTGTCCTCGGATCCGCCGTTATCTCATGGGACGGCGAGGCGGGCAAACACCGCTCGCAATACGTAACTGAGACACAAATCATCTTCAAAAACATCAGTAGTCTTGTGCGATGTATTATTGATTGCCAGATCATCTTAGCGGACTCAGTCAACATTCACAGTGCCCTTATGCTCGAGAGAAGTTTAGGGGCGAGGATTTGGGATGACAGCCCATTACAGATGAAACAGATCGACACTATCGGCGTTATCGCGGTCAGAAAGCTCGTCAACGCTGGCTTGAGATCTATCGAGGACCTTGAAGGTTGTGAACCTCACCGAATCGAAGCGCTCGTTGGCAGGAATCCACCGTATGGTCTCACGATACTTGATATGGTCCGATTGTTCCCAAAGCTTCGCGTGTCACTTCATGCCCAGCCTGCGACTGTAAGTATGCTTGTCTGTTGTGCTTTGCGCTATCTAATGAATTCCAGGTGATCAAATCTCACGACGGAGTGAGAATTCAGATCAAGGCAGATATTGGCTTCATCAACGAACAGCCGCCGCAGCGTTTCAACGATAAGTTGATCTATGTGTGTCTTCTGGTTGACACCTCGGATGGTCGCAAGATACATTTCGCACGCATTAGGTATGTATTCACTTTGTCGGTATCGTGATATACTAATCTCTATTGCAGTGGTCCAAAGCTTGGTTCAGGTCAAAGCATCACAGTCCCAGCTCTCTTGACAAGCCCAGATCAATCTATCAACTGCTATGTTATGTGTGATGGCATAGGCATGTACCGTCTCTCTTGGGCAGTGAAAGTAACTGACATCTGCCAGCTGGCAGTATGCGTGTTGCCACCATCAAGCCTAAGATAGCTGCCTCCATGTTTCCGTCATCGAACACTCACAAGTCAGACGTTGCGATGTCACATCAATCCAACGTATCAAAGCGTCGTACTGAGATTACCAGACCAAGTCGAAAGCCGACAGCTACCAGCGAGGACTTCGGAGATGGTGAATTGGACGACGACACACTTGTAGGTGCTTCTCTCCGTGGTTTCGACTTTGACCAGATCGAAAACTATGCCGACCCTATCGCAACGGTTTCACAAAGGAACACCGAGAAGAGTAAGCCGGCCAAGACTAAAGACGTTGGAAAGAGCAAGAATGCTACACAGCGGCTCGATGCTGCACCTGATAACAAAGACGAAGAACCGGTACAGCTAGCCAATGGCAAGTGGGCATGTAATCACGCGTGTAAAGATCGGCTTGCTTGTAAACACCTTTGTTGCAAGGATGGTATGGACAAACCACCGAAGAAGAAAGCCATGGTCAAACGTGTCCCATCAGGAGAAGATCGGCCGGAACCAACACAGAAAGCACCAGTTTCGAAAGGCAAACAAACCCAGACCAAGCTCCAGCTTACAGCATCCAAGCGAAAGGTCTCAGCGTCTATTGATGAACTCGATCTTACACAACAAGAGAAGAAGCAGAAGGCGAACTTCGGCATAAACGGCCCAAGAGATTATCGTGGTCTACATCAGCTTCACAAGACTGTCCAGGGTAAAGAACTGCCTACTTCATTGAATTCCCTCATGTACAAGAAACCCACCTACTGCTATTCTCAAGGTGGTGAGCATAGCCTTGGCTTCATGGGTTCTACAGTCGAACGGCCACCGACTTCAAGCGATTACGGAGACTTTTTGAGCGACATACAAGAGCATGAAGACTTCATGGGAAATGAGGCTGCAGAACTAATGTACGAATCAGATACCTTTGGAGACGATAACTCCATGATAGAAGACGCTATGATCGGCCTTGCAGACTCTCAGGATCTACAGGTGGTGCGTGAGAGTGAGGGTGATATTATGCAGTCTCTTGAGAATGCTCTCGATGATGCAGACGGTATGCGCTATGGTCAGGACGGTAAACCCAAGGATCTCAGCTTAGCCGATTGTAACGATCGAGGTCACAGCGCTCCTGTGCACCCCGATGAATCGCACAAAGCAAATGTCGGTGGATCCCGATCACTTTTTGTTGGTAGCACGAGTAGCTCTCAAGTCGAAATCGTAGACGTACTTGCCACGCTCGACGAGAAGCTGGCCAAGGTACCATCAGTCGATGAAAAGCCGGTACCCGAAGCATTCAAAGATCTTGAACCATGGATTTTCCGAGAGTTCGGCGATATCGTAGAGCTCGTTGGTGAATGAGGGAGCATTGTTTGAAGATACTGTGATGCGATAGGAGGTAACATGGACGAATGCGTATGTGTATGTCTGTATCGGAGATACAGTAAGTGGTGTTACACGCGTCTTTCAGACAATGACAATGCCATTGTTTCCAAATTCTAGCTGTACTTTTCTTTGTTGTATCTATCTACGCTATCAAACGGCATCTAACAGTGCCATTGTGGGAGACGAAAGAGCGGGGAACCCAATAGCTGAAATTTCCCATGATCCTGTAGTTGTGGTACTTGAAAACAACGTTCATCACAATTTTCAGCATAATTATAGTATACACCCGTCACAAAATAAGTTCTCATCGCAATGAGTAACCTCTCTTCACCGGCACCGCCCAGCGCTATATCAGCACCTAGCCCCGAATCGTCACCACCACGTAGACCGAGCTCTACGCCCCCTGGATCCCAGTCCGAAAGAGCTAGTGTAGCCTCAACATCGCAAACGGAACCTCCCGAACACTGCGACGACTTCATTCACTGCCGTGCCTCTGGAGGTCCTCAAGGTAATACTTTGTGTGACGTGAGTTGGGCGTTTGTATGTCCTGGTCTTCATCCATTCCGCCCAACGCCACCATCTAAATACGGCACTATACATCCTCACCCTGGCGAGGTCTGGGTCTGCGCTTACTGCATGGATCATGATACTGCTGCATGTCTTCCTGGCCATTTCACTAACAAACTCGAGCCTATAACAACGCTCGCAAATGCCAATTATCAATCAGGCTTTCGTAATCAGCTTTGCCACCGATGCATCCGCGATGAGGTCGAGCTCTACTGGTTGCGCCAAGGGACACCAGTGCCTCCGATAAAACCTGGAGGGGATACTAATCAATGTGTGGCACAATGGCCAATTGCGCCGAATAGTCTACAGGACCTTTGCGTCTGCAATAGATTGGGTATTACCCAGTTCCGATTTCGTTGTCATGCATGCCGCGACGAAGGTTTTCGAGTGAATAGTTGGGCTCGTTACAAACTCGCCGAAGACATTTTGACCAGTCGCGACAAGAAGGTCATTACAGGCAAGTTACGCTGCCACAAGAACGGCGGAACCGAGAGACACCTTCGAAAAGGCATACCTGACGGACCCCTCACCGACAGGATAGCGAATGCCGGTCTCCGTCGTAGATGTCCCTGTGGCGAGAAACCCAAAGCGCAAAGCACCCCAGAATATATCACCTTTTGTCTGGGTTGCTCAGGCGTGCGTATCGATCCTGCGAATCTGCCACCACATTTACAGTACGATAACGTCATGGCGGGAATTGAAAAGAGGAAAGGCATGAGATTGAGCACGCAGAGGCTTAGAAAGGCGGAAACGCGGAGGACGAAAGGGAGAAGGAAGGCAAAGAGGAGTCATTTGTTCAGGGTTAATATTGAGAGCGCGTGGATTAGAAGTAGATATAGAGGTGGAGGCGGAAGGAGAGGCGATCATTGGGTTGGGGGGTTCTAAAATCAGTAAAGCTTAAAGGGTGGGAAAAGTGATGAGCTAGCAACGACAAGGTGAGTACGAAGTAGCAAGAGAGCGATGGCCGGTGAAGCAGCATCTAGGATTATCATAGATTGTGGACAGCGTCGGAAGTATATTCAGGTAGACTACGACGTCATCGCGATGCAAACTTAGAACATACTATGTGAAGGTATGATTGGTTGTTCAGTGACTGGAATACACCGCCTTTACTCTACTATCAACGAAGCAGTGCTGAGTCTGCAATGATGCAAACAACGCCGTAACAATCTACCATTCAACTCCCCAATCCTCCATAATACATGACCGAACTGCCCTCAAACGTCCATTGCGCATCCCAAAAGAAAACAAAGCAGGAAGCAATTGATCGAGGAAGAAGACGCAACAGTTGCGCCACTCATACCAAGAATCAGTTGTCGTTGCAATCTAACACCAGTTTTGGCAAGATGGCGTATCAGGATCGCAACAAGTTTCGTAACAACAGAATGACAAGAAGAGCAATCTGAAGGACTCTCTAAGTAAGCGAAAATCGAGAAAAATGACTAGTAAAGCATCCACGTTGCGGAACTCCTCCCTACACCCGGCAGCGTTATGAACACCATGTGTAAGCCAGCCTCTTCAGGCGGCTACGACCATGTAAAGCCAGGGCGAGTGGGAGGTGGTGACGTGGACTGCCGTTCAGATATCATCGCCGATGTTTCTAACTTAGACGTGATCCTCGACAGCGCGCATCTCAATGGAAGGGCTAGCAACCGACGGCTGCTTGCATTCATGGATAGTACCGTGATCGCAACCGTATATGCCATCGGGATTGTAAATGCGACCTTTGAAGGCATGAACTGGCTGTGGTGGGGTACAGGGATTCTCTTTCGCGTGCGAAAACGAGGTACGAGTCGAGCGGGTTAGCTCAGGCGTCGCGTGCTCGTTGGTGATTTCGATACTGCAAGACACTGCGGTCGGGTCAGTCAAGGTGCGTGTGTGATATGTGAACGTGTATTTTACCTCCAGCAGTAGGTGAGAGTTCGACTTGAGAGTTGATGGGTGAGTGCGACAGACTGATCAATGCGGTGACAGCGTCAACTTCTTTCGCTTCCATCTCCTTGACATCCTCCACCTCCCCTGTAGCCACTTCCTGCATTTCGGCATCCTCAGGGTCCGGTAGATGCGAAAGAAAGTGCTGCCAGTCCTCAAGATGATCTGCATACTCGGACTCACATTCGACACCCTTGGCCGCCATCTCCCCCTTCATAGTCTTGTATTCCTCCATCATCTTGAACGTAATCTTGGGTATGTACGTATCTCCTGACTTGCCGAAAACACAGTTATTGAGACGAGCCCTGAGTACAGGACACATGCGATTGAACTTCGAGGCAAAGGCGTTGGCTTCACGTTCAGCACGAGGCGGAAGGTCATTTCCGGCCTTATCCTGGATGATAGTACCCACGAAAGTCGCATTGAAGGCATCGCGGACCTTCCTACTGCCAGGGAGTAAGAAGCCGCGCTTACGCGACTCCACGATGCAAAGCTGAAAGTATAGCTCAAACCAAAGCTCCTCTTTCTCGTACCACAAGCTGACGGAGCGGGCTTTGAGACCGGCACGGCCGTAAATCTGGTTGCGCCAGGCGTTGATCTTGCTGATATGGTGGGCGGAGTTCCAGTCAATCATTGAGTGAGGTATCTTGCGGAAGTGGAGCTCTATGACTCTGTTGGTGGTGGAGCAGTCGCAGACCATACGAAGGAGGGATTCATCCTTGTGGCCAATGCTGGCCTTCTTGCGGGTGCCACGTGGGACGAGAGTTGACTTGAATCCATAAGATTTGGAAGCGGTCGCGAGAGGTTTCTTGGAGCTTTTTGATGTGTTGTTCAGAACTGGCTTTGTCTTCTTGGCTGATGGTATAAGAGCTGGGCCGGTGTGCTCATCGGCGGAGCGTTTGCGCTTATTCGCGGAAAGAGCAGTGAGCACGGGTGGTAGTTTCTGATCTGTCTTGGTCTTCTTCGATAAGTGTTGAGGGGAAAAATGAGTTGCTGGCTGCCGGCCGATCTCGTCTCGCTTGGAAGGCATCTCGATCACTTGGGAGGTGTGGATGGCTTAGTCAAAGACAGCAGACTTGGGTCGTCGTGGACCGTTTGCGACAGGAAATTGACAGAAAGTTTTCGATGATGCCCAAGAAATTGTGCGTAGCTATTAGTGGTGGTTGCGAGGTTGGGATACTGCAGTTGTTGTGATAACGGAAATCTAGAATAGAGACGAGGTGCAGGATGAAACCAAGCTTAAGAGATATATGACAACGCGTAGTGACTTGAAGATTTTTCATGGGAGCGTTTGAGGTGAAAGGGAGTGCAAGGGCGCGCAGTGTATGTGTCGTTGACACTCCCCGACGTCGCCACGGCACCAACAGCACTGGTTGTTGTCGCCCCAGGATATAATAGGTGAATGTGGAAGACAATAAGTTAGATAGGGACCGAAGATATAGAGACAAGCCAGCTGGCTAAGGGTTTTCATACAGCATAAAAAGGCTGTGGTGACTGCGCGCTTTCCACTAATATCACCACAGCTGTTGCTTGCTGTCCACATTCACCTTCACTTTCACCAACGTATCTGTAGAAGAATGGCAGAACTGGTGGGTCGGAAGTGCAAGCTGTTTTCTTAGGAGGCAACGCTTTGTTAGCACTGCAGTATCTATGGATGTCACCGAACTCTCACGCCATCACCGTATACTTCCTGGCCTGCCCTTTGCTTTGTAGCTTTTTGTACTTGTCTCGACAAAACCGTTGCGTATTTGACAATCACGTGTAAAGCGAAAGCACTCACGACCTCTAGGAAACTCCGAATCAACAGTAACTCGGGCTGTCTATAACAATACCACCTTAGGTGGTTGAGGGCCCTCCCCAGCTCACACTATGCCAGGGTAGGTATAGCGTAATGCTCGTTGGATGCAACGCCTTACAGAACCGAAAGATACGCATTCATGCAATCCTGAAACAGTCTTGTACTCTCCATGAAGTCAGATGTTGCGCCAATCAACGCGGATCGATCGGAATCTGGACGCCTCCAGATGAAGGAGCTGCGGATGGGGCAATTACGGATTACGCCCTGCATGCAGGGAGGAGCAGCCAAGTGCAAACGTCCTTTGGCCCCCAAATCCTACGCCCATCTCTTAAAGCGACGGCAACCATCGCTGTAGCGAGTAGAACACGGGTTGTTTCGTTCTCTGCGCATTTGACCTCACCGACGCGCAAAGATGAGGGCCGCGTGTGCCATAACGATTGGAGCTCTCGCTACAGGCATTGCAGCGCAGACTGGCGGCAGCGTTTTTGAGCCGCAGAACTTCAACATCAGCGCGGCTCTCGGATCCTTCGGCGTTGACGTATCAACTCTGCCAGAGCCAGCAGATACGCTTCATTCACGGTCCTCGGATGCACAATGCTCACATGCTGTTAGTCCCATCGTCGCGCGACGATCCTTTGCAATATGGCGCGAACTAACATTGGCTTCAGTGTGCCGCCTTGACCATACTGTTCGGCAGTGACAAGGTCTTGGCTGAAGGGGTAACCGCATATAGCAATTTCACGGGCGGATATTGGTCTGCTCAACAAGGCTCATTACGGCCTTCCTGTGTCTTCAAGCCTACAGAAACTCTGGACATCTCGATATTGGTACTTGCGGCTAGACTGTACCAATGCCCTTTTGCCGTAAAAAGTGGCGGTCATGCGGCATGGGCTGGTGCGTCCAGCATTGAAGACGGAATCACGGTCTCGTTGGAAAACTTCAAGCAAGCTGTTGTTGCTTCCGACAGACAGACAGTTGACATTGGCCCTGGACTTCGATGGATAGATGTATACAAAGCTGTCGAGAAAGACGGTCTCGGTGTCGCGGGTGGGCGTGTAAGAATACGGATCCCCTCTCATCTCCTACTGGCTCTACTGACGATAGCATCAGATGGCTCCTGTAGGCGTGCCTGGACTTGTTCTTGGAGGAGGCATATCCCACTTCGCGAGCAAGCGTGGCTGGGCGTGTGATAATGTAGCTAGCTTTGAATTGGTTACAGCGTCCGGCCTCGCCATCAACGTTAGCGCAACATCTTACCCCGATCTATATTGGGCACTGCGAGGGGGAGGCAACAACTTTGGAATCGTGACGAACTTCAAGCTTGAGGCTTTCGCTCTGGGCCAGATGTGGGGAGGCCAGAGAGTGTACCTTGAGAATGCAACCCCAGCTGTGCTGGATGCGATTCATGAGTTCACCATGACTGGATCCGTCAGGGACGAAGATGCCGCCCAAATTGTCGTAAGTCCGCTTGGTTTGCTCCTATAGCACAGGTGATTGACATGTACAGACGTTCGCCAGCGCGCCTGGAATCGGCAAAGTTTCTTTCGCCAATCTGCACTACGCCAAACCGATTGCTAACGCTTCGGTTTTCTCCAGTTGGAGTAACATCACCGCCATCGATGATACCACCGGCCTCCGACTAATGTCCGGGATGGCCGACCTCTTGAATCAGGGAGCGCCCACGCCTGGGGCGTACCAAACGTGGTGGGGTATCAGTTTGAAGATGGACAGACAACTCCTCCAATTCATTGTTAATACATTTTACGCGCAGGAAGCAACTGTCGCGGATGTCGAGAAGATTTTGCTCATCATGGCTGTCCAGCCCATTACCAAGAGCGCAGCCAAAGCCATGCAAAAGAACGGCGGAAATGCTTTAGGCATTGATCCAGAAAACGGCCCGTACTTTGTACTTAACTTCAATGCGGCTTGGAACAACAGAGAAGACGAAGCCAAGTTCCACACGGTGATTGCCAACATCATCAAACTTGTGAAGGCGGAAGCGAAGAAGAGGAACCTCGACAACGACTTCGTATATCTCAACTACGCGTCTGAATACCAAGACCCCATCGGTAGCTATGGGTTGAAGAACAAGCAACGACTGATGGAGGTATCGAAGAGATACGACCCGAAACAGGTCTTTCAGTACCTCCAGCCTGGCGGGTTTAAGCTAGTGAAGGGCGCACCGAATGCAAACACCTCCGATGCATCATTGGCGAGGGTTGATGAGGTCTGACGTGTTTCTAGACGAATGCGTGAACTCCTGATTGTCTTGAATGGTAGCAATTAGGGAAAGTGGAAGGATAAATTAGCTGCATATGCGGGCGAGAACGTCGCAAAAGCCAACCAATGCGCTGCAAATCTAGTTTCTTCCTCGATCTACCACCCAGCTCTCGCTGTTTGACTGTCGTCGTAGTGCTTCACCATGCTGGGGTGCCATTCGTGCATACCCATGAGCGAGTTCTTAGTGTGGCCGGTTTGGAGTGATATATACTGTTCGAGTGATCGATGATAAGGGAATGAAATCGGAAAGTGTAAACCCCCCTAATGAGATTGAAAGTGTTCTGTTTCACACACCTCGCGACTTGACCAGAACATCAATGACGTAATTGAAGGAATCGGTTAGTGTACCGAGCTACTTATCAACAGATGTGCGCCAAGCATCACACCATGTCTCATGACTGCAGCCTCGCATACAGCCTTACGTCTCTAGATGTTTAGTAGTTCTAGTCGCCGACACGGATCTAGATTTGCACCCGATCGGGCCGCGCATGCTTGGTCGTCGACCCACGTTCTTACACTTGGTATCTACTGCATTCAGACGATACACAAGGTCTTCTATGACTATCTGTGCAGATGTACAGAACGGTGAGTACCTTCAAGGCAGGGATGAGCTTTGATTCAAGGTGGTGAGACTTTGTTAGTATGCTGCAAGGCGTTTACCGCTCGTTCTCCTGGTTGTCACTGCATAACCGGGGCTGATCTCGCGATAGCATGGCTCTGTGTGCCTCGCCAGGGCACGAGACGCTGTGGAGCTCGTCCGCCAACTTCCCTTTGTCTACAAACCACTTGATGCACAGTCAGCCTACGTCGACGCGCATGCACGAACGTTACAACACCAATATCGGAGGCCAGTGCTCATCTCAACAGATTTACCGACCCATGGACTGTCCCACACGTAGTAGTTTCGAAGGACATTTAACGTAGTTCGTGGAGTCAGATGCGACTACGCGACGTTATTGGCTGCATTCGCCGAAATTACGGTGAGATCGCATCCCTGCGGGAATGCAGCACGCTCGCAGCATCGCTCATAGGGCTTGGCTACTAAGGCTTACATGCAGTCCTAACTACGGTTGGCGATGCTCATTCGTACGTTGACGACATTAACCCCCTTACCATATTGAGACATGGACCAGACGGAGGTATAGCCGTTCTGCTATCCATCGTACCATGTGTGCTGCTGAAGGGTACAGGATTTCAGCGCGTCCGCACTTATGCAGGCACAGCACGAGATTGCAGCGACGTTGTTTCCAGCACCATGGACGCAATGAGACATGCCCGGTGACTCGGAACCGAGATGCTTAGTGAGCGTGCCCACGCTTGCGGAAGGAAAGCTGCCGCTGAAGCCTATCTATGGAAGTTCGGCACGAATCTGGCACGTGAAGATACACAACATCCCGCTCAGATGTATCAGCTTCGGGTTTGTGCTTGTGTCTGCCCTGACACCGCGTCGAAGACTCTCTAAACGGCTATGACGCCGGCGCTGTGTTCGTCGTTCCTTTTCGTGATATAGCAGCGGAGCCACTAATGTAAAAAGCTTGGGATACCGAATACAAGGCACAGCTGGACTGCGGAAAACGTGTTTCACGAAGATTCAAAGTAACCTCATTCTGCTTGTACAGGCCGCGCAACATGACACCATCGCAACTGCCGTACGGTGAGGATGAGCCAACCGATTGGGAAGCGTCATAGTATCACTATTGCATGCACTCGAAGACGGTCGAGTACAGTCGCTCACCTCTCAATCACAATCAGATGACGAATTTTGAGTGATGTGACAAGACAAGAAGTCGGTCAGGCTTCCAGCCGTAGTCGACCAGAAACGGCTAGCTGGCCGCCCCCAAGGCCAATCTAGCTGCACGTATTAGCCTTTTGGCGCGATTTCCACAGAACGACAGCCTCCCTGCTGCATCGCGTTCCAACACAGCACTCTTACTCGTCGACTGGCCGTGGGTGCAGCTGAAGACGCAGGTCGATGCAGCTGCGTCCGATGGCCGTTATTCTGCCTCTCCGCTTTTTGGTGTCGCCGAACGCTTGAAGTGCATACCACAGTACATGGGTTCGGGGGCTCCGCGAGCAGCTGATTCGCAACGGCATGGCGAGCGGGGGTCCAGCGGCTGCGCCGAGCAGTGCCCTTGTGTCTGACCGCCCCACTTCTTTTCTTACAGGCTCTCGAAATACCACACCATACATGGCACTTCTGTGCAGCTTCGTTGGGGGCTGAGAAGTACATCGTCATTGCTAAACATTTATTAACCACAGAGCCCCCAATGGATGTCATACGCCCCAAGGTAGATCGCCAGCCCCTGAGCACTGGGGATTTGGCACTAAATTGATCATGGCATCTAATGGTACGCACAACGACTTCATCAACATCACCACGCCACACTCGCGCGCGCCCAGCATGGTTCAGGAAACGCCAGCCTCCGCGCCGCGGCCGCGCTTGCCAGTCAGGAAACAAGCGCCCCAGAGGAACATTGACGAGTTCTGGAATAAGTTTACGACCAAACACCCTGGCAAGATCTTTACGATCTTACCCGACAACCTGTACGCGAAACGCGCCGCCGCACATGCGCCGAAAGGATCCATACCCGGCGTCAATGCGCTTGCGTCATACGAGGAAGCCAAAGAAGCCTGCACCAGAAAGGTCGCAAAGATCGTCAAGGAATGCCGGCGATTGAATCAAAAGTACAGAGATCCACATTTCGACATCGAAGCAGACTTCAAACGATCGCAAGCCTTTCCAGATACACCAGCAGACTGTCTGACTGGGCTGAATGAAGAAAAGACTGATTTCCATCCTCTATCGGTCAAGAGAGTTGAGGTACGTATGTTACAGACCATAACAAAACTTGGCTCATTCGTCACAGGACATCTTCGACGACCCACGATTCTACATTGGCGGCGCTACAGCGAACGATGTACGACAGGGAAACGACGGCGACTGCTGGTTTATGTCAGCACTAGCGACCATCTCGAATAAGGAAGAGTTGATACAACGGGTGTGCGTTGCCCGTGACGAGAAGGTTGGCGTTTACGGCTTCGTCTTCCACAGAGGTAAGGACACAGCTACAAATTCGGATAGGTCCCAGACTAACGTGTCTCAGATGGCGAATGGATTTCAGAGGTTATCGACGACAAGCTTTACCTTATCAAAGAAGATTTCGACGAAGCCAAGCTCGAACGCTATCACTGGCTGGAGCTTCAGAACCGCAAGAGTCCAGAAGACGAATACCGCACTGTGATGCAAACTGGCTCGCGAGCGCTGTACTTTGCACAATGTAGTGACCCCAACGAGACGTGGCTACCATTGCTCGAAAAGGCCTTTGCCAAAGCGCATGGCGATTACAGTGCCATCGACGGAGGCTTTGTGGGGGAGGGCATCGAGGACCTCACCGGAGGTGTCACGTCAGAGGTCTTTGCGACCGATATCCTGGACAAGGACAAGTTCTGGCGTGAAGAGCTTATGAACGTCAACAAAACGTTCCTCTTCGGATGTGGCCAGATGGGTGGTATCTACGGTGCCCGCAAGGGTATCCAGGAGAAGCACGCATACTCTGTCATGGAGGCACGCGAGATCGATGGGCAGCGACTACTGAAGCTTCGAAACCCCTGGGGCCGAACCGAGTGGACCGGTCGCTGGAGCGATGGTTCAGAAGAATGGACCCCGGAATGGATGAAGAAGCTTGATCATAAGTTCGGAGACGATGGCGTCTTCTGGATCTCCTACAAAGACCTGTTGCGCACATATCAACACTTCGATCGCACTAGGCTCTTTGGCCCGGAATGGACGGTGTCCCAACAATGGACGAGTGTTAATGTTCCTTGGAGTGTCGATTACCTTGACACCAAGTTTAGGATACACCTCGCCAAAGGCGGTCCCGTCGTCATTGTCCTCAGTCAGCTTGATGATCGCTACTACCAAGGTCTTGAAGGACAGTATGAGTTTCATCTGCAGTTCCGCCTCCACAAGGATGATGAAGAGGAATACATCGTTCGCAGCAACGGTACATATTACATGAAGCGCTCCGTCTCCACAGAGCTGGACCTCGAGGCTGGCAACTACACTGTCCTGCTCAAGATCAAAGCAACCCGGATCCCAGATAACCCAACTCCGGATGAAGTCATCCGGGCCACATGCACCAAGCGGCGCGAGAAGCTCCTTGCGATCGGTCTTTCCTACGACCTTGCTCATGCCAAAGGACAGTTCAGAGAGCAAGAAAAGGATAAGGCACAGCGTGAGAAAGAGCAAAAGGCCGAGCGGAAGAAGGCTGAGCTCAGGCTGGCACATGAGCGTCGTAAGAGGCTGCGCCGAAAGGCTGAGCTGCGCGAACAGAAGAAAGCTGCCAAAGAGACGCGCAAGCTAAACCGATCCGGCGAGATGGCAGAAGTCGAGAGAAAGCTACACGACTTATCCGGTCTTGGAATCAACGTTGACGAAGACAACCGTACTTCCGGCGACGAAGAGGTCAAACCTGTTCACCAAGCTGTTTCCAGGCATCGCCGCACATCGAGCCTTGATCCACATCGTGAACGCTCAGCAAGCCCTGGTGGCGGTTTTGGTGGTCGAGGAGGCTACAACAAAGGCCGAGACGGCTATAACGCATCGCTTCCCGGGACATTCCAAGGACGTGGCGGCTACAATCGTGACAGTATCGGGGCCGCAACCTCTGAGGCTACTACACTCCAATCGCGAAGCGGCTATCATAGCTCACAAACTTCTCCTGCTGCCCACAGTCAAGGGTTCCAAGGACGTGGTGGCTATAACCAGAACATGCCTGGTGAGTTCCAAGGGCGCGGAGGTTATAATCAGAACATGCCTGGAGAGTTCCAGGGCAGGGGAGGCTACAATCAGTTGCCTGGTGAATTCCAGGGCCGTGGTGGTTACAATAACGAATTGCCTGGCACCTACCAAGGCCGCGATGGGTATAACGAAGGCCAGGTGACAGATTCACCAATACCTACACCGTTACCGACACCTCTTGCAACTCCGATGACCGATGAGTTCCGTCCCGGCACCCCCGGCCAGAGGACATTCAGCCCTCGTCCCGAGCGTCGATCACCAGCTGCCTCGCGCCGGGCTACGCTTACTCCCATCCCTGGTGTCCGACCTGGTATTCAGGTAACTCGTGGGCGAAGTGCTAGTGATTACTCGCACCGCGCTCAAAACGGAATGCACTCACCTGAGGACATGTCAGACTCCTCCTCCTGGGATTCCGAAATCGATGGCCCTTGCTCTCTCGATTCTGATCATTCTGATGACGAAGACAACATCCCCCGCATATTCTCAGAACGCCAACCTCGCTACGTATGGTACAATGGCGCGCGCTACCCATACATCGAGGACAAGGATGAATTCGAGCGCGATCCTTGGAACGCTGTATGTGTTGTGGGGCTTCGCGTCTTTAGCAAGGACAATACAGATGTCACGATCGAGGTGCACAATGGCGAGGGAGAGTCTAGAAAGAAATCTGATGGAGACGATGCAAGTGTGACGACCATGGGCACGGTCAGACGTAAAGAAAAGGAACTTGATGTTGACGACAGTGCTGCAGATGCCACTAGTCCGATGCGAAAGAGGAATACTGGTCTTGAAGACGAGCTGAGCGCACGGTTCAATCGGGACGAGGAGGCTGAGCTTGTGAGCCATGTTGGCACTGCACCGGCAGGCATGGAGAGGAGTCGTCAGGGGACGCTGAGTTAAGGAAGGTGTAAGTTCACTCTGGAAGCTAGGTGTACCGTATTTGGGTGATATTTGACTGGTATTTTTGCTTCATGTATTTCCAGCGAGCTTGGTGTTTGGAAGGGTTTGCATATTAAGGATAGTACGTGAAATCTTAGCTTTGATTCACCTGAAGACATCTCTCTTAGTACTTGTAGCTTAATCGTCGTGTGACTATCGATTGAACGTTTATCACGTCGCTCGCAGCTATGCTTCAGTGAGGACTGCTGGAGCTATAAAATGAGACCTCACTGCGAATGAAACTTGATTCAATGACAACGAATGCTAGAAGCAAACACGGCGCTGCACAAGGGCTTAGGAATAAGCGGAAAAGTCTAGTAAAGTATGACCGTTGCGTTGCCGATATATGTTAGGGTAGTATTGTGTTCCTTGTGTTCTGGCATCTGCTGCTCCGTTTTCGGCCCGTGGTGATGCTAGCAGTAGTTCATTGCTATAGCGCCATATGGATCCATCTTATCCAGTGTTTCCCACCCACTGTGATGTGCAATCCGGAGCGCTAGTCTCCGAAAACCATATCCTGGGGATTCCGGGGTTGGCACACCGTTTCTGGATCGTTGCCGGCATTGCTATCACGCCCATCGGTCCGCCCGTCTTATTACTAGCAGAACGTCGAGTCCGGATATTACGGTTCCAAAGCAGTGCTGCGATGCCTTTAAACGACCTCTTCATTGGATACTGTACGTACCAAGCCCACGTGTTAACGGCAACCTTCATAGACTTGATGCATGTAGCGACGCCGACATCCAGGTTCAAATGCGACGGACCTGCATCTTGTATGCACTTGTCGCACGTGTGTCTCTCATTGGCGTATTGTTATCAGACACCGCAGGACGCCAAACTCCAAGAGGCAGTTGCCGAGAATGGGGCACGGCCATTGCCAAGGTCGCCAAGTCTCAGCGCTGGTGACTGCAGCGGAGACGTCCGCCTTTGTTCGCGTGGTACATATAGTGACAGATCGCCATGATGGAGGCTCACTGTCGTGCTCGCGCCTCTCACCCTCTCGTTAACAACTCCACCAGACGCAGGTGAAGATGAAGTTCGCCACTGGATCTAACGCCGGCCTTGTCGCCTTCTCGGCGCTGACGGCGATCGCTCAAGCGGAGGATTCACTGTACAGCAAACGCATGGTGAAGCGAGGCATTGACGCGGATGGCAACTACAATATATGTATGTCCGCATGTTTAACTCCAACGTTGCTTCTACTCACGTGACCTAGCCTTCTTCCACATCAACGACGTGCATGCTCACCTTGACGAGTTCAGCTCTTCAGGAACCGACTGCACACGACCAGAGCGAGGTTGCTATGGTGGCTATGCGCGCGTCAAGACAGTCATCGAAGAGCAACGCCCCAACTACGAAGACAGTCTTTGGCTGAATGCTGGTGATGAGTTCCAAGGCACATTATTCTACAGCTTCTACGGCGGCGAGAAGATTGCCGAGACGTTGAACCAGCTTGAATTCGACGCCATGACCCTGGGCAACCACGAGTTTGATGGCGGCGATGCCCAGCTAGGAGAATTCTTGGTCAATCTCACGTTTCCCATCATCAGTGCGAATGTGCATTCGCAGGATGAGAACGTGAACAAAACTGTGAAGCCTTACACCATCTTTGAAGAGCACGGTTTGGCGCTCATTGGTGTCACCGCTGAAGAGACTGGCAGTCTGAGTAACGCCGATGTTACTACGGTCTTCTCCAACACCGTTGAGGCCGTTCAGGGCGCCATTGATGAGATCAAGGCTACCACCAACATTACCAGGATTGCTGCTCTTACTCACATCGGCTACGACAAGGACCAGGAACTTGCCAAAGCTACCACTGGTCTTCAACTCATCATTGGTGGCCACAGCCACACACTTCTTGGCGACATGGAAGACGCTGAGGGCAAATACCCGACTATCGTCGACAACCAGGACGGCGACGAGGTCTTCATCGTCACTGCCTACCGTTGGGGCGAATACGTCGGCTACATTGATGTTACATACGACCCTCAGGGCAAGATCCTCGCTTACAACGGCGCCCCAATTCATCTTACCAACACTACCGAACAGGACGAGGACCTTCAAGAGCAGGTCGAGGAGTGGCGCATTCCTTTTGAGGAGTTCGCTGCTGAAGTTCTCGGTACCAGTGAGGTTGAGCTTGACCAGACAACCTGCCAAGAGCAAGAGTGCTTGCTCGGTGATTTCATGGCCGATGCTATGCTCGCCTACCGCAAGAACAACACCGACGACGTTGACTTTGCTCTGATCAACGCCGGTGGCATTCGCGCTACCATCGATCAGGGTGACATTACCCGCGGCGAAGTCTTGACTTCTTTCCCCTTCGGTAACGCCATCGTTCAGGTTGCTATCGATGGAAAGACTCTTTGGGAGTCTCTCGAGGGTATTGTAACTGGTGTCAACGTAGGCAATGGAAGGGAAGTCACTTCGTTCTTCCAGATTAGCACTGGCATCAAGGTGGAATACAACCCTGAGAACGACAACAACACCAAGCTCATTTCCGTCACCATTGGCGACGAGCCTCTGAACAACGACACCACCTACCAAATGGTCACTCTCGATTTCATCGCCGGCGGAGGTGACAACTTTTTCGAGCCATCGACCGATTTCATCACCTTGGATACTCAAGATGAAGTTCTTACTTCGTACATCTTGAGCCAGACGCCAGTCAACATTGAGCTTGATGGACGTATTGCGGAGGTCGATGGCCAGAGGGAAGACACGCCTGGTGCTGGCAATGGCACTAGCAACGGTACCTCACCCACAACTGGTGCGCCGCCTCAACAGACCACCAACGCAGCTGCCCGTCTCGGCCAAGGTGCCATCGGCGCTAGCATCTTCGGTGTTCTCGCCAGTCTTTTCATGCTCTAAGCAGAGACTGATATGAAGGAATGATATGCGTGATGGCTACGTATAATAAGACAACAAAACCATTCGATTAAACATGTACATACTTGTTAGACGCGTCATTTGGTCTGAAAGCTGTTGATGTGATCACTTGTGAAGATATAATGAGACGATACGCAACCAAAATATCATGTTGACCATCCAGCCGTGGTCATCTCGTCTGATGTCTGATAATGAAAGCAAACTAAGACTGCGCTTCAGCGCACCTTATAGCCTATCAAATCTGGAATGCACGCAGCTCAGGCGCACCCTGTGGTGCATACGCTGTCAGATTCAGCCAATTATTTCCTTTCGTGTCGGCGATTGATTCCTTAGCCCCGCAAGTAGTTACCAAGACCTATAGTGCGCTCACAAAACCTGGATGTTGTCCAACTATATATTTTCCATGCATTGATAATATATAATACTGCCTTATTTCCACAATTTATTGTTTCACTTTATATCGTCACATCTAGCTTGCAGTGTAGGATACGACAATGTCAACTCCAGCTTTCGCGATAGCTATACAGAAGCAGGACTCAAACGCCGAACCACCTTGATCCATCGTGCTTTGCAATGGTTATCGTGACAGGAGTGCAACTCCAGACCCGTTCATGATCCTGAAGATTCCAGAAAACGAAGAAGTAGACAGACATGAAGATGGAGGTGAAAGGAGAAGCGATGCGTCATATGCGAAGCACCTTTTGTCTATAAAAATCTTCGGCTACCTAGATCTTCCACAACCGGCCACTTCGATATTTCAACTAACAGCGCACCATCTCAATATGCTCAACCGTCAGATTAGCAGGGACAAAAGAGGGAAGATTGTAGTGCGCCTAGGCGGTCTAAATGACATCAGGCTCGGCGCTCCTGCACACCCACCTACCTTTACGCCACCTATTGTCACCCCATATGAAAAGCTCGAATCGAGTGTTGCGGATTACACATTCGAACAGTACAAAGCCGCCAACCTCAACATCGACCAGCAACACGATATCATCGGCAAGCTCCGCAATGAGCTTCCTATCATCGACCGCGACGAAGTCGACGATACGCTTCTGCGTTCGATGGCACAGCAGTTCGAGCTCGCAATTTTCCCAATATGTAAGATGATGCATGTCGACCCCCTAGCCGTGAAGCGCATGTTCGATAACCAGTTCCGCATGGCGTATGGACCAGAGGTAGAGGCGGAGGTATTAGCAAAGCTAGGCTTGTGTCGCTTAGAAGACATCGAGAAAGCTGTCACTGCAGTGAAAACAGGGATGGTCACCAAAGAAGACATCGAGCACAGTGCGACCAATGTGGAAGAAAGCTCAATAAGGCAGGAGAGAGACATGGTTGCCACTCCTCCACCGAAGAAGAAAGCGAGGATGGCACCGCCCAACAACACACAGAAGGATCTCAAGGCTCACATTGCAAGGAGAAGGCGTGCGCATCGTGGGTGCAAGATCTTGACGCTGCGCTCGGTAGTTGTGTCGCAGAAGTGGGAGGTCTTGAGTAGTGTGTCGTAGCTGGCCCACACGGGCAGTAGTGGAGGTAGTGACACCTTGACCAAAGGCTGGGTACTGGAATGATGATTTGTTTTTGAGCTGGCGCGCGTCGTGGACGGGCTGGACGAGGGATGATACGCCAATGCTGCGCATAGAGCAATACTACGAGCGAGTACTGCATCATCGCAAGCACTCTTAGAATCTGGTGGAACACTTTTATGCAATGAAATGTTCGAACGATCATTGCGAAGCTCGTGAAGCTAGCTGGAGACCTCAGAATTTCGACGCGTGACGTCACGCGGTTATCGATCGAGGTAGCACTAACCTACGACGACGCGCTTTTCGCGCAGATCTACAATGACGTCTTCTAACGGACAATTTGATTTACGAGGTTATCAGCCATCATTGAACTTCTCTGGTGCAAGCGACCCACTTCAGGACGGATCTCCTCCGGTGGGTGGACTACCCGGGTACCTAGGTAGCGACCTGAGGAAGTTGCTCCGATCGTCTTGACGCGTCCGATCCTGAAGGCGCCGCCACGTGGCCCGCATCTGGCTGATCAGGGCAGCCTTATTGGAGACTCCACCAATGTTTCGGGGAGTGGCTCTGCATCGACATTGTTGTGGGTCGCAACGGGCCGTCACGAGTCGTGTGCGCTAAAATTTCCCCGCCGTTTACAACCTCGTACCCGCCATGTCAGAAACTGGTATTCTCTTGCATCAATCACAGATTGGAAGGATCAAAGACTGAACCCACTACTTCCCCTCTCCAATCTACTCACACCATGTCGGGTCTCAACGAGTCACAAATCTTTCTCGCCAAGTACCACTTATACAAGAAAGCCACTTCTACAATCGCAGGATGGATTGCCGAAACCGCCGCTTCCATCGGCTTCGATGTCAAAACGAAAGACCAAAAACAGCAGAAGCCGAAATCGAAATCGAAAAAGGGTGCGAAGGGGAGAGGCAAACAGAAAGCGACAGGTGGAAGCAGTAGCACAGTGTATCAACTTGGAGTGTCAGATTTCGTACCAATGGCAGAAGCGATCGCAAAAGCTGGAGAACAAGCAGAATCCGAGATCATGGTTCCCGTTGCTTTATGCCGGCACTTCAGTCGCGCCATTCAGACACGTCGAAAAGTATCTCAGTGGTACAAGGCGAGAGTCAATGGAGATACGAAAAGTGATCTGAGGCACGAATACTTATCAAGGTTCTTGAGGACACCTTCGCATCTCTCAAACCGTTTCTCGGAACGGGCGGACCAGAACCTGCACGAAACAACGTTTCCGATACTACTACGTCGGGCTTGTCGTCTCGTAATCGCTTTGCGGGATTGACCGTCGACGAGCTTGCAGCGGTAGCCGATGAGGAAGACATCGCTGAAGACACACTTTCCGAATTTTCCGGAGTCAAGCTTGAGGAAGTCGAGGAGGACAAAGAAGACGACTTCTGGGTTGCTGTTGCGCTCATGCTACAGGAGCAGCAAGACATGAGAGAGATGGTACGTGAGAACTGGGAGAAATACAAGAGCGGTGAAGTCGACCTGGTTGTGGCGGCCATGACCACGGATACTGCTATCAAACTTGCTCAGGGTGCTGAAGCGAAGTTTGACCTGTTAGTAACGCGACCAAAGAAATATTCACAGACTGAATATCCGGTTTGGACACTCTCCGCTGTTCTCTTCTACAACAACCACGAAGATATGCACCAATGGCCCCTCGAGGAGATTGCGAAGCCTTCTGCCAAGCTTGGAGTTACAGCCGATGCCCAGAGTGAAGCGCACTTTGACTTTTGGCCAGTATTCGCTGGCTTGAAATTTTATCTCCACAAACACATTACTAAGACGAACTCGATTCCACAAGTAGTTCCCAAGGACTTCGGTAATGCCAACATCTACAGTCGAACGTTGAGAGCGATCGAACTCGCGCAAGTCATGCGGATCATTGCAAAAGCAGTTAAACGCCCGGCACTCCTAGACATGGTCTCTAGAGGTCTTTTGGACATGCTTAGCGAGCACACTGTCCCAATGTGGCTTACATATGGTGTTCAGCTCCATTTTGATTCGCAAGACATCTTGGGCGAAAGAACTCACCGACCACATGTTGAACTTCAGGTCTACCTGAACCACTTGATCGGATCGCAGCGGGAAACTATAGAGGAATGGGAGGATCCAATGATGCCAAAAGAAGTCCAGTATGAATGTTACAATCCTCTCAAAGAGGCATACAATGAGATGGTAAGTTGTGCGTGTACGAAATCCATCAGAAAGGTACACTAACTTTGTATCTTCACCTCTGCAGAGTGTATGGGCGAACTATGATGGGTCTAACAAACAATGGGAAAGGCTCAAGAAAGATCCAAAAGTGGGTGGGCATCCAATCTTCAGGAAATTGAAGAGCGAGCCTTTCTACCTGTATAGACACAATCCTCTGCTTTGCGGTATGATGAAGTACCACTTTCTGGTCCACTGGCACGCGGCTGGCATATCACATGAAGCAACCTCATGTTCTATCCTTTTCATTGCCCATGTTTACATGGGCACACAGCTGAGAAACCCTTCCGATCCAGTATGGCCCGACATGGAGTTCATGCTCTTCAGCCAAGATCCCCGATACCTGTTACTCGAAAGGCCGCCCGAGTCTCCTGAGGAAGCGCGGACACTCTTCGATATAGCTACTGGTCAGCCCACTCTCAAGCAAGTGGGTTCATATGCTCTCGACCGTTTGAACTTCAGCGATGAGTTTCTAGGCAAGCCTAGATATGATCCAAATAGCAAGACACGGTCGTTCAGAGATGCAAGCGTGTTTGGGGATTCTGTCTACTTGCCACGCGGTGCAGTTGCCTCCTGGATCAATAAAAAACCTGGCGGAGCTTTCAACGGTAAAATCGATACCATTGCAAAGGCACTTCTTGCGGCATCATCTCCCGATGCAACTCGTGGCCGTCTCGCTCGCGCAATGCAAGCTTCCCAGGAGAAGCAGGGAATGAAACTAGAACCGTTGAACGGAAAAGAAGGGCTGACTCCTATTGCCATCTTGCAACATTTTGCTTTCTGGCTGCAGGCCGACATGCCAGACCTTTGGTTCAACGGAGCGTTGATGCAGCGGCAATGCTCGCATACATGGAAAGCCATCTACAAAGCGCTCGAGCGTGACCCAGCTTGGGACAGCTTCTTTTCAAAATTCGAACAGTCGGCGCAACAGGCAGCAAACGCCATCATCTCCACGTCCGTGATCGAAGGAAATTACCCTCGCTTCATGGACATAGCGCGCAATGCAATGCTTGAATATCTAAAGCAGCAAGACAGCGGGCTGGGATGCCCGCGAAGCGAGGTAAGCTTGATAGATATGGTGAAGTACCACAAGAGAGCCGTAAGATTGCTTACAGATGATGGACCCCTAAGTATCGACAATTTGTACAAAGGTTGGACGGCAGAGCAGAAACAACAGAAGAAGGATGCATTCGCGGACGCTGTCACACAGACTGAGGACATGACTGGAAATGCCGATTTAGAGGCGATGTTCAAGGCTCAGGCGCTCAAATCGATCATGGGTCGCGCTCTGGGAGGTGCGAACGAGGAATGCATGGTGATGTAATGGGTATTGATAGACATTATCGAATTATCAGCGCAACTAAGTGTCGCATCGATTGTTGGAGCGCCTGAAATGTCTCACGTTCTCTAGCATCCGAGCAGTCTAGATCGTGACTCTAATTTGGGGATGTTGTCAAGCGTCATTGGTGAGGCAGCACCCTGGGACTAGCCGGTTCGGGACGGCTGCCTGAAGCTAATATATACTAGGGAGTACTGACCATCGCCTATGGCTATTTGAGATGGCATATAAGACTCACGAAAAGACAACAATTCACACACATCACCAAGCCTTTCTACATTGTTCTACATTGTTTTCTCATCGCTCATACAATATCATCGAAACGCGCTACCAGTAATACATTATTACCATTTCAACACGATGGCGCCGATTGCAAGCCCTCTGCACATCACCAATTTGACGGACGGGGAAACAATTCATCAGGTACATTACAGTTCCTGGGTTGACAGGCTAAGACTAACACATATCACAGCGCTGTCTCTTGGTCACAGGTACCTTTACGCTTCCCGTCGCTGAAGGCAGTTACATCCATGTCGCCACTAAAGGTGCCAACAACGCCCAATCGTTTCCCGAGCAGACGTGGCCGATAGCAGGTGGTAACTTCAAGGCTCTTGTCATGCTCTCTCCAGGGCAGAATATCCTCGAATTTGCATACGTCTGCAATGACTGCCTCGAACACACCATCGAGATGAATGTCAACTACATTCCGCTCTTGCAATGTCCACCTCTTCATCTCGCCATAATGGTTGCCGCAGACTCACCATGCATCATCGACTGCCCACATTCAAAGGCCGCTGGGATTTCTTCGGCGCACTCAGACCTCGACGCAGCGATCGCCAAGGTCCGCATGGCGGCTTATATGTGGCAAGCTATGACTGCGGAAGACCTGAGGCTGCAAGGAGCTGGACGCCGATCGTTCAGGTTGGATGAAGAATGGACGGCTGACACGATCAGCCGTGATTTTCTCAATGCGCAAGTTGACGGGGCTCTCGATGGCGAGGGTGCCATGCGATCGACCGCCAAAGTCAACATCATTCGCTCTTCTAGAACTGTCAAAGAAATCCGAGATAAGGAGGTTGCACAGCAGAATCCTTCTGCCCGTCGCAACAATGGCTTGTTCGACTACTTTCTGGAAGCGCTCAAGGAAAGGGGAGGACCATTTGCTTCTGAGGCACATCCCATCGTTGCTGGATTGATTCTCGACTCACACTACAATGTCTCGCAGAAGCTGATCCTCGGACACGCAGCTTTGGGTTGCCACAACCCCGACGGAATCTCGCTGGGCATGTTCGGTAGCCATCTGGCCTACTCCTGGCCGCGCTTCCTAGAGGAAGTCACAGGTTGTCTTACAGACATCCGTAAACCTGGAGACAAGGTAGGTGATGACAACGGAGAGTGCAATACCATGTGGGAAGCATGCGCCATTGGCCAAGGCGCTTTCCTCCATGAAGTCGGCCATGCACTTGGATCGCCTCATCGTTCAGGCATCATGGAGCGCGGATATGCGCAAGACTGGCCCAAGAACTTTCTCCCCAAGACCGCGTATTCTGGTCGCCTCAAGGCAGAAGGCGTACTTGTCGACCCTCATAGCACACCTAACAAAGCCCGTTGGAATCTAGCTGATGCGCTCTCCTTCCGCATGCTGCCTCATTTCCGCCTTCCCACCGATCCCATAATCAGCGACGAAGAACGCCATGCATCTCCCGAGGCCTACGCTGAGCAAATCGATGATGAAAGGCCATCAAAACTCGTCATTGGCTCAAGCAGCGGTATCGTACGCATCACCTTCAACCACACAGAGACAACCCAACCCCTTGGCTGGATTCACAACGCACCGAAGCGCATGGAGTACATGGAATCTGATCTTGAAGAGCGCTTTGACCGATCTAAACCCCTACAACTCAACATCCTCGCCTACAACGGCAAGGAAACCAGCATCGGCAACGTATGGAAGGTTCTCGCCAACAAAACGTTCATCCGCATCCCAGGCTCCAATATTCGACTCGTAAAGCGCCTAGCCTTCCCTGATGAGTCCAACAACGCTCGTCGATATGAATGGGCACAGCTCCTCCACGAGAAGGGCAAAGATGGAAAAGTGCACCGCGCCGTGTCCATCGATCTCAGAGTAGGATGTCTATGGGACGGAGGTGTGGTGAAGTATGCAGATGGCCACACAAGCCATTGGGGACCTATGCGTACATATGGCAGCAAACACCATTTCGGTGGTCATGCTTCTGAGAAGCTACGCCTCCCCGAAGGAGTGGAGATTACTTCTATCGAAGTCAACCCTAGGGATGGTGTAAGGATGCATCTCAGCAATGGCACAAGCGCGGGCGAGCTCAACACGAGGCATCACTCGGAGATTGTGAAGTTGACGCCTAGCCCTAATGAGGTTATTGTGGGATTCTTCGGCAAGAGTGAGAGGGGTGGAGGCTTTTGTGGCGTTGAGGAGTTTGGAATTATTACTGTGCAGAGAGATGTGGGGATTGCTGGACTGCCAGAAACTGTGTGGGATATGGATGAGTTGAAGAATACGAGTGGGATGGAAGGGGATGAGGTACGTGAGCATTACAATCTTGCTCTTCCTTTGATCGCATATAGAAGGATGCTAACATGGGATTGCAGGACGATAATCATTACGACCATAATGAAGATGACGAAGACGAAGAGATGGACTACGAAGATGACGAATAGCTTTAGTCTTGCTTCTTGGGTATTTTCTTTAGAAAGTTTCTGTATTATTGTTATAGTAGGATCCTATATCATGATGGCATATCTAGCTAGCGGTGAGCACCACTCTGGCACCTTCTAGTCCCTCGGCCTTTGCCTCAACAACAATCTCTCCACTAGCACCCGCTTCGCTCCTTACAATAGCTAACGCCATTCCGCTAAAGGCATTCCTCGTCGATTCTGGGAACGGCCTCATATCTGTTGGATCACCGTTGTCTGTAGCAACAATAACGCCCTGCCCAGACGTGACCTCGAAATTAATCTCGTCGGCCGCATCAGGAACCACGATACCGTTCTCATCGAGCACAGACACAGTAATGAACGAGAGATCATAGCCATCACCAGCGATCGTTGTGCGGTCTGCAGTCACGTTGAGTGTCGTAGCGGAACCAGCTGTGAACTGCGATGCCCTAGCCCATTCCTCGCCGTTCTTGTATGCGACAACGCTGATATTTCCAGGGCGGTATTGTACCCCATCCCAACGGATTCTGTAATCGTACTTACCCTTGGATTGGCGGCCAGCTGAGATGCCGTTGACGAACAGCTCCGCCTCGTCACCTGATGTGTGGACATGGACGGGTGTGATCTCGCCGATACGGTCTTCAGAAAATGTCCAATGTGGGAGGATGTGTGCCATCGGGAAGTCTGGTCGCCAGCGGGCTTGGTAGAGGAAGAAGCGGTCCTTCTTGAAACCAGCGAGATCGATGATGCCGAAGTAGGAGCTACGACTTTCGTTGGCATAAGGTGTAGGCTCACCGATGTAATCGAAGCCAGTCCAGACAAATTCGCCAGCAACGTAGGGGTGCCTGTCTTGCTGCTCAAAGACCTTGTCGGGTGATGCGGCCCACTCTGGGGCATAAAGATCGTAAGAGCTTACGATGTTGGTCTCTGGATCTCCACCTTCCAATGGCCCGCCACCGACGATAGCACTCTTGTTTGCAGTAACAGGGAAGAGATATTTGCCGCGGGTGCTGAGGGTAGATGCTGACTCAGTACTCCAGATCATCTTCTCTGGGAAGGCTTCTTTGAAACCGGGGAAACTTGCTACCCAGGAGTCTCCTTTGCCCTCACCCTGATAGTTGAGACCAACGATATCGATGACGGCAGCAATCTCCGTGTCGGCGTCAGCCTCATTCATGCCGATAGTCACTTGGCGCGTTGAGTCTTCTTCACGGACGATATTCTGGAGTGTCCTTCCAGTCTCGGTACCGGTGGAGTTGGATTGCTCGGGAAGCTCGTTACCCACACTCCATGAGATGATAGAGGGGTGATTACGGTCACGACGAATGAATGAGCGAGTGTCTGGCTCATGCCATTCTTGGAAGATGCGATGGAAGTCGTTCTCAGTCTTGGGGAAGTTCCAAGTATCGAAGATCTCATCCATAACTAGAAGGCCATACTGGTCGGCAAGGTCGAGAAATTCAGGTGCGGGTGGGTTGTGCGACGTTCGAAGTGCGTTGTTGCCCATCTCTTGTAGAATCTGGATCTGACGCTCTGCAGCTCTTGTGTTGAATGCTGCTCCAAGAGCGCCCAAGTCGTGATGGTTGCAAGACCCTTGAATGTAGATACGCTCACCGTTGATGAGAACACCCTGGTTAGGGTCGTACCCAACGGAGCGGATGCCAAAGACGGTCTCATAGCTGTCCACCGCCTGACCCGCGACCGAGACGGTAGAGATAGCGACATACTCGTTCGGTGTCTGGCTGGGTGGTGGTCCCCAGAGCTTGGGATTTGCAACGGTGACTGATCCTTGTACTGATTGCTTTGCATGGCCTGCTACATCTGCGTTCGCTGATGAGAATGTTGCGACAGCATCGCCTGTTGCTTGCTTGGAGGCTGCATCACGCTCAAAGACTTCCGTAACTACCTCAACGTGCTGGCTGCTGTTACCCTTGTTTTCGACCTCAATTGTTATCTCAACAGTGGCTTCTGCGTCTGAGATGCTTGGGGTAGTGACGTAGGTTCCCCACTGTCCAACGTGAACTGGGTTAACCGTGACGAGCCAAACGTTGCGATAGATTCCAGCGCCTGGGTACCAACGCGACGAGTCTAGCTTGTTGTCCAGACGAATAGCTAGAGTGTTGTCTCCAGTCTTGGCATATGGAGTGAGGTCGAGGCGGAAAGAGTTGTAACCGTAAGGCCATCCACCAACGAGTTGACCGTTCAACCATACCGCAGCATACGACATGGCGCCATCAACATCGAGAAAGACAGACTTCCCAGACTGTAGGGTCTCGGCATCCATGGAGAGCGTACGTCGGTACCATCCGATACCATTGATTGGCAGTTTACCAAGACCTCCATCAACGCCAGGGGCATCAAAGGTGCCGGAAATGGCCCAGTCGTGAGGAAGGGCGACAGCCTCCCACTCTGCGTCATCGAAACTGGAAGAGACATAGCTGATATTGGCGCCTGGAGCAGGAGCAGATGGCCGCTCGTACTTTTGTCCGGTGATGAAGTCGTTCGCACAAGGCAAAATCCACGGCCTCAGGCCCTCGTAGCTCAGGCCATCTGGATCCGAGGTGAAGCGCTCAAAACGCCAGTCAGCATTGAGTGACGTGCGTTGGCGACCAGATGTCTGAGATTGTCTTTTCGCGACCACACGAGAGGCTGCGACATCGACGTAGTTCGATAATATAACGCCCACGAGCAACAAGCTGTACGAGTTGTACAGTGTCCGAAGGAAGCCCGTCATCACGACGAACAATAACAGGCTGAAATAAATGCCAGCTTCAGACAAGGTTCATCTGATAAGCAGACGGAACGATGAGCTCGCTGAGAGTCAATGGCAAGCGTGAAACTTGGAGTCGATCGTTACACAGCTGATTTGTATACGAACAGAAATATGTGATGTGATAGAGCAGCACCACGGGTTATCTCCCTCCGTATCATGCGCATGTCTCGTCATGGTCGGAAAAATGAACCTATGCTACCGTCTGGGCAGTACATACACCGCTGCCCGTGCAATGTTTCTTGCAGTTTATTAGCCTGCACAGGTACTTCCCCACCATGCAAAGTGCGGGGTGGCTGTCTTGGCTATACTTGGCTGCTGGCTTGAACGATGTTGCACCGGATGATGTATCCACTTTTCATGGGGAAGCTTTCATGTTGAGCGCGGAATGATGATCCTGGAGGCTGGGAGATGAGCTTCGAATGTAATGACGTCGTTGGCTATGCCGGATGGGGCTGTCGTTCCGCTTGCTGTCTCCTCATCGTTCCGCATGTGGGGTCCGCCAGTTCAGCGAGCACCCAAATACTATCAGATGTTTAGAAAAACATAATTGTATAGAGTCTAAGATATACAGCAACCGTTGCCGAGCTGGCAACACCACTGATAAGGATACAGATCGAAAAAGCAAGCAAATTACCCGAAACATGACGTAACGAAAGGTATTCTTAGCATTGTGCGGCAGTACAAACTTTCGGAATCAACAAGAAAACCAATAACAATGGAATGCATCAACGTTGAATCTCGGTAACATTCCCGTTAGGCGACTTCGAATCATGAATCTGGTCAGTATAGTCATTATGGCCCATGTACGGCTCGGCGAGCATGGGTGCTGCAGGTCCTCCTACTGCATTATACCTCTTGCGCCTACGAAAGAAGCTGTAACATGAAGAGTTAGTACTTGAATTGGTATCGTGGCGCTCATAGAATGTCAAACTTACATGATAGCCCCAATGATGGCAGCCAGCAAGGGCAGAACTAGTCCGACGCAGATACCGATAATGACCTTGTTGCTGACACCGCCAGTAGTTCCATCAAGACCGTGATTCTCCTCACTAGGTGGCGCAACGTACGGTACTGGGCTACCAGTAATGGTCTTCATCGATCTGACCTGGGGACCAAATTCTTTGGTAGCCTTGACTTTTTCGAGCATAGTTTCCGGCCAGACAGCACTCTCGCCTGAAGAAACCACGAGAGTTCTTGTAATTGTTGCCCTTGTGGAGATTTGCTCGGAATTCGGACACATAGCAGTCGCCGTGTTCCTACAACCTACACCTGTAGTAACAGTCGAAGTAGTGTGAGTTACAAGATCCTGTCGTTTCTCAGCAACGGTGGGAGTAACCTGCGGCGGCTTGCTAGTAGCTCCGACAGCGCATGCCTCAGCGAGTGTTGTAGTGAAGATTGCTGTGGTTGCGCTTGCAACTGGACCATAGGTCATGTTATCACTCAGGACCGGCAGATCAACCACGATAGATGCGCCGGCCAAGGCACCCAGCGCAAAGTTGTATTCTTGAACGACCTTGAGCTTACATTCATCGTCTTCGGGTACGTAGCTGATATTGGTCACAAATTCCGCAACATTGGCGAAAAGAGCGAGTTCTACTCCCGCGTTGACCTCAAAACCTACAGAGTCGGCAAAAAGGTCAGCAATTCCAGGTAGTTCCGGTGGGCCAACTTCGACACCGCAGTGCACTCCGACTCGAAGAATAGCAGCGATAGAAACGCTGGCACTGACTAGCGTAACAGGTAGAAACTCGAATTGACCGCCGTTGCTGTTAGTATTGTCAGCGGAAGATTTACAACGGTTGAAGGCGATGTAAACATCGATGCAATAATATAGATAACAAGTGTTACTCACAAGATCATGTTTGAGACAGTGTTGCCAAACATGGTAATGTCCATTGCGACACCATCATCAAGCTTAACGTGGAATCCACTGCTTATATCGATCTGCCCGTCAACCTCCAAGATAAGATCAACTTGAAGTGTCACACCGAGCGTCAATGATGGGCCGACTGAGATCCCTACTGGAGTGTTGGAAGTGTACAGGTTGATCTCGTAGGCAGCTCCACCCGTAAGAACAGTGTCGATCTCTAGGTAGAGCTCCATACCGTCGAATTGAAAGCGTAAGTTTGCGTCCTCGATCTCGGGCACATCAATGTCGAATGCGAATGGAAAAGTTGGGAAAGTGAAGTCTTTCGCATCCAAACCGTCTTTCAGGTTATCGTAGACAGAATCGGTGTAGTTGTATAAGTAATCTACGAATTTGTCGGCAAATTCGATGGTTTCGTTTTTAACGTCGTCGACTACGCCACCGATGAGTTCGCTGGCGTTTAAGTTGTCTCCAATAGTAAGTTCGGCCTTAGCATTCCCTTTGACATAGCACGTCTTGCATGTGACTGTGATGCCAGCCTTGAGCTCCAGGTTGGTGGTTTGATTTTCGTCAGAATACGATTCTTCCACTTCGCTACACAAGGAATGTTAGCTGCGGTTACGTTCAAGAAGCTAGATTTGCGTTTCTGGGATATTTACACTGATAGTAGGGTAGCGCCATCCCAGCTCCTCGCCAAAGGTAGATCAGCTGTATAAGGTTCGCGTTCTTCCAGGCTGGCCACAGCTAGACCTCGCCTTATAGCACGCCAGGTATCCTCTACGGTGTGACCAGGAGCATTGCGGACTTGGATGGCAGAATCGAGTATTGCAGCTGCAGCACTAGCCCAGAGTACTGCACAGGATACAAGAAGGGTGCGAAGAACTGCCATTGGATCAAGAAGAAGATCAGTACCAAGGGGTACAAGATCAGGATGAGAATGGCCGGGTCAAGGTAAGCAAAGCGTGAGAGTTGCTGTCATTGACACAAGATCAAGCCTTCTCACTTATACATTTACATCTACCCATCTCAGAGTACTTTCAGGTGTGTACCGTTTAACAGCACGAGACTTTGCGGCGTAGCACGGGCGGGGGCGGAATATGCGGGATGGAACCGAATACGCTTCAGTGCACTACTCCGCCATCAACACCATACCAGATGCGGCGATCAAGTAGGGTATAGCATCCTTCGGACTTGGATCGACTAGGCTGAGGTGCTCCTGGGACGATAATCGACCCCTACTTTGTAATCCTGAGAACTTTTCGGTAACGAGACATGCAGGCTGGGATACATTCCCTGTAGTATTGGCACTCTGCTACTGGCACATACACAAGGCGGAGCATGATCTGAGCAGTGAGCAAGAGCCAAATCCGGCGGATTTAGAGCCAAGGACTGAGTACGATAAAGGCATGCAATTTACCGTTGTGGTGAGACTGTGGATGAACTCTAGCTGCACGCTCGACCTCAGCCTTGTGGCCATAACATGCAGATACGGTCGAGCAGTGTCGATATGCGGCCACGTCTCGGCCCCTAAAAGAATACTAATCCCGCGGACGGATAAGAGAGACTGGCGCAGATAGTGTCCGTATACTATTTATGGGAACACAACTTCTCGAGGTTGAAACTCTCAAGCCCTCCGGTGCATAGCCTGAGTGACATGCCACACCTACCCCGCAGTAGGTAGCTGTATGGCGTTGTTGCAATGGTTTCTCTTCCCCTGCCTAGACATGGTCCAGTTTGCGGCGCAGTAGACGCATGGTACATATTTTCAGAACACTGCAGCTCGTGAGTGACACCATCGCGTTTCGAGTTGATGGCTTTGCAGCATCTTTCCATGGGTTGAATCCATGGCATAGAACACGGAACAGATAAGGAGCAAATCCTTGTTCTGTTCTCATTCCAGGTTGTGTGATCTTTGGTATGCCTTACAGCTAGAGGCAATAGTACGCTATTCTCGGTAGTGACGGACAGCGCAAGAGGTAACAATGTTCTTTTCTGGTTGCATATTCGATGTAGTGATTAATGAGACAAAACATGCAAAGTGTATCATGCGACACGAAGAACGAAGAAGAGAGATTGGCGAAGATGATGGTAGATGAGATGTTAGATAGAAGACCAAGTCGTGGGAGCTGCTGGCAAACGCAGCTTCCCCAGACCCATGCGAGCGCGCCTTTCAACGCTAACCCCATCAACTCAGGGTCCCTTGGCGCCCGAACGTCACCTGCTGGGTGTCGCGTTGAAACAGCCACGAACCAGAAATCAGCCTTGGAGATACCTGCAGCACTCTGTTAATCCCTCGAAAAAGATCAATACGGTCTCCGACGACGCGATACTTCACTCCCAGCCACACTGCCCTCGCAACTCGAAGCAACCAAAAGAAGCCGGAGGCGCATAGCGTAACCATGTCGCAAGCCTACGAGCGCGAGCAACAGAACAACTCTCGACTGGATGAGCTGGCCTCCAAAGTCTCGGCACTCCGGGGCGTCACAATAGACATCTATGATAACGCACGTGATCAACATGTCATCGACAGCACAGTACGTCCCCCTAGACCCAACGCTAAGAACATACCTTCATTCCTACGAGCTTGAGCGGGACGGTCCAACTCTCACTATGTTACCCCACCATCCCTCTGCTACTACCCTGCTCGCTCTTTTCTAATATCACTTACTCTACGGATACATCCAAAACACTACTGACATCTCAATCACAGTCTGATACATTCTCCTCCTTCTCCACAACCCTCAAAGGCTCCGCAACACGCCTGACGCGCATGGCATCGTCGGGAAACAAAGTAGCCATCTTCAAGTTATCAGGCATAATAATAGCGACTGTGGTGGTTCTATACTGGATATGGCATTTGATCTTTTAAAGTCGCAGTTTGCCTCACAATATCATTCGGCCAGGGCAGATGATGTTTCTCAGCAACGGCTCGATGTCAAGCGCAGCTACGTGAGTTGTGTAAGTCACCACGGAACAGAACGCGATGACGGGCACGTAAGATATCAGACAACTGAGCGGATGGGACTGTGATGGCTTGGTGTATGGGTCGGGCTTCCGAACAGGGGGGAAGCGTATTGGGTACCAGCATATGCGGCGTTTGGGAGCATTTCCACGCACAGGGTATGAGTGTTTATTGTTGTTTCGATTCAGCGGTCTATAAACATCACTATGTACACTATGTACATTACGCTCTAATTCCATACTCGCTTTTGGATCATCTTCAGCAAGACGTGCATTAAAGTACATAAGACGCAACGATCGCCAAGCCAGAGGGCATCTATTATGCGCAGCTCTTACTCCCAGACGTTCGAAAAGAGGTCATCGCTGCCGCCTCCGAATCCTCCTGCAGGCTTACTTTGAGTAGTCGTGGTGTGTGTAGAAGTGGTTGTCTGCGTCGTGGTAGTGGGCGCAGCACTGCTCCAACCCCCAAAGTCATCGTCTTGTGTTACCTGTGGTGCACCCCAGCCAGGAGTGGTGGGCTGAGCATGCGATGTGGTAGTTGTTGCTGCTGGTTGGCTAGGGGCAGAAGAACCCCAGACATCATTGCTACCCCAGGCGTCCATGTTAGAAAATCCTGAGTAGTTTACAGCCGCGGGCGCGGGAGCAGCCTTGGGAGCAGGTGCCGGTGCAGGCGAAGAGAGGTTGAAGGTCGAGCTTGCAGGAGGTGATGCTAGTGGTGGGGAGGTGACCCTCGGTGCAGGGGCCGGCGCAGATGGCATGGATAGGTCAAGCAAATCGTTCATACCGCTTGCTGCGGGGGCTGCAGGCTTAGATGGAGCGGGCGAAGAGAAAGCGCTGAAATCAGACAAGCCACCTGAAGGGCTCATGGTACGAATGTGCGACTGGTTCTGTGGAGCAGGCTTAGAATCGAAGAAGTTGCCCCCACCACCGAACATGTTTGATGAAGATGTGGAGGGCGGTGACTTTGCACTCGAAAAGCTATCGAGACCAGAGAACGGCGAGGGCTTGGGTGCCGGAGCGGCGTTGAAGGACAGGCTGCTGAATGCATCGTTCATGCCACCAAAGGCCGATTGTGACGGCGATGCCGGTCCCTGCGGAGACGCCAATCCACCGAAAGAGTCTTGACGTGCATGCTGCTGTGGTTGGGGCGGAGCTGCGGGCTTCGAGGCATATAGCGACAAAATCGACTGCTTGAGGTCCGGTCTTGATGGTGCCGCAGCAGCGGGCCCTGTGCTGGAGGGACGAGAGGGTGCTGCAGACGATGATCCACCAAGAAAGTCCAATCCTAACAATGAATCCCCTGCTTTGTTCTGCTTTGGTGGTGCTGGCTCTGCCTTTGGAGGCGCCCTCGCTGCGACTGGTGGTCCGGTGCTCGGTCGCTGAGGAACAGGATCGTCGCCAAACAAGTCGATGGCTGGCTGAGGCTGTGCCTGTCTTTGTGGGGGAGGAGGCTGGCTGGAGCTCTGGGCTAGGCGTTGTGATGCTGAGCGTTCTATTTGGACCTTCTCCTGAACCTTCTTCAATGGCTACGTCTGTTGTTAGCTCTTGTCCTGATAAAATCGCTACCCTATTTAACTCACCACATCGTCGTCGTCTGCTTCTAAAGTAGAAGGATCCGGCATGGGTCCGTCCATGACCCAGCGCTTCGACTCGTACTTTGTGCGGATAAAGTTCTCAATCTTTGCCTCCGACGGCACATGGCCAGGCGCCAGTTTTGACTCCCAGTACTTGTTCGCTCGCGCATTTCCCCATTTCAGTACGCTCTGGAGTTGTTCGTCGGTCCAGGTATCAAGATCGACTGACTTGACTTTACTGATATGTGTTCCCATACCACGGTGGATTCCCGAACATCGAATGCAGATGAAGACGCCCAAGTTCCAGCTGGCCCATCGTGGGTCTGCAGCGACCATTAGCGAAGGCGCATAATACTGAAGGCCCAGTAAACATACGCTTGTTCCTCTTGCAGTCTGAGCAAGTCTTGTTGCCCTCAAGCTTCACCAAGTTCTTGAGCGTCGCACGATTCTGTTCCGCCCGATCAGCGGCAGGGTTGGGCCGTCGCGACATTGTGGGGTAGACGGTCGTATGCGGAGACTGTGTTCGGAGTGCGTAAGCCTAGTCGTATTTCAACGCGTGTGTCTGGAAGAGGAGAGCAGTATATCGCGAGGGCACGTGTCAATCGAGGGTGGAATTGGGCGAGTGGGGTTAGGTCGTTTCGTTCGTGCCTGCCCAACCGTTTGATGTTTCTTACCCATGACGCTCGGCTTGGCATTCCGTACCGCCATCTCACATGCCAGGGGCTTGCTTTTCGGTGGAATGGTGTGTGTCTTGGATCATCATGTATGAAAAGCAGAATAGTTCATCGCTTCTATATAAGGTCGTATTCGACCGACAAGGACAACCCTGCTAGGGCTGAATGCTTGATGCTTGGGAACTCCTGACCCCGGGTATCACAATGGTGGTATGCTATAGTATGTTACATGCGTCGACCGCCAGAAAGCTTGCTGTATGCAATGCAGTTGTAGGACTCAAGCGGGACGAAATCTCCAGTCGTCCCAGTCCTCGTCGTCGTCAGACTCGCTCTCCCCGTCTTCTTCAGCGGAAGGAGATGGTTGGACACCATCGTCCTCTGCCTTCATTATCCCACCAGAGGTAGAGCGAAGAGCCTCCCTCTGTTGGCGTAGCCGCTTGACTCTCTCTTCGAGACCTTCCATCTCCTCGAATTCATCTTCCAGTGCCCGCGCGGCATCTTCCTTCTCGCCCTCCATCTCCTCATCCCGTTTCGCCCGTTGTGCGCTCTGGTCCTCACGCGCTTGTGCGGCAATCTCTGCGGCTGTCATGGGCGCAGCTTCAATGACAGCGCCCGAGTAGGCTATTTTGGTGGGCGGAGGTGACGCGGGTTTCGCAGCGTTCATCTCGTTCAAGAAGGCATCGAGCTCCGCTTGAGCAGTAGCATCGAGTGGCGGCTCAGCCGGCTTTGGTGGTTCTGATGGCTTGGTGTCTTGTATTGGCGCGCTCTCCTGGGCTGTGGCTTCCGGCGCGACCTCTTCCTCATCTTTCGCAGCCCCAGCATCGAAGAAACCCGCTGGCACACCGGCCTCCTCCTCTGTTCGCGTGCGTTTCCTCTCCTCGACCGTGTCATCCGCAGCTTTGCGCTTTTTGGACGTGGGTGCAGTCGCAGGAGCTGCCGATTGCTTTTGGGGCTTTTGCGCCTGTTGCCGTGCTGCGCGCTGTTGTCGCAAAAGAGCTCGTGCGTCGGCCATGTTGATTCGGATGATATTCGGTCTGAAGATGAGTCTGTATGTGTCGCCGCAAACGCGTGTACAGTTTAATTCCACCGATGTTCTTGTTGAGATTCTGGCGCTTCTCCAACAGCTCCGAGCATCCAGCCCAGCCGGCAGCCGCGCAAAGGGTCCACAGCTCGCTAGTGGCAAGGATTACGGCAGCCAAGACATGGGCAAAACGATGTGTCAAAGCTCCACCTCCTCACTGACACCACTCAGTCCGACACCACACGACACATTGCGACTCGGCCTCGCAGTCCTTTCACCTCCCACTGCTATTTCCACAGTGCGCTCACGATCAAGCGCATGCATTGAGCTTCCATCACCCCAAGTTGTCGTCTCTCTCGCGCCCTCACATCGCGTGGCACCGGCTCCGCACTCGGCAGGTACGCGCAAGAGGCAGTTGCGACTTATAATCGGCAGTCGCACGACGCATCGCGCCTTCTGTCTGTACAATTAGGCAGGAGCGACCGTTCGCACTCGTTTACTAGTTAGAGACCGGTTCATACGGCGTGTCCGTGGACCCGCAGTGCGACGCGCAAGGCAGGATTAGGGCTTTCGTAGAGACTTTTTGAATCTTGTTTCGCACATAGCATAAGCTGCACTCGTGGTATCGTCTATATTGAGCCCATCACCCGTGTCCTACACCATGGCCGGTAAGCAGACACCATCTACGCGACTCCGTTCCATGAAGCCACCAAGTCGCGCCCCTCATGGCACCAGCACCACCACGCGCGCGCCCATCCCCAAACCTCACGCTGATACTGATGCTGATACTGCCACTACAGACGAGATTCGACGCTCTGGCCGCGCCAACAAGGGCCACCACACCAAGAATCAAGATGCGCTCGACGAGCCCTCCCCCGCTCCCAAGGCCAAGGCAGCAGCAGCAGCAGCAGCACCGCCAGCCTCGGAGACAAAGAAAGGACAGGCACAAACCAAGAAGGGACAAGCAAAGACACAACCACAACGGGCACAATCAACGCAGTCCGCTGAAAACGATGACGATGAGGAGGAGGAAGATGCTATCATCCGCTGTGTATGCGGTGACCAGCGCGACATCCGTGGACGCCAGATGATCTGCTGCGACAAATGTGAGGCCTGGCAACACAACAAGTGCTTGGGCCTACCCGAAGGCGACTTCTGGGAAGGCAAGAACTACTACTGCGAGCAGTGCAAGCCCGAAGATCATGTCGAGCTTCTTGCTGCCATGGCGCGCGGGGAGAGACCATGGGCGCGCAAGAAGGGCTCCAAGCCGAAGCCCCGCCCCAGCGACGTCAAGCAGGAAGCCGTCTCGGAGAAGGCGAGCACACCGCAGGCCTCGGCGACCCCCTCGCAAACCGCTCCAGCTCCTGTCGAGACTCCCACGTCTACGCCCGCTCCGGTAGCTGAACCCACGCCAGAAGCTTCCAATGGACATGCCGAGCCCAAGGTATATTACCACCATCCAACTAGACGTTCAAAAACTCACATACTTCAGCAGGAAAACAAGAGTCAGCCACAATCGCCTGTCGGCGAGAAGCGCCGCCACGAGCCTGCCACCGAAAAGGCAAACGCCAGCAAGAAGCGTAGAAAGTCTAGTCACCACGAGAGCAAGCCTGCTCCCCAATCAACTCCAGTTGGTGACATCGATGCGCTGCCGCAAAATCAGAAGGCTGTCGCAGAGAAACTCCGTGATACCCTGGCACCATTGATTAGCACCGCCTCCGACTCTAGGGGATACCGCATACCTGACGGCCAGACAGCCAAGTCTCTCGCCACCAAGCTCACTCTTCAAATGAGCCACGCTGCTTTTGAGCTCTACGGTGAGCCCACAGGTTCATCTTCGCCATACTTTATCAAAATGCGGGCCATTATGTTCAATGTCAAGAAGAACACGGTCCTTGTAGATCGCCTCCTATCTGGAAGTCTGAAGGCCGATGACCTTGTGAGCATGGAGGCGGAGGAGATGGCGAGCGAAGACAAGCAACGCGAGTACGCCGCCATGCGCGAAGCGGCTGAGAAGCAGATGATCTTAACCGAGGAGACTGGACCACGACTACGCAAGACACACAAGGGCGAAGAGCTTGTTGGCGAAGACACCTTCGAGAATGACCATGATGACTTCAAGCAGCCCAGTCTTCGCGAGCGCGAGAGCATCACCGAGGACACAGCCATGCAGTCACCTATCGGAACACGCCCACCAGAGAGTCCTGCAGGCGCACGACCATCTACTGGGAATGACGCTTCGCAGGCCGAGCATGCACGACGGGCATCGGCCAATTTTGATATCAACTCTGTCTTCGACAAGGTCAGATCGCCGCAGCATGATCAGCAGACATTCCTTCAGCGTCGCCAGAGTTCGATGCATATGCAAGACAAGCCTCAAGCCGCCGTGGATGACGCGGACGTTGATCGTTTGCTCAAGGACGAGGACAACGATGTAGAAATGTCAGGTTATTCCTCGGACCCGACAGTGTGCTGGCAAGGATCTATCAACATGCAGTCAATGGAACCCTTTGACGCTGTTGCTAGATTCGTCGCTGGTGGAGATTTTGGTCAAATTGTGCCTTGGGAGAAGCTGCTGACCAACATTGTGGCGATTCAAGGACGCATCGAAAGTACCAAGGGTAACGATTACATCCAGAACATCGGACACACCGAAAGCCATGAGGTGTCGATCCTTGCTATCAGTCCCGTCACCACGGACGGGCGCACGATCATGGACCATCTGTACGAATACTTCCACTCGCGTGGCAGATGGGGTGTAGTACATGTTGAAGGTAACGACATACTGCGCGACCTCTATGTCATTCCTATCGAAGAGGGTGGCAGCAACCTGCCGCCCTTCATTGATATGCTTGAATACTGCACGATCGAGACGCCCCGCAAGGAACACATGTTGGTACTCGCCATGGTTGCTAAGTTGCCCGAGGTCAAACCTCAGCTTCCTCCTACCCAGCACTTCGAACGATACCCAGAACAAGATATCGCAGCTGGTCAAGCTCCTCAGCCCGTTCTCAACAACGGTCCATCTCCATTCGCCAACCCTCATGCTCCGCAAATGTCGCCTGTCAGTGCTGCCTATCCACAGGGCCAGTACGGCAACCCATTCGCCGCGCCGCCTGCGAATATGGTCCCTATTCAACAACCGACGCCGCCTATCAACGCACCGCCACACCATCAGATACCCAAGGCACTTGAGATTCTTGGTCCGTACATCGATTCACCTGTCATCGTTACCATTCTTGGCTCCAGCCTGTCTCAGAACTCGGCGGTCTCGGAACTACAGATGCTCAACCTCAGGCACATTGTCGAAACTGTACCTGAAGCACGCGACAACATAACGGTGCTTACAAACCACTTGCGCTCAAAGAACGAGTCAAATGGGCAACAACAGGCACAGCCATCTGGACCCCCTTAGAAAGTGGCTGCGGAAATGCTGGTCATGTTGACGCTTTTCAACATTGAACTTGGGTGAATGGGACGCGGAGGACTTCAGATGCGGTGTTTCGCGGCGCTTGGATCATACACATTTTTCTGAAGTAAGGCCGGGGCTTGGGTATTGGCGGCGGGCGGTCGGGGCGGCGCTCTGTTTTTCTTGTATTAGATACCCACATGTGGTGTAAACTGTGTTTGTGCGATGAGAGCGGAGCGGTTTTTACCCTTCGTTACCTCATTGCTTGCTTACTTGTACGCTCATTGCTTCTTATGTTCACAAATATTACACGCTGTTCTTTACACGATTTCACATGCAACGTACATCAACCAACCGTGGCACTGCAAGCGCAATATCAGGCGTCCAGCTCTCGCATTGTCGTCCTTCAATCTCATCCTCTTGTAAGCCGTGCGATAAGCGAGATTGACAGTTCACTGCAATCTATACTTTTTCTTCCGTGTTCCTTTTCTTACTAGATGCAGTAATCGTAGTCCCCCCTCCTTCGTCTACCCTTGTCTTCGCATCCTCATATCTCGCTCTCTTATGATGACACATGAAAACTTCTTTTCCCCGCTACGGGTCTGTCTGCAGTCAGACTTTTTCCTTAATCCGGTGATATGCGTGCATCCGTGTCAATGGCGTAACTCTGCAGATGCATCCATAATCTTCACTTCCCTCGTGAAGTATTTGGCGCGGAATTTTGAGTGCCCTGGCTCTGGACGGCGGCATGGACGGCGTACCCGTTAATGTGGTGGAAGGATGGAAGGAATCCACATGTCTTTCCTGAATTACTCTATACGGTATATCGAATCTGTTGAGTCGCGTTGAAAAAGAAGGCAGCATATGTGGTGTAACAGCCAAAGTTATCGGGTTCTTGTGCAATATGTACTTGCTGCACAAACCCCATGTGACGGGGGTGCTGTCGGTTCTGCGTGTTGAGGAACGAGAATCGATACCTTTCACTCGACTTACTGTATACGGTATATTGAGTCTGTTGAGTTGCGTTGGAAAAGAAGGCGGCATATGTGGTGTGACAACCAAAGTTGTCGGGTTCTTGTGCAACAAGCAAATATTGCACAGAGAAAATCGACACCTTTCACTCAACTTACTGCATACGGTATATTGAGCACCTCGATACGAGGGGTGGAAGGAACGTTGCGGAGGAACACGCAAGCCCTGTACGACTGTTGTGTTCATTCGATGCTGGAAGGCGATATCTCCGGAGGCAGACAACACCTAGAATCAACACTTTGCCCGGGAGTTTCTCAATCAAGTAAATTTGGCGGGGTTAGTTTGATGACTGCAGATGTTGTACTCTGATGCAGGCTACAGTACATGCAGTACGCGGTCTGTGGTTACACAGCATTGAGTGACAAGCAATCGACGGTCAGTGTAGAAGTTACCAGATATGGCATTTTCTGTCTGCAGCTCGTGGTTACACAGCATTGGGTGATAAGCAATAGATGGTCAATGTGGGAGTTACTAGATATGGTGTCTTCCGTCTGCAGCTCGCTGGACTGGGGGCAGAGTCCTTGCCGTGATCGATGGTCAATGAGAACTTGCTTGATACAGTATTCTCTCCCTGTGACCAATTTCTACAGATATCGGGGGCACTTGTCTGACGTGGTACCCCCTCTGATCGACTTCAAAGCCAGCTCCCTTTCACGACTCAATTCGACGCGGCGTCGGGGCACCGGGTCGTTACCATGAGCTGCGATCAATGGCTTTCAAAAGGTTACCCAATGCGGTATCTAGCCATGTCGAAGAGTTTCGATTGGCCTTACGCAGACAGAAAATTGGGATCGGAATTCTGCTAGATCGTGTAGTATTTACTTAGTGGATTTGGTAATTACTAAAAATCGGCCATCATCGATGGCTTTCGGCAAATTTCCCGACGCGGTAGCTAGGAAAGTGGGGCGACCAATTAAAAGACTCTGTGCGGTCCTCGCTCCACTGAACACACATGGGCACCCTTTGTGTGTCGCACCCGAAACGCCGGCACCACTTCACATGCCACCACACTTCATGTGTAGCTATCGTACAAGCAAACGAAAGTTGGGCGGTGTCCCTTGTGTTTTCTGCCTCATGCAATTTCTGCTGACGACACGCATCTCGAATTCGCCACCCTACCTTTGGCATTTCTAGGCATGCCTTCCTACTTGATATCCAGGCATGACGATATGTGGAATCTAAGCGCAGAAAGTATTCCAAATGAGAGACCAACATCGCCAAGATAACACCAGCATTAGATTGAGAATGAGAACGAGAGTGAGAATACGAGCGCAGTCATCAACGCACGTCGCAACAAGTACTACATGCGGCAGTGGAACTACATATCCGTACCCGACAACAACGCGAGACCGAGCACTATTATCCACACATTTCACAGCAAATACTACATGCAGTAAGAGGAGATGATGGGATCCCAAGTTCTGTACGAGATAACAAATGCGCACACCGATTCGGTGCGGAGCTTGCCGTGTGCGGCAGTGAATGCGAATCCGAGTAGGGCACGGTGCTACCCATCCTACACACGCTATGGTGGTCGAGACACAACTAGCACTTACTTGTCAGCAAAGAGCACCACCGTTTGAGGTAGGGGATGCGAATGCGAGTGCAGTCATCGATGGATTTGAAATAATTACTGCTCGCGACGTTTGTGTTTTGTAAGGCGAAGCTAGTGTCGTTGTACATGTGAGCCAAGATGGTTATTTATTTCCCGAAACATGGATCTCCTAGATGGTAATACGAACGCGATTGCAGTGATCGATGGACGATGGATTTTTTACTGCTTACGGCACGCTTGGAGCGAATGTTAAGGTAAAGATAGGTCTGCCCAGCAATATTACTTATTTGTCATTGACAGCGCATCCCGAGAAACTGAATACGAATGCGCACGCAGTGATCGATGGATCACCACAATCAATACTGTACACGGTACTTATATGGCGAGTCTAGAGGTAGAAGGATCAATAGTCATCAAGCTAAGATGTTTACTTATTCATAATGAACATGGTATCCCAAATAAATGAATACGAACGCGGGTACTGTTATCAACGGAAAACGAACAACTTACCATACATGGCCATATGAGACCGCTGGAAACGAGGCTTGATACTCAGCAGCAGGGTCAACCCTATTACAATCGCTGTATGTGCGGATAGATCCGCTAAGCCTTGTTCCAATGTGCGGTGTGGACGTGGCGTGAAGCGAAAGCGAGTGCTACGACCACGAAAGAGAAAGAGAACAAGAATGAGAAATAGAGTACAGTGACCATCAAGCAACAAAACCTTCCAGATCTGTTCGAAGGAACAAAGGACGCAGATGCAAGTTCTGAATGATCTGATTAATCCTGATAGCCACTTTGGACCATACACAGATCTATCGCATGCGTGATTTCAAACACACATATTTCTCTCCTACTACCACGTTCAACGGAAGACCACAACTACATAAAGCAGCTGACAATCATATGAGAGAGGACTGCTGCATGCAAACCACCGTCAACTGGATATCTGATATCTTATAACAGTGTCCTGCTTGAATTTTGGCACCAACACGTTCACCAGAACAATACGATCCCCAATATAACCCGGGCTCAGAAAGGGTATTTGGAACAAAAGGTGAACATCCTATACCCATTTTCCCATTTCTGCTAGGATCGGCGTTCATTGTCCTTTATTCATCACCGCCTCGCTCACACCCAGGCCAGAAGTGAAGAACACTTTCTTGTTTTTCTTTTCGGGCAGTATCTATGACGGAACCAGCTTGCAGGGAACGGTGGAGAACTGCATGGGTTCCGTCGCATCGATACTGGATCTCAAGTAGTAGATACGACTAAACCAGGGAAATCACCCCTGTTGGTCATGTCGTATCTACATCAGTCACACTTGTGAAAGTAGGACAAGGGGTAGGAAGGTTCTATTTATTAACAAATGTCTCTCACAAGTCGTATGCGGGCCAGGGGTGATGAGAAGAGTAAAGGGGAGTCGAAGAAAGAATATAGATGGGGGAAAGGTCTTGATAGGGTTCGTGGGGAGCAGATTGTGGTTGAAAGTGTGGAGATACTGGTAAGCGGACGTATGATAACGAGGTGCTCAACGCGTACCAGTGGTACTGTAAGTACAGACCCGAACTATCAGAATCACGGGTATTGCAGGTCATTACGTCAAACTTCGGTAGTAACACATCGAGCTGGACTTCGACGGACGCATTGATTGTATGGGTATACTACTCCTTCAAATGACCTTTCAAACCCTCTTTGCCAACATTCATCGCTCTCTCAATTTCTGCTTCTTCCTCACGTAACCTGCCCTTTCCGTAGGCCAGATCGCGCTCTTGCTTTCTCTTCTCCTCGCGCACACGTCTCTCGCGGTCCGCGAGTGCCTTCTCCCTTCGTTCGCGCTCAGCCCACTTCTTCGCACGCTCGGCCTCTTCTTCAGCGGAGTAGACAACACCCTCAGGCGCAGGTGGCAGAGTGGAGATGTATGTGTTGATAAGACCCTCTCGTGTTGATGGCGGGAGAGAGATATAAGCAAGGTCGCTGAGCACGGCGGAGGGCAGGGTATCAATAGTCGTGGAACGATTGAGCAGCGCGAGAGGTTGAGCTCGAAGAAGTGCCGAAAGGTCGGATTTCAGATCGGATGACCGCATGGCTAGCCGCTTGATGTGGTCGCGATACAGCTTCTCCTTGTCTTTGTCCGGAAGTTTGGTGTCCTTCATCTCAGGCTCTTTCTTGTATTTTCGGCGGAACTCAGGCCAGTACAGCTTCGGTGTTGCGTGTCGGTCAAGGAAGGCCAAGTACGGTATCCGCGGGTCGCGTTTCGCCTGTCGAGCTTTCTCTTCCTTGAGGAACTGAGCTTTGTCGCGCGACCACTCGTTGAAGCATTCTTTTCGCGCAGCCATGTTTGGTAAAGCCTTGTACCGCTCATCGTCGAATAACACACCGTCTTCCAAAATCTTATCCCAGGGCGCGAATGGGCTGACCTTGGTGTCGTCCAGCAGCTCCTTGAAAAGCGCCTTGCAATCTTCTTCAGATAGGGCAGGCTCCTCGTCATCGTACTGTTCGTCGTAACCTTGGTCCATTTCCATCTCCTCCATTTGTGCCAGTTGCCATGCAAGATCGTCATCTTCCTCAGGCGGTTGGCCTCCAGACGGCTCTTCGGTGCGCTGTCGCTTTTGCGCGTGGCCTGACGCTTCGCCCTCATCGTCTGTAACTTCGACTTCTTCGTACTCCTCGTCATTTTCCATGCCTTCCTCACCGTCCACTTCCACAATCTCCACCTCTTCTTCCGCTTCCGCCAGCTCGGCCTCAATCTCGGCCATGGCGTCATCCTCTTCCACATCACTTGGCTCACCCCGTTCCCTGCGTTCCTTCTTCTCTCGCTCCTTCCGGTCGAACTCGATGACTGCTGTCATGACGTTGGGCGGAAACTTCCAGAAACTTTCGTTGGTGTCCTTGTTCCACACGAACCGCCGTCCAAACTTTGTCTTCACCAGTACCCAGGGCGCGCAGTTCGGGATGTCTTGGCGATGCTTTGGCCTATCATTCCGTTCTCTTCTTCGGTCGTTGAAGTTGTTATGCCCGCCGCGCATTCCTCCCCGGTGCCCACCTCGTGATTGTTGATGCGCGCCACCATGCTTTGGGAATTGTTTCGGCGCGCTCGCGAAGATGAAGTCGTTGATTGAGGGTTGAGGCTGAAAGGCGGTTTGCGCTGGTTGGCTGTCGTGGCCGAGATTGTAACTTTGCGGCGCGTTGTAGGAAGCAGGCGCAGCAGGCGGCGTGGGAGTGTGGTATTGTGGAATTTCTGCAACTGGTCGCGTATATGTTGACTTTCCCGTTCCGGCATTGTAGTAGTATGAGTGACCTGTGGAATGTTAGCGGGAGCATATGACGCAAGTCGGAGCTGTCCATAGCTACCTGAAGGCGCCTTGTGCTCGGTCCAGCCTGCAGGGAGTGCTGGCGGCGGTGCAGGCGGTCGCACTGGTATGTCAGACATGATGATGTCGAGCTTCAGTCGGAGATTGAAGCCGTACAACCTTTGCAAGAAGAGTTGGTGATGGGCAAAGTTGGTGTTGCAGCGCGCGATCCAAAAACTGGTCGGCGCCAAGCAACCTGAATCGCCGACGCGCTGCGTATGAGCTTGTGCCTGGAGCTTCCATCAACACCAGCCCACGCCCCGACTTCCCCGCCAATCTCCCATTCTCTCTTGCAGCTGTCTACGCCCCCAGTATAACCCAGACGACCAGAGTAGACCGCAATCATGTCACGGAGATACGATTCCAGGGTACGAAATACAACAAACACGGCCAATACCCCAGCTAATAGTGCTTAGACGACCATCTTCTCCCCAGAGGGTCGCCTATACCAAGTCGAATACGCCCTCGAAGCCATCTCGCACGCAGGAACAGCACTGGGTATCTTGGCACAGGATGGCATCGTTCTCGCTGCAGAGAGAAAGGTTACCAGCAAGTTGCTCGAGCAAGACACATCGGCCGAGAAACTGTACATCTTGAACGAGTGGGTTGGACTTGACACGTATTCCAAACGAAATGGCTGACGCCTTGCAGTAACATGATCTGCGCGGTAGCAGGAATGACCGCTGATGCCAACATTCTCATCAACTACGCCCGCCAAGCCGCCCAAAAGTACCTCCTCACCTACAACGAAGACATTCCCTGCGAGCAACTCGTCCGCCGTTTATGCGATCTCAAGCAAGGTTACACGCAGCACGGAGGTCTCCGACCGTTTGGTGTATCCTTCATCTACGCAGGATGGGACCCACAGCGACAGTTCCAGCTGTACCAGAGTAACCCCAGTGGCAACTACGGCGGCTGGAAGGCAACCAGTGTCGGCGCGAACAACGCTTCTGCACAGAGTTTGCTGAAACAGGACTACAAGGAGGAATGCGATTTGAAAGAGGCTTGCGGACTTGCAGTCAAGGTGCTCAGCAAGACCATGGACTCAACCAAGCTGAGCAGCGAGAAGAGTATGTCCACGACTACGTACAACAAACTAGGCCAGTGCTAACTTCTCGTAGTCGAGTTCGCTACCGTAGGAAAAACCAAGTCAGGCAAGATCTACCATCACTTGTGGAGTGCAGACGAGATCGATGCTCTGCTCAAAGAGCACGGCCTTGCCAAGGCTGAGGATACAGAGATGTCCGAGACATGAGATACACGACCAATGCACGATATGAACAGGCGCAACGGAAACGTCTCTGCATGATACACGAGCCTTGTAGTATACCATATCAGGTGAGAGCTATGTGACATCTCGTAGCTAATCTCACCCTGTCACGACCTGCTTTTGTGTAGACTTCCGAATCTCGCTCTCGTTTCCTTCTGCCACGTGCCAATCATCCAGAGTCATCATGGCAGCTGCCTGTAACAGGACCTGCTGCTGCCTCGATTCTAGCCCAACCCCAACGCCTTCCCCGCGTGCGACGTCCAATCGAGTACCTCAACGATTCTACTAATCTTCCTACCCACCTCCTCCAGCCCCGTCTCAGTCATATTGTGTCACCGCCAGCATTACCAGTGTCGTGAACTTGCATTGCTTACCGATTCATATCTGAGCATTATAACGCAACATGGCCACTCCCAAGCGAAGTCCTAGCTTCAAGTCTTCCGTCAATACTATACGTTCCGCATCTTTCCTACGCCATCTCCTTGACGAAATAAGGTAACAGCAGCTGAATACAATCGGGACAACGACTTCAATGCTGAGTTGACTAGGTCAGATGCTAGTCAAGGAAATGCCGTCACACCTGAGAAAGTCGACACAAGTCTCGGACCCTCCCATGATGGGACCGATACAACACCACGCCAACGACCGTCGCTCCAGCGCCTGCAGATCCCATCATCGAGATTCATCACTCGTCCAGTTGCTAATGAAGAGGGTATTCCACCATTAGAATCACCATTGATGTTCTGCGATTCCGACATCTCCTCCACACACTCTCCCGACGAGCCCCCAACCTCAGGATTGACTGCACCCTCAAGTGACACAACGCCTCCAACCTCAGCTTCGACCTCGTCTCATCCGGATACCATACGTGCGCGTCCCTCAACCCCAGCATGGGACATGGCTTTGGCGCAAAGCGCGACTGAACCTCGACCGCTATCGAAACGAATGCGCATCATGACCATGCCCGAGACGTGTTGTCAAAATATCACTCAAGACGAAAAACAAGACCCCTTGGCAAACCAAAGCTTCTCGGGTAACAGCAGGCGTGTGATACGAAATGTCGCTTTCATTGAGAGAGCACCCGGCCGACCACAAGAGCCCAACTCTTCCTCACAGCAGCTCCCCGAACTATCCTCTTTCCGGCCTGATATCGCCTCGCCAGAAGGACCTGCTCCTAACCCCCCTGCCCGGCCCACGACTCCAGTCAGATACACAACGCGCCGCTTCTCCGCCACTCCTGAACCACCCGAGACGCCAAGCTTCCTCCGGCCACTGCACCTTTTCGACACAAGCAACGAGTGGACGCACGACATCTCCATCTACAAGAACATCCACGGCGAGGAATGGAAAAGAAACTCACTTTGCAGACATTGCTTCCAGCTCCGCGGGGCGTTCAACAGGATCATGACGTACGGTTACGAGGCGTGCGGGCGAGATGAGCGTTTGGATAGCCATTATTGGGAGCCGATGGCTTAGTTTGGTTGACAAAGAGCCCGAGCTCTACTTGGTAATGCACAGTGATATTGGCAGGATACTCATTAGCGAACATGATTATGGTTCTGAAAGTGTCTGCTACGTGAGCATATATCCACCATCCGTTCTGATCACGCTACCGTCCATATTCACGTCTTTCATAATGGCCAAATAAGACTCCGCAACATCCTCTGGCTGCCCAGGTCGACCCGTTGTCATCTTCTCTGCTATTGCATCCATGGCTGCTTTCTTTTCGCTCGCAGACATTGCCCATAGCTCGGTATCTACGGCCCCTGGGCTGACACCATTGACCCTGATAGGCCGAAGATCCAATGCCAGGTTGCGAACCATGCTATGATGGCCGCCAGCGTAAGATCCCACGACACTCCAGTCAGACACAGGTTTTTCTGATGTAGTGCCCGTAGTGATAGTGTACGAAGATGTGTACGAGGGCTTAACATAGCTGGGAAGGAATTTCGCCAGGAGAAGAGGAGCAAAGAAACGGACTTGACCTGCTTGCAAAATGTTTTGCATGGTCTATTCAAATTTAGTTCATCTCGATCGGTCTGAGTTCTTTCATATGGAGTGCAATCTTACCATGTCTTCTAGCTTGATCGTAGGTGCCATATTGCCGGCTGTAAAGACCACATGGTCCAAAAATTGTCCTTCTAGCTTCTCTTTTGTGCTATCCAACATTGCGTTTAGCTCTGTCTCGAGCGTATCTGGGTTCGAGAGATCAACTCGAACACCAAACACCTTGTTTTTAGCGGAAGGATAACTGCGTTGTAGCTTCTTGACTGCCTGGTTGATGCGATCCTCGTTGGAAGAGCATATCGTGACTATCGCGCCATGCTCCAAGGATGCTTCTGCGACGCAGAAACCGATGCCTGAAGACCCGCCGATTACGAGTACTCGCCGGTTCAGGAGCTTGTAAGTGTATTTGGTAGAGTCTGACATTCTGGTAGGGTCTTCTGGGTGCGCGACGAGATCAGTAGCTATGAAGAATATAAGATACTGTGATTTGATACTACATCTTGTTCACGGAGCAGCTCCCTTCGTTATACATGGCGAATAAACATGGAATTGTCGTAGGCGTCGGCGCCAGAACACTCTTTCGCTCCTATACTCGGACCTTCTTGTAGGCATCAACATTTATCAAGCTATCATGCGCTGCTGAATATCCTTGCAACTTGAGTAAGGTTTGGTGAGTTAGAGTGCCGAGTGTATTTAGCACCGCAGGCCCGGAAGTTGACGGAGTTCAGGACCGGGCGATTCAGGAACTCATTGCCGTGTCGGTGCGGGCAACGCCCGATTCAACGACCAACAACACCACATAGCACGATGCGAACTTCACTTCCACACAGCAGAGTGTTCGACAAGAATGATGAATATTGGATTATCTAATCTAAACTTGTCTCTGCCGATTACCCATATGCTGCCACCATGTACACAGCCATGGAGGCGGCGAGCGCGTTCACGATCTCCAGTATTGCACTTGCAATGGGAGACGTGTGGCGCCTGTCGACAATTCTCCTCACCAACTCCCTTGTATGAATTAGAAAGATATTTTTGAGGCTCAGATATTCGGTACTGGAACTGTAAACTCCCAGAAGAGAGTTTGTCCATCTGCCATTATCATCACCGCCTCCGATCGACCCCAGGAGCGAGCTATTTGCGAACTACCTAGAACCACGTTTTCTGTAGAAAGGGCTCTCGAGTATGTAAGCTAATAGCTTTCGCTGGCGAGAATGAGTAGAGGAATCTCAAGAATTACCTGGAGTGCGAGAAAATCTTCTTCTGAAGGGCCTTCCACCTATCCACTCCAAAAGGAAGAAACATCAGGGATAGAGAAAAAGAATGGGATGAAAGGACGCGAAGAATTTATACTCTTCAGTGCGGCTTTTTTGTTGGTACGACCACAGGAAGTGGTGCTAAGCGGGCGAAGGATGTCGGTCGTGTTCGTAATGGGCTGCGTGTGGCGCGACAAAACCAGGTTTTCGCAATTAGAGTTCCGTTCTGTGACCAGTATCCGTTCCTCGCGGATGTTAGGTAAGATCTCCCTGTAATAATAATAAAATCTACGATACGTGTAATTGTTCTATCATTAGGTAGCCTCTACTGCCAACTCCGATCCTTGCACACTTGCCAGGGTACCTAGGTAGATAGGAAGCATGAGGTAATGATAAAGTTCACCGCATCACCAGGACAAGCATTTCTTCGCCATCTGGGCAATTCAACAACATCTCATAGGAACTCAAAGTAGAGGTAAGGGTAATACGGTCAGTCTCGAGTTATAGCATCACGAACAGAAGGAACAAGCACGATGAGAAAGAGGATGCCATTTCGCGCCAGCGCACTAATCTGAACATCGAATAGATGTAGCCTCCAATACAATCTGAAACACCGTCAATGCATCCGATGATACTCTGGGTTTCGTGACTGCGAGGAGGCACTTTGATCTGCCCGCCCCGATGACCACAACTGCTATGGAACAGCAATATGGCGTGTCTTCCTTTTGGAGTGCATAAGAGGAAGGCCCTCCAGAAGAAGAGCCTTCCGCACTCCAGGTACGGGCCTGATAGCCCTCATGAAATAATGTGCAAGGAATAAAAGAAGTAAAAAGCGTGTAGGGTAGCGACTGTGGATTGAATTGATAGAAGAAAGATGATGGAAGAGAAAAGGTGTCTTGGTGGGCGGAAGCGAGGTTTTGTACTGGGCTCTGTGGTTGAGTATCTCTTGCCAGTATCCAGCTGTGACTGCACCGAATTTGTAGGCGATTGCGATTCCTGACAGTATGGTGTGTTCTGGCAGCAAGTATCACTTGCTAAGGAAGAAGGTCTCTACGTATCGCAGCAGGAGCAGCAAGCGAGGCAGGAACGGGTGAGGAGTATGGGAAAGGTCACAGCGTGTTGGTGCACAAGGAGCATCAGGTATGTGTATATTGTCAGGTCATTATTGACCGTTGCTGTCGAAATATCTTTGCATATTGCTACTGATCATTTGACATTCTAAATGGCATGACTGAGCATTAGGACAAGTTGATCCATTCTGTTGTTCAGATATACTACATAGCGCACTGCGTTTCGGTAATGTAGTCTGATATATGAAGATATTCAATCGAACTCAAGATTTGACAAGCTCATCGAGTTGCTAAATCACGAACCATTCACTATCTATAGTCTCCAACACATCGCAATACACTGATTTGGATAAATACAATAGACACGAAGCTAGAAAAGCAGTACCCTCTCTTGAACTCGCTGGCTCTATATGCCCTATGACGTTCTTATGGCAGATACTGAAGCATTTCTCTTCTGTGACAATTTCTAAGTCTACCTAAACATCTTGGTAGCTATGCGCACGCTTTCGAACTAAGGAGATAGTTTTCGAAGACATGTGTTCCGTAACACTATTGCACATGTTGAACCTCACTCCAGCAGCGAACCATTCCTAAGAGCTCTCCAGTCGCAGTAGCATATCCTTGTGCACGCAGCATGAAATTTGAAGACGGTATCGCTGCGAAGATGACTGGAGTGCATCAATCTTATGGTGTAAGCGTCTCTCAAGTTGCATGACAGGTAGTCGCATAGTCAACATTATCGAATCAGAATGGAACGTAGCACACCTATCGTCCATTTTGGGGTCATCGAGTGTGTAACGCCCTCCGCCCGTTATCGCTGTACCCGCCTAATGAAGAAAAACATGCGTCCACTATGTTATTTAAGGCGTGCTGGCGATTTGTTTGCGTACTGGAGAAAACGTCTGGAAGGAGGGCTACTTCATTCCTTTTTCCTCATCGAAGCTTGTTAAACCGCCTAGTGCATTTTCCACGTGGTGCCGTTATTGATGGCGGCGGGCAAGGGCCGAAAGCGTCAAACATCTATAGTTGGAGATGCGAGCTGTCCAACGATATCGGGAACATCCTGAATGTACGATATCGTACAGGGTCAACATACTTTGTACATCGCGGGCAATGTTGTCGAATCAAAATCGAGGCGCCTGGTCTCAAAGCTCGGAGATGGCGTTGGAGCAGGTGCGCCTGGAAGACCTTCGACCACTGGGTGCACAAGTTCACACAATAACTGTTCACAGCACCACGCCAAGGCACCAGCTATCATATAAGAATGTGGGTCGAGGAGCATAGAGCAGAAAGGGTTCTTTATCAGCACGCAGGGCAAAAGCTTTTCCGAGCGGATGGTTTTGCTAAATGCGGCCCGCTAGTCTTCGTGAACGGCAGGTTTTGCGCCGATCGCGGCAATTGAAGGGGAAAGAGACGGAGCGCGCAGTCAAGAAGAAGCCCCGAAGAGAAGATGAGAAACAATGACTGCCTTCCAATAAGGCATGCATGAAGCGTTGCGACCGTTGCTAAATCTCAGCCTCGTTTCCTGCAGGCAGATGTGGCGAAATGTTTATGCCAGAACGGTAACCGATCGTATAGCCGGATGACGCACCTACACACCCCAGAGTCACGAAGCGGCGCCGTTATGGCAGCAAGACGTCACCCCACTTTACCCATATGCCGCTCCAGAGCCTTTGAGCCGATTGCCGCGGCGCGGTCTGGAAGCTTGATCGAAGCGCGATGTCTTTCGCATCTTGTCTCCTCCGTCTAAATCCCTTCCCATGTTGGACATGCACCGCTTCGCCTGACCAGGGTTCGTCATCAAGGGGTTCTACAGGCATCTTAGCGAGTTAAATCCGAGCGGCAACGGCCATTCCCAGGGTGGAACGGGCTCTAAGAGATTGGCGCGTTGTTAGTGAGTGTCATTTGGTACTCATCGAACTTTGCACATCGTTTCATCAATCATAGAACGATGGCGAAATCGGAACCAATGGAGCCAAAGGAAAGAATGAGCCTTGGCTCGGCGCAGGAACAACACGAAGACAGCGCGTCAAGTGACTACGAGAAAAGACGAGAATCTGCTGCCGACATCGACGAAGAGAAAGTGGTTGGACTTGATGGAGCTACGCGATCAACGAAAGAAGGAGATTCTGAAAGAGGCCGCAGCCAAAGTCGACGCTCGCAAGATGGGAGGAGCCTGAAGACGGTCAGATCGCATCACTCACGGGCTGGAGGAGACGGCTACACATGCCTCGATGCTGAAGGCAATACCCAAGGACCGAGCAAATCCAGAACTGGAGCTGTCACGGAGCAGCCGTATCTAGTGACTTGGGACGGTGACGCAGATCCAGAGAACCCGAGAAGCATGGGCAAACTACGGAGATGGCTCATCGTATTGATATGCGCCAGCAGTTCTCTTTGCGTGTACGTCATGATATTGGTTTCTCAGTCATTGCACAAGCACAGACTAATAATTACCAAATGTAGGACATGCACTTCATCACTATACACGTCAACCTATAGTCAGCTGGAGCCAGAGTTTGGGGCCTCCCGCTTAGTGTGTACGCTTGGCTTGTCCATGTTCGTCGCAGGGCTAGGCGCAGGACCGATGATCCTCAGTCCCCTCTCGGAGGTGCGTACAGCTGCCGGGGATTACGGCACTCCAATGTTGCTGTGATTGACTAACCAATCGTAGTTCTATGGTCGAAGACCTATCTATATCTGCTCGTTCACGTTCTTCCTGATCTGGATGATACCATGCGCTGTGGCACAGAACATTCAGACAATGTTGGTCGCGCGCTTTCTAGATGGACTAGCCGGCTCAGCCTTCCTCAGTGTAGCTGGAGGCACTGTCGGTGATATGTTTGGAAAACACGTCAGTTAATACTGTGTTCGCGAGTTTTCTATTTCTGACAACAGCGTAGGAGCTATCTGCGCCTATGATGGTTTACACAGCTAGCCCATTTGTCGGTCCAGAAGTTGGTCCCCTAATAGGAGGCTTCATCGTCGAGAACACTACGTGGAGATGGTAAGTGCTTATTCAAGACCCACCTTTCTCACCCTGCGACACTGCACCTGCAGATCCAGCGGCGTTGCTCAAGTTGGCAGCATCTGCCTAGATGTTCGTATCAAGAATACCTAGATTAGGCCTCGCGGAAGCAACTGGCGGTGTGTTGACATGAAAACAGGTGTTTCTACGTGCTCATCATCTGGTCTGGAGTTCAGGTAAGGTTGTGCTGCACACCATGTGTACCAAAGACTAAAGTTAGCCTTGTAGCTTTGCCTGATCGTTATGTTCGTGCCTGAAACGTACCACCCCGTTCTGCTCCGTCGGAAGGCGATTCGACTACGAGAAGAGACCGGCAACCCAGAGTGGATAGCGCCGATTGAGAAGATGGACCGCTCTATTGCCAAAACCGTGCTGTGGTCATGCATTCGCCCGTTTCAATTACTGTTCTTTGAGCCTATGGTGGGTCTCCGCACTCGATGAGGCCTTGATTGGCGTACTGACGGCTGCATTCTAGTGCTTGAGCCTCTGCATACTGTCCGCTATTCTATTGGGCATTTTGTACCTCTTCTTTGGCGCTTTCCCCCTCGTGTTCCAAAACAATCACGGCTTTAGCATATCGCAGACTGGGCTTGCATTCCTGGGTCTGTTGGTAGGCATGCTAGCGGGTATCTCCACGGACCCTATCTGGAGAAGGATATACGGCAGGCTTGTGCGCCAGCGTGAGGAACAAGGGGGTGAGCCTGGAGGTTCGGAACCTGAATTTCGACTTCCTTCAACTATTCTTGGGGCCTGGGTCGTCCCTGTCGCTCTCTTTGGTAAGCTTCCGCACGGCCTCGAATAGAACAAGCTTCTAATCATGCGTATGCAGGGTTTGGGTGGACAACGTACTCATCAGTAAGTTCAGAGTGCTTTTGGTATGAAAGCTTCTATGCTAACACCCCGGCTTCTGCAGGTTCATTGGATAGGTATGACAACATCCTGCATATCGTAGAATCGCAATAATAACTGACCATGACACCGCAGTTCCAATAATCTTTTCGGCAGTATTTGGTCTCGGGTATGTTTTCTTCTTCTAAGACTCCGAGTATGATCAATGAGAGCAGCTCACTGACTGCATTGCGTGACGTAGTGTCATTTGGGTCTATTCAGGGGTCTTCACATTCTTGGTCGAAGCCGTAAGTACCACGCACCGACATCGGACCAGACTTTTGGGTACAGAGATAGTGACGTCGCCGAACAGTACCCTGTCTACGCTGCATCGGCTCTTGCGGCCAACAGCTTCGCGCGGTCGTACTTTGCTGCGGCATTCCCGTAAGTTAGCATCACCGTTGGGTCAGGCTTAATTGCTAATTAGTGTCATAGACTATTTGGTGTTCAGATGTACAACAGTAAGTCTCGAGGACGATGCGCTTCGATGAAAGAGCGGTCACTGATTTGGAACAGATCTCGGCTACCAGTGGGCAACTACTCTGCTTGCCTTCCTGGCACTTGCAATGGCCCCGTAAGTGACCCAGAACGAGGGTTGTGGGACTCACTAATATGTCTTATTGCAGATTTCCAATCTTGTTCTTTCGATATGGCAAGCGACTCAGGGGAGGCAGTCGATATGCATCAGCATAGTCAACCAGGAAGCGAGGCGAGGGCATGTGGCAGACTTGACTGGAAGCGGACTAATAATAGAGAGTGACACGGCATTTGCATGTCAAAGATTTTCATTGAATCAAGGATTTTGCGCCCACACGTGAGACCACATGAAGCAAGCTGGCCGGGCCTCTGTGCAACGGAACATGAGCGCCACGAGGGCGGCCACGCCAGCTCGAGGGACAACGGATACACGAAAGCCGAAAGCGGCAGCGGATGGTACCGTTGCCGAGGGCGGTGCACCAGCGTGCGAGGAAACGTGGTCGGCAGGCCAGAGACACGGTGAGGGAGACATTGAGGGCACACAAAGCTCGCGAAGCGTAGACGAGCGGGAGGGAGTGATGATAGTTGGTAGTACCAGCGCGCCAATAGGCTGACGAGGAACCATCCATATTTGGCGCCAAGGGCTCGTATCCCACACTGCATGCATGCCCCATAGCCGAGTCTGAGGCACTTTGGGCATGCCGGCTGCTTGCTTTTTGGGTATGCGCTGTGTGGCATGAGGTGTTGAGGTGGGAATTGCGAGTGACTGGGCAGGGTTCTCTGCAGTACAGCACTCAATCTGCAATGATATACAAGACCCACCGCGTATTGGCGACGATCCGGTGGTAGACGAGAGGCGAAGAGGCCTGAAGTGGCTGAAGTGGGCTATTGCGGCTAGTGATGTCCAAATAGTGAAGCAGAAGTGCGTGACTACAGGCTAGCGCGAGGCCAAGCCAGCGGCTTACCGGTCGACAGGGACCGAGGCAGCTGCGTGGGCTGCAACTTCCAGCAAACCTCGAACAGCCAATTGCGGGGAATCGCATCTGCGCGCATCTTGCAGCGAGAGCCCCAATCTACCACACACGACCCGCGCCCGACGCCTCGAGCCCACTCCCAACTGCACACAGCGCTGCAAGTGCCCTGGAAGCTCGTCAAACCTAGCAGCGCCTCCATCGCCTCGACCGCGCGCTCCGTCGCGACTTGCTTCCTGCCTCCCCAGACGATCATCATCACCCATCGCACCTGCCCCAGCGCCGACCGTGACTTCTCAAGCGTCGTACCACCGCGCTGACCTACCGCGTCGCTCCTTCTGTGCTCCAAGCGACGCCCCACCCGTCACTGCCACGCTGCTGCTCTCACCTCCCGTGGGCTTACGATACGAAGCCCGGCACCGCTTGTAGAACCACACCCGACTCCCAGCAGCATGGGCAGCGCGTCGCGGTAGCATCTCGCTATCAAACATGGTTCTGTGTGCTCCTGGAATGCTCCCTCGATTACATGGACCCCGGCCCCGTACCACAATAGCACTGTCCCATACCTGTCCGCCGGATTGAGAGTCCTTCACTATCTCCCTCCCTTGCAGAGCTCGTCATTGGATTTATCAGAGTGCCACGGCAGCGCTCGTTCAAGCAGCCAACACACGCGTGATCGCACCTTAAAACACACAGCTGGAACGCCCCCAGTCGTGCACCCCAGACACATTGGCTGAACCACTTTGCCGGGAACACCCCTAGATCACCACTGACGGCTACACGCAGCACCAAGCGTCAAGGCCCAGCGCCTCAGTTCACAGCAGCGAACGTCCGTGCTCGGCCGAGTGCCTGCGCTGAGTAGAGGGGATATCATGACCACCCCAGACGCCCAAGATGTCTCTCCTTCGCCCGAGTACAGGAGCGACTTGGACGACGACATGGCTGCTGAACAGTCGGCAGACCGCCAATCTGGCAATGGTGACTCCACCCAGAAGCCTACCAACGGAAAGCCCAATGCAAAGGATCCTCTCAGGCCACGGAGGAAAAAGGCGCGGAGGGCATGTTTCGCCTGCCAAAGAGCTCATCTGACGTGTGGTGAGTGCAAATATACGGAATCGACTCAGTAAAAAGACTGACATGTTCTAGGTGATGAAAGACCATGCAATCGCTGCATCAAGCGCGGCCTCCAAGATCACTGCATGGACGGCGTGCGCAAAAAGGCAAAGTATCTACACGACGCGCCAGATGGAGCTCTCATGCCAGGTGTAGGCGGTCACTATCCATACATGAACGGCAACCGCCCAACACCGATCCCGAGCCACGAAACCCAAACAGTCTCCGTCTCTCCACAGAGCAACATGTACAATCAAACCCAACCAGCAGCGTTTTATCCACCCAACTCGATACCAGGGCAACTACCTGTTGCGCAAGATAGCCACGCCTTCAACAATCAGCAGTCGCCAATCTCACCCCCGTTCAACCAATCGCACCACGGGCCAGTGCAAAATGCACCGAGCACTATGCCCCAAGGCCAACAGAGCCAGTTGCAGCAATTCGGACCCTTGTTCGATCCAAGTGACCCAGCATTGTTCAATTTTGATATCTCAAGTCTGAACTTTGGCAACCACTATGGAGCGCTCGAGTTTGGCATGCTTGGTCATATGTCGTCAGGCGCAGTGGACACACCCCACGATAACGGAATGATGAGTAATATGAATGGTGCTGTAAACATGTACAATCAGCAAATGCCCTCCACTTATGCGGACCAGAACAATGCCGCAACCGCAATGGCATACAACCCCAACGGGCTTCCAGCGGGCGAGTGGCAAGACTCGCATTCGCGGCAAGGCAGTATGCATGTGCACACGCCAAACACTTCAGCCGGGCATGACCACCACAGTCTTCGGAACGACAGTCTTAGTGGTCCACATGCATTCGTCATTGGCCAAGGACCGGGTTCTACAGCAAGCCCAGCTTCCACGGATGCATCCACATTCGAGGGCGACAACCCATTGGCAACTGCAGCTTTCTTCGCCAACACCAATCGACCTCACGCGCAACACTCTCCAGCCGTCAACCGATCGCAGCGCGAACAGAGACCATCAACGACAGCAATTCAACCGATGAACTCAAATGGTATCCGCAAACGTCAACGAGATACCAAGGCCATCTACCAAGGAGTTACCAAGCCATATGACTACGTCAAGGGCTACCACAGGCTCTACCAGCTGATTGACAAGAACTATTCAAGACCGTGGGTTGCCAAAGCCCAACAGTATCTGCAGAACTACCGACCTGTGCTGTTGCAAGTGAGAGAAGAGTTGAATAGGGACGACTTGATCCATCAAGAAATGGGACTGCAGCGCCAAGTCATGACATTGCAGGATCACTTCGCAGAGGTCGGTACACCATTTTTAATATGTCGGCGATCTGGCGAGATTGTCGGCATTAACAAGGAGTTTACCATTCTCACCGGCTGGAAAGACTCAGTTCTGCTCGGCCACGAGCCAAACCTCAACGTCAACACTGGGACAAATCGTGAAACAAGTGAAAGCGATACTGGCTCAACTCAAAACACAACACCCAATCTTACCGCGCAAGACTCTGAGACGGCCACACCCAGCGTCAACATCATTGAGCTTATGGATCCCAAGTCCGCACTGGAGTTCTTGCAGCACTTCTCCGAACTCTGTTACCAGGACCCTCATGGCTATGCCTCTCAGCGTGTCAACATGCTGAGATACCAAACCAAAGCCGACATAGACCGCATCCAAGAAATGAAGAATGCGAATGCTGGCTCTGACGTCAAGGCTGACCCACTCGTCAAGGTCGAAGGCGAGAGCGCTATGCAAAGGCTTGGGGCGAAGAATGGTATGGTCGATTGTATGATCTGGTGGCATATCAAGCGCGATATGTTTGATATGCCTGTGCTTGTTTGCATGAGTGTAAGTTGAACCCTAATGTTCTGTATATGAGAAGCTGCTAATTAGGATCCAGGTTATGCCTGTGCTTGACAAGGGTCTGCAATAATCGAAGGGCGATTGGGCTGGACGTTGCATCACCTACATAGCCTCACAAGAGGTAGATTTCTTCGAGATCGTCTCACTTGACGAATAGTCGCATGAATATGAACGACGCCATCTTCACAGCTGATGTGCGATCACGTCATAGCGGCAGTATAAAAAGTGCTTTTATGTTCATGGGGTTGTTTTCATGACCGGCGCATACGCATGGATGGATACCTAGGTCGTCTCACGAGACATGCGCATCTTGGAAAGGTATAATTTGGGAAATTGCTGTTGTTTGGTTTGGGTGTTAAACGGTGCACATCGAGGGCGTGATCGGAGTAGACAAGCTGCCAACATAGGCGCGATACCAATGCTTTCATGGCTAGAATATCGGCATAATAACAATGTTCCTTCATACACGGTTATCGCTATGCATGTCGTGGGATCGTCGGTCGTCTATAAACATGATCGCTTCCTCTAACCCTCGTCACTCTAATTCATCATGTGCGAAATTCCCACCCCATCTTTCTGCCCAGCTTGATTCCAATTGATCTTGGTATCCTCACCACCCTTCAACCACTCATCCTTCTTCCAAGCTTCGTACCCCTCTCTTGCTAAACTCCTTTGTGCAACCCTAATATCCTCTCTGATATCCTCCACCAACGCGTCCTTACTCACGTAATCGTACTCTGGCCGTATGAAGCCCAGTATCATCAAACTGAGGTTCGCGCCATAGAAGTCTTGTTTGAAGTTATGTAAGATGTGAATCTCAATACTACGTTGTGTGTTCTTGTAGTACGGGTTGTAGCCGATTGACAGTACAGTCGGGTAGATGGTTGATGGTGTGGGGGTCTCGGACGAGTATTCGAGATCTAAGACAGCGTGCGAGGAGGATTTGCTAGGGACAGAGGTATCGTCCTTGGCGCTTGGTACGCTGGAAGAGGTTGTGGAGGATTCGATGGAGGATGTGTCGAGTGTGCACCAGCCATAGTAGATGCCGGACTCTAGCTCGTCGTGGCCGCCTATGCTTAGGCCGGAGAGGGGAATGTTGGCGGTCGGTATGCCTAGCTGCTATTGTCAGCTTTGGGATACGGTCAAGACGACTAATTGGTTTGTACCTCTTTACTTCCTCGCCCGAAGCCCTTGACTACTGGCCCTCGGAGCTTTATTGGGAAAGGTGGCTGTGGTGTATCGGCACCGGCGATGGGGTCGCGAGGACCGTCTGGACGACCCATTTTGTCTGACTAGTCTGTAGTACTCCTGGAAGGTAATCCGGGATATGGAGAGAAGAGGAAGGCGGTTATCACGAGAAAGGGTCGTATTGAGCGTGGTACTTCGAGCACTTTCTGGTCGGGATGATAGAGGTCCGATCGGAACCTTGGTGGGGCTTACAGATGCCAGGCGTCACCGTTGGCTTAGTCATCAGGGTCCAGGTACGTCCCTTGCATCGTCACTCCCGATTTGGACGTTTACATGTGAATCGCCACGATTCAGTCAGTGAGGGTGAGACATGGCATCTAGACTTCGGTACTCTCTACTTGCATATCGCGCCGTTCCGGAGCCTTGTGTCAATTGTTCACTATCGTCCACACGCACCATGGCTTCTGCTTCGACCAGTCAACGTAAATCACGCCTGTTTGATGAACAGCCCGCGTTCATCTATGGTACCGCCTGGAAGAAAAGCCAAACGAAGAGATTAATAAAAGAAGCACTTGTCCATGGGTTTCGTCGCGTCGACACAGCTGCACAGCCTCGGCATTACCAAGAACCTTTAGTTGGGGATGCGCTTCGTGAGGCGTTCGAGGAAGGTCTGGTGAAGCGAGAGGAGATATATGTATGAACTTCCCCCCTTTCTCTCAAGATGTGTGGTGTTTATTTTCAACAGCTACAGACGAAATACACCACTCCCGCTGGCCAAGATCTGAGCAATATGCCCTACGACCCTGAAGCGCCATTAGACGTTCAGATACGCACATCTGTCGCATCCTCACTCAAGAATTTGCGATATGGGCAGAAATCGGAAGACGACTCATACATTGACTGCTTACTTCTTCATTCGCCACTACCCACCAGTGAGCAAACACTGCAGGCTTGGCGGTTACTGGAGACTTATGTGCCGCACAAGATTCGTTCCCTCGGTATCTCGAATGTCACTCTTCCCATCCTCCGAGATCTGTGGCTACGTGCCAAGGTCAAGCCAGCAGTGGTGCAGAATCGCTTCCACCCTGACACGTACCACGATGTAGAGTTGCGTGAATACTGCCGATTGAGTGGCATCATGTATCAGTCATTCTGGACTTTGACCGGTAATCCCGTTCTTCTCAAGTCAAAACCAGTTGCCGCTTTGGCCAAAGCGACGAATGTTGAACTGCCCATTGCGCTCTATGCTCTCGTCATGGATCAAGGAATTGTGGTGCTGAATGGGTCGACTTCGACTGAACATATGCAGGCGGATTTGGAGGGTATTCGAAAGGTGCGCGAGTGGGCAGAGTCGAACCAGAAGAAGTTCGAGTACATCAGGGACGACTTCTCTTATTTAGTCGCATGGTGAATCATGGTATCCGACATGAGAGAGTACTTCCTTCTACTACAACAAAGCGTATTAGAGCTATATAGACATACATAGAGAACCTAGAAGCCTACAATACTATTAATTCCTATAGTCTCTCTCGTTAGGAGCCAATGTAAGCTGCAAAGTAGAATCTACTATCTCTACCTGTTCGACGTTTCTCTTGCATAGGGTGATGGGAACATTTAGATGATCAAAATCATATTCGTCACTCATTACCGCCCCATGTCACCGCCTTCACACCAGTACCACGCGCGTTCTATCAACCAACAGGACCGTTCATCCCGACTAGGAACTCTTACAAGTTGCTAGTAACAAAAGAGGTGAGCGCACCAACCCTGGCGTACACACCAGGCTGACCAGGCAGAGCACAGCCGTTACCCCAAGATACAATGCCAATAAGTTGCTTGCTGGAGCTGATGATGGGACCTCCGCTGTCACCCTGGCAAGAGTCCTTGCCACCTTCGGGGACACCAGCGCAGAACATGCGGTCAGTAATAGCAGAAACTGAGTAGTTGTTGCGGCAAGTGGCGCGGGAGACGATTGGTACCGAAACCTTACGGAGAGTGGTAGAGCTGCTGCCACCATCGGTTGTGTCACCCCTGAAGAAAAATTAGCACAATGTACAATCTTCGCTTGATTAGATTTACTTACCAGCCGAGCACTGTCGCAGTGGAGCCAGCGGCAGGGTCAGAGCCTGAGGCTGCGAGGGTTGCGTATCCAATAGTGGAGCTCGTTGCAACAGGAGTCGAGAGCTTCAGAATTGCGATATCGTTGTCCGAAGTGTTGTCATTGTAGCTGGGGTGAAGGCGAATTGAAGTGACAGTGGAGACAGTTCCACCAGAGCCACGGTTCTAGAGATTGTAAGTACGGGCCTAATTACATCTTACGTGAAGAGGGAATAGTACTTACAAGAGATCCAGCACGAATGCTGAATGAAGCGGTCATACGATCATAGAAGCAGTGAGCCGCACTGACGACCGTGTTGGCGTTGAGAAGAGTACCACCACACAGGTGCCCCAATCCAGCAAGTTGAACGCTGACCATTGGAAGGAAATCGCCCTGGGAAGCGGCTACGCCACCAACAATGTCTGAAGTGTCTGTAGAGCTCTCATCCCAGTTGAATTCGGGCAGTTCCTGTTCCTGGGGAATAGCCGCGCCATAGACGAGGGCCGGGACCGCAAGAGCGGCAAGGATGGACTTGGCGTGCATGTTGGGGACCGTGCAAAGCGACTGGAGTAAAGGTCGTTGAGATGAAGACAGAAGCGACTGACTGACTTCTCCAGGCTGGCACGTCTTCCACCTTTATACAACAGAGAGAAGACATGTAATCTCCTTCGCTGTGACTTGCACGAACACGAACCTTCGTATTCGGTCGCACTATGAGGTGCCAGTAGAGACCCCAAGACATTGTCTGCTGGGGGTAACTAAAGTCCTTCCAGATATGGAATTGACAAGAAATAGAACGGGGTTGGCAAAATTCGACAACCTAGCTTGGCGGAGCTTGTAGAGCCAAGACAATATGGGAAACCCAAGATGTACCTTGACACCGTGTTCGGGCAATACCGTCACGTACTGTGTAAGTCGTGTAATCGCCGATTGGTGGGACATAGTAGTCGAAAAGAAAATATAGCAATTAGCTTGTCTTGGTACAGTGTAGGAATCCAGCCAGTCGCATTAATGAGGCCGTTATCGGAAGATTCACCTGGATCTGATGGACTGCACGAATCTCTCTACCTTGATACTTTTGTTGAGATGTAAGAGTTGATGATTGAATCAACGGAGGAAGCTGACTATATAGTACGTACGCTAAGGGTTGTGGCAAGCACTAATAACAACATGACATGGCTCTTTCTGTTGATTTTGCGTGGGTTATTGCAGAGTTGCAGGAACCTTGGTTTCAAGGAAAAGAGAAAGCTACTATTGATTTGGTGGCGCGTTGACGCACTGTGTACTGGTGAAGACAAATCGCACATAACATAGTGCCATCGACAATTCACCTCCGAGACGTTCCTGGGCGAAACAGGCGTATAGATTGTGAGCACGTCATTTAGCTTAACGAGAGAGCAATGCCTGAAGTGCCGTGAGCAATGCATAGGGGATATCGGAGAAGTCCCCTTTGATGTTTGAGGGTGTGACGATTAGCGACCCCGAACAGGCAAGAGCCAAGCGTGGGAGGATATCCTTGGCATGAGCTTTGTGGGGTGTACTAACACATCTCAGGCTTAGTCCTACATGATGTGAAACCAGCTGCCAAAGTTGGCATATCGCGATATCTACTTGCACGGAATCGGAATCATATCCGGCCACACTACCGGCGAACACGAGCTGGCATTCATGCAACTGGCATATAGGTCAGTGAGTATGACCGAGATATCATTAAATTTTTAGGTACCTAGGTGTAAAGCGTCAACATCGGCCCATCACCGCTCATTGCTGCGACACGCTCGCACTATCACATCGCTCCTGCTCTCCCAAGTCTTCTGGATGCCAGTCGCAAACGCAGCTCCAGGTAGAATTCTACTCCTGTGTTTCTCAGGACTCATCGCACTGTGGCTCCTTGGATTCTTCCAGGCAAACATCATGGATTCTATCCCATCGACTTTCACTATCGAGATCGGTGGCAAACCAGTTGCAAACGTCGAAAAAGACGCTGAGGATGGTTCTCAAGCAAAGTTGGGAGCTGTGCCAGCTATCTTCAGCCTTAAGAATAGCCGATTGCAATCTGGAGATTGGATCATGGGACGCAACCAAGTAGAGAACCGCAGCTATTTGCCAAAACGGGTGTCCTGGTATAAAGCAAATGCAGAGAATGAGAAGCTGGTACAGCTCGTGACAGCTAAGAAGGAGGGCGAGTCGTACCAGTTGATCTTCAAAAGTATGTCTTCACGACCAATTTGTGCTTGTATAGAGATGTCCATCGTGGTTGCTAACGTTGCGCATAGATGCAAAGTTGATGGTAGATGATGAGGGCATGGTTCTGGCCGATCTACTTGGAGGTGAGTGATTGCGCTAGTCATGCTGTTGAAGCTGCTGCTCACGACGAAGCAGAGTCGCAATCTGAAGTGAAAGTCATTCTGCAAGACGGTTGACAGGTTCCATATCTCTTGTTCTGCGAAGCGACTATAGATGGACGGGGATGTCTATGAACGGTCTCAAGAGTTTAGTGCACAAGGCGGACGCATGCTCTATTTCACGTACAACATTCACCGAACCCGACTCGTCACACATGTGCATCAAACATGACGAGGGGAGGCTTGCCCTCTAAAGTCCTAGCCTTTCGAATACATGTGAAAGGAACGTTCTCACTTATCATAAAGCGCGAAGAGTCCTTGAGGCGCTTGGGCAACAGCCAACAGCGCATGTCCGGAGATGTCGTTGTGGTATCAACAACGGAAGCAATAGACGGGTCATCAAGACACATTACCAGTACGTTGGCGAACTGCGAATACAGTGCCGGGGAAGAGTACCTCAGTAGTCGCTCAGATCTCAAAGGCATTCTAGAATAACCTTGAAAACTGCGACAGCATTGCGGTATATTTCTGTAGGTTTACGGTCCTTCCCTAGTAAGATACACGTAGAAGTAAGCATGCATAGATAGGGTTCATAAAGTATACATAGTCTAGAAATACTCGCTAAGTGGTACTGAATTTCCATACGCTCCGAGGGCGGATACAGTCCGCACTCTACAAGAGAAGCTAGAATCGGACCTTTCCGCTGCTTCTCTCCCTCAGCGATACGACGCTCCAGATCGACACGCATCATCATCACCGCACTGTTCTGTCGCTCGGACGTGCCGATTCATTCGTAAGATGCCTTGATCTCCCCCATGTCCCTCTCGATAGCCAGTTTCCCCCCTTCGAGACATTCCTTCTTCAACTCCCACCAGTCAGAACGAAACATGGTTAGAAGACACTTATAAGGACTATCGGTGCCGCACACTCGGTTTTCCAATGTTCGCAGCCGCGATGCCACAGACTCCCGGGCCTCGTTCCCGATTCCGCCTCTGCTTGAAGGGCAGCCATGTAATGCTCCCCCATGGCATCAGGGAAGTAGTAGTCGTTCAAGTCTCCGGTGAAGCGCCCTCTAAATGACCTGATCGTTGCTATGAGATATAATTGCTTCTTGAACATGTTGTTGAGCTGAGGTCTCCTGTGCTGGAGGTTGGCAGTGAAAATCTCGTTGCCAAGATATTTTGTCGCTTCATCCAGCTCTCTCAAAAAATCGTCCACGTTTTCTGCCAAGTTGGAAGCTAGAATGTTCATGGCAGTTGTGACGCTTTTCCATAGCTCTTCGAATAATGGGTTCATCGTCTTCCGTATGGGACACAAGAGTTCCTTGTTCCAGCTAGGCTTTGGATCCGTGCTCCGGCGAGATTTTAGCTTTTCCTTGACGTGGTGGTTGCCCTGCTTGTTCAGGAAGCATCGTACAGATTGGTAACGCAGATTTTGCCATTCATAGAAGCAACCGCGAGCTTCCCTTCTCCAGGATGGGATCGCGCCTTGTATTGCAGCCTCAATCGGACGTATCTCCTTTTCCTCGATTGTGTCAAACATAGCCTGGAGTAGCGCCATGAACACCTCTTCGTATTTGTGAAAGTCGAATCTGGGTCTTGCTCGCGCCACAATAGATGTGGTGATACCAAGGAGTTTGATAGAGGCGAATAGCTCGGGCAGCGTTTCTTTATGAAGGCGTATGAGATCGTCCTTAACCCGTTCGTTTGCTATATCAGCGAGGTCTTCGACTAGATTTGGAATTTGTGTCGGCTCGACAGATAGTGGAAGATCATGGATTGTGAATCGGCAGTAACCTTGGAAATGCCTCATATAGTCGTGTTCGCAAGTCGTTCTGACGATGAGGTTGTCGAACATTCCTGCGTATCGGGATTTCAGCAGATCTTCGATGCGTCGGCTGCGCTCTCCAGCCCGAATCTCTCTCTCTTCAAGATCGATATACGCGATCTCGCAAGCACAGCGTACTCTCTCCTTGAATTGCATCGGTCTATAGTTATCATACTCCCTCTCAACGTCTTCCCTGCCTTTGCCGAGCCAGTTAAGATTTGCTGTCTCGTGTTCATTGAAAGATGTGTTCATAAGATCCACACGATCGAGACCGGTGTCTCCTTTGCTCAGGACAACGATGATACGTTGATCAGGCCTATCCTCACGGCAATCTTTGAGAAACCTTTTCAGGAACTTACTGTCACCAGCCCGAGTAATTTCCTCAACGACTATGACCGCTTTACAATCTTGGAGATATCTCTTGGCTTTTGTTTCACGGTCCTTATTGATGTCCTCCAGTCCGGGACAATCGCCGATTGAGCAACGAACTCGGAATTCACCAGAGATCTCGATCATTGATACCAATAAAGTGGGGTTGAAGCCAAGCTCGGTGTTTACCGTCATGGTTTCGTCGTTCGCAAATGGTGCTATCTTACTTCAAAGTTCGTTTACGTTGTCAGGATAGATTGGGAATTTGGCAGCGATCTTCAGGCGCCGCTTCTCAGCCCGGCTGATGCAGGTATCGATGATCTTCTCTAGTTCTGCGCTTGATGGTGGGTCGGACGCATCATGTTTAAATCCTAGGAAAGCGAAGATCGCATCGTCCGATGCAAACTCCGAATAAACGTGGAACAGATTTTTGAGCACGGTTATGCTATCCGGTCCTTCATCATCGGCTAGTGAGAGCGATCCTTCCGAATCGTCAAATCCGTCTATGATGTTGTGGTTATGTTGGCGCACAGAGGTTCGACATTCCCTCTTGCCAATCACTTCGACATTTACTCTGTAGGCCAATTGTGAGTTGACTGGGCGTGGTGAGTAGACGATCGGAACGCAAATTCCAGCGACGCCGTTTCCCCCCTTGATAAGGTTAAATAATGTAATGCTTCAATGAAGCTGTGCTTACTGATTTCGCGATTTGATCGATTCCCATAATAGCGTCTATCAGTCTGGACTTCCCTTGCCCAGTTTTACCAACGACTGCTACAGACTCTGGCTTGCTTTGATAGTTTCCAATCACAGTTCCCACCCTCTTTTCCAGTTGTGCAGCCAGCTGTGGGTCTTGATCCGCCTCTGCTGCGGCAAGGAAGTCAAGTGGAATTTTCAGACAAGCACTCTCAGCTTTTGAGAACTCGCTATGGTAAATGGGTAGGTTGGGAGGCATTTCCTTCGTTGGGTCATGATGATAGGTGTCTTCGTTGTCGTTCTCAACGAACTCATCGTATTCGGCGAGTTTTCGTTCTACACGCCGCTTCGCTGATGGAGGAATTGAGTTCTGCTTTGTTGGTTGCAATGGGCCGTCAGCTGTAGTCGTTAGTTCCTCATTACAGCTAACAGCATGTGGAGATCAAGTCGTAGCAAGTAAAGGGCAGTATGATACTGACCTGGTCTTTTTCCCTGACTCGCCATGATGGGACAAATAGTGCTTTGACAAGGCAAGCGCGCCTACGACCGCGATATCGAACGTTCAATCTTTGGTTGTTGATGAACAAGAATGCTGTGGCTGTGATGGAGCAACTTCCGCTGGAGTATGGACATTCCAGTGTTTATACGAGTGGGCATGGCAATATATATACATGGCGGAAGCAAGCACATATTTAGACATGATAGATTTCATGGCGACGCGAAGCATACGGAAGACAGTGCAATCCGAAGAGTATCTCTTAAGAATGCTTCGCAGCGAAGCAAAGTTGAGACAATATAATCCGATTAAGGACAATGTCTTCGCCCAAGGATCCTTGTCTGAGTTGCCTGATCTTGTCGCCCAGATGGAGGCGTTCTTCAGTTGAGCTTGAGCTAATAGTGTGTGTTTCGTCAAGACACTGTCTTGTATTCAATAAGTCGTGGCGTATTCGATAAAGACACTGTCTTGCATATCTTAGATTGAGATTTTGATATCGAAAGTTTTGTGAAACCGATGGTTCGATCGCTGCATACCTAATCCCTATGCCAGTGCATCCTGTATGCATGGACTTGCGCATGGGTGAAGGCAGCCACAGGCCCCCACCAGTTGGTAGGTTTCCAAGATCTCAGCTATGTTCATCTGCCAAGAACTACTGACGAGGGAGTGATGAATGAAGAAGCCTTCTGCCTCATAAGAACATTGGCAGACAAGCGAACAGATGGTGCTCACAAGCATGCATCTTGCAGTTGTATGCTAGTGGGTACTGCTGTAAGCACAGGCCAAGGGGACGACCGGCGTTTTGGTCGGCCCGAGCATAGCGCGTCCTGGGATATCAGTTCCAGAAACTTCTGCCTCGAGCTCCCCTCTACATAACTTGCAGAACTCTCCTTCTGTGTTCCACACTATCGCTCTAATCCGCGCGCCGTGAAGCTCCGTGTCAGCATCAGCGCCTTTTTATTGTAAGTACTGAACGCCCTCTTCCAAATTTCGAATGATGAGACACAAGCTGGCACCAGTCTGAGAAGACTTGTACTCTTTGCATGCGGATCAGCTGCTTAGACTTTTTAGTCGCCTTCTGACAATACCTCACTACGCGTTCATCTTTGCATAAGTTGAAGAGGTTGAAGCTAACAAGCTTTTCGCAGAAGTTTTATCGAGATCGAGCGCGCTCTTCAGCCATCACCATGGTCCTCCACAACCCGAACAACTGGCATTGGGTCAACAAGGATGTGTCGGGATGGACGCGCGAGTACCTCGACAAGGAGCTCACGCAGATATCAGCGGAGCAGGATGGCGTGACAGCAAAGATCGATAAAGTCGTAAGCATGGATGGTGACGTAGACGTGAGCCAACGCAAAGGCAAAGTGATTACCATCTTTGATGTCAAACTGAAGCTCGAATACTCGGGTAGGTCTTCTCGGTTGCACTCTTCTTGGGCGAGCTGAGCTGACTCGGTCGGCAGGCAAGAACAAAGAGGGCGAAGAGGCTAGCGGCACCATTACCGTCCCCGAAGTCGCTCATGACACCGAGGAAGACGAGTATGTCGTATGTTCCCTTCGCTGGCACCACCCTTGATTTGTCCATGTGACCTTGTGCATCGCGACTAACAGTTCGCCATAGTTTGAGGTAGACGTCTACTCGGACGAGAGCAGCAAACAGCCCGTAAAGGACCTAGTACGATCCAAGATCCTACCGCAGCTGCGTAAAAGCTTCACCCAGCTTGCGCCCGCGGTCATGGCGGAACACGGAAAGGACATCCAGCATGCACCAGGCGTGAACCCTGGTAGCAGCTTCACAGCGCCAAAGGTATACTCAAGCTCAAGCGTGAACAAGTCCAGCTCCAAGACGGAAGCATCTGGCTCCCAAAAGAGCAGCTCTGGCGCAGTTGTCAATGTGACTACCATCACCGACAGCACAGAGTTCCGCACAGATGCGGCCAACCTTTACCAGACTTTCACAGACCCGCAACGCATCGCTGCGTTCACGCGGGCCCCACCAAGGAACTGGACAGGCGCACAACCTGGCGGCACATTCGAGCTCTTCGGCGGAAACGTCAGTGGAGAGTTCACCGAGCTCCAGGAACCCACACACATCGTCCAGAAATGGCGACTTGCACAATGGCCTGCGGGGCACTACTCGACCCTGTCGATATGGTTTGATCAGAACGATGTTGATGCTGTGACGGTCATGAGGGTAGAGTGGAAGGGTGTACCAGTTGGTCAAGAGGAACCCACCAAGACCAACTGGGACCAGTACTATGTCCGAAGTATCAAGACGACTTTCGGTTTCGGTACAGTATTGTAGTTGACCAGCGGCCTCGATTGCATCATTGCATGGTATGGAGTAAGAGGCGTTGGGAGGACTAAACGATTGCTATGAAGTGATGGAAACGGGTAGATCGATACCTACCATAATGGTATGGACCCCAATGAGATATGTTTGAATGACAACCTTGACCGTGTCGCGTGCTTGTTTTTGAGGCGAACCTCGTGTTCCATGGCGCTAGCTGCTCTGGGTATCGACGCGACAAGTCCACTCCAATTCCGTACATGGTATTCTTTTCCCAGCTCTTTGGTCCGACGATCAGACAACCACTATCTAGAGTAAGCAAGCCAATATTCCCTCTGCATGGAATGTCATAGAGGGAATTATCGAAGCCGCGGCGCCGAAGAGACCTTGTCTGTCCGTACTCGCGGATACCCGGGGTCTACCACCTTCCCATACAGGCATAGATCATCTTCCACTATCGCCTCGACCGCGATCAAGCCATGTAAGCTTGTACAAGCCTTTGCTAATGCAAGCTTGGGACCGAATAGCGGGGTACCTTCCTAGTAGCTTCTCGCTCGGTTGACAGTCGCGAGCTTCATGGTCTTCATAGATCTGATCAACTGAGCGCTTTTGTTTGGACTAAAACAACGTCGTTAACTCGGCTACATTCCAACGACCGATCTTTGTGTCGGCAACCCATTCACAGCAGTCTCAAATAGCGAAGGGCCGTGTGCGAATGCGTATGCACCGAAGTGTACCATGACGTCGTTGGCACGAGCACTGGATCACGGCCAGCATGCACGGCACCGAGATAAGCAAATACTTAGCTCACATGGGAAGGTGAGAGCTGGCTATCGGACCTGCATAAGCTTCGAGGATAAAATGTAGTTGGTACGCGTCATATGAGAAGCTGCTTTGCTCTGCTTCCAGCCACCGCTACCTTTGCTCCCTCTCTCCTCACCTCTATTGAGTCCGGCAAGTTCATCAATACGCGAAGACTTGCGACAACCTCGAAAATGAAGAGCGCGCAGAAGCTACTCGCCGCGCCTTTGTTGGCAGCTGGTACTCTTGCACAGTTTGTACCTGCGCCCACGGATTTGATCACCAAGGAGGGGTATGCCAACATCAGCGTACGATACAAGGAGGTACCTACGGGTATCTGCGAGCTTGATCCAAATGTGAAGAGCTACAGTGGATATGCGGATATTGCGGAGGATCAGCACGTCTTCTGGTGGTTCTTTGAGTCGCGCAACCAGGATCCCTCGGAGGCGCCATTGACAGTGGTAAGTCGCATAGTGTAGAGAAATCCGTCTTCTGGGTTCTGCTTTGGAGGAATTGTTTGTGGGAGTATATTGGATGTAGTCATGACCTACAAGTATTTTTAGGCTGAAATCGGGACGGTTCAAGCTTTTATCAAAACACAAGGACGTACTGATGTTGTTCGCAGTGGATCAACGGAGGCCCAGGCTCCAGCTCAATGATCGGTCTCTTCCAAGAACTGGGACCATGCGGTATTGGACCAGATCTGAAACCGTTCAACAACCCGTACTCGTGGAGCAATGCAAGCAACATGCTGTTCATCGATCAGCCTACCGATGTTGGCTTCTCCTACTCCATTCCTATCCCAGGCTACTCAGACGGTAGCACCATCGTCCAGCTGCCAAACGCGACTTGCCCAGACTACGCGCAGACTTACGGAACATGCGGAACATACTCCAAGCCAGACCATACTTTGACTGCCAACAGCACAGAAGGTGCGGCGCCAGGCATGTGGAAGACACTGCAAGGTTTCATGGGTGCGTTCCCGCAGTACTCGCGCAACGGCTTCAGCTTCACAACTGAGAGCTATGGAGGCCACTACGGACCCGTTTTTAATGCCTACTTCCTCGAGCAGAACGCAAAGAACATCTCGGGCGCACACAAGATCGAGCTGGAGAATGTGCTTATTGGAAACGGATGGTTCGATCCTCTTGTCCAGTACCAGGCTTACTACAACTACTCTGTTTACCCTGGCAATACCTATGACTACGACCCGTACAACGACACGGTCAAAGCTGAGTGGTACAACAACATGTACGGCCCAGGTAACTGCTACGACCGAACCGTGCAATGCTACGAGACTGGAATCAACTCGGTGTGTGCCAGCGCGGATGATTTCTGCTACTCCAAGGTCGAGAATCTCTACGATATCTACAGTGGACGTGACGAGTACGACATGAGGGAACTGACGCCAGACCCATTCCCCTACGGATACTTCGCCGATTACCTGAATTTGCCAGATGTGCAAAAGGCGATCGGTGCATTCCAGAACTTCTCTCAGAGTTCCAGCACGGTCTCTGCTGCGTTTGGCAACACGGGTGACGATGACCGTCCATCAGGTACCATTGCGGCTTGCCAGGAGCTGCTCGATGCGGGCGTTCAGGTTATGTTGTACTATGGTGATGCGGATTACAACTGCAACTGGCTCGGCGGACAAGTTGTGGCTGACATGATCAATGCGACGGGCTACTCGGAGGCTGGATTCACCAATATCACCACCAGCGACGGCATTGTCCATGGCCAGGTCAAGCAGGCGGGTCTCTTCTCTTTCCTTCGCATCTACGAGTCTGGTCACGAGGTACCCTTCTACCAGCCTCTTGCGTCGCTAGAGATCTTCGAGCGTGCGCTGAAGCAGGTTGATATTGCGACGGGTAAGGAGAAGTGTGATGCCGACTATCTGACTGTGGGCACACCGACCAGTGATTACAGGGAGGGTAATGCTACGATCCAGTTCGAGGTATTGCCAGCAAATGCGACTTACAACACGGCGCTCAATGGACCGGACCCTGAGCCTACTTGGGCAGCAGATGCAGAGGTTGCGAAGAGGGCACTGAGGAAGCGCGATATTGGAAGGTTGGGAAGGCCGATCAAGTCGAGGGGCGGAAAGAGGCCTGCTTGAGTTGGTGGGCGAGTAGCTGGTTATCCGCGGCTCTAATGTATATTCACATGAATGTTGAATGAAAAAGCATATCATGACATGGCCTTATCTCCTGTCTAGGCTATAGTGGGGTTGTAGTACGAGGCCGTGTGGCACTCACACGGCATACATTTGGCGCTAACTAGTGCAATGAGCTTCTAACGTCATAATGGTCTGTAGGATTGCCAATCATCAGCTACGATGTTCACTGCCTTCATCCGTGAATGTATTTTTCCATGGAAGCTCCCTTTTTCTAGACCGTCTAGAAGCACCTGCATAAAAGTTGTAGCGGACCGAGCTCTTGCGGGTAAAGGAAGTCTACGCGAGGCCGTTGCAAGAGCGTTCCAAAAGTCGCGGTTAAGAGGGACTGGTGCGGGAAGACCCCCTGCTAGCGGGCATCGCATGAACCTTGGTGTTGGGAGAGGAGGTCGCATCAGCATTCGCAAGCAGCCACGACGAAGCGCAACCGAGTCAACAGTATCGACCTTCTTTTTGCTTGCAGGAGGCGGCCACGACATTCCGGCACCTGCTTACCTGATTCACACACACGCATACACGTCGAGGACGCAATTGACGTCGTCGCGCCTCACCCGCTTAGCGTTCCGAAAGTCGTGCCACGCGGGAATCGCATCACCAACTTTTCTAGTCGCTGCCGCAGAGCCCCAACAACGCCGCGGTCAACTTGCCCCCGCCCGGTGATGGTGCGCTTCGGTGCAAGGCCTCGCTGAGAGGCACCATAACCGCCCGAACCAGCCCCGCCTGGTAGCAACGACGCTCCCTGCAGTCCGCGTAGCAGCAACGCGAAAGCCGCCGCGCGGCGACACGAAACACAGCAATGGCGCCCTCGGGGACGTCGATGTTCTCCAAGCTCAGGCCCGGCCATGCGAAGCGCAATGCCTCGAGTCTCGCTTCACCAGAGCCTGTTCCAAGCCCCGCCGCCCACGTCCACGCCCACGCCCATAACCCTCTACCCTCGCCGTCGCATACCACACCCGAGTACTTTTCCTCCCCGCGCTTCAACGACAATGCCAGCTACACCTCAGGCTCCCCCATATCGCCCTATCCGCCTCAGTTACCGCCCATCACACGCGTCGCCTCGAAGCTCGACAAGTCTGTGTCGCCCAACAGCTCCCAATACACCACCAGTCAGCACTCGGCAAGCACTGGGGGCGGCAGCAGTAACATGGCACAGGACCGCAGCATGCTCTCCCCGCCCCAAAGGACACAGGGCCACCTGTCTCCTGGCTATGAGAACAAGCCGCTCTCTGCGCGCTCAAACGCTGGAAGCACTCCCACGAGTGCGAATCGACCAACACAGAACGTGCCACAGAAGACTGAACCCGCGCCATCGTCTGAGACACCTCCCCAATCATCCTCACATCTAGCACCCTCCGTCATATCCCCCAGCTATACCAACTTCTCCAAGTCACAAACGTCGCTATTGAGTGGCATCAGCGACAAACTCACAGGCAGTTCCAAGGGCACCTCAACACCAACAGCAGCCCCTAGCAAGTCAAAGTCGAGACTGACCCTGCGCAACCCAATGTCGCTTCTCATGCGACGAAGGTCAGGACAGACCCTGGACCCTCTCGCCGACGAATCGCTTGTCACTCAACGATCGCCGTCGAATGTCCCCCCCATGCCCGACAACTACGACCCCAGTATTCGCGGAAACATCAGACATGACTTCGACGCGCCCAGACTAAACCGAGGCTACTCCTACAACAACGCGTCAGAGGGAGGGGAAGCGCAGGAGGAGATTGCTCGTGCCAGCCCACCAAAGATCGAGAAGGAGCACACACCAGTGTTCCGTGAGCACTTTGACGATGACACCAGCTACGAACAGTCGCAAGCCGCCATACGAGCAGAGCAGCTAGTGAACAATGACTTCCTCGCAAGAAACTCAGTACAATTCCCTCCACCTGAATGCTCAGCACCCCCTCCACCACAACCCAAAAACTCGCCGCCGCTGCTGCCGCGTCCTCCTCCACAAGCGTCTCCACCACCTCGACCGTCGTTTCAGGGTTTTGAGAACGGATCCTCAGTGTTATCACCTGTACAAGAGTCAGAGAACCCCCTGGACACCTCTACAGATGTTAATCCACGGAAGAATAAGTCGACCAAATCACCGCCGCCCCCTGCACGATCGAGGGCAACGTCTGTTACAGACCCATCTTTCCAGCCAGCGGGGCTACCAGCACATCTTAGCAGTCGAGCGTCTAGGTTTAGCTTTCAAATATCTGGAGGGCTGGATTCCGCGCAAGAGAAGATGCTCGAGGAGCGACACAAGGCCAAGGAGGCAGAGAAGAAGCAGGCGCGGAACTCTACCAACTCGGTTGAAGATGAGTACGACGATTATGGCATGGACGATTACGACGACATGGATGGCGGCTTTGACGAAGAGATACCAATGCTTGGTGAGGAAGACGAATTTGGCGGCGGTCTAGGAAACCAAACGCTGGACTCTGGCGTCAACGCCTTCGATTTCTCATCTCTGTCGATACAGCAGCAGAACTTGAACGATAACACGAGTCCCATGAATATGATGCAGATGCCTGTTGACATGAACGGAAACCCTATCGGTTTTGCCATGTCGCAGGAGATGCTTCAGCAGTATCAGATGTCCATGATGGGTGGTCAACCGAATCAACAGGGTATGGCAAATATGCAGGCTTCGGGATGGAACCTAACAAGCCTTGCGGGTAAGCCTGTTGAGCCTTCTCCAGTCGAAACCCCTGGGACATCCGAAGATGCGGCGCCTTCAGATGCAAAACAACAGAACTTTGTAAATCTCGATCTCGATGACGACATGTACTTTGACGACGGCCTCATCGGCGACCAGGACGACATTGAGCCTACAGAATTTGACGAAAATGTCTTCGACGACCCTAACGGGCCACTATACGAGAGGAAAGTTAAGTTTGCTGAAGACGAGTTGTCGCCCACTACTCACCAGTCGCGTGTGCTTGATGCCTTGAATTCGGAAACAGGTTACGAAGCGGATGATGACACCGTGCCAAAGCACTTCGAGAAGTCGGAACCTTCACTTGCGCACAAGACTTCGATCGCACAGCAGCGGCCTGTACCCAGCCTCGATAACCTCAGCGCATATCACAGTGCGCTCGCTGATGCAGCACAACGCGCTGAGGCTGCCGGCCGCTTCACTAGAAAAGCGAGTGTGGATGCTGGTCAGACTAGTTTTGACGTTGACGATCAGCCCTCACCCAGCCATTCGCGGCCTAGCCTTGTTCCTGACGACGGGCGCTTTAGTGTAGATACCATCAGCTTCCCGCAGGACGATGACATCTACGGTATGAGCTCTGGCTATGTGGACGACTACGACTACGACTACAGCGACTTTGACTCGGCCATGGAAGATGACCCAATCATTGCCGAGGCCAACGCTGAAGCCCTGGCTTATGACGATGAGGGATTCTACGGCCAGGAGTTTGGTTTCTACGCATCTGGAAACGGCGAGTCGCCCAGCGCTTGGGGTGGCTTCTTTGGGCCATCTGGTCTTGGTCGTACGGTAAGCGGTCGCAACGCTGTGCGAGAACCAAACTTGACGCCCATCACGGAGCGCAGCGAGTACAGCACGCGCAATTCATTCATCAGTCTCAATCACTTCCGCGACGGACAACAGCCAATGTCAAGTCCTGGCTTAGCGCAGCTTGCTCGTATGAGTCCGTACGGCTTCCCTGGGCCTGAGGAGGAGGGAGATATGAGTCTCGACGCACTGCTCAAGCTGCGCAAAGGCGCCTTCGGTAGCAGTGTTGCCAGTTTACCAGTCAGTGCCGCCAACAGTCCGCGCAACTCTTCTCCCATGGGCATGCAGTTCGTACCCCGGACATCGAGTCCTGTCGGTAATCGCATGAGAGAGCAACCCTCTGAGTCGCTTGAGAGCTCATACTCGTCGAACAACATCTCTTCTGATTACCAGAACGACGACCAAGACAATGAAGAGGACGACGAGGGACTCATGGATGCGGTTAATGGCGCGTACGAGTCTGGTCGCTCTAGCGAAGATGATTACGACGGAGACGAACGACCCGAAAGTCCTACTCTCACAGCTAGCGATTACAATAGTCTCTCCAGTCCGACTGGATATGGCGTTGGAAACGAAGCACCACTTTTGCCTCCCATTTCGGAACTATATGCCCAGCACAACATGATGAGTCTAGCAATGTCCCCAAGTGGCATGTCCGCCACTTCACCGTCCAACATTTCTCTCCCAGTATCGCCATTCCCAATGCCGCTCACTTCACCATACCTACCGCAACACCAAAATCGGCCACCTAATCCGCCTTCAATAGACACCTCGCTCTCTTCGCCATCCGCACCTACCGTTTCCACATCTGGTGGACCACGGAGACAGAGCATGGGTCTTAGTCCCATCTCAAACTCCTCTCCCATTACACCGAATGGCGGAAGCGGTGGCGGCTGGAACCGTGGTCATAGCAGGAAGGGTAGTGCAGCGGATAGCGTGACGTATGTACGCGAACACGACGAAGCTGGAGAAGGGAGATGGGTACTAGAACGCCGACGCACGGCTGAAAGCGGGGAACTGGAGTTGATTGGTAGGGAAATTGTGGAAGGCGGACGGATATGATAAGACAGGCTGACATGAAGCCGCCCTTTTCTCCTAGTCTTCGGAGATATATGGACTAACTGGTAGAAGGAGGTTCGGAGACAGGATTTGCATCGATGGCGTTTTTTTTCTAGCATGGAGCGTTTTTTGCTGCTGTGTGTACGTGGCATTTCGACTTGCCCTTTTTGAAAGCGATGAAGAAAGAGAGGCTGGTTCCTTTTTTGACGAAGATGAGCGGATGAATGATTAATCAGATACCTCGATTATTACAATCATGAATGTTTTTTGCTTGTACTTTGTCATTCTTGAGAGTAATGTTGAGAATAGCACAGCTCTTATCACAACGTGTCTGCAGTTCTCTTCTCCCGAATCAATATCCTCGCAGCCAAATCCGGAAACACTAACTCGTCATGAACCTGATTCTTCGGTCTTCCTTCGCCTGGGCGAAATGCAAGTTCGTACTTGGTTAAGAAGTGAACCACAATCATCTTGACCTCGCTGGCAGTGAAGAAGCGGCCTGGGCACGCATGAGGCCCGTATCCAAAGTGCAGCCACTCAGTGTCTATGCTAGAGAACTGGTGACGGTTCTCTTCGCCTGGAACAAGACGCTTGTAGTAGTAACGCCATCCGTCGAAGCGCTCTGGGTCGTGAACGATCTGAGGATCCGCTGATATGGAACTGGCAGCCACACAGACTTGTGTGCCTTTGGGGATGTGGGTGCCATCGGAGAGGGTTAGTGACTTGGCGGCATAGCGTTGGAAACTCACTGCAGTACATGAGGATTTGCTTATGGATCTTGTTGTTTGGGGACACAAGACTTACGTAGTTGCGGAGGATTCACCCGCTGAGATTCTTTCATGAAGCTGTCCAGTCTGCGCATTCGAAATAATGTCTTCTGACTTATTTCGCCGTCTTCTTTGATCACAGCGAGAGCTTCTTCAAGTATAGGCTCGATGTATTCCGGATAAGCGCGGAGGTCATACAACACTTGTGTTGCCGTTAGTGCCGCAGGCGGAATCGACGCTTGGCTCATGATCAACGCTCGGTGTGCTATGTTGGTAGGATCGCTCTCATTCTCGGTTTTTGCAAGGTCCATCATCCACTGTACAAAGTCGTTTGGTTTCACGTAACCTTGGAGACTCTCAACTTGCTCCTTTCGACGTCGTTCCACAAGGGGGACGATAAGACGTCGAGCTTCTTTGACACAGTGCTTTGCTCCCCAACGGACTGGTAAAAGATGGACGATGAAGGGGTGAAGTAAGGTCGGGAAGAGTCTAAGTATAATGCCTGTCGGAATAGCTGTTTCTGTGTACTTGATCGATGCTTGTAGCCACGCTTCATTCTTGCAAAGGTCAGGTCCGACGATAAAGTGAGCGGACATGCGGGTGGTGATCCGGTTCAGAAGGCGCATCAAATCTACCTCCTTCCATTCGTCTGATATAATTTGTTAGGTCGTATTCGCAGTGGATAGTGATTTCATACCTTTGCATTCAGGCGTTTCGTCAGACGTAGCGGCCTCAAGTTCCTTCTGCATGATGGGTATGAAGTAATGTAATGCTGGAGTCAGCTTGCTCAAGACGGCTTTAGTCATGATGCTGCTATCTACTGTAAGCTGCAACATCGAATACTTGCCCACAAAGTTCTGAATGCACGAAGGTCAGTGAAAAAGCCCGTTGAGTGAGTTCGTTTACACTCCCAATATCACGTTTTGTAAGGTGATCCTTTACAGTGTAAGAAGAGCAGACTTACTCGATACAGCCCATGAGCAAAACTCAGTTCTGACTCAGGGAAAGCTTTGAGCTCGTTCAAGTATCTGTTCGAAACGACAAGGAGGTCGATATCGGCACGAAGAAGTCTGAACATGGATGCTTTGCCCTGTACAGCGAACCTTAATTAGTCCTTTCTTGCCAAACACGGAACGCCTGTTTTGAGGAGACTGACTTGGCTGTATCCTTGGGCAAGTATGGATGAAGCATTCTGAAGAAAACGGTACCGTAGTAGGAGGATCGGTTCCAACCATGATCGACGACCGACAATTGGCGCTTTGACATTCTCTGTCCTGTGTATGAAGAAACTGAGCAGGTAAGAGATGATAACGATCCCAATGACAGGTGCACGTATGTCTCCCATCATGATGAAGCTAAGTCAGATTCCAGGTTGCGTGGGTGACCAGCACGAATGGCCTTGGACGACTCATGCTCTCTACAATCTTGCAACGATCTTTTGTAGAGAGAGGTGACGGACAGTGAGATGACCACACGCAATGTCGGTCAGCGAAACAGACACCCAAGACAACGTCCTATGGAGTAAGCAGACCAGGGGCCCACTACATGGCTTTATTTACCTATCAATTAAAGTACCGACGGGAATCAAAATATACTTCTCAGTTCGTATCTACGATCATTCTTGGAAATGACCTTTTCCGTTTCGGCATTTCCCCGGCACCATCACGGTGTCAGCAGCGTGCGTCACCTATGGTTACTAATCACAATTCCCCAATTTTGCTCGACTGAACAATTCACCGAGGTCGACAGTCTTAACAAATACGCCGGTGTTGTGAATTTGGACAGCGCGATCAGACTGCATGCCAGAACACCAAAGGGGACTGAAGCGTTGCACATCAGTTTCGCCACTAGTGTAAGGATACCCACAAATCGTTGTACCCATTTCTGACTCCAACTTCAACGGGTAGACTATGAGTACATCGATATATACAAACGTACACCAACTCGGCCGCAATGGGGACAGAATCTCTACTACTATTGAAAAGTTGGGGTCCTCGACCATTGTGATGGAGACGAGATAATCGCCTGAAGGAGCGTATGCGAGATCGTCGCAGTGGAGACTGCTTATCGCGTATCCATTAGCACGTGAATTGTCTATATGCTCCGAATGCAAGGCACCGACTTTGTCCAATTAAGCCACCGCTCTCTATATAGCACACGCATCTTGCATTTAACGTAAATCAAACGAACAGGAGACTTTGAACCCTCTTTCTGCTTTTTGACAACCTGATTCGTTCAGACATCACACTGAGAACAATCCATAACATCAGGCTTCATGGAGGACCAGATCTTTATCCAGTCTCGTCTTATTGATCCGGATGAGGCCCGCAAGAATGGTGCCTTCACCACCCTTCCTATTCGCATCCACAAGCGAAATGACATTGCCGATGAGACTGCTCGTAGGGTCCTTCGTGATTGGGGTCACCATGTGGGCGACGGCATGGAGAAGAAGGCACTCACATCTTTCAGTCATCTAGGCAATCTGAATGCCTTCACATACACCGAGGCATTGCCGGAGAGACTGGGCGTGTTGTCGTACTTACTCGACCTTGGACTGATCCATGATGGTATGTGCTCCACTGATAATCCTGTTTCAAGACGAGTAACCCTGATGTTGTTCATTCTTCAGATGCCACTGAAGGGATGGGCTTAGAAGATGCTATAGCTGAGCACCATGACTTCGAGCGATCCCTGGACGTTGAAGCGACAGAGGAGGTTACTCAAGGCTCAAGAGCCGACAAGCTCAAGAAGCTTGGCGCTCAAATTCTTCTAGAAGCAGTTCAAATCGACCGCGAGATGGGAATTCACATGTTGGAGATGTACCAGAAAGAGTGGTTGGCCATCGTTGAGAAGAACGACGACAAGGAATTCGATGACTTGGAGGCTTACTACGCTTATCGAAAATGTAATTTTGGAATGAGGTAAGCGTCTTCACTCCATTTACGGGAGATATCGTGGCTGACTGGAACTAGAGCATTCTGGCCCATGGTCGAATATGGAATGGGCTATCGATTAACCCCAAAGCAACACGAACTCATCAGGCATGTAATGGAGCCTATTGAAGAAGCACTCATGCTTACCAACGATTACTGGAGCTGGGATCGCGAATACGAGGATTGGAGAACAAATGGCAACCGGCTTGTCAACGTGGTTGACGTCGTACGGCGAGCACGATCGATACCTATCGACGCAGCTCGAGATATCGTGAAGCAGATGATTATTGAGACCGAGCAAACTTACGTCAAGAGGAAGACCGAATTCTACCGAGAACATCCCAATGTCTCGATAGAGGTGAGGCGTTGGATCGAAGCCGCCGGATGTGTTGTGTCTGGAAGTCATTACTGGGCAACAAGCGCACCTCGTCACCACGTCCGGTTCCGCGAATCGTTTGCACAGGAGAAATCTCCTTTGAACACTACCAGCGACGGCTCTTCCCCAGGAACTTCCAGCGAGACAAGTGCTTTAAGTGATACCTGCTCTAGTAACACCTCATTTGCTACGCTCGTATGCGATAGCCCTGAAGCCAGGGATGTACAGGTAGCGACGAACATGGAGAATGGCAAACGAGGGCAGAAGAGGAACATCGAGGATGAGTCTCGTCAAGACGGCCCAAGCAAGAAGGTCCATACAGAACTCGGTTGGGAGATGCCGAATGACATGGCGGTTCAATCCCCATGCCATTATATCAAATCCTTACCTTCGAAAGGGGTCAGATCGATGCTCATCGACGCTTTGAACGTATGGATACAAGCTCCAAAGAAGTCTGTCAAGGCTGTAGAGGAGCTGATCCGCTTACTGCACAACGCGTCGCTAATCCTCGACGACATCGAAGATGATTCACCTCTTCGTAGGGGTAGAGCAGCCACACACCTGGTTTTTGGGCATTCCCAAGCAATCAACAGTGCAAACTTCATGTTTGTCCAGGCCGTTCAGCACGCACGCAAGCTTTCTAACCCGACGGCGGTGGACATCGTACTGTACGAGCTGGAGCGATTGCATCTTGGACAAAGTTGGGATTTGTTCTGGAAGCACAATCTGCTCAGTCCGAAAGAGGAGGAATACATGAGAATGGTGGATAGCAAGACTGGTGGTTTATTCCGTATGCTGTTGCAGCTTATCGTCGGTGAAAGCGCACAGGAGCCCAAATGCGATGTGGAAAGGCTGATCCGGCTGATGGCGCTGCTGGGCCGGTTTTTCCAAGTGCGTGACGATTACGTTAATCTGAAGTCAGACACATACGGCAAGCAAAAAGGGTTCTGTGAAGACTTGGATGAGGGCAAGTTCTCGTATCCAATTGTACATTTCCTGCAACATGCACCGGAAATGCTACGAGCCCACGTCATCAGCATATTCCGGCAGCGACCGAGTGGTGGTACAGGACGAGAGACGACGCCAATGGCGAGGGAGGTCAAGCAACATGTGTTGGGTCTCCTCGAGTCTGAGGGAACGTTCGAGGCTGTGCTGAAATTGCTCCGTCAGATGGAAGCTGAGATCATCGCCGAAATTGGGCAATTGGAAGAAATCACTGGCGAAAGCAATCCTATGCTGCGGCTTGTGATTGAGGGCATCAGCGTGCGAGGGCTGGCGTAAAGAGTTGACCTTTAGCGTACGATCGTGTGTGTGTTCTATAGGCAAATTGATTGGAACGTCAGTGTATACGACGTATTGTTCGTGAAAGAGTATTGACGTGTTTGAGCCTTTTCCACAAGTGCAGATGCACTTACGCTAATGCGGGGGCTACGTACCCACCCCCGCTTTTCGCTCCACTTGTAGGCCTTCGCCCCTTCCTTCCATCCCCGTCACCATCGCCATTGAATCAACCTTCGCATGGTCGAGGTCTGCTGAACTCTACTACCCCTTCTCCTCTCTTCGCTCTTCGAACACTGTGCGCTTGACCTAAGCCGCCTCACTGCTGGTTGGCGATCGCCACACGATGATGGGCAAACATGCCACGACGAACAGCCTTGATAACAATCAGAATACTACATGTCGCGACCTGTGCGAACGGATGATCACTACACTTCCAAGGGAATTGAGGGATATTATCTACGAGTACATCTTGTGCGATTCGTTATACAAGGATGTTGCTGCAACGACGAACGAGCCAGCGTCTTCTCAAGCGGGCCTCGATCACTGGCATGTAGAGAAGGTTGGCGACACGGCTTCGAAAGAGCTGCTTGAAGTTTGGTATCGCTCGGCCCGGTTCCACATGGGCGAGCACCTCGGATATATCGAACGCTTTTTATCTTCGAATGTAGCTCGTCTAGGCATACCCCGCCGCCACTTCATCACGAAGATTAGTATTACCTTCAAGCAGGGGGATGTAGTTTCTTGTAAAAACCCACTGGGGGAACAATTTTCAGACATTTCCACGTCTCGCCCACGTCTATTGGAACGACTAGAACACCTTTTCCTGTTGAAGCGCGGCGCCTCGATTCATCTCTATGTGATCATAGGCCGTATGGCCTATTGCCATGCGAGGCTCTTAGAGCTATCCACGCGTCATGAGAGGAAAATCTTGCGCAAGGTCACCACCGCGATGTCCAATGTTCTTTCGCGTCTGTGTGCTGAGGGCTACTGCCTTGCTACGGGTATCCATTTTCCCTCCGGACGGCCGGACAAATACCCACTATATGACTTATGCTCAAGAGATCCACTCCTTCATGAGGATGACTACTTTGCCAACGAAGACGGTTCCATTTTAATATGGCGGTATGGTTTTTGGATTCGACCGCGAGAAAAAGACACATGGCTGATGGGGATTAGGAAGCGCGTATCAGCCACTCCCCCAATGTTACATTTGTAGCATATCGGTCGAATTCCTTTTCGCATGTTGCCGTGCCAAGACGCTACCGGGACCCCTGTGCTGCTGCCTAAACCCAAAGGACCCTCACATCACCTTTACCTTTCCATTGTTGTCGTATCATCCGTTGCGCTCTTTGCACCGATAACGAGATGTCTCAAGATACTACCGCCAAAGAGGTCCTGAAGCTATACCAACAAGCTGTCGCGTATGTTTTGGCGAGCCATGTTGATGCTAGCTTCCACTGAACCAGTCACCAGTGCACGACGACGTATTCATACGCGCTTTCCCGATCAGGACCCGGAAGCCATCACTCGACTCACAAAAAGACTGAAAATCTTCGATTTGTACGGACAAGCGTCGTGTCGATACATATGTCAAGAAGTCCTTCGCTCTCTACCGCCCGAGTTGTGTGATGTGATCATCGAGAATGTCATCGACCACAATGACGCAATCGTGAAAGTGAACCGAATTTGCGAGCCAGTATACGCAAGTACGAGAGGTCAATCGCTAGAACATCACTGGAAAGTCGAATACGTTGGAAGACTTATGCTGGCGAGGATGATGACTGTCTGGTACAGAAATAGTAACTTTGTGATGCATGGGACGCAATATTGGAGGGAAGACTGGAGAGATTATTCTTTGCGTGTTTTCCTCAACGAGGAAGCACCTTGTCTATACATTCCACGCTATAGATTGATCACGAAAATCTCAATTACGATACATGCAAGTAGCTTCACCGTGGATCGAGAGCAGGGGAACCGAAACTGGAATGGTGCAAACTCAGCGGATTTGCGAGCAACATGGGGACAGGTGGTTCAGGGCTTTGAAGCATTGTTTCGGTTAAGGAGCGGTGCGTCGATACAGATTGTCATCCACGAGTCAGAACGCATTGGTCTGGGAGACCTTCTGCTAGATGACATTCTCGCAATATGCACCGCTCCGATTCTGGAATCTATGAGTCGCTTGAAAAGAGCTGGGTACATTCTCAACACCACCTTGCTTATTGGCCAACGGAGTTTTGGGTATTCTTTGTGCGAGCCCAACTCGCTTGACGAAGACGCTACATACGTTCCTGCAGGTGGAACAGGGTTGATTTGGAGGCGAGTAGTCGCTCCAGACGCAGTTCATCCCTTACTAACGTCAATGTAGGTCCTGTCAACCGAAAGTTTCTGTCACTTGGTACCAAGAGCTGCAGCTTGTTAGATGGTGAGCAAATGATGAATCTTGATCGGTCGATTTTGGTGCTTCGAAAGAACGGGCTGTCTTACTGGCCATGTGGTAGCCGGTACCGCATCCTTCTGTGAGCGCATCCGTGCTGTTTGTATTCGGGCAATACAAGCGCCAAGTTCTCTCACAACCCACTATCATAACAACCGTCATCAGTATATTCACGAGTCTCCGTCGGAAGATCCCTTTGACACCAGTCAGTGCTTTCACGTTTGCTTCGTGTGCGTCGTCACCAACATTTGCTAGTCTCATTACGTAGCAGAATGACATGTCACGTCTCTACTAGCACCTCGACACAGGATGCTACCATGGTCAGAATTGCTATCACAAGCTTAAGACTGCTGCAAGCGAAATGAATCTGCGCTAATTTGGGGCTACAGTAGAACTTCAAGCAGTCGTTCAGAGTGAAACTCCTCAGTGTCGTCTCGTATATGGATACCTCGCAAACTTCTAGAACGCTGTATAGCTCCTCGCTAAAGCCCACTCATAGCTTTAGTAGGAATAACTGGCGTGGTAGTTGTCTTAGGTACCGAGACAATCCACTGCGTCAACAAGTGAGTCTCTTGCATACTACTCACCGTCTCCGTCACTGGCCCCATCTCGCCCAATCCAGGAACCACAGTAGTCAAAACAACGTACGAAGTTCTTGTAGTGTCTCTCAAACCAGCATCAGAACTTGGATGAAACATCCCCGTTCTCATAACGTTGGCCAAGAAGAAGGCGCATGCTATCGTGCCACCTACAACAACCAGAAAACAGAATGTACCTATAGCAATTCGAAGTTTGTTGCTGCGCCAAAGACGATTCCATAGCGGCTGCTGTGGCATGCGGTACGGAAGGTGCTCAGGGAAGCTTTTACGGGATTCGGGATCTGTCGACAAATTTGCTGGGGTTGAAGCTGCCACCGGCAGTACTTCCTTGGCATTAGCGCCTTCTCCGATGATAGAAGCTCTGGTTTGCCTGCTATCAGACAGGTTTAGACCGTCGTGCATGCTTTCGGCACGTTGCCAGAACGGGTTTGTATTGGGAGCCATAACACTGATGATGTGACGCGGTTAGGCAGCAGTTGAGATTGGATGGAGTTGAGAGCCGTTCTGCTAACTTATATGAGGGTAGAAAGGCTGAAAGAGTCATTGCTAGCTCGCTGTAGGTTACATGATGCGTCCACACCTAGTACTGTTGGCTCACAGTGTCGCTCTAAGACGATAGAAAGTGAATGCGGTCCAAGTCATAGCAATCTCAAGAACTTCGCAGTCACCGTCGGTAAGCACACATGGGTTCTCTTGATCCACATGGCTATATGTGAGCGGAATATGACTTATCTGTCCAGATATTGAACAAATTGGTTAACTTTTCATTAGGAATGACTTCGCTGACAAAAATATACCGAAGGTCTGAACCTGGTCTTCTGACTACGACCTGTTCCATCACAAAGACGAGAAGAAAGCATTAGCATCCGTAAGCGGACATATCACACACGTGTATCCTCCGGTCCACTTTCCACACACCGACCGTTTTCCTGGCATATCACAATTTCCCCTACATTCTTCTATCGTTGGCCAACTACCTTTACTTGTACAGGTCTCCTGCGGAGAAGCCACTGTCGTGAGACCAGTAGGTGCTTTGATGAAAGACACCGTGGCTGTAGGTGTCGTTCGACCCGGGGTCGTTTGAACAGTCGTTATGGTGTACGTCGGTTCTGGTGTTACTGTAACAGTACCACCTGTTGATGTGGATGTCGTGATAGTCGTCTGGTAGACGGTGGTATGCTCATTGGGAAGCTTGGACATACCGATTTGAATGCCGGTTAGCAGGGACATAATGATCAGCCCCAGGCCAAAAAATAAGCTGAAAGCAATCAAAAACCATTTGTTACTGAAACACCCGCTGGCTCTGGCAAAAGAACGAGGTGGAAGCTGGGCTTCTGAGTCATGGGGGAAGTGAGGGTGATTCGAGTCAACGTAGTCTGCAGGAACGCCGGTCGGCTGAGGAGGGATTTTGGATAGACCAGTACTATTGCGTTGAGGAGACATATATGCTGCTGTTGAAGGGCTTCGGTAGGACTTGGCGTGTTGTTGTATCGTGTAGATATCGATCTTCGTGTAAGAACTACTTGAATTACAGCAGGGATGTTATGTAGAGGCTACCACTGTAGTGAACAAAGAGTCATAATATAACATTATGAAAGTAGAACGTTAGCATCATTGAGGTCGCACAGGGTAGGAACGATCTAGACATGACGAAAGTCGTGAATGATAGCTACTCTTTCACGCCGCTACGTAGCGAGAGGGGTTTGTGACAGTCCGAGCATTCCTTTTTATCAGACTACATGGCGCTTGGTAAGTGCAATGACCGTCTGCGATGACGCACTAGTGTTGCGACTTATGGTATCGTAGTTGAAATGTAAACTCAAAAAGCGTGATTTTCAAGAAGTTTTGGAAGTGTTTGCGATGATCAGAGAGGCGGGAAATAGGTAAAGAAGACGAAAAAGACGCCGTGTGTTGAGGAAGTGAAGTGCAAGGAGGCTTGTTATAGATCAGCGCAGGTGCTTATCTGGCAGTTTCGGGGACACTGCGGTCAGACCCAAAGTTTCCTATATTGCCCGCAAGACATACTTTGAATGAAAACCATGCAGGCGACACATCAGATTGTGATCGCATAGCAAAGGTGATCAGGTCAGTAGCGGAAGAACAAAAGAGCCCAATGCCACTCCGCCCATCTTTCAACGAGCCAAATGAGCCAGTGATTCTGGGATGATTGTTCAGCCGAGCAGGAACACCAAGCTTCTGACCGAAGATCCACTTATCCCCGCCCCAACACACGGACGACGCATGTCGGTGTATTTCTCGATGGTCGATCCGACTCTCCCATCAACGAAAAAGAACGGTGAATAAACAGTCGTTCACACAATAAGCCGGCTTTGCGTTTGCATTCACGCTAACGTTGAACGCTGTCATCACACAAAACCTTCCGCATGCACCAATCTGATAAAGATCGTATGGAGTCACGAAGGCATTCACGATGACAGTTCACCTTTCAAGACGTTGATGTGTGTTCTAGTTGCTGCGGATCATGGATTCCAATGAGACTTTCACCGAACCTGTCTCACATCTTGCGTACCCATTTTCTCTTCCTTCGATTGCGACCGCGGTGTTAAGTTGCTTTTTGTGCCTTTGCTACCTGTATTCCCTTGGCAGAGGGCTTAGTACAAACGCGACTTGGTATGCGCTTACGGAAGATGCACTGTCGAATCACTCAAAGGCGAGGGAACAGTGGATGACGAATGCTCAGGAGCTATTGTATGGAGGCTTGAAAAAGGTAACGAAGATTGAGATGCTGGTAAACGTCCTGTGCTAATATACACTCAAGATAAAGGGCGCTATCGTAGTTACTTCCCCAATTGGGCCGACGATTTTCTTGCCAAATTCGTTTGCAGGTGAGATTCGCAACATGAAAGAACTCAGCTTTAGTCGATCTATTGTAAAGGTACGTTACGCTACTCAGCTTATGAACATCACTGACTTCGTCCTTGTCTAGAACGCTTTGGCTCGCGAACCAGGATTGAACCCAATTCTGGCGATTGACTATCATGGAGTCATGCAAGAAGTTGCCCGACTCGATCTTACTCGCTCTTTAGGTATGGAATACAAGTTTCCGACTGTTTACTTGGCTGCTCAGATCGATAGATTCCGTCACTGAAGTCATGAATACCGAAGTCGGAGCCGCCCTCCTAGACATGCTAGGAGACATTTCCGATTGGAAGACTGTGGATCTGAAGCCTCTTATTCACCGCCTTGTTGCTCGCATCTCCAGTCGTGTCTTCCTCGGTCCTGAACTCTCCAACAACGAAGAATGGTTGGACATTGCCTTATCATACGTCACCCAAGCAAGCATGGTGACGCGCAAGCTCCGTGGCTTGCATCCACTATTGCGACCTCTGGCGCGGTGGTGGTTTCCCGAACTAGGCATCTGTAGAGAGCAAGTTGACAAAGCGCGGAAAATCATCACTCCACTCGTGCAGGATCGTCTGCAGAGAAAGGCCAACGGGCAAATCACCGAGAAGACTGCTGACATGTTAAGTTGGCTGGATGATAAGGCAAAGGCGAAAGGTGTGAAAATTGACTTCGCAGAGTTTCAACTCCTGCTCGTGGTGGCGGCAGTACACACGACCACGGAGACAATTGCAATGTTCATGGCTGATCTGATTGAGAACAAAGAGGCGATCTCGCAGCTTAGGGAGGAAATCATTTCGACGTTCTCGACTTCTGGCTGGAAAAAGACATCGTTGGCTGCAATGACGTTGCTTGACAGTGCGATCAAGGAATCACAGCGATTAAATCCCATCACGGACCGTAAGTGGCATGTCTAACTTCGTTGACCATTCTTCTGCTCACGTCTATAGTCTCAATGCAACGCATCGCTTTGACCGATGTCACTCTTTCTGACGGCACAATCATCCCTAAAGGTTACAGACTGGCTGTTGAACACCGCCTTCGAGACCCAACTCTGTGGTCCAATGTCGATGAATTCCAATCGGACCGTTTCCTCAAGTTGCGCGATACTGATCGAAGCAAGTGGAATTTCGTCACTGGTTCGCCCGAACACCTCGGATTTGGCTACGGGAAACATTCATGCCCGGGACGGTTCTTTGCTAGTAACGAGATCAAAGTCATCGTCATACACATGCTTCTCAAGTATGATTGGGAATTTACTGATCAAGGAAGATTGCCAAACGGGTTGTCTGGAACAGACCGCTACATGGATCCGAGGCAAAAAGTCATGCTAAAGAGTAGGAAAAAGGAAATCAACCTAGGTATACCTTAAAACGGGATTTGTGACGGTTCAAGATCTCACCGCGCCAACCATGTAGGCACAATTGTGATAATCTGAGTCACCTAGAACTTTGAAGATTTCTCGCTGTTCAACTCACTGCCAATTTCTCTACCATATTCAAAGCGGTAGCCGATGGTAGACGACTTCTCTAGTGTATGGTGGATGTAGGCTTCATCCTAAGTCGCTGTATCTCATAGTGAAGGGGATAGTAATCACAAGTGAAGAAATGAGGCAGCCTAGGAGAAATGATCAATGCACAACTTCGAGACAACTGATGGCATTGCTAGGGATACGTTCATGGTCTATTATGACTGAGCTAAGCACCAATCATGCGTCGAACCCATGATTTCCCTTCCTTGGTTATTCTAGCAACTGCATCCGCACTCCTTGGGGTTGTGGCAATTCTTTCCACAAGACTGCTGCTGGTTGCATTGACCCCAGTCAGTGCATCCGTTCCAGTCTCCGCTTCCATCACCACCCGCAGTCCAGCACCACTGTCCACCATCACCACAGACCTTCCAGCAGCGCTTTTTACCAAGATCGCATCCGTATGGTGAGCCTGACCAGCAACCACGTTTGTCGAGGGGACTCTAAAAGATGAAGGAGTCAGTATCTGCATATTCAGGTGTGTCTTAGAAGCAGATGACTGCGATGACCTCTAACTGAAAGTATGCTGAAAATGCACCTGGACATGCATGACATGAACTGAAATGTATGTCCAGGATCTTGAGCTGAAGGGCAAAAAAGAGGAACGCAAATCAACGTACAGCTTTGTCGGTGAAGGACAACCAAGGTGTGTTGGCGGGTGGGACGGAGGAATTTTCAAAGTCGGGAGCCTCGCCTTCGTTGCCGGCGTAGGGAGCTGCAAGAACTCCAGCAGCTTGGATGGCAAAGAATAGGATGTCGGTGAACTTCATGTTTGCGGTTTCTTGTGAACAAGGTGAGTCTGACCAAGGGAGTGATTGATATGAGCAAGGTGGTGGGAAAGAATGGAGAGGGCTGCTCAAGAGTTATATACTTTTCTCTTCAACCTGACCTCGTATTCTAGCATCTGCTAATCTGCCTAGCAGTGCTGCTCTACGCCTTGTTGGTCGTAAGTTTGACCACTGCCCTATTGTCCTGTGTAACGATGATCTGCCAAGTATCATGACTTTGGGTCCACAGGGTCCACCATAGGTAGGGCGCCTGAAAGACATAATCGCTCCTAATGCCATTCAGGCTGAATCTAAACTCCATCAAACTCTGTTGGTAAGCCCGACTGGAGCTTCGCTCATAGCAGTGGATTCACTGAGGTCTCGAGGACGCGTTTCATGCTTGATCATAGCAAGATAGTGTGGTGAATCGACTCGTGCTGCTCTTGGGGTATGGAGCGGCTATCGTGTTTCGTGAAATGCAAGAGACTCTGTTGACGCACTCAGCTGGCAGGTGCCTGCGTTGCTCTAGCGCACTGCGAGCTGGAGATGTCACGGTCTAGACTACCCATGTTAAAGTGCGTCGATTACACCGGTGGTAAATAGAGCTCCAATTAGGAATTACGCCGAAAGTGCTCGTTTGCCTTGCTATGACCACCTTCAAACTGCGTTGGTGAGGTCTGAGCGGTCTGGCGGGTACCTGTGGGGCGTCCCGTACATTAAGACGGAAGACCAATGACCGTTACGCCACAGACCTCAGGGTCCAGCCCCTAGGGCGACACTTCTTTGTCGTAAAATCACCTTCCAGCTACGGTAGGTGCGTTTGCGGCGGCATGCCGGGTAGCTAGGCGCGGGGCGTTCCCAGGGTCCAAGGGTCCACGGGTCATCATTGCGGCGTGCCGAGGTCGAAAAGAAAACGCGCAATGAAACATCGCACTGGAACCTCGCAATTCGCGTCCGCCCAGTCTAACAAGCGCAGTACAGACGGGCCGTCGCTGGAATACGTCGCTTTGAGATGGGCTGAGTACCACTACTGCTGCGTCTATGTCAGCCCAAACTGACCTCAACTGAACTGCGCACCCTTCGCAAGACTACCGATGAGCACCTCATTCACCTTCTCTCCCAATGTCTCAATCACTCACCATGGATGTTGTTGTCCATGAAGATGGAACCACTCCTGCTATCGACCCTCCAGCAATTAACATATAACCGATCTAGCGGCGTGCTGGTACCATCTATGATCTGTCTGGAAGAACTCTGCGGACGAGACGCGGCAAAGCTACACCACGCTACGACACTCGTTCCAATCTCTCAAAATGAGACAGGGGAGGAGAATAGCATACAATTGTACAATCAGTACATAGAGATACGGTGTTTTGACGCGACGCTTAGCTGCGTGCGTGAGATGGCCAATCAGCTGCTAGCTTGTCAGTGTGGCCACGAAAGCCACAAGCCATTCGCCTTCCAAGACTTTTGTGGCGGCGAGCTACGCGTAATGCGGGGATCCGCTAGCGCGATCCCCCGATCAATGCGATTGTTCGTGCTGTGCAACCAAATTTTGATCGTGTTGTTTGCGTAGAGCTTTTGGCCTCTCAATTTCTTCTCTTGATCATGGAACACGGCGTCGTATAGCAATCAAACATGGACTCCATCTTGAGAACTGCGCCGGACGCAATGGCTGCCCACGCCTAGGTTGAACAGCTTCCAGGCATAGGAAATGTCTGACGAGAACACAGTCTGCAGCAGCGCCTGGATCGGTACCAAAGAAAGAAGCTGATACGAACACAAGTGCTAATAGAGAATGAGTATCGCATGCGTAAAGAACTTGAGGAGATTGAAACCAAGAGGAGGTTGCTAGAGACAAAGCTTGACAACAATTTAAAGCAACGGCAGCAGATCGACCCGGAGGCTGAAGAACTCATACAAGAATTGATTACAATGGGACGAAGTCGATCCTATCCTATATTCGAAGCAATGCAGCAGTATCTGCCACGCGAACTTCGCGACATGATCTACAAACATGTCATCGGCCCCGCCGAGTGGCATAACAATAACCACACTGTTCCTATACTGGAGTCAGATAATCCCGCCCGACCATACGTGGTTTTGACTGGTTCTATGCAAGATCTCTGGGGCATTCTTCGACGTGACGGTTATATCACCCACCAGACGCGACGGGAACTGCTAGAGCGCTGGTACAAGGCGTGCACGTTCGACTTCGCAACAGATGTGCATCTCATCCGCGCGTTTTTCGAATGAGATGCAGCGCTCTATAGATTCCTGAAATTTGGTTTTCCGGCCCTTAATCTAGTTTGTCAGTTAGAGATCGATGTCCCTCGTGATGTCCTGGTGGATGAAGCAAGGTTTAATGAGGCTTTTGGCCGAACTCTGCGAGATCTTGCTCTGCTGAAACGACCAGCACGCCTACGACTAAACCTTGACACTTCCTTCAAAATTAGCACACCTCCAAAGGCATACGAACCTTCCAGGTTTAAATATCTTGGCGAGCCGGACCCGATTGCACGAGGCGAGGTATTCAAAAAGCTTTCACAACTGCTCCCAAGCTTGACAGGTTGGAAAATTGAGTTGGTAGTTGAGGTGTGGACCTTGCCCCAAAAGCACGACATGGACAACATCATTGGCCATGGCAAGCTTGGCGACGACCTGTGCAGTGGTTTTGAAGTGCAAATGATCCTACCTGGGTTGGCAGAGTTCTCGCACTCTCAATGGGAATGTTTGTTCCATAAGGTACGTCATGATCTCGCAGTATCACAATCCACGTCGCTGACTTTGTTGCTTAGCTTTGTTATGAGCTCGACCAGTATTATGACAATACACTGATCGAGTTTTACGATGGAGACAGCGACTACCCATTAAGTGGTGGCTCAACTAGCTCGGAGTATGGAACCGAAGATGACAGCGATGAAGACTACTGGGAACAATCAGAGCTTACCAAGGATGAAATGTTTGAACTGAGAGTTGAGCTCGAGCTGTGTGCGGCCGAGGATCTTACCATACCTCCGATGCACTAATATTAGCTAGACAGGCACGGTGAAGTTGGAACGCCCCCATACGCATTCGGGCTGAATCAACCGCTTCATAAGCTTTCCCCATATTTGAAGCTCCCTAGGCGGCTTCTGTCTATCAACATGAGACATTTATTGAGTACCTTTGCCTGCCAAGACTGAGCTCGAACCCATCTCCCGTCCTCTTTCACTTGGTGGTGAATTTACCTGCTGGCGCCCGCACTCTCACCGCGTGCCTCTCAGGCGGCTTGGCAAGCTCGTTCTACTACTTATACTCAATTCCTAGATCAATCCTCCTTCCATCCACCTCCTCCATCCCCAACAACCTACATCGCCTACCGCTATGGCAACCACACCAGCTGCGCTAAGCGCGGGCAAGAGTCTACGTGCCGACTGCTTCGAGTGAGTTCTAGTAATCAATTCTTAGCAGTAGCTGACATCATCTCAGGGCGCTGAAGGAAGAACTGAAGACAAAATCCGAGCTGCAGGGTCTGCGTAGCAAGATTGAACACTTGCAAGACCACGAGAAATCCCTCAAAGACAAGATCCATGCCGACGTGTTGGCAACAGCCGATGCGCTCCTTGCCTTTGCCAAATATGATTGTCTCGAGCTTTGCAACAAAGTTTACAAGACTTTCCCTCGAGAAGTTCGAGACATCATCTATGGATATATTATCGGCTGTGAAGATGTCGACATATTTTCTGAGAATCATCGCACACGGCACAGTTGTGGTTACTTTTCATCGAATTCGGAAACTCAGCATCGCCTCTGTTCGTCAGGAAATCGCACCGACCACTGGTGGAACAATGATTTCGTAGGTGCAAAGATGGCCCGCGAGATTGGTGAGCATTACTATCGGGAATCTCACTTCCGTTTTCAAGTGGAATTCTCCCAGCTCGTCAGATTTCGCGCGACGGACCAGTTCAATCACGGCTTCCTACCGGTGCACTTCGTCTCAAAGGTGGAGATCGTTGTAAACTGTTGCAAGTACAAGTTCCGGCCCATTAGTTCCGCCAAGGACGATGCTTTTGTCGACGAATATCGAGACCAGCTACGCTCAAAGTGCCAATGTTGTTGCTGGGACTGTTCGGAACCCCAACAAGATCCTCTCGTGGAGTTGGAGTACCTGTTTGGTTTTAGACCAGGCACTGGCATTACCATCAGGCTGATGCAATCCCCCCACCACATTCAGACTAGCCGTCTTGAAGACCAGAAATGGATGTGTCACCGTGTAGTACCTGTTATCTTTCCGGTACTTCAGCGACTCAAAGACACCAACTGTCGCGCTCGTCTAATTCTCGGTGCGGAGACTGATGGCGGACCTGACGAAGACGGGTACATGCCCTTCGCTTCGAAGTGGAACCCGATATCTATCGAGGCTATCACAGCTGACTTCTGGGAGGTAAGTACATGTCCTTCCTACGTATTGTTCTTCAATAGACTAACCCTGGGAGTATGTCGAGATCGAGCACGAACGTGCAGTGCAAGCTGAGCTGGAGTCCGAATCTGACGCAGATGACGGACCCTGGGACGTCCCTGGCGGTGATTCATACGTAAAATGGTGAGGCGTCGCCGACTTGTTCCCCTGATAAGAATAGACTGCTTGGTATGGTTCATTTCTCGAGCAATCTTTGATCTGTTCAGAGTTGGCGTTTGTTTGAACGCGTACAAGAAGGGACGTGAGCGACTGATGCAGTTCAGTCACAGCTAGAATGACCTCTCTACATGTCTTTTCTAGTCTAAAAGTTCTAAAAATTACTCTTGCATAGCTCAAAAAAATCAACTTTCATCGGAAGACAGTTTCTTAAGGTGTGATGCCATTTCGTTTCTAATTTCCCATTGGATGATCCTCAATCTTATCGTGATGCGATACATTATTTACATTCACATGAATCAGCGCCCAATGACGTAACACTCGAAGGTGACCTTTCTTTCAGCCTACAGGCAGACATAGAGGTAATCTCCCTACTTCCTCCACTCGGCTACAAATGAACGCCTCTCTCTGCCGTTGAATTTTCCTCCCACAAATACCCTTCCACTCCACCTCTGCCACAGCTGCAGTCCGGAATTACAACTAAATCACCACGTGTTTCCCCTTCCAAAGATGGTGAGTCAAATGGAATCAGAAAAGCAGGTGAACAGTCTCTACGAAGAATGTTGCAAGTAAGTCATGTTGGTCAATTGCAAGACAGAAGTTTGACAAACGCTAGACAGCTCCGTACCGGGCTTAAACTCGAAGAACTCTACCAGACAGAAGTCAAGCGACTCGAATGACGAAGCGAAGTATGCAACGGTCAAAGGGAAAGGACCACCGCGGTTTTGAACAAGTACGCACAAGCCTCGTGCCGTAAGCTATGCGACCGCATGCTCGAAGTACTTCCCCGCGAACTACGCGATATCATCTATGAGCACCTTCTACCCCATTCTATCACAGTATCCAAGAGGTTGACTGCCATGGATTTTGATGGCCAGGTTTGCGTCGAGAGTAATGGCTCTGTGGGATTATTCACTATGATGCCGGTGCATCTCCGCGAGACCGAATATAGACCCCAAGATTTCTACCGAGAAATACTTGAAAGACGGTTCCAAACGACTACGTTTGATCTTGGGGACGACTTGAGCCTCATAGCGGCGCTTGGGTCATGGGATGGGGGACTCGGCATCATGCCTGCTGATTACCCCCTCGACATTTCTTTCTTTATCAAATTCGATTGGTTGAACCTTCAGGGCATACACAATCCCTGGATGGAATATGACACGCCATTATGGCCCAAAGTCTTTCTCACTAGAATAGAAGGATTGTTCAGCTTCAAGCCTGGCACGAAGCTCACCGTATGTATCCGGCAAGCTAACGTCGAGCTACCGATCGCGAAAGAGATTAAGGAGTTGGAATGTAAAGTCGTGGTTTCGATCATCTTGCCAACGCTGCGAAGGCTCGCCGCCGTTGGTACGAAAACTAAGCTGTGTCTCGATGGCGTTTGTGAATTGAACATCGACAATGATAAGGTAACTCTGGAAGATATGGAGGACGAATGGGAGATACCGCCGAGTCATTGGTGGTTGCCCACGAGACGACGCGCTGACTGCGATAAATGATAAGGGGCTGCGCTGCGGCTGAACAGCTCCAACGAATGAGCATATTTGACATGTATCTCGCATTGCTGAAACGTGCTGGATGCTCGAGGAAGGCTTGTAATTTGTCGATCCGGCGTCGCTCTAAACATAGCAGGGTTAGCAACTATCCGAGGAGCGGAGTGGCGTCAAGCCCACATCTTGTTGTCTAATCGTGTTAGCCCAAAATGGTGAATTACCTTCCGCACGATTAGCAGAATGTCCACAAAGGTTTTGGTTGGCGTAAGCTGAGTGTATTTCCGTGGGTGAGATATGGGGGGCCTGGCCAAAGGTACGACATAGTGTTATGCAGGGCATGAGTACCTAAATAAGCGATCAGCAGCACCCTGATAAACAATAGTACTGATACTTCGGCGCAAATGTAGATTTCCCATGATCCTCCCTTGTCTTCACATGTAAAAAAAGATATGGCTATAGCAATGGATGAGATATCAGCGCCTGCGCCAGTGGATGGAAGTTATTACACATGCGGACAACTCCGAAGGCGCGCTTTGAGGTAGGCGCAAATACATCTGGTAAAGGCATCTCAATGATGTACCATCATACTGACATAACCTATAGAGCACTTTCCGAAGAAAGCATCCGTAAAGCCCGTCTCGCAGCACTACAGCAAGAACTTGCACTTCTGGAAAAGGATCTTGCCAGCACCACACCAACGACACAGGATGCTGTCGAAGAGCTTGCAAAGACGGAATGCCAGCAACTTACCAACGCCATCTTGACTAAATTGCCGCGTGAGATCCGCGACATGATCTATTTTCACCTCAGTACGCGCGATCGCGAGCTCATCGAGCGCGAGCATTTTCGGACAACCTTGGACCCGCTTACGAGATTATACTCGTACGATTTCGAGAGGTGGAAAGCGCAGCATTTTCCCGCGCACTACTGGAACCCTGAATATGTTTCCAAGCGCTTCTATTGCGAGCTCTTGGAAAACTATTACCGTACTAGTACGTTCTTGTTTGGTGATGATCCGGGGGTAATGAAGCGTTTCCTCAATACAGATGAGATGAGACTCGGGGTACCTCCCAAAGCACTGGTTTCTAGCGTCGAGATCGGGCTGAATGCTGTGTCACATGATAGAGGCTCCTTCCGCGCTTACATGTTCGGCATACCAAAATCACCAGAGCGAATGCGGGAGGCTCTCGATGGCATCTTCGAACTCAGGCCTGGAGCTAAAATTGTGATTCGATTCGTGACCGAGGCGAAAACTAAGGAAGAGAGGGATGAGCATTGCAAAGGAGCGATGACAATGCTGTTCGACGAAGCGCAGGTGGAGAAGATGAAGATGTACAAGGTCAGGTTGGTAGTTGACGAGGGGAAGGTCTGGGATCTGGCGGAGGCAATGAAGGATGAGTGGATGGCGATTCACGGGTGAAGGTGTCATGCAGCACGAAGAGACAAACTCATTCTGCTCGATGACAGGGAGCTCGATGAGTTGAAAGTGATGATTAGGAAACACGGAGTAAACGCAAGTAGACGGCCGCTAGTGTGTAATCACGGTCAGCTCTCATTGGCCGATGGATGACGCCATCAGGGTCCAGGGGGAAGGAAGTAGCACCCCGCCGTAGCAAAATTGTTAACGCGAGGCTGCCCAATGCCCCTCGGTGAATGCTTCCACGCGTCAAACTGCTTCCCAGTGTCTTTAAACCTCTCTTCACCCCTCTTACTCCATTCAGACGCGTCTCAATTCCATACCGCAAGATGGCCGGCATTCCCAACACTTATGATGGTGCGCAGCCTTCAACCTGCACCTACTCCACCAATTGCTTACCCTGTATACAGCGCCCGTCCACATCGCCGTTATAGGCGGCACTGGCATCTCTTCCCTTCCAGGCTTCACTCTCGCCGCGACTCTCGATGTCGATACCCCATGGGGAAAGCCCTCGTCGCCTGTTTCCATCCTCCAACACCCTTCGCCCTCCACCGGCAAGCCTATCCCAGTCGCGTTCATCTCGCGACACGGTCTCCACCATGAACTTGCACCACACGAGGTGAAGAACCAAGCCAACATCGCCGCGCTGCGACACCTGGGCGTGCGCACCATTATTGCCTTCTCCGCCGTCGGATCGCTACAAGAAGAAGTACGACCGCGCGACTTCGTCATCCCCGACCAGATCATCGACCGCACAAAGGGCATCCGGCCATTTACCTTCTTCGAGGGCGGCATGGTCGGCCACGTTGGCTTTGGCGACCCCTTCGATAAGAAGCTGTCCAAGATCGTCAGCCAGTGCGGACACGCGCTAGAGGGAGACGGCGTCACTCTACACGATAAGGGAACGCTCATCTGCATGGAGGGACCGCAGTTCAGCACACGCGCAGAGTCAAACCTCTACCGTGCATGGGGTGGCAGCGTCATCAACATGTCTGCTCTGCCCGAGGCCAAGCTTGCGCGAGAGGCTGAAATTGGGTACCAGATGATTTGCATGGCTACCGACTACGACTGCTGGAGGGGTGACGGCTCTGAGGATGTCAACGTTGAGATGGTCATGGCACACATGAAGGCAAATGCTGAGAACGCCAGGCGATTCGTCGGCGCGGTGCTCAACGAGCTCAGCAAGGAGGAGCATGAGGAGCAGGTCCTCGCTAAGCACCTCGATGGCCAGATGAGGTTCGCAGGTGCCATGACAAAGAAGGAAGGACGCGGGCAAGAAGCGGAGAAGAAGCTGCAATGGCTCTTCCCTGGCTACTTCGACTGAACGAAAGCTGCCAGCAAGCGCGCTATTGGCAAAGCCGCATGACTTATGACTACGATATACTCAAATACTGGGAACCTGAAGTTACGCTATCCAGATCAAGAATTACTGCATGCGCCCGACGGCTCTCCAAATTATTGGAGGTACGATGCAGCCAGTGAGGCCTATTGCGGAAGGTCGATAGCATAGGTAACTCCAAATACACTCCGTGTTTACATCATGGAAAATGTACGTTGGCCATATCGATAACTATCCGTCTCCAGCAGCCCGTTGGACGCCCGCGGGCGCACTTGTCAAGCCTGCGATCTCATGATTCGCTCTCTTAGCACCTTCCTTTCTCGTCCAAGATCTACATCTATAGCTGCCGCAATCGCAGCTGCACTTTGCCAGCCTCAACAATAGGCTCTTACACCCATTTCCAAGAATATGAGACATGACTAAATATTCGAATAGGAGTTTTTGACAATGTGGAAATCTCTGCTCAGATGACACCCATGTACTACGCTGATCAGGTACCGTGGTATGCGGCTCGATCGAATGAATAGTACCTGCATACCGACCATTACCACGCGACAGTTAATGCACACTGAAATGCGGTACGCCAGCTCTGTACCTCTTATCATGCAGATCGATATACTACCAGGATCGAATTTGTGCCGCGGGGAAGACGCGCGCGCAGCATAACCCTGGTCTGACATGGATGAACGACGGCAGTCTTTGTCGGGTCGACACGGGAAGCATGAGTATAAGAAACATGACATTGTACACAGTCGTAAAGCAACTTCTGTTCGACCTCGTATCCAAGCACCACTTTCTTACCGAACGGTAACCGTTGCGATCGCCACCATGGTTTCGGCGTGGTTCTTGACTAAGGTCTTGGTGGCTTTTACGCCACTGACGACGGTTGTTTACGCGCAGTACAACACCACAACCGATCTTCCTTTGCTGCTGGATGCTACGGGAGATGAGTTGGTTGCTGGCCTTGAGGCTGGAGCCTTCACAAGCTTGGATCTAGTTCAGGTGAGTTTCCCACGATCTGTACAAGCATGGGTATTCCTTGAAATTCGTCGCTGACATAACGTAGGCTTATGTTGGACGCATCATCGAAGTCAACAAGACGCTTCACATGGTGTTGGAAATCAACCCGGATGCTTGGACTATCGCGAAGGAACTAGATGAAGAGCGCGCCTGTGGAAAGCTTCGAGGGTTCGTGGTCTTCCGTGGAATACTTGAGCTGCCGCTAATCGAAATAGCCCTCTCCATGGCCTCCCGATTCTTATCAAGGATAACATCGCAACTGATGATGAGATGAACAACACTGCCGGGTCTTGGTCGCTGATGGGCGCTAAAGTTCCACGCGATTCTACGATCGCTGCCAAACTCAGGGAAGCTGGTGCCATCATTCTTGGCAAGACCAATCTCTCCCAGTGGGCCAACTATCGTTCCTCGAACTCCTCAAATGGATGGTCTGCCCGAGGTGGTCAGACGTACGGCGCGTACTATCCTGGTCAAGATCCCAGTGGCAGTAGCAGTGGTAGTGGTGTCGCAGCCAGTCTTGGACTCGCCTTTGGTACTCTAGGTTCGGAAACAGACGGCTCCATCATCTCTCCCAGTCAACTCAACAACGTCGTTGGTATCAAACCGACTGTCGGTCTGACAAGTCGAGCTCTGGTCATTCCCATTTCTGAACATCAAGATACTGTTGGACCGATGACCCGCACGGTCAAAGATGCGGCGTATATCCTTCAAGCCATCTCTGGACCTGACAGTGCTGATAACTATACGTTAGCTATTCCGTGGGCGAGCAACACCACAAATGTGACCAAGCCTGACTACGTTGCTGCCTGCACCCTGGATGCTTTGGAAGGAAAGCGCATCGGAGTACCGCGCAACGCTATTGGCACGCCCGACAGCTCTTCAGCACCCCTGTATGCTGCTTTCGAAGCCGCTCTCGACGTTCTTCGCTCTGCTGGCGCGATCATTGTCGATAACACCAACTACACCGCCTGGGAACAGTATCTGGAATCCAACGCTGAAGGTATCGTTCTCGATGGTGACTTTGTCCCCAACCTAGCGCATTACCTCTCGCAACTTACATACAACCCCAACGACGTCCAAGATCTGGAAGACGTTCGCAATTTCACACAGCACTTCCCTGCCGAGGACTATCCAGACAGAGACACGGCGCAATTTGACAGCTCAATTGCCCAATCGCAAAACTTCTCAAACACCGACATCGAGTTCTGGAATGCTTTGCAACAAGATTATTACCTCGGTGGTGAAGGTGGTCTCCTCGGTGCACTCGCAACATACAACCTCGATGCTGTTGTTGTTCCCTCGGACTATGCCTCTGGTATCTCCGCCATTATTGGTGGACCCGTGGTCACCATCCCGCTTGGTGCGCTACCGTCCAACACGACAGTTATCACAAACCGGCGAGGTGATTTGAACGCTACTGCACCGAACATCCCATTTGGTATCTCTTTTGCCGGTGCGCTGTGGAGTGAGGAGAGTTTGATCGGGTTCGCGTATGCGTTTGAACAAAGGACCATGGTGCGGACGAAGGTTAAGCCGTATATCCAACCGAGTATCGAGATTGAGAACGTGATTGGTAGCTACTAGAGGGATGTTGAACAATGGAAAGATGTTTGTGTAAGACTGTAGTCTGGATAAAGAGTAGGTCGGTGGATACTCACTGCCGAATCTCCGAACTTTCTAGTCATACTGCATTACATCTTTGTTGCAATCACGGCGTTAAGCGGACTTAGTCAGACATGCTGTTGCGAAACATGAATCAGGCGAACCGTGGCTTGTCTCTAGCGTTCTGTATACGACGTGAGGTTAGCGTATTTTCCAGATCCGACGGGGGAGGTGACGAAACTTAGTTATTCAGAGTAGGCGTACAGGAGTATAAGTATGGGAACTTTCTAGTGTAGCATGATATCATGAAAGAGCAGGACAGCAGAAAGCACCAAGTGAATTGCGCATCGACAATTTGGCATTCCTTATAAACACCAGCTTCTAGTGAAACCATTATACTCCAGCAGCCATGTCAGCCAACATGCAGCAACCAGACTTCATTCGCAAAGTCGCCCTCATCGGCGTTCGCTACCCCTCTCCTCTCTTTCATTTAGCGTACTAACAAGACCGACAGGGCTCTGGACAAGTCGGCTCACATATTCTCACTCACCTGCTTGGTACCTCAAAGCATCAAGTCACAGTCCTAACCCGCCTCTCAAGCGACACCAGCTTCCCCAACAACGACAACCTCACCGTCACCAAAGTCGACTACGACAACGACGATGCCTTGACAGAAGCACTGAGCAACCATGAATTCCTCATCATTACCCTCAGCGCCCGCACTCCTAACACTCTGCACCCGCGCATCGTCGCCGCTGCAGCCAAAGCTGGGGTACGCTGGATCATGCCGAATTACTTTGGCTACGGTATCAACGATCGGAAGCTCAAAGGACGAGACCAGCTAGCTAATTTCGAGCGGTTCATCGAGGATGTTGAGAAGACGCCAGGTGCTGACTACGTAGCGCTTGTGTGTGGCTTCTGGTATGAGTTTAGTCTGGCCATGGGGGAACCTTGGTTGGGATTCCGGATCAGGGAGAGGAGCGTGACAATGTATGATCAGGGGGAGAAGAAGATTAGTATGAGTACATGGGACGCGTGCGGCAGGGCTGTTGCGGGTCTGTTGTCGCTTCCTGTCAAAGCAGATGCGACGGAAGATGGTGTTGGACTGGAAGCTTGGAGGAATCAAGGGTTGTATATTTCTTCCTTCCTTGTTTCTCAAAGGGATATCTTGGAGAGTTTGCATCGCGTGCTGGGTACCACGGATGAAGACTGGAAGATCAGGTTTGAACCTGTCGAGAAGAGGCTGGAAGATGGTAAGAAGGACTTCAAAGAGGGGAAGATGTTGGGGTTTGCTAAGGCGCTTTATGCAGAGGTATTCGCGTGCGAGTGGGGTAATTACCAGACAGGACGCGAACTGGATAACGAGAAGGTGGCATTGGAGAAGGAGGATTTGGATGAAGCTACCAGAAGGGCGGTGGAGATGGCTATGGGTCCTATGGGGGACATCGAGGGCCGGTTCAGCTGATTCGAACCTGGACGTGTGTAGAAGATAAAAGTATAAGAGGCAGCGCAGTTTCTGTGGTATTGGAGTAATGCCAAAATTCAGCATGTGACGAGGCGATGATGTACTATCGGCCATCATGGTTCATGCACTAAAGCCAGACCTTTTTATTTCACTCACAAGTCTCTGCATTTTCATTCCACCATTTTGGCTGCGACATCGCAGTAAGAGGTTCCGAATCGACAAAAGTACCTCGACCGTCCATCCTTCTCGTATCCTGGTACACTCATAATAGACGCTGAGACGCCACGCCGCAAGTGGCGTGCTTATGGACGCGCAGCACTTTACGACCTGGTTTACACGCTGTTTGTAGCGATCGCAGCTTGGAAATTTGGGGTCGCAATCTACTGGCAAATCTAGACCTGCCTCCAGTACTGCTCTTGGAGATGTAGGAGCTGATGCATGCTCCTTGGCCATCTCGCTATTCCTCAGGTCCATCTCATTGCCAGCAGATACGCATTTCGTCAGCCTTTACGAGACGCAAGGTATGTGTTCTCTTTACGAAATGCAGACACAATGGTCCGATAATGCTCACACATCAGTAATTCGATGTTCGTGATTGATGTTGCTTTTGAACTGCAGAACGCCTTGATGTCAGCCTTGGCTTACATTCGAATCCAATATGAAGACAACGTAGGAGAGCCTCGTGTCATATGGCTGCGCCGAGCACCCGAACATGCAAGAGAAGTGTACGACGATAGGCGAGATACGTGGTCAGTTCAGAGTCGCAGGTCGCCAGACCCAACTTCAACCTTCATCCGTCAATTGAGAATCGGGTTTCGCGTCGACAGGAAGCTCGGATCTGAAGTCACGATAAGCATGACTTTGAAGAGAAGGCGGTGTTGATGGCGCGCAAGAATCATGACGCCATCGGCAAATGTCAAAGCTCCTGGGTGGCGCGGAAGCTCTCCGCCACCCCTCAGCATCCTCTTGGGGTCGTCGCAGAGTAATCTTTGTTCCAAATCAACATTCGCCATCTTCACATAAAACAACTCCACATGCGCTTCCCTTCCTTCCCAACATTCATCCGCGCCTTCCACACGGTCACAAACACAACAAGCGCATTCATCCGATCGAACCCTACCAGTAATCTCGGTCGCACTATCTACAACTCACCGCAGCGCGCAGTCATCTACCGTTCGATGCCAAATATCCCCTTCTTGGGTGCTCTTTTCGGATCTTCTAGCAGTATGGCGGACAACACAAACTACCCAGTCCAGAAGCCCGAGGGCGAGTGGCAAGCACAGCTATCTCCTGGTACGTCCACGTCAACGTTCGCACCAGCACACACTTACTGACTTGACCATAGAGCAATTCCGCATCCTCCGAAAGAAGGGTACCGAGATGCCCGGCTCCAGCAAGTACGACAAGCACTATCCCGACGCCGGCGTTTACACGTGCACCGGATGCGACGCGCCTCTGTACAGAGCAAACCACAAGTTCGACTCTGGCTGCGGGTGGCCCGCCTTCTGGGATGCCGTGCCAGGCGCTGTCGGACAGAAGCCTGACCCTGGTCTTGGCATGATGAGGACGGAGATTGTATGCAACAACTGTGGAGGTCACTTGGGACATATTTTCAAGGGCGAGAGATTTGGCAATCCAAAGGACGAGAGGCATTGTGTAAACGGCATTTCTATCAACTTCTCCCCAGAGGATAAGAAATGAGAAAGGATAGTTGATAGAGGAAGAGCTAGTCATATAAATATGGGGATGCGGTACTAAGTGTATTAGTGACGATGAAATGAGAGACGACACAAGATATGATTGCTTGCATTTGCAGGATATTGTGCACTGCCATTATCACCAATTCAGAACAGATTCTGGAGAATTTCGTCTACCGCCTTAGATTAATAGATCACGCACAAGTATCGACAACACTTTGCTGACATCACACGGTTTGTCAGGCGCCACGAGCAGCAAGCATCGACTTCACATATGTATGGAAGTCAGCTTGCCAAGTACTATCAACAGCAATAAAGCATGGCACCCGCGATCAACGATCCTATCTCGCCTACCGCGAGCGATTCGTGTGCAGTATGTCCCATGGATTCTGCCATCACTTGTGGAGGGTGCGAAAACATCAAGTACTGCTCGGTGGAATGTCAGCTACGTGACTCGCCGCAGCACCACACTCTCTGCAGCACCTTCAAGGACTTTCAACAGCGGCCGAGCGAAAAGCATTATCGAGCCATCTTGTTCCACTTTGCCGAACTCAAGCCACGATTCATCTGGCAACTTATCGATGGCGATCGAGGATATCATACGCCCAATAAGGAAGATATATCTCAGTACCTTCAGCGTGGCACCCAAGGCTACTTTGTCGGCTGGAATGGCGATGTATTGCCTCCTCGTAAGCTCAAGCACTCCATGTACATCGATGTTGAGCAAAGCAGCTTCTCCAATGAAGGACCCCTTAACCTGTGCTTTTTCACAATGATCAACCCCGACGTGGGATTTCTTCGCCGTGGTATCCATATTGGCCGTGGTTGGAAGTATACAAATTTGGATGACAAGGACGCCTGGGATGAGGCCGATCGCGAGTTGCGCGACGGCTTCCCTCTGATCGCATTAGACCTGGACACAACTTCCCTGGGACCGTTGTTGGCACGCATTCTTGTCGGAACGCCTGAACATACAAATGGTGTGACATAGGTTTAGATTGAAAAGGTAAAGATTTCGTTCAGCTTGGTGCATGACCTGGAGGTGACTATTGTAAAAGGCTTCTGTTTTGACCGCGCACCTATGTGCCTATGATGCTATTTTAAGGTCACCTTTGAGGCTTAGCCTTGAGGAAAAGGAAGCATGTAACCAATCTAGTTCTGAGTGAACCCGAAAAACTTTGAAAGCATGAGTTCTTTGATATCCAGTATGTACACAATGGGTTCTCTTTAACGCCGAAGGAGTGAGCTCTGCTTATGTACATGAAGACGAGGAGAGCGAAGTACTGGCGTGGGTGCCAATGTCAAGGCAGTACCATACATTATTCCCATTGCTGTTTTGCTATAGATTACTGCTGCTTGCAGTACGCGACTGGTCCATCGAAAGTATGTCTTCCATACGTGAAGTAGTATATCATGGAAAACACAACAAGGCATCCAAAGATAGGGCTTGCCCAGTTCATGTCGATCGGTGCCGGGTTCGGTACAGACGGGAACAGGATCAAGACAGCAGTCAGCGAAAGGTAGCAAAGGGTTGTAATGTTGACCGCAAGACCCCATCTGCCCAGGCTGAACCGAGAATGTAGAAGTGGTTCTCCTCGCACGCGCTTCCTCACCATACAGCCGATGACGATGATGTTGGAGATGGAAAGACTAACACCTCCCAACGAAAGGATGATGTTGAAAGCGATGGATGAGCCAATGATGATGAGGCACAGTAGAGATGAAGACATCAGCGTGAACAACACCGCATTTAAGGGGATGTCCCATCCTTGGGGGACCTGTACAAAGATCAGCGCTTGAACGAACATCTAGAAGATAGGTACCCACGTAAGAGAGCCAACCTGAGAACGGCAGTCCTTTGTCGCGGGCGAAAGACCACAACTGGCGTGAAGCGGCTGTGACCTGATTGACCGAAGCGAACAGAAGCAGCAGACAGACAACTACTGTCAAGATGTTTGTGGCTACTATCGATTCGGTTGCATTCATCAAGATCTGGATCCAAGGCTGGCCGAATGGCGTTGACATGATGGCCATGACATCGTTTCCCAGTGTCGAGAAGACAGTGACAGTCATCACAAAGGCAAACGTATAGTTGACAGCTGAAGTGGCAATCATGGCTCTCGGGATGTTGTAGGACGCTTCTTCCACCTCCTCAGCCAGGTGGATAGCAAGATCGGCACTTCCCAGTGAGAGAATGGGACCGAGTACACCGACGAGTGTAGCGAGCCCGGTGTTGCCCCAGCCACTAGGATCTTCGAATTTGGTCCATGTATCGTGTATATTCGAGCGTGGGCCCATCACCCAAAGTACGACGAGGAAGGCGAAGAAACCGAAGACATGTAGGACGAGCGCGAGGCCTTCCATCAACGGAAGCTTCTTCACCAGTATGGTGTTGCCCAAGATGGAGCATAGCACGATAGCGATTGACAGCAACGTACCGTGCCAGCCCTGGATCGCATAGTCTGGCATGTTCAAAGCGATCAGGCCTTGGAGCTGTTGGGCGACCGCGAAAGCAGTACCAGCCATGCCTGTTTGCCAGGCAATGACACACAACCACCCTAGGATACAATGTCAGAACTACAGCATATAGCGATTAAACCTCGAGTAGACATACCAATGACATAGCTGAGAAATTTTTGATGTTGTCTTGGTGCAAATTCAGAGACCCAATGATATTGTCCACCTGCTGTTGGAGCCCTGGAAGATTTGTGAGCAAGTACTGATCCTGAACCACGTATCTACTACTCACATAGACACCATCTCTGCGAATGTGAGCGTGACTGAAAACATGCCGAAGCATACTACGACAAGCATCCAAATGCCGCCAGCAGGTCCTCCATTGAATAGGGAAATGCCAATGCCACTGCATTGGAACGATTATTAGTAGACCTTCATGATTGATGTACTGATAGCATACAGTAATGAGTACTCCCAGGTATTGCCAAGGATTACAGCGAAGCCAAAGATGGACAAAAACTTGAATTGCCGCTGATGATATTGTAAGTACGTTGCAGCAACGATTGGAGCATACTCAAACTAACCCTCAGCACCTGCAACTTGCCCATGCGATCCATATCCATCTTGTCACCATGTGTGCCATGTTTCTCGCTCACAGCATATGCGTTCGCCAGCTCGATGCTGGTACGAAAGTCTGTGGTCGGGGAAGGACCCTTGGCAATGCTGTCGTCCATGTTTGTGCGAAAAGCAATGCACAGAAAGCACAAAGGAAGAGTACAATGGCGAAAAGAGCAAACCTAAGGGTGCTGGGGTACGTTCGAATTCTATGGCACGGAGGTCTGTCATCCAATCCAAAGGGTGGCGGAGACGTGATCAAGTACATCTGAATGCATTGAGGCTTTGCCATTCGGAAGCATTTGGCAAAGGGTAATTGGTGGGAACTGTTGAGAAGGATCAAAGGCAGAAAGGTGAACAGCAAGGTTCATACTCATCCTTCCAATCTACTCGCAGCCTCACGCAGAGGTGGAAACGGTTGCATGTGGCTACGGCCCGGGCGCACTTCGCGTATGCACAATGTAATGAGAAGCATAAGAAACTGCAAAATTTCCGACGATCTCAGACCATATGTGCCGGTTATCAGCCAGGCATGGGATAGCTGCAGGACTGTGCCTCTGTCGCGCATCGGGCACAAGACTCGATATGAACGTTATGGTGGCGAGTGCGGCCGTGCATCGCAAGTAAAAGTTAGGATTCGAGGCTGAAACTTGCGGCACGACAGCTTGCGTCATGAATGGTGGATGGGATTTAGTCGTTGTGATGGTGGGAGGAATGGCGGACTGCGCCGCTGCGGGCACGGGAGCGGAAAGAGAGGATTCAGGGTTTTTAGCGTCAAGGGGGGAAGTGAAGCCGGGCCCGCAGCGGTCAAGACACGGCACAGCTGCCAAGTCGCGTGGGGGGCATACGCGGCCAGACCACAACATAACCTCACCCGCGACAAGTGCCGCATTTGCCAAGCGAACGGATGTTGATCGACTGCTCTTGTAGGTTGCATTCTACTCTGGCCAATGTAAAACTCCACTGGCGACTTGCCCAGGTACTTTTTAAGCAGAGTTGAGTGCGCAGCACAGCTCGCTTCTGGTATCCCAAAGTACCCATGGTCCAACGAGCTCAAACCAAGACTGTCCGTCGATTTCGGTAGTGATGTCCGCGCGGGACGAATCCTCCGTGCCTTCTTGCTGCAATTCAGCCACATAGAGGCATTCCAACGTTTGTGATTTTATGCAAGAGGCCTCGGTTTAGGAAGCCCATCATTCTGGGACAGCCATGTTCGTCAAGGATGAGCAGTATCGCCGCATACACTTGCCCCAGGTTTACTCCTGCACCTCGAAATCTTGGGCGTGTTGAAGTGATATGAGCGGCACAGTATATTTTCTCTCTGAGCGTCTGTCTTCCATCGAACTCATGCCAGGTGGCCGTGTATCGGATACAAAACACATGTTACGGTCGCTGGGAGCTCTGCTCGACAGGCCGATCTTACGCAACGAATGGCGTTTCCGTCAGATTCCCTACATTCTGCTAGGGAGTCAGAAAACCGCTTCGCACGTATCACAACAGACGATCACAGTGCGCCACTCTGGATAGCTACAATACTATCACTCATCTACGCTGTCCTGATTCTGGCAGTTCGTCTGGGATTCACGAAATGGAAAGCGCATACCCTTGACGATATCGTCGTTACGATTGCACATGTACGTAATAAGAAGCTCACGAACGGCTCCTGTGTGGACGTGACTTGATCTAATCAATATGCAGCTTGTTGGATTTACCATGTGGGGATCGCTATTCACATCGCTCGATAATGGCTTAGGAAAATCATACGCTATACTTCATGATGCAGAGGTATCAAGAATGCAGCAGGTAAGCAGAGACAACTGCCATGTCGAATGCGCTAAAACTTCCGGATGCTATTAGTACTTCTTTACGAGCCAGATCTTGTTATACATCGCACTTGCTCTGTCGAAATGCTCTATCCTCATACTGATCCGGGCCGTGTTTACGCAAAACTCAAAAGTGTCATTCTTGGCTCTCGCTACTATGGTTGTGGTAGCGATATGGGGCTTCATCGGCGTTGTGGCATCCTCAGTCGCTTGTTCAGTGGAGAGCATCGTACCAAGACCCGGCGGGGGGTATTGTACTAGCTTAGTGAGTCTAGGAGCCGTTTTTCACCCCGAGACTATCTATAGATCTGCTCTCGATCAATCGTTGTAATTGATGTTGATGCTGGGCGGGCGATACTGGAACATTTACAGAGAGTTCTGAGCTGACCGCAGACCTGTTGCTTAGGTTCCATGGCTAAGAGTGCTTGGTGCAGGCGACGTTCTTACGGAGACAGTGATCATCATCATACCGATGGTGGGCTTCCACGGTTCTCTCATGTCTAACAAACGTAAAGCCATCGTTATGTTGGCCTTCTCTACCAGGATACCGTATGTACCATCACCGTGCCCTTGAAGTTTTGAAGAAGCTATGCTGACATTGAAGTCTCACAGAAACATAGTGTTTGCCATCATGCACCTGATCACGCACTCCAAGTTCATCGACAGTCATCAGCCGGCCATGAGCATCGTCCCGACCGCCGCGTGGCAAAGCGTCCTTCTCTCCTACAACCTCATGTCCGCAACGTCTCCGCTGCTGAAAGGGTTCACCGAGGGATTCATGACTGCGGGTACCTCTTTAGGATATGTTCAGGAGGGAGCAACAACAGGCGGGGGGAGTGGGACATTGGGCAGTTATGAGCTACGATCGCTCACAAAGACCAAGTCTAAAGTTAGAAGTTCCCCGTCCGATGCCACAAAATCGCAACCACGCGCCGCCCAGGTCCAATGGAACACAAGATCTAAGCCCACTGCGTCGAAAGCTACATCGAATGACGACTTGCGGTACTACAATGAGAACGCATCTATTGCTAGCCATGACTCCCGTCGAATCATGATCAAGCGAGAATGGAAGGTCTCGAGAGATTAGGATTGCGAAGGTTCTTTCCTTGAGCTCGCTATGGAAGGCTTGTATATTCGGGTATGTTTTGGCGCATATACTACCAATGTCATGATTCTTCAATTGTAGAGGATCCATAATAAGAGTTTCGGCTGGGGGCTTATATAAGCCGAGCGTGCCCCGCCAAGTGGCGACGCAACATTAAAGTCCGATGTTTTTTTTTAGGCTACCGAGCGATTGACTCTTCATTGTTTGTTCACCAATGAGACAGCTGCACTAGTGGTTTTGGCTGCATATTTTTGTTTCCGGTGGCAGATAACGGCTTTGACATACCTAGGTAGCGATAATGATGGCTCATTCATGTCTCGAACTGTTGCAGGTCTTTCTTTTTCCGCAACGCGGCCCTCTACTTGCACTTCCTCTAAGCTAATGAAATCCGGCTACGAACCTGGGCTTGCCACATCTCAATCATCGAGTGTGAGCGCCAACACATCGAAATCTGATGGGCATGATGGGCATGGGAAGGCTAAAAGACTTTCTCGTGACCTGCAACTCGAGACACAGGCAGATGCAACGACCCCTCATGTCAACGACATTGAACAAGCCAAGGCTGCGGATCAGCCAGTGACATGGAGTGCGCTACCCCGAAAAGATCAACTCCTAGTGTTGATGCTTGCCCGTCTCTCTGAACCATTGACGCAAACCTCATTGGGCGCATACCTCTATTACCAACTCCAATCCTTCGATCCGTCGCTACCAGAGTCTACTATCTCATATCAAGCGGGAGTCATCGGTGCAGCATTCCCGGCGACGCAGTTCATGACCGCCATGCTGTGGGGTCGTTTTTCAGACTCTGAGTACGGCGGCCGAAAAAGAACCATTTATCTTGGACTGCTTGGTTCAATGCTAAGCATTATTGGCTTTGGATTCTCGCGTAATTTCACCATGGCAGTGACTTTCAGATGCCTCGGAGGCATATTAAATGGTAATGTTGGAGTTATGAGAACCATGATCAGTGAGATCATCAAGGAAAGAAAGTACCAGAGTAGAGCTTTTCTGATCTTGCCCATGGTCTTCAACATCGGTGTTTTGGTTGGACCAATCCTTGGTGAGTCGCGCGCAGGGAGATTCATATGGGTTCGTTTTAACAAGAAGTAGGTGGCGTGCTTGCAGATCCATTTGCCAGCTACCCAGCTCTTTTCGGACCAGACTCAACATTTGGTGGCAAACATGGGGTGCAGTGGATGAAGCAATATCCTTATGCACTCCCCAACCTTACAAGTGCCGTCTTTCTGTGCCTGTCATTCTTGGCCGTTCTTTTCTTTCTTGAAGAGACGGGCGAGCTATGCAAACATAAACCGGACCCATGTCTGCGCGTTGGCCGATGGATACGTCGAGCTGTTTTTCGACAGAAACTCACATCTGAGGCTGGGTACAGCGCCGTTCCAGAAGATGACTTCGAACTACAGTCCACACCAACATCGGCACATGCAGAGGGCTTCGACAGTTTTGACAAGCCGAGCAACATAGTTCAGCAGCAGTTACCGTTCCGTCGCATATGGACACGAAACCTCGTAATGACGTTATTCGCTCACGGCGTTCTTCATATGCATTTAGGAACCTTCAATGGCCTTTGGACCATCCATCTCTCTACACCTCGTTTCGACCCCGCCAATCCATATCCTCCAGGCCTGGTGCCTCACGGTCTATACTTTACTGGAGGTCTGGCCATGCCTCCAGCGCGTATCGGCATATCACTTGCTATCATTGGCGCCATCGGTATACCATTGCAAGTTTTGGTGTACCCGAAAGTGGCGCATCGTCTAGGAACAACAAAGTGTTATCGCGTTTTCCTTGCTCTCTTTCCATTGATGTATACGATTGCTCCCTTCCTCAGCTTGGTACCCAGCTGGACGTCACCCCCCAATGGCGCAAGTGGACCTTGGATTTGGATCGCTATTACGTGCGCCTTGTTCATACAAGTACTCGCTCGCACGTTCGCGTTGCCCTGCACAGCCATACTCGTCAACAACGTCAGCCCCCATCCGTCCGTTCTAGGGACTATTCATGGAATAGGTCAGTCGGTATCCAGCCTCACGCGAACAATTGGACCAATACTCTTCTCTTGGGTGTTCGGTAAAGGACTCGACATGGGTATAATAAGTCTAGCGTGGTGGTGTATGGCTGCTGTTGCTGTCGCTGGGTGGGCACTCGCACAAGGTGTTCGAGAAGGGGATGGGCATGAGATACTGCTTGAAGGAGAGAAGAAAGAACCCAACTGATGACGAGGTTGAGTATTCCTGTGAAAGGTACTGTAGGCCGACTGAGAAGCAATGCATCCCACGACGTATCAGGAATACAAAGTACAAATGCGTTGAAAGACTGAAAATTTGTCTAGAAGCCACCAGTTTACCAACAATATCCGCAACGTATGACTTGCGCTACAGCCAATCCTATACAAGACGTGCGAATGTCGACGTCACAGCCCTTACTCTTTTCAATAATCCTTTCGCATAGCTTCTTGTCAAACAAAGACCGCTTGTCCGACGTTTCAGAGGAGGCATCGCGCTACGATATCTTCTTAGCACCATGGAGTGCTCTTGCATGAGCGCTTGCAGCCACTTCGTATCCCTCTCGCGTTCATATCAATCGTGATACAAATACACTAACATCGCCTTCATCTCTACACGCACTACTCGACCTTTTTGGAGTTTGAGTATCATCTTGTATCTGCCCGATCCCCAGGTTTGTTTTCCTTTCCTCAAGCAACCTCTTGATTAATGTTTTCCGCGCCGCCAAGAATCACAAACACCTTCTCAAGCTGAATTCGTGTGTTTGAGACTATGCTGTTCGCGTCCGGGCCCGCATATATCTCCAATTTCGCCATCAAGATGTTGAGTTTCCCACGCCAGTCTGCAACATCGTCTTCCAATTCGATATCGTCTTCGAACCATCCAGCCTCATGGCTGTCTGTGATCCACTTCAGCGAACGTAAGAGGAGGATGACCTGTGATCCCTGAATGTCTTCCTGTTTTGAGAGGCTGGCCTGTAATGTCTTCATTTCCCCACTGAATAGCTGCTTGAAGTGGGTGTTGGAGAAGGCCGAGATTTGTGCTTCTGGAGACTGGATGTTCGAGGATGCAAACGAACCCATTCCTAGCTCTACTTCTTGCTTGGATGCTTCTTCTGGCTTTACTAAAGTAACCAAGGCTCTGTTTCTCGGTCTACTTTTCTGTCTTGATACCTCTGTGGGCGCATTGACATTAGCCATCGAAGGCGGCGATACCGTCGGCTTGTCGTTTTCCATCGAAGCAAGGGGAACAGCTGCATCGATGCTCTCCAAAGGAGTAGATGACACAGCTGACTCGTTGTCAACCATCGAAGATGGAGTTACTGAGGATTTTGTGTCCTCCACTGGAGGGATAGACATAGCCGGCTTGGTGATGTCTGCTGGTGCTAAAGGCTGCGCTTTTGCAGATGTTTCCTCATCTTCCTCGCGCTGTGAGGCAGGAGTTGGGGGTAGTACAACATCTGGTGCAGGGTTCGGTAGAGAAACAGACGGCGACTTGGCGCTGACTTCATCCTTCGACATCTCTGCTGGCTTTGGTAGTATGACAGTCTCGGATGTCAAAAGTCTTGATGGGAGATAACCTAGGCCTGTAAATTGTGGTGGTTGGAGTACAACCGTGTTCGCGTGCTTGGGCGGCTGAGAAAGTGCTGGCACTGGTACGGAGATGGTAGTAGTGCTGGGTATAACGGCGTCGTGGTCTGAAGATGCCTCTGGTGCGTCCTCCATCTCTATATCTGACGTCCACGGTTTGCTAAAACCTGCAGTCATGCTACCCGAGGAGCCCCTGACAGTTCCTACGGAAGACTGGCCGCTCATGGGACGTGACCGCGTGGCGGCACTGAAGGTTGATACGGCACCTCCGGATCCAGTCGAGCTACCAAAGCTGTTGGTGCTGGCCGTCGACACGCCGAAAGCAGGGGAGAGGCAGCCGAAGACACCGTAACTCATATGATAGGCGAAGCGCGAATCCATCGTGTCGTATTCGCAGTCCATCTCCTCATACTGTGCGCATGGTGTTGAACTGAACGAACTCCACATTTCTGCATCCCTGAGATAAGACATCTCGAGCATATATGCATGCAACAGTGTCTTCCAGCTTGACTTGCATTTCGTGAAACGTAAGCCCAGTGGTTTCTGCGCCAAGCGCGAGCGAGGAAGAGGAGCGATATCCATACGGCGAGGTGTCTTCGTCTGCAAATACTTCGCTTTCACTGCCGAATGTGGCTCGCCGCGATGGTAGACCGGTCGGCGGGTGATGTGCGCCTTGTTGATAGGCATGTTCTTGATGACGCGCTTTTTGGAACTGCGCTTGCGGTCCGTCATGACTGGCGCGCTAGACATGTCAATGTCGTTGATCGTGACTGATCTGTTCATTTTCCTGTTCTTCTGTAAGAAGAAATGATGGGGTGGGTCAATCAATATTCGTAAGTGATGTGGTGTTGGACGTATCTGAGAGCTGAGGTGCTGTCCTGCAAGAATGTCACGTTGGTTATTGTGGCGCTGGATGCAAAGGCAAGTGTGCGACAGCTGATACAATCCCGAGCTCGGTTCACCTGCGTGATAAGCGGTGGAGGGACTCCCCGCGAGTGCAAGTGAAAGGAGAGCAAAAGCTCAGGGCTGAACGGACCAATATCGGGGGTTCACTTTCGATCGCAACTTTGGCAGCAATTGTGTTGCAAAACTGTCCGCTCCGAATTCCGCTGCTCGATACACGTAGACTGACAGGTATTCAGAAGGCTATGTAGGTGTATGCATATATCAAGTCCAACATGTCTTGTGATGAGGATACGTCAGGCATTTCTCATACGCGAACAATGGTCCATGGACGATGAAAAACTCGAATCACCATAGCTACCATCATTGGTGGCTTTTCATAAATTCATAGGGTATAAAAAGATAGACGAGAACCACCATCCCAATCTCGTATCCTTTCCTCAGACAATTCTCAACTGTTCCCGCCTCCAGTCTGCTCCTGCTTCAGGATTTTTCGTCTCTTGCGTTTGTGAGAATTGGAATCCTCCCTTAACATCGAAAAGTTTGTTAGATGCTCTGCTATACGTCTCACAAAGTCCAATGCGCCTGGAAGCATGCTGTTCGGTTTCCTCTAGTATCAAGAACAAAGCCTTTTTCGTCGCTGGAGCATTTGGATGTCCAGACGTGCCAAGATATAAGGCTCTCACTTCCCTAGCTTTATATTGTTGGTCATCATCCAGATACACATCAGCACCAGGCAGCCCGGAGAATCCGTACTCTTGGTGATCGACTTCCCACAGGTAGCCGCGAGATGCGTACGCGGCAACATCTATCCTGTTTGATTCTACATCAATAAACACACAGGTCAAAGGAATTGATTAACCTACCAGGGATGAAAGAGGGTGTAGTTGTCCCTCTGAGCTGTGTAACCAAACAGGCTCAAATTTTGTCCAGGTATATGCGTGATGGAAACGATGAAATGAGCGTTTTGAGTCCTCCTGATCACATCAGGACGGCCAGAGAAGAATAATGGTCGCTGGCCGAGCTTGCGGTTCCGATCTTCTGTGGATGCCCAACTCCAAGACGGAAAAGTGGACTTTGCTAAGACTCCAGTGTGTGTAGATGAGAATTCCAGTTTTCTTTTCCCCACCTTCCATCCAAGATTGATGCCGAAGCGCAACGAAGCCTTGTTATCATCGCTAATCTCGGGTGGTTGACGCAATACTAGAGTCTCAGAATCGTTAGATAACTCAAGTTCTTGCAGCCAGAGCGGAATGCCATAGAAATGGGGATTTCGGCGCGCCATGTAAAGTTGAGGCTCGGACCCGCAATCCAGGACACAGTCCTTTGGCGTGCGGGCAGCCAATGTCCAGAACACTCCGTCGAAGGCGTTGATATCGTCTTTCTCGTATCGTAGTGTCCGAGGATAATATTCCTTCACGCGAAAATATATGTCATTAATAGTGAAACGTTCATCCTGTACGGGGGGAAATTCTTTGTACCGCCTGATCAAGTGGATCAGTTCTTTCGATTCAGAATTTCTATCCTGCTGCTCCATAATCTGATGTCCTCGACACTGAAAATAGACCTAATAATCGGTGAATATGAGGCGGCGACAGGAAAGCAGCGCCTCCTGATAGGTCCAGCCCCGCGTGTTTCATACCGTAGTCTCCATCTCCGTCAATGAGTCATACACTGCCACGGAAGCATGACTTCCAATATTAACAGAAGGCATTGCTTTTCAAGGTCAACTCACCCCTGTAACCCATAGTCCGAGCCGCTACCCGCAGCAGCGATGGTCGTTACAAAAGCGTTCCGATAGATTGAATCCTTATTACGAATGGCGCCGTGCTTCTCTTCCGGATCATCTTGGTTGATGCAGTACCTATCAACCCACAAGTAGCGCATACCGAGTTTCAGAGTCACAAACATGGCATCCGACAATGTCTGTGGGATGTTCGTCAGCATCTGGCTGTTGGAAGCTGCGTTCTCGGCAGATGCATCCCCCCAAACATATGTATTGACAGTGGGGAGCTGCGCGAAGTACTCCCGTCTTGCAATCGATGAGTCTTGTCGGTCTGAACTCGTAGCAGTCAGAGCTGACACACCTCGGCCTATGCTCAGATTGGCACAGCTTGATGCATTCGTTGAACATACCGTAGTCCACAGAGCTACGATCAATTACTCAACTACACGGTAAATAAGTGTATTCGCTAGAACTGGACTTGACGAAGCGCGCATGAACTGGAAGCAAGTATCTTCTCAGAATATGGTCATCGTCGTTATATTTCAGTGAGAAGATCGTTGCTTTGTGATCGGCGAGAAAAGGATGCGATACAGAGCGTGTGCCTAGTGAACAACCCTTGGGTATGTTTTCAGTTTCATGATCGGCAAACGATGCCCGCAACAGCCGTATAAGCTGTTTGCACCAGGGACAACCTCTTTTTTGACTGCGTATGGACAGTACGCGGGGCAGTGTTCCTGGGCGCAAGATTTCCTCCGAGAGATCTCTTCCATGGCAAGAGTCACAAACAGAAGCATTGTGAGGAATTTCGTGGTGGCGATTAACGTGCGTTGTTGAAACTTGATGATGAATAGACACGAACTGTATAGAGAAGTTTCCAGAAGAGTCTAGGTTTTCGAACGTTTCGGCGGGGGTAGTTTGACGATGAAATCACGGTAACGGGGCTGTGTCGGTAAGGAGGTAAGCCACGTGTGTCAGCCTTGCGAAGTGCCGTAGCCAATCACCTACCCCTACATGCCGTCCAGCTCAATGTGGCTGAGTCGCTGATGTTTGCGGCAACTACCTCATATGTTTACATCTTGTTCTCTTCGCAGATATAGAATTCATTACATAATTTGTGCTCCTCTCATTGCTACATATCGACGCATCGCCTCTAGATACCGTAACGAGCAACTACAGCATGGCAATGTAGGTCAGTAATCTAGAAGGAGAGTTGACATGGCACCTAAATTGTAGTGCATCAGAATAATTCGTGTGTATGGAGATATCCTAGCTTCCAGCCATCCGCAGCCTTATCCAACGTGTCTACTTGCCACCTCCAAACTTCTTCCTCGGATCATACCGCTCGAATTCACCTCTCGCAGTCCGACTCCGTCTCGTCTTAGTGGCCTTCTTCTCTCCAACCGTCTTTTCTGGCTTCGATCGCTCCGCATCAAGTCTACCTGGACCTTCGTCACGAGCAGGAGGCCGCTCGCGCGTACGACTATCAGCCTCTTCGGCTCCACGCGCTGCAAATACAAGCTCTCTCCGCTTTGCCTCAGCCTGTCGTGCCGCTGCATATGGATCGATCGGCCCAGGCGGCTCTACGTCCTGCTTCGCTGTCTGTCGGCGTGCTTTCTTACTCTTGTCGTGTGAGTCGTCATGTCGGTGGCGTCGGTCTCTGTCTTTCTCTTGCTGACGTTGTCGATCGGCTTCTTGCGCTCGCTTTCTCTCTTCGATCTCCAGCTTCCGTTGGTTCTTGGCTGTACGCGCGCGCTGAATTTCTGATTCCTCCTGTTTCTGGGTTTCCACAGGGCCTTCCCCTTCGATGCGCTGCGCGCGCTGCACTCGGCGGTTATCTTCCTGCTTGCGCGCTGATAATATCCTAGTCACGCCCCCGTGTTGTCCGTTACTCTCCTTGCCGTCTTCTAGTCGACTCTGCTTACCCGAAGATCTACAATGTGTTCGTGAGTCATCTTCTCTTTCGTGTGCCGCGTTATGGCGTAGCCCTTCTTCCTCGTATGGGTCCTCAGATTGACGTTCAACGCTGCTTCTGGATTCACAACGAACGACGTGGCCCCCGCCATGAGAGCGACTTCGACGTCTGAACCCACGTTGGGCTGATGTGTTAGTATCACTCTGCTCGCCTCTGGCGCCTGCTTTGTCCTCATGAGCCCTGTGTGGTGTCTCTTCTTCACCAATCTCCCTATAGTCAATATGAGAACCCTTTGCGTCGTTTCTCTCAGCGAATCGGCCTTGATGTCGAGCCAAGCAGTCTCCAGGGGAACTCGTTGAGAGGTCTAAACAACTCGTAAGTTTGGGCGAAGCTTTTGTGCGTTTAGGTGAGCTTGTGGACATCTTCATCTCCCACTCGTCCTCTAAGATTCTCTTCTTGCTCATATCAGAGTTTGCATCAGATGTCGTTGAAGAACTTGGATGATTTGACGCTGTTGCGTCATACACGATGTATTTGTCCGCGAACCTCTCGCCGCCTATGACCAACATGGTCTCTTCACTCTTTCTTACCTCGCCCAATCTATCCCGCTCCTCTCTTGCGGCTTTCTGGTCGCTCAACCTCGAACCAATAGGCTTTGCTAGTTCAAATTCTCCACCATCGATCCTCACGGTATCTCGTATCGGGATGCGCTCGATATAGCCGTACCATTCGATTGGTGGCGGATCGGACTTGTCGCTCGGTACGTGAGGCTCGAGAGTACGAATGCGCTGAGGAGTGCTCATCTTGGTGACGGAATCATGGACTGGCGGTGGCAGTGGCGTAGGCAGCGGGGTGAAAGTCATACCAGCGCTCGAGGTGTAGTCTTTGGCTTCCCTGCCGGTGCTGATTTCTGCACCGTAGATATTGGGCAGTGAGTAGCCATCAACGTTCGTACCGATTGCGTTACCTTTGGTGTCAAATTGAAGGTTGATCGGTAGCTGCTCTGAATGTACGATGTACTCGTCTCTTGTTTCAGACCACACTCTGAACCCTGCAGCTCGAGCACCGTCACGCTGTTTGTTGACCAAAAGCGACGCCTTCACCTTTGCCCGCAACAAAGCCTTGTTACACTGTGCAACGTCACTGGTCTGGAAGGAAGAGTCTGCATAGTTTGGGGTTCGTTCTGGGACAATCGTGATGGCGAATGGCTTACTGGAAACGATATCGTGAGGGTTAGATGACGGTCCCGGCACATAATGACCGATTGCGGCGCTGCCGACCTTGCTGACAAGCTCTTGGTTTGTGGGCTGACGGCCATAGATCTTCTCGAATTCTTCCGCATTGCTAGGTGGTAGTGTTTGTATAGCGGCGCTGCGACACCAGACGAAATTGGAAGACGCAACCACAGCCTTCGATTGGATTGCCGGGTGGTTTTGCAATCGAGGAGAATCTTGCTCGAACGACTCTGAAGCTGTCCCGGAAGGTTCGTTTTTTGGCGGAGATGTTTCGTTCGAGACAGGTCCTTGAGGGGTACTATTAGTTGCAAGAGACACCTTGCTGAGGGTAGCGTCTTGGTGTGGCGCGGCGTCAGTCACGGGTGCGCATCCTGGCATGACTAATAACGACGGCTTTCTGCACACGTGAGGTCTCTTGGTTATCTTGAACAAGTGAGGACGCAGTCTGTTTGGGTATCGTGGATGGCAGGCGTGACGAGTGGCCGGGGTGTAACAAGAACTAGCGCAGAGCTAGAACGAAAACTCGGTACACCCAACGCGACGTCGGCTCTACAGCTTGCCCAAAGTGAATGTGACTTTTGTGAATACCCATTGTCTTCACAAAGTGCGTTAATCTATATTCGGCTTGCAGAACAAGATGTTGAAAGGTTCTTTGTCCTAATGCTGTGCTACCCACGTTACAAGTCGTATCGATGTAAATGCTGGATGATGCGCCTGCGTGGGTAGATGATGATTACGAGAAACCACGTGATACGTCTCTGCGTAGCTCACTCACATGAGCATGTAGCATAAGTTGACGTAAAGATACAGAAAGTGCAGATTCTGAAACCTTGAAATAAATCTGGATGAGTTGAAACAGAGATACCAACCATTGCACAAAGCATACTCACATTGGTTCGTCAGGGGAAAACGAAACAGGTCCCTCTTGGACTTTCGCCTCCTGCATCCTCAAGCGGACTAAACTCTGCATCACTCAGATTCATCTTCCAGTACCAAGCTCTCGATCTGAAGACTTCCGCATTGGTAAGCGATGTACCAGCTTGCGTCACACCGACAGGTTGCTGTTGCCCCTAAAAGCTTGAAGAGCGAACATCTTGGTTGCTGACGTACTGCTACTCCTCTTTCTTCTGCTTCTTCTTGCCCTTTCTACGAAGGCGCCTTCTGGCGGGTCTTTCCACTTTTGCGTTCTTAGGAGCAGGAGATGCAAACTGTGGCCGTGCGGTGGCTGCTCCTGCTGCGTCGTCACCATCCACAGTGAGGAGTATACAACGCAGGTGGTTGGGGTGAGGACATGATCGACCGTCCTGGCTTCCAAGTGCTGATACCATTCCACAGCGAACTAAGAGTGGTAGTGATTGGATGCGCGTCAATTCAAAGCAATGGCCACCTAGCGGTACAACGAGGTCTTCCCATCAGAGGACCAGTTCAACAACATGATCGTAATTCTTCGCTCAACTAACCTGTAGATGCATGCACATTGGTCGATGAGTGGGACAACGACTGGTCCTGAAGTCGTTCTTCCAGTTTCTCGGAGCGGGTAGTCTCGATGCAGCATGCCTTGCGAGAAGCCTGCATCTCGCTTGGTGAAAAGACGCGTAAGCTCAAGTATCGTTGTTGACATGGGATCGAAAATGCCAAGTCCAAAAGCCGTTGGCAAGCCTCGATTGTGAACAGCCTAGCAAAAGACTTTAGTTATAGCGCTGAGCTTGGAGGAGTGGATGGGCTGCGGTCGTCCTTCGGTCGGCTGTGCTGCGGGCCGTGGTGAAACGCGGTACAGTGGTGCATTGCGCAAGCATCATCAACATGCCGCAGCCTGCTTAGCAGCAGCCTGATGTGAAGGGCAGCACGATGTTCAATCCTCCAATGGTAGATGGGATGATGAAGGCGATGATATACGAGCGAGCGAGTGGGAAGAACGAGGGGTGGAGCAGCAGAAGAACGGTTCCCACGAGGCTGACTCTCCTAAGAATAGCCGATTAGCGGGACAGATCGGCGTCATTGGGCAGCGGCTCCCGGCGCAGTTGCAGGGATGCCCGTACAGCCTCATGGAAGACGCGTATCCGGTCCAGCATAACCACCTCGACGCCGCCGCCATACATCTACTGACCTGCCAACACATCGCTCTTCCAGATCCCTGACCATAACTCCAGTCACACGTACAGGTCAGAAGGTTGTAACATGACGCAATGTTAGACGAGAATCTCCCCAGTACGTGTAGCCAACTAATGCGGCCAATCGTCATGCTATGGCCATACTAACCATCCCTAGCTTTCTTTCTCAAGGCCTCGACCGACAAGCTCAAGCACCACGAATCATTCTATTTCACCCAGAACGGCTCCGAGCCCGAAGCCCAGTATGCCCTCCACCACGTCGACCCAACCTCCAACGATGCGAAGAACACATACGCCGTAGCCTTGTTCGACTCGCGCAACCCCGACGTTCTATATGGCGAAGTGCTGGCGAAGCCTGGATGGTCGCATCCAACACTCTCGCAGGAGGAGATTCGCAAGAATGGTGGCGTGCCACCCCCACCCCAGCCCATCTACCCCACCGAATTCGCCATCCAGATGTACAACCCCGACTCACGCGTTGTTGTTAAGCACTCGACGGCGAAATGGAGCAGCACCGTGAGCTGGGAGTTCAGCATTCCGCAGGTTACCTTTAGGACGCCTAGCAATTCCGCCCTCGACCGCACCATGACGGATCCGGGTGCCGATGTGAACACACCCAGGGTCAACTTTGCGTGGCGGAAGGAGGGAAGACTGGGCAAGGATATGACTTGCTACATGACAGGCAAATCGACCGACCCTACCGGCAAGAAGGTCAAGAAGAGTAAGGAGCCCGACATTGCCGTCGCTCTCTTCTCTGGCCTGAAGGAGTTGACCATTATGGAGTCAAATCTCTACCGCGTTGAGATTGAAGACTACAAGGGCTTGGAGGTGGCGTTGCTCATTGGAGCCGCTGTGATACGCGATCTGTTCTTCAGCGACCTCAATGAACAATTTCACATCAACGCCAACATCCGGAAGAACAGCGCGCCACTGCGAGCGAGGAAGGGGTCGTCGCCACTAGAAGGCCCGAACATTACAGCACCGGTCATGACACCCCAGCCTCCGCCCCCACCAGCATACACCCCTTCGTCATCGCAGTACCCACCCGAGAAGGTCCCGCTCCAGCCTGCAGCAGGTGCTGGTGTGAACGCACAGCCACCTCCGCCCTCGTATACCAGCAACAACAATACCGCCAAGCGTTCCTCATTACCTCCGCTAGCCACAAACCAAGGTCGCTCGAATCAGCCTCCTCCCCAACAACAGCGACCCCTCCAGCCGCAACGACCTGTCCAACAACAGCGGCCCGCCCAGCCACAGCGCCCAACACAACAACGCCAAGAAGGTCCGAGGCTAGATCCCCGAGCACAATGGGAGATCGATGCCGAGACCGCGCGATTGAAGGCGCAAGTGGAGGCCGAGGCACGCGAGCAGAAGCGCCAAGCTGAAGCTGCTCGTAAAGCTCGGCGCAGGCAGGAAGAGGAGGAAGAAAGGAAGACAATACAATTCCTTGAGCAGGAACGCAAGCAGAAGGAACGCGAAGAGAAGGAGCGACGGAGGAAGCAGGCTGAGATTGACAAGGAGACCGAACGCCTCAAGAAGCAGTTCGGAGACCAGTCCAACCTACTCCGCCCGTCGCCACAGCCTCAGCGACACTCCGCACCACTCGTACAAGGCGGATGGCAAAACCAGCGACCCAGCCCAGTGCCTCGTCCCGCCCCTGTCCCCACGCAGCCTCCACGCATGCAGCAAACACCGGGTATATATCTACAGACGCCTGTCCAACATCGCCCTGCAGCAAGTCAAAGCAGTTTCTTCAGCAATGGTCTCCCGAAGCCTGTGGCAAAGGCAAAGAAGAGCTTCTGGGGTCTGAGAACACAGAGCGAGAGTAATGCCGAGAAGCTGAAGAAGAAGAAAAGCAGCATGTTTTGAGCAAAAGATAGCATTAGTCTCTTGGAGTCTGGGTCACGGCATTGAATATGGAGTTTCCGACCTTGTGAGTCTTTATGATACCAGACATTGCAATTTAGTCATGTTCATTCACATCTCTCTTCTCTTGTCAGATGTGTCCCTGTTGATCTGCAGTGCCTAGATGCGATCTTACCCCATCTGGGCTAGCGGCAAACTACAATCTTCTGAGGTATGCTCAACACCAACTTGGTTCTTCAACCACCCACTTGATCGCGATCAGATTTGATTCAAATTCGGGTTTTGGTTCTCTTGTAAGCCTCATAATGTGGTCTCATGCCACCTTCTCAACTGGATGTTGACGGCCGGCACGCGAACCAGCCTCTCTTCGCTAACCCGAAAACTTGCTCACTTGAGCACATTATTCTGGGGTCGGCATGCAGGGTCGCAGCTATAGCTCGCGCCACAACTACCACTGAACCCACAAGCACACCGATTCTAGACTCTTCAGCATTGAGAACAAGCTTTCATTGGTTTACCATATGCGTTTCTTCGCTTTCCCAATGCCGTGGTTGCGGATAGACGAGTGGAAAAGACCATGGTGTTTGCTTGGCAGCGAAATGCTGGCGACTTTGTTCCGCTAAGACGACGGCAATGCGGCTAAAGAGACGGTGGAGAGAGGAAGGTTCGTTGGGTGAGTGTGTATAAAGGGTACGGCAGCTGCATGTCAGTTGTTGCACGCTTGTTGGGTTAACACACCTTTTCTCTCTTCTCACATCTCCTTCGTTCCTCCAACTCGTCATACCTCATTCCACATTCTAATACCAATCATGTTGGCCAAATCTTTCCTCGCAGTCGCTGCGCTCGCCGCAGGCGCAAACGCTCACTTCCGCCTCCTCGCACCCACCTGGCGCGGCAGCTCCTTCGAAGAACCAGCCAGCCAGTGGATATATCCCTGTGCCAATGTCAATGAGACGACTGACATGGCGAACCGTAAGACTCCCCCTCTTTGTCACCCAGCATCCCATCAGCCGACCCAATTGAGCCACTAAACTTCACGAACTAATCAATGATAGGCACTCTCTGGCCCCCCAGTGGTGGTTCGACCATAATCAACGGCAGCCACACATCCGCCCTCACAGCCGTTAACCTAGCCCTCGGTTCCAATGCCACAAACTTCAACATCACGCTTCTGGAAATGTTCAACCAAACCGGTGCAGGCGTGTTCTGTATGAAGGAGACCGGACGGGCGAATCTAGAGGAAGGATTCAAGGCGGCGGGCTACTCAGGCTTGGATGATGAGAGGATCAACGGGTTGATGGCTACCGTGCAGGTCATTCAGCTAGGCCATAGCGGAAGTGCGCTTTACAATGTGAGTCTTGAGTGTTTGCGGCGAAGGATGAAGAAGAGATATGGAAGCGGTCGGCATGAGGTTGAATAGAAGTGGGCGAGGCTAACGATTTGTAGTGCGCAGACATCATGTTCAACTCCACAGCTGAATTGCTCTCGGACGATCAATGCCAGAACGGGACAGGGGTTTCAGGTGTCGCTATCGAGAACGCTGCGACTGAGACGACCAACGGATCGTCGGAAGCGTCGGCTACACCAACTGGTGCGGCAGGCAGGCTCAGTCCGGTTGTGGGAAGCGGGTTATTGGCTGCTGTCCTTGCCTGGGGGTTGTTGTAAAATCTCGCACGAGTTTACCGAGCTGTGGGGTGGTTGCAAAAGAACAATTGCACTAGGAAGATCATACCTATTAACGCTTTGATGGAGAATACGACTTGTTCTTTTACACTAACACTTGCTGTCCAATCTCAGCCACCGCCTATCCAGATCTTCTGCCCGAGCATCTCGTTTGTTCTTTACCATTTGCGAGGCGAGCCGGTGGCTTGAAGCGGGCAGAACATGACTTCGGCAAAAACTAACTGCGTGCCTGCTCGTCGGTTCTCTTGGGATTTAGCAAAGTCGTATTTTGCATGATCGCTAATCTGAACCGCCTTTTCGGGTATCCCGTATCAGATTTCTTCCGCCTATGAAAGTCCCAACTTCGTCAGCGGTCTTCCTCCCCGCTCTCCCTGTCGTATTCATCATTAATGTCCTCGTTATCTTCTTCCCCTCCTTCCTCATCTGGCAGTTCATATTCCTGGTCTATTTCGTCTTTTGCTGGTGTTTCAGGTTGTTCATCTTCCGAACTCGATTCGCCTTCCGTCATTCCTGTCAGGTGGTATTAGCAGATGTTCAATGTGTGCTCGAGCAATGAAGTAATGAACAACAAGAATAAACGCACCGGGATCGCCTTCACGCGTCGACCGATCGCATTGTGTACATGTGTCTGCATTTTCTTCGTTGAGCCAGCGACATACTTCGCATGGCCACAAAGGCATCGTCGGTGGGCTGCTGAGGGCTCCGATCGGAAAGAGGGCCCACCGGATAGATGAGTGAACCGGCGGTGCTGCTCTTGAAGTCAAGGTATACTAACGGCAAATATCATGAATGCCGAGACTGATGTACTGGGGTGCCACATTATAGTCTTCCCAGGGTACGCTTTTTCCGCGCTGACCTATCTTGCGATGATTCTAGTGTTAGGCTCGCATTGTGTTAAGAATATTCATTGTGAAGGCCGGGCGAGTTTGATGCGAGACTCTATCATTGTCTCATTCATACAAAGCACTATTCGACTGCACGCATGCATCAATGAGTGAAGATATCGCCTAAACTAAACACGTTCTTCACAAAGCGAGAACCATGTAGATTAACGCCGCACAAGAATCTACGAAACAGATGTCTACCAATCGATAGTCAAGTGGTGGATGCAAGAAAATTGGTTGACTATTCCTCAACCGTTGCACCTGGGTCAGCATGGATGCAAGTGAGTCATTACTGAACAGTCGCACGCATTGATAATTCCAAACTAGTATAGAGAGACGAATGTAAGTCACCTGCTGCTGGTGAATGGCGTGTTTTCTCACGTCGCAGTCATCTGCACACGCTGCACATCTGTGTCTAAGTCAAAAGGCTGTTTCGTTCCAGTTACCCCTCTCCTCTGAGGGTTCAGTCCGCAACTCATTCTTAACATCGATGTTATGCGCGGAAGCAAACTTCACAAAATACGTGATAAAGCCGCCAAGTTTCGTGCTGCGATGTCAAAGAGTGTGCCTCAACCGGGATCAGCACCGAGTGCTCCTGCAACCATGCTCTTAGACCACTGTCCAACCCAAGACGAAGCAAACAATGAGATTGACGACTGGCTATCGTCCGGTTTGCAGTCGTACGTCGAAGAAGGTCAACGTATGCGTGACGCAGCAGACGGCATTTCTCCCGCAAGAACCTCATTCGTACAGCGTGTTACCATGCATGCGCTAGATAGATACGGAGAGCGTTCTCATTCTCTACCCCCTGAGCGTTGGATGAGAACTCCTTCCGAGCCACACCGTGACAACAATGCAGACACTCCGCCTCGCACGCATGAGCGTCTGCGCAACGCCCAAGTAGACCGTCCTGTCATCATCAATGGCGAGGGTCATAACGTTCACATCAACTGCGGTCCAGGGCAGCAAAATGTTTACTATAGTGAATCACGCAACGTCCGGGACAATTACGACGACGAGAGGTATAATGATGACGGATACAGCGACGACGGTTACGATAATGACTACGATCACGGCGACGATGAAGAGAATGACCGAGACTACGACGCAGGTTACCAACAGTCAGGGCGTGACCACGATGCTCGCGATCACGGTCGCTTCCACGATAGGTACAGCAGCCACACTCGCGGTCGTCACATGCCTTACTGTGAATGTCGAGATTGCCAGCCTGATTTGACCCCTGATGATGGAAGTAGCTCTAGCGGGTCCAGTGATCATTGGTAGTCGTTGGGTAGGCTATGCGTCTTGCAGGATGTCGTTAAGATGAGTGGTAAGCTGCAATTTCCACTAATTGGGTGCGGACAACTTGTATCATCTTGAGAAATATCTTACAGCTCGATTGTTTTATATGCGATTACCTTTGTTGGAGATAACATTCCCCAAGAAGCTTTGGCACCGTACGTATCATTGAAGGAGACATTCAACAGTTTGGTCATAGTTAACTGATTTGCACATAGACCGTTCAAGTTGGTGATGATGGAATCAAACAAATCTGCTTACTTCTAGATGCTATTACAATCAAAACTACTGATACTACTGTCTTCTGAAACACGAAGATTACCTGGTTCCCCACACCCTTTTTGAGATTGCTTTTGTCGGAGGAAGCTCCTTATCCGAACAAGCACATCCTTAGTCCCAGAAACGATCAACAATCTCTTTCGGCAGCGCCCCGATCCGCTTCTTCGTCTGGTATATCTTCATGTCGTCACCGCTCATTGCCACCAAGACTGCCGACCGCTGTTCGGTCTTCTCGTCGACCGTCTTCCGCAACAATTGCAACAGCGTCACAAGCTTCTGGAGCACCTCCTGGTTATCTGCTTCCCAACTCTCGAAACCTTTGTAATTGTCTTTATGGTCGCCTTTCTGGGTGACACTCTTTATTCGAATGTCCCTTCGCTTATAGGTTCCATCGAAGGCCGCGTTGTGCTTCCCACCCAGGCAGCAGGTGGGTGTTCGACCGAGCCACATTTGATCGAGGGGCCGAGAGCTAGCATTGCTTTTTAGCTCCATGATCTGGTGCTGTGGGACAGCTTTGCCTTGAGGAATGACTATCGTGGACTGCGATTCATCGCATTGACCGGCCTCAGCGTCGTAGTCGCCTGGTTCAAAGCTGGGGTGGACAGTCGGCAGCACATCAGGGTCCTGTGGTGTTACAATAGTCGGATCGTATGCATCAGCCTCATGACGTACGACTAAAGTTAGAGAGCCAAACTTGTACTTTAGCATTCGGTGATGAGTCGTCGCGCCATCGATTTCGGATTCGGTAAGCGCCGTCTCAAAGTTCCGACCGTATGAGTTTCGCGTAGATCTAACCTTCGCGTTGCGCACCTGTCTACCGATGAGGAGGGTATTCTTCTCGAAGTCAAGATGGAGATGAAACTCTTGGAAGGAAGTACCCTTCAAGAACTTGATCAGGCTAAGTATTGTGGTGCGGTTGATCACAATATCTACGTCGTTCAAGCGGGTATCAGGGCTCATCAAAGCCATGGCCTGGAAAGCGGGTTCGTACTGGTATACTGGAGCACGTTCCGCGTGCTCGTCCATGAAATGATAGCCAGTATCAGGCGTAACACGAAGTGGAAAGTCTTCCGCGTTTGGTCTTTTGAATACTGGGGGAGATCCAGGTACAGAAATTGTGGTCTTCTCTTTGTCCATGAAGCTGTAGCTGCTGACAAGAGAGTATCCATCCGCCGAGGAAACAGTGTCTGGACTTGCATGAATATCGGCAAATGTACCCTCCCAGACAATCATATCCTCGTTCACATTGGTGTACATATAAGAGTACCACTCCTTGCCCTTCTGCTTAGCAAGCGTCTTGAGATTTGGACCGCCGTATTCACGCTTGCCTGTGTTCTTGTCGATGTAATGTTTCCCGTGGATCAAAGATGTCGAGAACACGGGGTCGGAGCCAGAACGAGGGCGACCGAGATAAAGTGCTTGAGGTGGAAGTTCCAGATCTGTGAGGAAGGCGCTCTGTTCCATTGTTCGTGTAAGAAGTCGTTGAACTGGTTGAATGAGACAGTGGGTTTTGTAACTGAGGGTCGCGGATGTCACATGATGTTGTGGTGTATATACAGATATGGGGGAAGGTTCTCAGTCTACAGGCATTCATTATACCGAGCGACCATCGCACCTGAGGGAAGGCGCATGGTGAATATTCAGGGCTCCCTGTGTGGCTGCACCCTGAGCTCTGTTCCGTAGTCGGTGCATACACAGTGCTGAAATTGCGAGATATTGGTATATATAGAATGAGGCAACCATGAGTTTGTCATAGCCTTTGTGGTTTTGTTCATAGCAATTCTTGTGCTCTAGGCCAATAGCAAGCACCTCATTAGTACTATAAGACCTTTTTAAATACCTGTAGGTCGTCAAACCATCGCATCTAGCCGAGAATGGTGAGAGTAGAGGCCAGACTTGGATTTCTATATTGTTCTCGTACGCTTCTTGAAGAAACTGGTTATTGGCAATCGCATGTGTCTTATTTTCTTGGTCTGTCTGCAGGGCTGCTTAGCCATCAATCTTCTTGGTTCTCGAGGTTGTCGGTGCTTCGTAGGCGCCGAGGTTACTCTAGTTTTACCGTTCCGAGCATGGATCGGTGGACCAAAAGCCTTGGGGCTGTCATTGAGGTACGCTCTTCTCCTTCGGCTGTACATGTCTTTACCTCTGCTGGCATGAAGCTTCTTGGCTGGCGGCTCACGTCGTTTCCTTTCCAGTGACGCGGACCTTTGTTTCGAAGCCAGATCAGTGAACAATCTGCTCTTGCTTTCCCACGGATGTATATCCTCCTTTTTTATTTTCTCACTGAATGGATACAAAGGTTTTTCAGAAGGCGCAAGATTTGGATTCTGGCGTCTCCAAATCTCCAGCGCGTTGATAGGTCCTTTCCTCATGAACCATGCATCTTCATCCTCAAGAAGTCTGGTCTCAACGCTTTCCAATTCATCAATACACTCAAGATCCAGGTCCACATAAGGAATCTTCTCACGGAAAGCGCGGCTTAAAGCTTTTCGGTAATCACGCTTGGCGTCTTGAAGCCTCGCCTTTTCGCATTGCAACATGTCCATGAAAGCTGGTTTTACAACGCTGTCTCTGAACTCTCCAGGGATGCCATCTTCCCAGGGCGCCCAGCTCGAGTAATGGTGACACATATTTTCAAATCGATCGCGCGCCTTGCGTAAGGCATTCGCATATTGGTGCACGCTATCTCGAATGCGACCAAGATTTGTAGCGGGCGTCTCACTCATAAATCGGCGAGTGATACCACGTTTCTCACCTCTAGGAAGTCTTGTGTCGTCGATGAGGTCAGGCTGTGTCAGTCCTGCTCGTAGCCAAGCGGGAAGTAATAGTGCACCAACATCCTCCCAAGCATCTCTGCACGCTTGCTCAGCAAAGTTACATTCCAACCAAAGCCAGTTTTCATCATCGATAATGTGATCGAACTCCTCGCGCGCAAGGAACGCTCGAGTCACAAGATCTTGTCGTCTGTTGCGTTGTCCGAGATTCGGTGGGTTTGATGAGTTATGCATAGCTGCGTCGTGATTCGCTAAATCTTCATCCAAATTCTCAATGTCCCTGAGTATCTTCGACTTTTTATCCTGGGTTCTTATATCTTTGCCGTCAATTCTCGTCCAAAGACTCTTATATCGACGTTCCGCGGCAATCGCTTTACTGACACGTGTCCCTAGATGTTTTGAGATGGTAACAGCTGGAACAAGATCTTTGCCATCATGAGCATGAACCAGAAGAGGCAAAAACGAAGAGAAAAATTTAGTCGTATCTTTTTTATCGTTCGTCCACCATTCATGGGCTACAAAAGGTCTTCTAGTGTCATCTACTTCGGCGCTGGGCCTGCGCTTGATAGAGTCACTCTGTGGTCCTGGAGTCATTGAGCTTGAGCTCGAACTTTCGACTGAGGACGCTGTTCCCTGCTCCGAGTTGGTCCGGATTGGTCTGTGATCAGTGGACTCATCCACTAAGTCTGTCAATTCTTTCAACCTGTTCGTGGAAGCTGGCCTGCTATGAGGCATATTCAGCTTAGGCATGATGCGTCCGTTTGATCGTTCGTTCGCGTTGTCCTGTAATTTTACCATCGCACGCTTACCATCATAATAACCGCGAACTTTTGTTTGATGTACGTTGCTGTCACGTATGGCGTGATATTTGCGAACTTGCTTTCGAGTCTTAGTGGAACTTGCAGATTCAGCTTACGTGTGAGTATCCACACGATAGAAACGCAGTGCCATCTTTTGAAGGACAAACGACCTGATAGTCGTCTTGAGATCTGAAACATCAGACAGAACCCAAGACAAAGAAGGCGGTATGAACGGCTGACAACAAAGGTGTACCGCGCCATTGACTGCCCTTGTCCTCATTGTTATCGGAGCCAACGACAAGGAGATCATATCCTATCAGATTTGTTGTGAACCGTGTTTCAACGAGGTGTTTACTCAAGTACCAGTCATTGAAACCAAGAACTAGTGGCCACAGTGTTGTTAAGACCTCGACATCTGATACCCGCACCATCGGCGCATGCTGGCCTATCACAAGGGTTTTATAGCTCGGGCGTTGGGCCCTTTAGAAAGGCGATAAAGGCCCTCGTCTCGTATCAGTGTCCCTAAGGGATTCATCCGAGCTTAAGACAATTCGTGGTTCGATCTTAGAGCGTTGCAAGTACTGTACCTTTGCACCACCATCGTCAACACACGCCCGCGAAGCCTGACCAATATATCATATTATTGTCATTGTGAAAGATCATGTACTGAATGGTCTCAATCGTGCCTATGCAAATGACCAGTTTAGAAGCCGCGTAGTGGCAGGAGTGAATGATGTCCTTCGATCGGCTTATGCATGAAGTAACATAAGATTATTCATTGCTTGAACTCCGACAAATCCACACACGTACCCTGAGCGTGAATGCAACAAGATCTGAACACACAATGCGACCTAGCAGCATTGAGTACCTCAAGATTCATGATGCTTGAGCGCTCTCGTCCAGTCAACTGCCCGCTCAATTCAACTGATATTCCGCCGTCAGAGTGCCCAAAACACCCCTTATTCGATCAACCGGCTGGTCTGATAGATTTTTAAAACTATGACGGATAAGTCACGAGAATCCCTTGACCCTGCAGCTCGGCCTCCAGCACAAGACCACCGACCAAGAAACAAGTCAGACGAGCAGGACTCTGGTAGAGTACGCCGTCATGAAACACCAATTGGGGGCGACGGTGTTCACGATACCGAAGAAGACGCCGCACATTCTGTAACAAGTGACGTCACCCCGTCGGAACTTGACATGCGGGTACCGAGTCATTGGGGAATTGTTAAACCGGCTTCAGCAAATGTTGTGCGGAATATCGTGAGAGGCTCGCTCATCACTGCACCGGTGATACAGTTCGGAAAAGATCGAGACGGAAGACGGAAGCGGGACCGCGGTTTCTACAAGAGCCCACTCGGCATGATTCTTATCAAGAGATACCCCTTGGTAGTCTATGATGTCGACCTTGATGAAAGGCACTTGCCGAAGAGATTGCACTGTATGCAACGTCACACCTATGGGGGAAGTGGGTTGTGGCGAGGGGCCCGCTTACGAGAGGACCATCACCTCCATGTCAAGCTTGTACCGCCCGGTCGTGACAAGAATGATAGAGGTGATGCACCAAATGAGCCTCTCATCATTGAAAGAATGTATAACAGCAAGAGAATATCGGAGAACTCATACCTCGAGTTCAGGAGCATATTAACCGTGGAATTGGATGAATATGTCGTGCTGGACGGACACTTGGAAATGGACAGTTGGGTTCGCTTGTTTAGGCTGTATATGTCCACTGTATCGAGAACTGCAACTCAGCAGCTACAAAAGACTCCAGTGTTTAGAAGACAGATCAGGGATGTCTTTAATGATCTTACCAGAGGCCTAGACGAGAAGGAACGGAGGGCGGCCGGTACTGTATCGACAGATCTAATTCAACGCGCCACTAGCAACAACGCCACACTTCAAAGCCAGCAGTTTCTCGGTGAGCGTGGGGACGAGATAATACCTACGACCAGAGTTACCCAAAATCATCATCTAAAGACCCGCGAGGGTAACGTCATTAGCAACAACCGGCAAGACACGGAAGTGCGACATCCACGAGAGCGCTCAGCGGAGGAGACACGACGTCGACGTAGTAGATCTCCACATGAAGTAGATCCGGAGCGATATCGTGAACGGGATGATCTGCCTGAGCACCCTTCGCAACCACCTTATAGTCGGCCCCGGGAACGTGCTAGACGCGAAGAACGAAGATGGCGAAGTACTTACGAGGATGACAGTCGTACTACCGTGCGCGAGTCGTGGCCTTCACATCGGATTCTTCGATCTGACAATGATCTTACGAGCAACCGCCAATATGACCGGCGAGGCGGAAGGGGCCAAGGCCGTGGTGACGATATGAACGTGCGCCAACGCGGCAGGAGCGCAGATAGAGGCGACGGACGTAGATAATCCAGGGGAAAAGAGTCTAATGAGCGAGCGGCAGTATGCTCTGAGCGGACGTATAAAGCAGTGACATAATCAGAACGAGCGGATTTGAGAGATGTGGCCGCCCGAACTTCAGCATTTCAACATGGCCGCAGCTGACTTTCTTCAAGTAGGGTGTAGATCTTTGGAATCACCGCGCACAATGTTCACCATTGCTGTACGCAGTGGGGTAACATTATGCTGTCAAAGTGGGGAGCTACCTCATCGTGGCGCTTTCCCGTCTTCGGGTGCATGCCTAGGTAGGTCACAATCTCCAACTCTAACGTCAAAGTGGCATCATTCTCACAACAGGTGGGTATCGAGTGACATAATCAAAAACATTAGCTCACTCTAGCTGATTGTCATCTCGCGAGTGTTCGCGGTAGACAATCTTGGCTATCAAGCTATAACGATTGCGTCTACCCTTTGGTCATCACACCACCACCATTGGTACCAATCACTTGTCCCGTGATCCACCCAGCCTCAGGCATACACAGTAAGCCGACAACTCCTGCAACCTCATCTAGATATGCCGGCCTCCCACCCATGTCCTTCGCTGCAGCAATGGTATCTTCCGAGTCGATACCCTCTCTCGTCGCAGCCAGTGGCGCCATGTAGTTGAGCGACCAGACCTTCTCCAACATCTCCTTCGGTAGACCCGTATACATGCCAGTAGCCATTGCACCCGGATTGATGGAGTTGACTGTGCAGCGTTCGGCGAGCTCTCGTGCCCATACCCGTGTCATTGCTTCAAGAGCGCCTTTAGTACCAGCGTAGCAAGATTGCCACCAAAAGCCCATCGAAGTCGTTATGCTGGAGACATTGATCACACGACCTGATCTATCATGGGGCAGATATGGTAGTGCAGCCTGTAAGATAAATAACGGTGCGCGCGCGTTTAATGCGAAGGTTGCTTCGAAGTCTGACAAGGCGACTGAACCCATTGGCGCTGGGTTAACAATGCCTGCATTATTTACTAGTATATCGATCCGAAACCCATCGCCGTTGTCGAAAGCTGATCTTACCGCGTCGATCAGTTGGGTTGGGCCGTTAGGCGTAGTAATGTCCACCCTTACTGGCAATGCCCGGACGGAATGCTGATGTTCTATCTCTTGGGATAGAGTAGTTGCGAGCACACTGGATGACTCTGAAGCGTAGTTGATGACGATACTGGCTCCCTTGGAAGCCAGATGACGTGCTAAGGCAGCACCGAACCCTTTCCAACGCTTGTCAACCCCGTCCTTGAGTAGCTATCGGAGGACGATGATGATACATACCCCGTGATGCGCCGGTGATTATCGCAAGTTTATCTTCTAACGGCCTCGTCATAGTGAAAGTGGTGGCTGAGTCGACATATTCCAATCTAAGCGCGACCTTCTGAATGCTAATATGCATACACAAGTGACAGCAAATCTTGCATAAAACCCAGAAGTGTGGTGGCGACATACCCTGGATGCTGCATACAGCATACCAAACACTTTCCAAGGACTCTGATCCTCCGCGGATGCGGAAGAGCATGGGTATGATCCACCTCTGGGTTCACAGGCTTGGCTAGACTAGCGGGGAAGGAAATCTAATTCGACTGTCAATCACAGGCTCGTTCGAGCTTTTTGACGTTTCAACATCTCACAGAAAATTGTCCTCATTTAGACTTGCACTTTACACTCTCGAGACCATTCGTTCAATCTAGTCTTCCGTCATGCGGCTAAGTAATCGCGTTGCCATAGTCACTGGCTCATCCCAGGGAATCGGTAGAGAGATCTGTCATCAATTTTCCATTGAGGGCGCATTGCTTGTATGCGCTGATCTCAAGCCAATTGGAAAGGGCGAAACTACTTCTACGCATGAATGGATTGTCAGCGAAGGCGGGCAAGCCATCTTTGTCGAGACCGATGTCAGTGTAGCTTCCAGCTGGGAAGCACTCATAGCAAAAGCTGTCAAGGCATATGGGAGGCTTGATATGTACGTACAAACTCGCCTCGTAGCCACCAATTCGGAGGACGTAAACTGATCTTAGTACTTACAGTGTGGTGAACAACGCAGGCATTTGCGCTGAGGCTAGCAACCCATTACCCATCGACCAAGTCGACGAAGACATGTTCGACGCTCACATGCGTATCAACACACGAGGCGTTTTTCTCGGTTGCAAGTATGCCGTTCGACAATTCAAGATACAAGAGCCGCGATCCAACGGTATGCGCGGCTGGATTGTGAACCTCGCTTCCATGGTCTCCAATATCGGGATGCAGGGACTTAGTAAGTCATCCCGCGCAGGAACTAGCGAGTGATTTGTTTTTAGCGTTGGGCTTACGCTTTGCAGCTGGGTACACAGCGTCTAAGGGTGCCGTTGCAGCTATGACGAGAACCATTGCACTGGATGTCGCGAAAGGAGGCATTGTAGCCAATTGCATCGCTCCTGGATGTAAGTCAACTCTTTCGGTGTGGCATTGGTCGCCCTGACACTCGTTATCAGTTTCTCAAACCGCCATGCTTGACGATGCGCTTGGTGGGGCCTTGTCCGCTGCAGCGGACGCCGTCAAGGCCTCCATTCCTCGCGGCAGCTTTGGGCACCCCAATGATCATGCAAGGGCTGCGGTATATCTTGCTAGCGATGATGCGCAATGGGTTACGGGGCAGGTATTGAATGTGGATGGTGGCTTGACTGCGCAGTGAATCATTCTCCTGTAGCATTAGGATCGTTGCAAATATGACGGAGTCGTTGAGGCATAACGCATGTGCCGTGCTTGGGAAGGTCTGAACTGCCGTTTGGCTTTGCGAGTGAAAAAATGTCTAGAACATCTGAGCTTTCGCGACTGATGTAGTTCTATACTGATTGTGGTTGTGCTTGCATGGTATGCAGTGTGCTGGGAGCGGGCAGTCTTCAGGGATGACGCGCCACACCCCGTTTTGGCCGCTCTCCCGTCTTCCCCGCGGCGGGTATCCGGGTGGGTTCCCCCCGTTCCCCCAAGCCCTCCTCACTGTGACGACTTTTCTCCGCTCTCCCCGACCCAGTTCCCTATGAGTCTACTCAAGACCCTGTACCGCCGGCTGTTGCTCGTATTGTAGTGGTGATACTGGTCGTCGCTTAGAAGCCTCACCATGGGATCGGCAGAGTAACGTGGGGGCAAAATATGCGCCTGGACTCGAATGTATCATTACCATGCCGCATCCTCGCATATCACGTACGAAATTCACGCTTCATTGCCAGCCTCGATTACGCGACCTTGTCACATCACAATCGGTAACCTAAGCGAGCGTGCGTAGCAGCGCAGAGCCCTAGAAAGTCTAGGATAATCCTGCGAGGTACTGCTTTGGGAGTGAAAATGACCACGACTGGGTCGTTGCTTCAGCAAGAGGGATACCCAACGTTGGAACGTGCCTTCTCGTCTCAGGTTGCGAGGAATATGTGTGTAAATCTCAAGAAAGATTTCATCATTGGGGATCACTGAGGGCGCCATATGTCAAGGGATCCATGGAAGGGGGCGTTTTCAGGCACAGGTGTCTTGTCGTTGCACCGGAGACATAAAGCGACCATGGAGAAGGACACGAGACCTCACAAAGAACTATGTCCGGTCCCACGTCTCCCCAGTTGGCATTAGCCGTCCTCGTTCTCTTACCATTCGATGTCCTAACTTGGGCTCTTCGTTTTCATGTCCGACTCTCGAGAAAAGCATGGGGGCCAGATGACTGGTCTATGGTGGTAGCGATTGTGAGCGAATGATTATCATAATGAGTTATCACGAGTACTGACGTTCAACAGCCACTCTTTATCGTGTCAACCATGGGCATGCTCGGGATCGCTTTCACGGGAGGTGGGAAAAGGGACAGCGAGCTTACTGCAGATGAAAAACAGACCGCAATGTTCGTACGTAAGATGAAAGATCTACTTGGCTGCTACGCTGACATCTGGCAGTGGTGGTTCATCATGCAGACCATGTTCTGTCTAGCTGCCATTCCAGTGAAATGGGCCATCTGCTTTACTTTGCTCCGCATAGCCAATGGCAAGAAGGTATATGAATGGTCGATATATGCCATCATGGCCGCAGTCGCTGCCGTCATGGCTTCAACGACTATATATGAGTTCTTTCATTGTACGCCCATTGCGATGAATTGGAGAGCGGTGGAAGGTGGCTCTTGTAAAGCTCAAAGCAACATCACTGGGTTCAGTTTTGCCCTTTCGGCGGTTTCCATCTTCTCGGATTGGTTCTGCGCCATTATGTAAGTTCGCTTGCGACTCAATGAGCTCTGTTGGCTTATCATGTCACAGTCCTATCCCACTACTCTGGAATGTCCAGATCGACTTCCGGGTCAAGATTTCCATCATCGCGCTCCTTGGTCTCGGTATATTCGCGTCAACTGCGGCCATCGTTCGTCTCACCGTGACTGTCAACCTTAGCGCGACAACGGACTTCCTCTACTACGCTATGCCAGTGGCGGCCTGGGCACATGCGGAGCTAGGTCTTGGAGTAGTTCTTGCCAACCTTTCGGCTTTGCGCCCGCTCCTCGAGAAGGTGCTCGACATCGGCTCCGCCTTGCGCAGCGGCAGCAAGAAGCGCACCGGCGATCAAACGTCTGGCGACCGATACATGGAGCTCGAAGAGGGTGTCCGCAATAGAAAGTCCGCGGCGCTATCGAAAAGGCTGAGTGTCATGAAAGGAAACGGGGCAACAAGTAGAGGCGAGGAAGACTTAGACGGTAATTCATCCCTGGGAGAAGATGACAGGTCCACAAGAAACATCATGAGCACCGATGGACGACCAAACGTACACAGTATTCAGGTTGATCATGAGTATGAGGTTAGCTACGAGAGTGGGAAAGGCTCATGAAGAGTTTGAGTGGTGGTTGAAGAAACTGAGAGTTAACGATTGATCTACTGGTACAAGGAAGGGGCTCGGAGGCTTTGTCGTTATGGTGATAAATAGTAGGCTGGGTAAACATGGTAACAAGCTATTATGGTTGGGTACCTCCTACTGAAAGTATGCGTGGAGTGAACCTGCTCCGGGTCTGCATCTGTGCCCGAACTTTTAGATTCTATCCCTCCTAAGACCGGCTTCTGGGGATTTTACGCGTGTACCTGTGATGATTGGGGACCTGTGGCTTGGTACGCAACAGGACCCCTGTCGTCGACGCATTGCTAATTAGCCATTCTTGTGGTTAGTAGCGATGTGCATCGCACCCTTGTCCGCCGCAGGTATTGTAGCCTTTGCGAACATCTGTCATCACTGATCATTGGATGGATACCCCCACCGCCAACCTTTCATTAGTGTGTTGAGACTCACATCAGGCGACCTCCCGCCTTTCCGCGACTTGCGGCCTCCACAGTCGAGGCCGAATATGTTCATTGATCAGCGGTTGTATGTTAGTCACTACCCTTGCGGGATAACCTACCTCAAGTTCTGTCTGAATACCGTGCATACGCTACTGCATCCAGTCACGAAGTGGCGAGTCTGAAGCTGATCCAAGACATGAGAAAGGGGTTGGTCGTATCTCCAGATATGCATATCTCTTTGTATGAGTCAAGATGCCATCTTGTCTTTGGCTAATATATCCCCCCTAGTACACCAATGTTGGCTTGTATCCTCGTTTCTGTTTTTCGCATACACTTTCCAGGTTTCCGCGAATCGGCCTCATCAAACACAATGCCCAGTGTAGGTAGCGACAACAGTCCACCAGCCATTATCTCTGAGAAGGCCGTCCCAGAGACTAACAATCGTCTTACCTCCCTCGACTCCGAAGAGGCAGACAAGCTACGCTCTGAAGCACTTTCGACTGATGTTACCAAGCTCAAAAACGGCTATTTCTCCAGTCCAAGGATTGTAGGGTCATTCCTGGGAACGGGCATCGTCGTTGTTGCGACGTACTTCCAATTTCAAGCCCTAGCTGCCGCTGTGTCTTCTGTCAACGCGGACATCGGACCCAGCGCCAATATCGCCCTTGTAAACACAGTATGGACTGTGTCGCAACCCATCTCGCTTCTGCTATTCGGTCGGCTCAGTGATCGCTTTGGCCGTCGTAGCTTTGCCCTGGGCTCCTGTGTGCTTGCGATCGTCGGCGGCATAGTTGCAGCAACAGCACAGTCTATTGAGACGTTGATCGGAGCAGAGGTCATCATGGGTGTTGCTTCCGGGGTACCAGCGGCTTATCCACTCTTAGCCGGTGAGCTAGTCAGCAACAAGCACAAGTATATCGGCACTGCTCTGGTTGTCGTGCCTAATGTCATTGCAACGGGATTTGGGGCATACATTGGGTTGCGGCTGGTACAGGTGGCTAACTGGAGATGGATCTTTTACATATATATCATGATGATGGGTAAGTCAACTCGAAGATGACTGATTTTGACATACCAATGACAACGCGTAGTGCCTGGCGCTATCCTATGGTTCTCCTTTTACCACCCACCTTGTTATACCCAGCTCCACGGGAAAAGGTCCAGCAAACTCGCAGAGCTTAAAAAGGTTGATTGGACGGGCGTTAGTCTCCTTGTCGCTGGCTTAGCTCTCTTCCTGCTCGGTATATCGTGGGGCGGTCCGGCGCAACCTTGGTCCTCTCCAAGAATTCTCGGTCTATTACTCTCGGGTGCTGCAGCCATCGTCGCATTCATCCTTTACGAAGTCTTCTTGCCGCCAGCACAACCGATCATTCCTATGTATTTCTTCGGCGACATGCGTGGCTTTACCTGTTTGGAGGTCATTTCAGCAACCTACGGCATCATCAACATCGCGCTCTTTGTTATGTGGCCGCAACAGGTTGTCTATATCTTCGGTTCGACTGTGAGCTCGTGGGAGGAGACCGCTTGGCTTTCAACCACAGCTGCATTCGGTCTTTGGGGTGGTATAGTCATCCTCGGGCCACTCATGTCATGGATCGGTCACATCAGGTACCAGATCCTGATTTCCTCGATCTGGATGACCGCTTTTCTTGGTGCGATGGCAAGCATCACAGTAGAGGACAAAGCTCGCGCAATCGCTTTCTCGTTTCTCGCAGGCTGGACTATTGGGTGGGGTGAAGTCATAGCAGCAATCGTCGTCCAGTATGTAGTCTCCGACCAAGATCTCGGAGTAGCTTTTTGTAGGTTTTTTCTCTCCATGTGAGATGTACGATGCTTGCTGACAGTGCTCAGCTGTCATCTCAGCATCCCGTACCATTTTTGGTTCCATCTTCACTGCTGCCTTTATCGCAGTGTATACGAACAAGGTGCCAGGCTATCTCACATCGATAGTACCGCAACGTGTTCTAGCAGATGGACTACCCGCAAGCTCATTGAGCGCGCTTATGACGGCTGCAGCTACCGCCAATCAAACAGCTCTTCTCGAGATCGATGGCATGACACCGGAGCTGCTTCACACCACCAATATAGCTGTTAGCGACGCCTACTCCAAGTCATACGCCTATGTGTACTACTTTTCTGTAGCTATTGGAGTGCTGGCAATCATTGCATCGCTATGTATGCGAGACTTTGATGAGTATTTGACCGGCCACGTGTCGAGGCAGCTATACCACAAGAGAGACAGGAGTACTGATCCACTGGAGGTAACGACACGAGAAGTCGATGAAGTTCAGGATGGTGATATTGAGGGCAAGATGACAGGCTGAGATCTTTGATATCTGTAGGAGACCAGGCTTGGGATTAACCATCAGTATGAACAACTTTGCGCGTGGTAGGGTTTACCCTCTGCAGGTTTCGGCGCTTCATGGAAAACATACTGTCTTTGCCCCAGTCACGACACACACTCAAGTACTTTTCAAATGCGGAAAGGCGTTAGCCTTGAACATGCCGTAAGAGAAGCCCCTCTTTCGTCTTGCAGAACTTGTGATTTGATTTACGTGATACATGGTAAGGACATGTGAGATCAACGCAGAAGTGCCGCTTGCGCTGAAACAGCATAGTCCAAGTTCGAGAGTCGAGCGGCCTGAAGAGAGCGTGGTGCCTATGAGGTCGAAATCGAAAAGGAAGTTTGGCGTCCATTTCTTGGGACAATACCCGCCAAAGCACGAATCGCATATGTCATCGAGCCTTGGCATGTCGTCATCCAAGTCATTCACGACGCGCTTATTCCGCGTCAACACGGTTACTCTGGACGCGCAACTAACTTGCTAAAGCAGACACGTTCATGTTCTGGTCGCTAATAATATGATAGTCATGACTCGACGGGTCTTATCTCTTGCATCCGAGTCTCGATCTGCCGCCGTCTATCCCCTACCGCGCGTTCGCTGACGCTGAGCCACTGCTCTGCTTTCTCCGACTTTCGCGACACCGGCTGTACTATAGACTCGTGTACTGTTAATGGATCTTGACAGTCCTCAATACCATCATTCCACACCGAGTCGTCTGCCGAGCTCGAAACGTCGTCATCAGCTTCCAGCGCCCGCTTCCATTTTTCTGCCATGTGCAGCACATATCCTGCAGGCTTCAAGTTGGGCTTAGCATCAGCATCGATGCCTTTTTTCCAAGCCTCGATGGCATCATGATCAAGGCTCTTTATCTTAACTGTTGCATACTCCTTAAGGTCGTATGGCATGTTGAGACTCATGTCATCATCTGGGCCTACGATGGAGACATTCGCCTCTGCTGCTGCTGCGATCTTAGCTTCATGTGTCTCTTCTGCACGTTTTACTAGTCCGGCAAGCTCATAACACGTCCGAACGTGATCACGGCTGAACTCTTCCTCCAAAAGGTGCTTTGATGCATCTGGTCGATCGACGGCGCCAGCAACGTATGCCGCAAGTCCTCTTCGAAAGGCATCGCGATGCTGCTCGTGCCGTCTTTGAGCTTCACGCAGCTCCCGACGTGCTCTCTTCTCCTCTAATCTGATGTAGGCTCTGGTGTTCTCTAGTTGTCCTTCAAAGGCGCCTCTGCTGTCACGCTGGTCCTTTACAGACGAGAGCTCGTCTATCAGTCCGCATTGCGCAAAGACATCCTGGAAAATATCCTCCACTGGTAACGCGGCCTGTTCCCAGGCTTCACGAGCAAGTTCGATATTCCGTACCAATCTTGATCTCTCTGCCTCAAACGTCGCTTTCTCTTTGTCCAGCTGTTCAATCTCTTGCCGCATGCCTTGAACGACCTTATTTTCCTCGGGGGTTGGTTTTCGGTCTCCCTTGAGCTTCGCCATATTTCGTAAACGTTCCAGAACCCAGTCTCCAAGGATCTCATTCTTCCTGAGTGCCCTGTCGATCTGCAGCAACGATGTGTCTCTCGCGTGCCGATATGCCTGGCCATTTGACACTTGGTTCTCGATCTTCTGGGCCAAGACATACGAAACATTCATTAGCATTACCGGCGGTTTAGAGCTGGCCTTGTTCAAGAGGAATAATTCGGAAATCCCATTAGCACAGAGTTGCTCGATATCCGCCTGGCTCCCACTACTTGTCCTGTTCAAGGCTATCGGGAAAGAGTCCATAATATCATGGCCATCTTTGCTTGTGTCTTTATCATCACTTCTAGTTTCCAGACTTCTATCCATTCTTACTCCTTCACATGGTAATACCAACCTTTGATTGATTGGAGACCTTCTTCCCTGGCCGTCACTTTCATGAGATGGTAACGTTTCTTCAATGTTGTTGTTAAGTTTGGCCCGTTTGCTTTGTCCTACTTCCGGTACATCCCTGCCCTCGGCCGTTTCTGAATTTTCTTCGACCGTGAGCCCTCGCTTTCTAGTATTTCCAATCTTGCTAGCTGCATAATGAGCTTCTCGCTGGAAGTCGTCATTCATGTTGAGCATGTTTAATATTCGTATCGAAAGCGCCGGAAGTGTTTGCATCTGGTAGATGTATGGTTCGAAAGGAACAAAGCGCCTCTTTGCATTGTTTTCTCATTGTTCGCCATCACCTCTCCAATTTGGTAAGCCATGATGCTTCTTGGAAGTACTATCAACCAGTCGTTACCTTATTAGCGCTCTGCCGATAGTGACGCATCGTTGAAGACATACGAGCAACAGGTTCTGTGTTGTACGTTGCACCACTACGCTGGTATCCTTCTTTTAGAGCTAGACAATCGGCTGTTCGCCGAACATTGTGAGGTAGAACACTTTGTAGCGAGCAATCTTACAACTATCGCACTTCGTCGTGCAATTTCAACGAACTATGCTTTTATCCAAGGGCGTGGAGGCGCTATGAAAGGTCACCGCAAGAACATTCCCATGATCCACATTGAATCTAGCCACGGGCGCACCACAGTTTCTGCAGTTGCAAATCAAAGCGAGCTGTTCCAGATCTTGGCAGCCGTCTCATTCGATTGCACGATGCAAATTCATATCAATGGATCCCATTCACAAGGGCCTTCAGGTATAACGAGACCGCCTCTAAAGCGCCGACGCTCAAGGTATGCAAGTCTAGTTAGGAGCGACGCGGAATTGAACACACGTCTAAGTTCAGTGCTGCCAGTTGATTGGGACGGTTTGATCATTGATCAATACCCCGACGAACAGACTGAGGCGATCTATCTAATCAAAGCTTCGAACATCAGACAAGAGCGGGCATTGACAGAGAATGAGATTTCTCGATTTGAACCAGGCGATTTGGTGCTGGCAAATGTCCACGAACCGACTACTGATCCTAACGGCAGAGTTGGCGGTGATGATGTTACGGCCACGATATTCGGCCAAGCAGTGTCGAAAGCTCGTTTTCACATTCTCCTGGAGAAACACCCAAAGCATGGGGTATTTGCTCCAATTGGGTCGCGCGGCTTGAAGGGATTGCAGGGCCTTAGCGAGATGGAGCGACGTTGTCGTGTTGGCTTTCGCAAGGCAGAAGAAAACTTCGATCGTGACAGGCTTATCACAGAAGACCCTGAGTTTTTGTCGTTACATGATCCTCTAGAGCTTCGGCAGGGCGTACTAGATCGTTGGTCATTTCTGGATCTCTCCTACCTAACGCCCTTATACTGGTCCTCCAACGTCCAATTCAAAGGATATCTGACCAGATCAGATACACGCAGAGTACTCGAACTTTATGATAGCTTATATCGTGTGAGCCCAGATCCAAGCAATAGAGCTGCGCCATTGACTTCCCCAGCAGACAATGACGCTGCCACAAGGCCTTTGCTACCTCTCAGCCCCAAACATCTGAGACAAGATATCAATCTTCGTTCGGCAGCATTTTATGAGGTGGCGGGGCAAGCTGATTATGAACAACCAACGCTTGACAGGTCCGCTTCCAATGCCAAAGATGATCCGGATCGATCGAAAGGCACGGCAGAAGAACAAAAGAGAGCATTCACCAAACGGAACACGGAAAACGCATCAGTCGTCCAAGACCTAGTGAAAACCGAAAAGAAATTCTTTAAGGATGTGGATGATGCCACTCTGAGTGCAGCCCAAGCGGAGATACACGCTAGAAAAACACTGCTAGAATACCAGGACATGGTGTCGACCGGTACAGCGGGAGAGCATGCCCTTGAGCTATACAAGATCGCGGCAGAACAAGCCGTGCTAGATCGTGATATGGCACTAGAGAAGAGGGACAGATTGACTGCATCAGTTGAGGAGGTACTGGCGCATCCAGAACTCAGGCCCCGCGTGCCTGCTGGCACAGACATCAATGAACAGCGACTGACTATCATCAAAAACGCCACCAGATCGCTTCAGAATCGACTACAGAGCATCGCCAAGCAAAAGTAGGTGTTTATAGCTGGCCTGCTTACATCATTAGGCATGACTAGTCATGGCCACAGTCAAACGTAATATGTTGACTTGCTACAAGTGGCACTCAGCATCGAGAATACTCATCAGCGCTATCAACTAGCAACGTATACGTTTCCTTTCTTTTGCGTCCAAGCGTTCGTTAGCGGTAAGCAATGAAATTCATCAATTGCATTTGTCTACTGACGAGTATTGCATGATGATCATACAACAGCTCTTCCCGCCAATACAGTGACAATGACAAGTCATCAGGGTGACTCCCATGTGAAACATTGCAGTAGCTCACAGCACAATACAGGAAATCAGGAGATCAGGCATGAAATGTTCGTATTCTTTAGACATTTACAACGGTCTTGAAATAGGACATAATAAGATATTGGGTATTATCGCATCAAAACATCGTCAACTCCACAGCGCCTCGCTCTTGTTCTCTTACAATAAATTCATACACGCGTCAAGTTCGATCCCTCAAAAGCATCATACCATCCCTTCATCTCCCACCGCCGTGACTGCAACCATTGCTTCGTCTTGTCATTGTTGTAGATGTATGGCTGCTTCCACCACTTCTCATGCACACTGACTAGCCCTTTAGCAATGTCGTTGTCGTTGGGACAACGGATGTTCCACGTATAGGCAATCTCCCGCCAAGGCATGGGTCCGTCCCAGCGATGCGCGTGGTTGATAAGGTTTTGTTCGGGATATCGGGGGTCGAAAGAGCCGGGTGTGTTGAGTAGCGTCTTGTAGTACTCGAAGACGGGAAGCGAGGGCGCGAGGATGAAGAAACCGGCGTTCATGTTGCCGGGGCCCTTGAGACCTGTGCCATACGTAGGCGGGAAAGCATGAGTCGAGTCCCAGACTTCGGAGTTGGACGCGAGGAGGTAAGTTGAGGGCAGACCGGTATCGTTGGACGGCTTGGTAGCGAGCAGCTGAGCGGCGGGGTCGTCGAATACTGGGTCGAGATTCTTGAGCAGCATGGAGTCGCCATCCATCACGACGATGCGATCGTACTGGGTCATCTCCCAAACACGCAGTTTAGTCATTACGTCGTCCCATCTGTGAAACTCAGGGTGGACCCAACTGTCGTTGGCAGTGTGCAGAAATTCTACAGCATGAACGATGGCGCCATCCTTCTCTAGCCGGTCGCGTCGTGCCTGGGTGACGGTAGGAGTGACCATGACAATGACATCATGCTTTGTGCGCGTCTCAGGTTTATGAATGAACTGCCAGATGAGGATACGGATGGCTTGGAAGTACTTGTCGTCCTCCAAATTGTCTGCATCACTGTTTGGCGAAGACAGGTCGTCGCCTTCAAGGGCATCTCCTGTGAGGAAAGTAACGTATGCTAGCTTCTCCGGTCTGTCGGTACCAGTGACGTTGGCTTCGAGATAGGACGGTGGTGTGGGAATCGGTTTCGGCTTTTCGGTTTCGGCGGCTTTATGGCTGATCAAGGCCGGCATGGGAATTTTGTCGAACACGCGCGTTTCCACAGCGAGAAAGATGCAGGTCGACAATATCACTACTGTCGCCAGTGTGATCCGGATCCATCGAGGGCTTGTGAAGATGTTCCAGGGGCTTGGAGACTTCATCCAGGCGGGCTTTGACCCATCCATGGACGCCAGCATGCTGAAGATACAAAGAAGTGCAAAGTCTACGCAAATTGACAGTAGCGCAGCAGGCTGTATTTCAACCTCATCCCTTTCCACTCCGGTCCCGTAAGCCCTGCCGCATGTGGTTGGACAGCATTTTATGCGAAGGGGCAAACCCGATGGGAGGTAGCAGTAACCGTTCGTGAGTCGTGCAAACCCTGGACAATCCCGCGCTTTGGCCAGACCCTGTCGGACGCTGACAGACCTGACATTGAAAGCTTGGCGGTAATGCAGAAGTTTGATTAGTTGGTAAGCACTTAGCGGAGATGATCTTGCGCCTTAGCGGTGTTTCCAGACCAACTCAGCCCTAGCCGACGCGGTTCCCTGGGCATGGTTGCCTACCGAACAACGTTCAAAAGAAATGGCCGAACACGCTGCTAATTAAGACTACCAGTGCAGACTACATTCCATCATCGTCATTGAACGTGTATATGAAATGACCTCGAATGGAATGGAAATAACTGATGTGAGTTCAGATGGGTACTTCGTATTGACATTCTCGCTAGACTGCCAAATTTAGCTAAGCCTATGCTTGTCGCGCCACGACTTTAACCTTGGAACACGCTACAATGGGCGCCTAACAGGGAATTCAGCAAAGCGTGTATTTTTGAAATTTGAAGGAAGACAAACTTCTGCAATAAGCAAATTCTGCTCGTGAGTATCTCGGCCGCAGTTCCAGACGTCCAGGTCAATCCGGCCAGAACTACGCACGTCCACAAGTGGGCTAATTTGGTGTGAGCCCACGCTTGAGAGAATCGCGACGCGGTGACAGCACATGCATATCTTGCAAGGTTGGGGAAGGTATCGGCATAGGCCGTTGACGCCGATGCCGTGCACTGCCACCCAGTCAAGCTTACACCTGTTGCGCAATGATCACCAGGAGTGGGGCATGCTGGCTGTCAGCTCTACACGACGAGACATGAACACACACAGAGTGAAATAGGTAAGTAAGATCGACTTATCTGATTATGCAAGTCAGATATGTTAGCGATTGGCGAACATTGGGTCGAGTTGACACGTATAAGGCCTCCAGATGTCGCAGTATACGTACGCTCCTCTGGCAGACTCGCAAATTCGGTTCCTTCGCATACAACGACATGCAGCCACTCTGCAGCTAGTATGTGACTTAGAACGGGTTGTTGTCCCTTTCGGCGATGGATACGCGGCGCTTTCGTATACATGGGGTGACCTTACGCCGACGCGTAGCGTTCTCATCGAAGGCAGAAATCACGATGTTCCTCAGAACCTTTTCGATTTTTTTCAAGCCTACCTCGTCGCTCATCCCGGGGAATCATCACCCAATGGGAATCTTTGGGTTGATCAAATATGTATCAATCAGCTTGATCATGATGAGCGGAGCCAGCAAGTGAGCATGATGGATAAGATATTTCGATCAGCGAGCAAGGTGCTCGTCTGGTTAGGATGTGAGCCTGCTATGGTCGAGGCTGCGCGACAGGTGCGGTATGGCGATACTAGTAATGCTGTCGCGACATTGTTGCATCATCCGTACTTCTCAAGGGTCTGGATTGTCCAGGAAGTTGCGCTCGCACGGAAAAAGGTCATTTTATGTGGAGACGTGCAGCTCGAATGGAGTGACTTGCTTGATGCTGTAGCAAAGCACTTCGACGTCTTAGACCGCATACCAGCAGTGGTCCATGAGAAAGAACACTACAGAACGCTTGAGATGTGTCTGTACAAGTACTGTTGGAACGACTGTCACGACCCGCGGGACAAGCTGTACGGCCTACTCGGTCTGACTGCTGAAAGATGGCGCGTCAACGTCAACTACAACAAGACAATACTGGAGGTATATCTGGACGCTGTCTGCGCGGTCTGCGAAGAGCTATTCGACATCCTGGATCCGGACTGTTTTTACGATGGATGTATTGAGTACCCCGTGAACCTCGAAAACTATCGCACAACACTCCTTGCTTTGGGTGTAGCGATGGGGTTTCCTAAAAATCAGCTCATGGGCCTAGGACCTTTCATCGAAGCAATACAAGCAGTGTACCACAGCACGTATTTGCGGAACATCTCGTTCATTTTCACTGGGCTCCTCCATTCGAAAGAACGAGAGCAAGATTGTGCGTATGATGTGACACACCCGAAAGCAAACATTGCAGTCCGTTGGGGCTCGATTGTTGCAACCCGGCGAAATCCTTTCGTGCGCGACGTCATCCCTCGGATGGGCTTACAAATAGCCTCAGCTTCATCGCAGGACGACGTGCATGGCGAAAACGATGATGAAGGGCCAGCCTGGGATCGATGGTGGTTCGAGCACAACGGTAGGACGCAATACTTCATCTGCCCACACACCGACGAGGTTGCGCTGTCCAGATCGGCAGAGTCTTGAGGTATTCCTTGCCGCTAACTCTTCTGAGTGCCGATATTTCGCGACAATCGTGTCCGGAAATCCTAGCCGGTAGAACTCTGTTTCTTAGAAGCCATCCTTGTGTTGATCGCCAGTGCATTGGAGATGGAGTCAGGAATCGCTGTCCATATCGAAGGAATCGATGCTAGAGCCTGCAGCCTGGCCTTGGCCGCTCAATTGATGCTAATTGAGGCATTATAATAAGGGTCTCGAATTTTAGCGAAAGGATGGAGATGTGCCTCGGAGTCTGCTGGAGGCCTGAAATCTGTAGGGCAATGGTCATTGGCTTTTGCTGAGCGCTCGAATCTTGGCTTGAATGATGAGAAGTATACAGCCTCGGTGACTGTACTCGGGGTACATCCTGCAATCTTCATATCCGTCTTTGTAGCCCGTCGTTTTCGAAGGATCCTGCAGTCATTCGTGGAACCTCGGACGGCTCGTGGAGGCTGTGCCTCGCCATCGGTAAAAGGCGCCCACCGCTCCTGCATGCCAAGACTTCGGGTAACGTCCCACTAGCGCCACGAATCTGGACCTGCCCTTGACGCGCTCAGGGACTCGGTCTCGACTACCCCGATTAACACATTAAGCGAGTTCCCCGCTATGAGTTATGGGATCTCAACATCCTGGTTCATGCGATGGCACGATTCAGGATCATATTCTGCCTGCGGCTCAGCTTCGGCTAAGCCTCTTCTTCTCCACAGACATGAGGCTGAGTTCGTTGTAAGCCTGCTGTCTTGTTAGTTGTTTACATACAGCATCCAACGCTGCAATGCAATCCTGAGGCCATTGACTTTACCTTCTTCACTAACAGCCTCGAGGTATACTGCTATTCGAGAACCAGGATGGAACGATGTAGCATTCCCACATACCAAGAACAGCCATTGGACAGGAGTAGAAGAGAGCTCCGGCTGCTGCATCTTCACCCACGAACCACCGATCACATAACGGCTACGTTGAGCGTAGCAGATCTTGAGAGCGCTGCTGAGACTTACTCATGCGTTTCCTATGTGTGGGGAAATCCGAACGAAACGGTACCAATCGAAGTAGACGGGCATGAGATGCAGATCACCCTCAACCTGTTTGACTTTCTGCATCACATCAGAGATCCTAATGATACCCTCATCCTTTGGGTGGATGCTATCTGCATAAACCAAAACGATCTGGAAGAAAAGTCCCACCAAGTGGCGATGATGGGAGACATCTACTCTAGATGTTCAGTCGTGCACGCTTGGTTAGGCACGCCCCCGTCAGAGATGGTACTGGAGATGAATCCATTCGCAATGTTCGAACATATTGCGGATGGAAAGCATTGGCACGATCTTCCGGGCGTTCTTGAAGAGGGAGATGACGAGGGAGCACCAAATGATGTGTTCGTTGATCAAATGGTTGCGTTTCACTTGATTGCTGACAGTGCATGGTGGACGCGATCATGGACTGTTCAAGAGATCATACTACCCACATCCGGTATTTTGTGGTATGGATCACATAGCATGACCTGGGATCGCTTTGCGCTTGTTTTCGAAAGAGCAAACGCCGCATACGTCCATTGCTGCACACAAGGTACGGAGGCGACGAAACATTGGGGCCCAAAGATGGATAAGTTCAACCGATTCATGTCCAGCATTGCGATCATCGATAAATTGCGACAATATCGACAACAGACGACCGAACAAGTAGTCGACGTCCTGTCCAGCAACGAACAACCACCATCATTTCACAGCATCTTACTTTCCTTCTCAAACCGACAATGTAAAGACCCCCGCGATAAGATTTTCTCGGTCCTCGGTTTGGCACCCGCGCGGATGTTTGATGCATACACACCCAACTACCAACAACCGTTGACGGATTGCTTCACAGACGTCTATCGGAGAATGTTAGAGTATGATAACGATACTTCGAGAGTTTTGTTGGGTAGAGGGTTTGGACCATATAACAAAGGTTTGCCATCTTGGGCCCGTGACCTCTCCAAGCAACATGACGGGCAAGATTGGGAGGAGACCAGAGCGCGGCTTTCTGGCTTATATGATTGTTCCGCAGGGTCTTCAAACACAGTCACCGTAAAAGATGGCAGAGAGCTTCACACCAAAGCTAGAAAGGCCGACATCATTCGAGTTGTAGGCAAAACACACCGACTACAGAAATCTGGTGTGGCTTCACAAATTATAGCCATGCTACAGTCGTATGAGTTGGCGTCGGAAACCTTGACCTATACAGAGGAAGCGCATCTGAACAAAGCATTCATGCGGACTATTTGTGCAACAATCACACAAGACGTGGAAGACAGTGGGCAATGGAGGAGATGCGAAGACGATGACCTGCCCAGCCCCGAATCTTGGCTAAGTCTTCTGACAGGAGAAGGTTACACGTTGCCTTACGCGTTCACATCAGCAATGTTGTTGGCCACGGAAAATCGTTGCTTATTCATCACAGAATCGGGAAACCTTGGAATGTGCTACCCTGGTACGAAACCTGGGGACGAAGTTTGGGCCTTGTCAGGTATGAATGTGCCCTTCGTGCTGCGAAAAGCAACTAAAGGGCATCATTTGGAGAGCGCTTATCACTTGATGGGGGACTGTTTTCTGCTTGATCAGATGGATGGAGAGATCATGCAGAATGATGAAGAGACAAAATCGATAGTCCTGGTTTAACTCGCGATTGAGGAAAGGTTGGCAATGATTTGAGGTAGCAGTGCATGACGTGGATGCAGACATTCGAGAAAACTCCCTCTATGAGATTCCATATGCACAAACGTTGTCTGTTGATAGGACAATTTCTTGCGAATACAACTTCGTTCAAGTAGCACTTAGAAACTGACTGCAGGAATGTGACGCGTCATGCATAATTTGAAGTACGAACCTCGCAGTCAAAAGTTGAAGACTTGAGTGCCATAGACGTGGTTTGTATCGTTGATCTGACCAATTTTGGAGTTGTAGTTATTGATTGACATGTTTCGGTTATCCTGTTCTGATGATCAATCGTCGACCTAAGGAGTGCAGTAGTGGAATCAAGAACTGACCTTTGAGAGCAAGGCGTCGACTAAGGCTTCATTGAGGTCCTTGTCCTGTTGTGCAGTGACTTCTTTGAGAGCAGGAAGACAGTCCCTAGAGCCGATGGCGGAAGCTTCTGCTCTGCACAGCCTGCGCTGCTCTTCGCGTGATGCAGGAAAGCATTCCACAAGACCATTGACAAGATCTGTGACGTGTTCGAGCAACTCCTTGAAGCGTTTCCTCTCATACAGTGCCCATTGCACTTTCGGTCGCAAAGGCGTGCTATTTTGACGCTTGATGGACATAGCGCGCATCTTCTCGTGTAACGATTGGCCCGAGGCCTCCAGGTTTGTAGCCACGTCAAGGACCGTAAGATCCCCGTCGGTCTCCCCCATACGGCTTTGGTATCTCTTGGACTTACTCTCCATTTTTGCGAAGAGGTCCATTATTTGCCCTAGCACATTTCCAGCTTTTTCAATATCCTCCGGCGGCCCTGTCGCTAGTCTGATTGCATGGGTATTGCTCAAGTCACCATCCAAACCAACAGACTTGCCCCAACGTGAAAGTCGTAGCCGCAGAATATCTAACTTGAGCAGGCTGACTTGGAAATCCGTACCGAAAGCGCTACCGAGCTGGACGTATTCGAAGCAGTCTACGGCGTTGTTGAAGAGACCAGCCAGGGCGACGATGCCAACAGCAAGACCAGCAGGCTCCATAGTATCTGATTAGACAATGGTAATGATGACAGAGAAAAAAAATCACACGATGATCTTTTGCAGTCCCGTTAGAAAGCGGCGCGGCTGGGGTTTTCATTTCCTGTGTTCACGCGAGGCTGAAACGCTGCCCGCAGCCTGTTGCTGCATGATCCTTCAGCCCCTTAGAGGTCTGCCTCGCGAAGCACCTGTCTAACTGCTCAAGCTCTACCGTCTGTTCAATGTGTTCCCAGGCTGAGACAGAGTCATATTACCTGCTTTAACCGCCCTGTTTTGCCTCTGGTCTGTCGTTTTTGTTCGTCCTGGCTGCTCGGTGGGCATGAACGCGCGCGCGACCGCCCAGACTATTGGCTTCAACAACGAGGGTGGGAGGATAGCTATTCAGGCGGCAGAGTACCATGTCCACGGGGACAACATCGTAAAGTATGAAGACTACTTCGTACCGAGATTGGCGGCCGCTAACAAAGCTGTAGTCAGGCACAAGAAGGTGGTCTGGAGAAGCTACCGTACGCCGCCGAAGCGCCGTTCAACGCGTATACCCGGCAGCACGACCCGGAATGCCTCCCTTCCACGCGAACCGCGCTCTTGGACGACATATATACGTGGACCGATGGACACGATGAGCGATGCGTCTACTGGCTAAACGGTCTAGCTGGTACCGGAAAGTCAACAATTGCGCGGACAGTAGCTCGTAGGCACTATAAGCGGAGGAGCCTAGGAGCCAGCTTCTTCTTTAACAGAGGTGGCGGCGACGTTAGTCATGCGCGCAAATTCGTAACGAGCGTTGCTGTCCAGCTTGCATACAATGTTCCAGTATGTCGTCAGCATATATGTGATGCGATTGCAGAGCGCCCTGATATCTCGAATTCCACGTTGCGCGACCAGTGGCAGCAACTCGTCCTTCGTCCGTTATCCGCGCTCAACACTTTGGGCAATATCACTGCTTTAGTTCTGGTTATCGATGCTCTGGATGAGTGTGATGACGACGACGATATCCGGATAGTTATTGAATTGCTGGCTGAAGCGCAAGTACTCAGCGGACCGAAAGTGCGCGTATTCTTGACGAGCAGGCCTGAAGTAGCGATCCGGCACGGCTTCTGCGATGTGCCAGATACATCACATCAGTGTTTCGTGCTGCACCACATCGCATCCTCTGTTGTCGATGCTGATATCGAGCTCTTCTTGAAGCACAATCTTGCAATCACTGGTCGAGAACAACGCCTGCCCGCTGGCTGGCCCGGCTCTGAGATAGTCGCAAAGATGGTGCAAAGGGCTAATGGTCTCTTCATCTGGGCTGCAACCGCCCACCGGTTTGTTCAACAAGGCAGACGTTTTGCGGCACGAAGGCTGGAATTTATCATTGAGGGTGACACAGACACGCAAGGAGAACCCGAGAAACATCTTGATCAAATCTACATGACCATTCTGCGAAGCTCACTTCGTCCAGAGTATTCAGAAGGAGAAGGAGAAGAGCATTGCAAGAAACTAAGATATGTTCTTGGAACCTTGGTAGTATTGAAAGCGCCGCTCGCAGCGGAAGCACTAGAGAAGCTGCTAGGTGTTGTAGAAGAAGGTATCGGGTCGATAATCGAAGATTTGCATGCCATCCTTGATGTGCCAGCAGATAAATCGAGACCAATACGTCTCCATCATCCTTCGTTGCGCGACTTTCTGCTCAACAAAAGACGATGTACTGATACCAGATTCTGGATAGACGAAGCACAAATTCATACTGCATTGTCATCGCGGTGCATAGCACTGATGACAGGCTTTTTCAAGCAGACAGGAGGAACCGATGCCGTAACAGCTGTACAGAATGGCAGGGTCTTATGTTCAGAGCTAAAAAAGCTGCGAAAGGAGATGAGGAACAGGATACGGAACTTGACCGAGTTCTACACGGCGAATCTTGCGGAGTTGCAAAACGATATGAGGGATCCAAAAGTCGCAGAGCGAGGTCTGACAACCACAAAGAGCTATAAGAGACTCGATTACGAGGGTTTGAAGTCTCTCAAAAAGATATTTTCAAATGCTATATCAGTGTATGAAGGTATCCTGGAGGGATTTGAAGCCCTTAAATCAATCCCTGGTCATGATGCCGAATCACCATACTCCGTCGAGCTACGGTACGCGGTGTATAACTGGGCTCGTCATCTCAAACAAAGCGGAAGGAAGCCCATTGATCATGGAGAAGCTCATGCTTTCGTCAGTGAGTATTTCTGGGCCTTGTGTTTGATGATTACTTCTTGGTTGCAATTCTGGGCATGGATGAGCAACATAAAGTGTGTCCAGGATTGTGTTTCTGTAAGTCTTGCATCGAGTCCTTGCGCCCAGGCACTAATCGTTTCCAGGAAGAAGTTGCTCCTCTATTTGCCGCTTTCCTCCAGGGCAAAGATGTGGCAATATGTATTCAAGAATTGAAAGGGGTCGGCACAGCTATAATCGAGCTCGAAAGATTGATGAGCGATTTTAGCAATATGCTGAATGCAGTAGAAATAGATGCGTAGTTGAATCGAAAGTTTTCAATATCTGAGAGCGAACCAGCTGAAAAGATATATGCCCAACCACCGGTGGATGGCAGGGGGTATCGTAGACCAAAAAACAACAACAAAATCAAACCCAACAGCAAGACGAGAACAAAGACATGCTCACAAAAAAAATCGCAATCTAGCGCCAAAGTGATAGACAGATATGCCACCCGTTCCCAAAGTCCCCAGCCCAAACAAACAACCAACCGACCACATCCACATTATAGGTATATCCGCGGGGTCATCGTCTCGTGATCGAATCGCGTCCATCATCTCATCTCCTAGCATCACTTTCCCTCCTATTACTCGGAGCAACACTGCTCTCTCTCCTATTACTCGGTGCAATACTGCTCGCCGCAATACTAACAACATCGCTCATGCTATCCTGATCCCTCTGGTAGCTATACTGCATACCCTCACCAGGGCCTTTGAACCCGTTGTCCCAAGCGGAAATGCGCGAAAGAAGCCTAAACACCCATTAAAACGATTCTTAAGCACACAGCAAAGTGTGCGCAGTTATGTGCGGAGTGGTGAGCGCTCACCGATCGTCTGGCGGACCGTAGTATTCTTCGGGAATGAGCTCGTAGTCGCCTTCGACGGGAAGGTAGAAGGCGGAGACGGCGATGCCGACGGAAGTCAGGAAGAGGATGGTCCAGCTAGCGGTGCAGAGAGACCACGAGAGGTCAAGGTGCCAGCCCTTCCAGAAGCGGTCGTCGTTGTCGAAGAGGAATGCCTGGAGGAATTAGTACTGCGCATTGCTTTGCTTCTGCGATATGGACCCTGCAGCACGCAGGGACAACGTACCACTATGGCCATACCGGCGCACTGGACGATGGCGCTGAAGGAAAGTACGCCAACGGCCACCTGCCAGCCTGCGGCCCTGCGCTGCACCCCACCAGAGATGATGACAACGAAGGATACGATAGCGCATAGCTCAACGACGACGCCAAAAGATGTCAGGAAACCGACGGTCCTCCACATATTGCAGAAGGACGGGTCCTTTGTGCAGTCGCTCATCTTGGGGAAGGGAACGCAGGTGCCAGTGACGGCGGAGCAGCGACTGTGCAGGCCGTACGAGTATTCGCGCTCGCCGTTGGGACTGTAGCTGACCCATCGCGGCATGGAGATACTGGCGATGGTCATGATGGTGCCTGCCTAGTCAGTCGCTACTTCCTCTTTCAAGTGTTGTCGTCTCTTACAGGCCAGTGTGAGGATGAGCCCCACCCCATACACAATTCTTCGCGTCATGGTGGATGTATCAACAGTGTATCTCTAGAGGTAAGATGTCGAGGTGAGGAAGAAAGAGGTCGGAATTTCTTGTCGGATCGGTGGCGCAATGCGAGGAGCTGCGGGGTTTTTGATACGGAGGGATGCGCGATTAGGTGTGAGGCGTGCAGCGTGCAGGCGAGAGGCTCTAGGCGGCGGTACAAAGGGTTGCAGGCGTGCAGGCGTTCTCTGCGGAGGCGCCACCAGCGGATCGACGCAGAAGGCAAGGAGATGCGATCACAAGTAAACCTTCTGACAGGTGACGGTCCTTTTGAGGGGAGACGCGGGGAGCGGATTGAGCCGGGGCTACACGTCGGTCAGGTCAGGACACCATGGGCGTGATGATGGAGGGTGTGAAAAACGCTGCTCTCCCGTCGCAAGTCGCGCTAGGAGGGGAGGTGCACTCAATGACGACAAGGGTGAGCTCGGACGCCTTTCCCCACGCATACGCGCGAAGACCACCCTGGGGCTTTCACCGCTAGGAATACTTTCTCTACCTACTGATAGCGCACCGCACCTTGTGGGTATTGATAGCCTCGCCATGTTTGTACCTTCTCATTTGGTGTTCATGCATCATATCACAAACACCCCCCTCCAACACACGACCACACGGTAATTGTTGGGGCATGCGGGCGCAGACTGTGTCTATCGCATTTGAGAATAGCGGTGTCAAATCCCATGTTGTGCTTTGCGCCGCCCTCCGATCGCCGATCATGTCGTGATGGACTCTGCCATGATCCTAGGCCCTGTTACTTCCTTGGAAGTTGACTTACATCTTTTGCCAGTCTGGGCAAGTCAAGTTTTGGAGACTTCCGAATCTTTGCATGTCACAAGTTCGAGGCATTTTTCGAGATTATCGAGACCGATTTGCATACACTGATAAGGCTATGGTCACGCACACTAGCCACACCTACCGATCAGCACCGGCAATGCGAACACGTGGGGTGGTAACTCGCGTGGTAGATTGTGGTATAAACCACGCACAGCTACAACAAAGTCTATCTTCGTCTGCTCACCGCTCCAAACTTCAAGACTGATGTTGCTATGAAGCTACTGTCGCTAGCATAGGTGTACCCCAGACGTGATAAGAGGCGCTGGGCATGGAAGCCGGCAAGGACCTAGTGGATGCACTCCGCACTGCGACTGCAGCAGCTACCGATATTGGCCTGCGACTGTGATTGGGCGGTAGGTGTTAGGTGGCGCATGTCTCGCATGGAGGGGAGAGCGCTATGATAACGACGCACGTCGTCGACGGCAATTGGACGGCCCGCCAACCTGAGGCTAGAACGTCTAAACCCTAAAGTATCGAGCCCTGACTTTCTGTAGAGTCAAGTAGAAGTATATATAGTACAGACAATGAACACCAAAGGGAATGGGCTCTAGAAGACAACGTCCTCAGGTTCGCGCTCAGGCTGTGCCTTGGGTTTCTGCAGCATCTCGTAGCAGAGTATCGATGCTGCAACACTGACGTTCAAACTGTCGACCCCAACCTCGTTGGACTCGCGGCCATGAGGAATACCTACTTTGTAACGCGCCAGATTGACTAAGCTGGTCTTCAACCCCGTGCCCTCTGCGCCCATCATGAGAATTGTAGGGTGCTCTGCAACAGGGCTGTGGTCAGCAGGAAGTCGTTTTCTCGTGTGCGAGATACTGTAAACGACTTTGTTGGCTCCGGCTTCCATAGAATCAACAGTTGACGAGGCAAACGAGGTTGGAGGTGGAACAGCGTCGCTCGCATATATACACCAGCCTGCGTTTGCACTCTTCTTCAGGAAGTCATTCGAGTCTCCGACTTTAAAAAGCGGAAGAGCTTCGGCGGCGCCGGCGGAAGCCTTCACTGCGATGTGACTCCAATTTGCAGTGTGATGAGTCGGCGTGATGATGGCGTCCGCACCTAGGACATAGGCCGAACGAGCAATAGCCCCAAGGTTGCCTTCATCGACCTGTTGATGTTAGTCAATCATCTGGTGTGCGAATCATCTTACTCACCACGCCATCAACGTAGAGAATCAGTGGATGCCTCCATCCTCCGGACTTGTAAGAGTACAACTCTTGCTTGCCATTGACAAGCACGTCTTCTGCACTTTGACTATCGAGTGTAACGCTAAAGCTCTCGTCTTCCATAGATACTGTCTTTAGCTCAGTGATGGGCGGAACAGGCAGAGGCGATGCCTCGAGTATCACACCGTTGTGTGGTCGACCACTACTAGCTTTGTCTAAAGCGCGCATGTATTCGTCTCCGACTTCATGCGTGATCGAGAAGAGCTTCTGAGCTCTGATGCGAGACATGAGACCATCTCGATTCGCACCTCGTGAATGCACGTAGAGATTGTAGAATTTGCGTCGGTTTGCTTTCATCGCAGAGACGACGCTGTTATATCCGTATATGAATTCGGATGCGGCTGTGGTGTAGGGGAGTGATTCTGGTCCACGGATTGAAGCCTTCTGGGGTTCCGTCTCGCCTCTTGCTCCTGGTCTAGTATCAGATGACGCCCGTCCGTATCCCTCTCTTCTAGCGCCTTTTGAGTCTGGTCTTTGGTTGAATCGTGGCCGATCATCTCTTGAATCTCGAGTACGCGGAACATGAGAGCTTGAATCCTCGTCTATTCTGTCTCCTCGTGTATCACGACGATCGTTTGTCCATGGACGACGTGGTCTATCGTCGCTGTCCTGCTCCAGCGGTGCCACTTTGCGATCAAAAGACCGAAACCTGGTCTCTTCTCGTGGACGGTCCCGCCACGTATTCCCACTTCTAGTGTGTGCATCTGGAGATTTACGGAACCTACTCGGCGCATCGTTATCACGGGGTCGCGATGACCCAATGCGTCCGAACCTGCTACTGCGAGGTGATGCACGCGGTCTGTCGCTGGGAGCTGGTTCCGGATCTTGGCGAGGAGCACCAAATCTCTCGAACCTTGCCTCCCGGCGAGTCTTCACCGGTCTGTCCCCCTCATCGTTGTGGCCGGTTCGGGTCCGTGGTCTGAAGGGTCGATCTGGTCCGCCCTGCCTGCCCCGCTCGATGGCAGCAGTAATGGATTTGTAGCGGAGGAAGGTGCGAGGGACGACCAATTGATGAGACCGCAGTAGCGTGCTACTAGTCAGGCAGGAATAAACCATAACAGAGTCAACTTGGACGTCTTTGTGGTCTTGACTGTGTCATCAGTCCAGAAGCGATGCGGCGAAAAGTTCCACATCGCCAAGCCAGGCGTTCGCACTAAGAATAAGCGCAGAACGCGAAGTCACGCGTTTGGCGTTCGGACGCTATCATCATTCACCGACACGCGACGGAGACCACAGGTGCAGCAACGCGCACGCACACCCCATATCCACCCGTGCGCTTCAAACTCCACCGCAAATCGCCATTATGAGTAGCGATGAGGACAGCGCGGCGCTCATGGCAGCATTCAAGAAGAAGCCTGCTGGGCGCAACACTAGTGCTCCTCAAGTAGCGCCTCTGGGGGAAGCATCTGATTCCCCAGCTGCCATCTCTCTACAAGACGACATGAATGATGATGTGGAGTTTTTACGTATCGAAATCCCGCCTCGCAAACGTAGACTTCTGTGTGTTCGCATACCCCAGAAACAAATTAGGAAGGCCGAGTACAAGTACTATGAGCCCCAGGATGAGGTGGAAAAGGTCCTTCATGAGGCTTCTGTTGGAAAAAAGGGCGAAATGATGTATAGGATCAAACTGTTCGGCAGTGATCGCGTCAAGCAGGTGAGTTTCCATAGATCACTATATCACTGGTAAAGGCAGCAAGAGCGACGAATGCAGCGGGGTTACTATATAACAGGCGACTTGGGTCCTTTCTTCTCTTACGAACCTATGTTCTTGAATATCTGCTAATGTCCATAGGTTACCTTCGAAGAGCTCCTTGATTTCCGTGGTGGCCCTGAGGCACTGCAATCGTTCCAACCACAGAACGATTCGAGCGACGACGCTGACATGAGGCTTCGCAACCAGAACACTAGGGTGGATGTTGAGAGGTTTGTCGATATAACAAGTTTCATCATATCATCGTCCGAGGACGACGAGCAAGACGAGCTTGCCTATGACACATCAGGACGCCCACGCCGCCGCCCACGGACAGGACGTGCAAGTCGTCGAGGAAAGCCATCGAGAGATCGCTCAGAGATCAGTGATCTGATCGCGCTCTCTACGAGTGAGGAGGACGAAGACTCTGATGACGGCGGCCGGAAGGGCAAAGGCAGGCCGCGCAAAGGTATACAGCAGCCCACACGACGCTCAACACGACAACCAATACGAACGAGGAACAATGACAACGATGACGGCGAAAAAGAGGAGGATGATACCGACGACTCCAGTGCCTCGGATATTCTGGGGTCAGACGTACTTCCTAGTCGCAAGCGCAAGAGACAGTCTTTACGTGCAGCAAAGCCTGAGAAGATCCCTCGAGCGGGCGTCCGACAGTCTGATCGAGCAACGCGTGCTACCAACAACATGCAGGAGGCGGATATGAACGACATATACCGGTCAGACACCGCGCCCAGAGTCGTTGCTCAGAAGGTCTCTGTTGTCCGCGAAGTGTTCCCGAAGCTCCCACGGAGCGACCCTTTCCGTGCGCGACATGCAGAGGGTTGCGAAGTCTGCTTCGATGGACCCAACGTAGCACCCCTGGTGTACTGTCAAGGTTGCTCTCTAGCATACCACAAGAATTGCTTGGGTAATCGATCTACTCGCGATCATTTAGTCACAAAGGTTGGCGATGAGCAGTTCGTCCTGCAGTGCAAGAGGTGCATTGGCTTCTATAAGAAGAAGGACGCGACCGCTCCCGATCTATCCAGGTGTCAAGACTGCGCTGTTTCCGGAGTTTCGTGCCGACCCTTTAGGCGCCGCAAGACTACGCAGCAAGAGATGAAAGAGCGCGAAGAGAATGATGGCTATGATCCAGTTGTTGACGTTCCTTCTGAGCTTCTCAACGACCGTAACAACGTGTTGTTTCGCTGCACAAAGTGCTCTCGCGCCTGGCATTATCACCACCTACCACCTATTTCGCAGTATGCTATGGACGTCAATCGTGACGACGAAGAGATGGCAGATGAGCGATTCCGCGAGTACTCTGGTAAATGGATGTGCAAGGAGTGCGACGAGACCACTAATCAAAAGGTTGGCGGCATCATTGCCTGGCGGCCATCAGATGTCGAGACTTATCGACCAGGAACTCCATGTGAGTTGATATGCGAAGACGACAAGCAATATCTTATCAAATGGGAGAATGAGTCCTACTTCCGGGCGTCATGGCACTCCGGAGCCTGGACCTGGGGCGTGACAGCTGGAGTCCAACGCAAGGCTTTCTTCAAGCGTGAGGACGGACCAAAGATGCGAACTGAAGACGCCATTCCCGAAGAGTACCTTCGCATCGACATTGTCCTTGACATCAAGTACACGAGCTATGTCGAGGTTCGCACCGAGGAGATCGACAAAGCACGTATAAAAGAAGTCGATAAGGCGCTTATCAAGTACAAGGGTTTGGGCTATGAGGACACTGTCTGGGAGAGTGTGCCTACTCCAGAAGACGGTGATAGGTGGCTAGACTTTGTCACTGCTTACAACGACTGGGTTGCCGGTCGCTACGTCAAGATCCCCAAGCAGGGTCCCCTCAAAGGACGAATTGAGAAAGCTCGAAGCACACCATTCGCTAAGCTTGAGCGAGAGAAACAACCTGATAATCTGGTTGGTGGTGAGCTGATGAAATACCAGCTGGACGGCCTGAACTGGCTCTACTACAAATGGTACGATCAGAAAAACGCCATCCTTGCAGACGAGATGGGCCTGGGTAAGACGATACAAGTCATCGCCTTCATGGCAACCCTTATTCAGGAGCATAACTGCTTCCCGTTCTTGATTGTAGTGCCCAACTCGACATGTGCCAACTGGCGCCGGGAGATCAAGCAATGGGCGCCTTCTCTTCGTGTAGTCGCCTACTTTGGATCTGCCAAAGCTCGCGACATGTCCTACAAGTACGAGATGTATCCCGAGAACACGAAGGACCTACGATGCCACATTGTTGTAACTTCATACGAAGCGGCGGCCGACGACAACTGCAGGAGATTCTTTAGAGGTGTCAGCTGGGGCGGTCTCATCATCGATGAAGGCCAGCGTCTGAAGAACGATAAGAGCCAGTTGTACACAGCTCTCACAGCAGTACGCGCGCCATTCCGACTGCTATTGACTGGCACGCCACTACAAAACAATGCTAGAGAGCTCTTCAACTTGCTGCACTTCCTAGACGACACTATCAATGCCGAGCAACTTGAGGAACAGTACGCTGAGATGACAGCGGAGAACATTCGGGAACTTCATGACCAGATTCGACCTTTCATCTTGCGACGTACCAAGGCCAAGGTGCTGACCTTCCTTCCGCCTCTGGGTCAGATCATTCTTCCAATCTCCATGAGCCACTTGCAGAAGCAAGTCTACAAATCAATTCTGTCGAAGAGCCCAGAGCTTCTCAAGGCTCTCTTCACCTCCGATAAGCAGTTGAAACAGCAGGAACGTGCAAACTTGAGTAACATCCTGATGCAACTGCGCAAGTGTCTGTGCCATCCGTTCGTCTACAGTCGGGAAATTGAAGAGAGGAGCGACGTTGCTGCCGTCTCTCATCGCAACCTTGTCGAAGCTTCTGCCAAGCTCACTCTTCTTGAGATTCTTCTCCCAAAGCTTCAAGAACGTGGTCATCGCGTGCTCATATTCAGCCAGTTTCTCGACATGCTTAATATCATCGAAGACTTCTTGGACGGCATGCAGCTTCCGTATCAGCGTCTAGACGGCACGATGGGCTCACTTGAGAAGCAGAAGCGTATCGACCAGTTCAACGCACCCGACTCGTCGCTATTTGCCTTCCTTCTCTCCACTCGCGCTGGTGGTGTTGGTATCAATCTCGCAACTGCCGACACCGTGATCATCCTAGATCCTGACTGGAACCCTCATCAAGATCTCCAGGCTATTGCTAGGGCTCATCGTATCGGTCAAAAGAAGAAGGTGCTATGTCTTCAGCTAGCAACTCGAGCATCTGTAGAAGAGAAGATCATGCAGATGGGCAAGAAAAAGATGGCTCTTGACAAAGTTGTCGTACAAGATCTGGACAAGGAAGATCCGGAGGATGAGGATGTTGAGTCCATACTCAAATATGGCGCAGCAGAACTCTTCAAGGATGATGACACAGATAATGACATTCGGTACGACGACGCCTCTATCGATAAACTACTCGACCGTAGCCAGATCGAAAACACCCAAACTGGTGACGATGACTCTGCAGAATCGCAGTTCGGCTTCGCTCGTATTTGGGTCAATGAGAAGGGTGGACTGCAAGATGACTTCGATATTGCGGATGAAGAGGTGGCTCCGGATCCAGGTGTCTGGGATAAGATCTTAAAGGAACGACAAGCTGCCGCGGCCGCCGAAGCGCTTGCAAAGGCAGAGGCTATGGGTCGGGGACGCCGGGCCAAAGCAGTACGTAATGCTTCAATCTTGATGAGAACAACTAATGACATCACACAGGCTGTTGATTATGCTACGGAGAAGAGAGATGCTGACGCTGCATCTGTCGCGGGTACAGATCACTTCGAGGATACTGCCGCACCGCCTTCGCCGATCAAGAAGTCGAGCAGAAAGCGCAAGAACAAGACTGGATCTGAGAGCGATACCGACTTCCAAGCCGAGTCTGAAGACGAAAGCGAGCCCGAGGCAACTTATGACAATGTTGACGCTGCCAAAGAGCTTGGTAACGGTCACCGCCCCAACAAAACAAGTATCGCCAATTCTTCACCCTATAAGCAGAATGGCGCAGGTGCGTCTAAAGTTTCATCTACTCAACAGTCACAGTTTCCTGCTATCACTTTGTCTCTCCAGAACACGCCCAAGAAGGGTGGCGCAAGGGCCGTCAGATCGCCGCCGAAGCCAGTGAAGGTGTCACCGCTGAAAGACCATTCGAGAGTTGGACTCGACCTCGGGACGCATCTCAATGGCAACAGTCAGACGCAGTCAAACACTTTCTCAGGGCAGGCATCGTCGGCTCGCGGACCATCTGCGTTCATCGATCTTTCATCGCCTCCACTAGAGCCAGCACCAGCACCAAAAGCACCAAAAACTAATC